CCTGGCGTTTTAATTAAAGACTGAAATTCGGCATAACCTTGCATTAAAAGCGCTTGCTCTGCTTGGGAGAAAAACTGGGCGTGTTCTTTGGCCAAGCTGAACAGCCAATAGCAGCGCTGCTGATCACTGGTTCTGCTATCGATACATGTCCCCTTTTATACCAACGCGAGAACGCGCAGTTATCTCAGATAACTCAATCCAGCGATACTAATCATAAACAACAGGTGTGTTCGAAGAACCCAATTAGCCGGATCATGATTAGCACGATGATATCATCTTAGATGTCTCATTTGATCTCGGATGTTTTAAGCAACGTACGAAGAACGAGCCCCTGGACCTCAAATGTTTTTAAAACACCTGGTTTAAAATGTATACCTTTACCATGCCGAATAAAACAAGCGGAAAGAAGAATGTTATGGCTTCAGGCGATAAAGAGGGAAGCACCAGATTGAGGATTGTGGCACCCAAAGACCCCTCACACATGTATGTGGGAAGCATTTCATAACAGGTAAGACGATTATTTAATTAATTCAACCCCTAAACTATCTGTATTTAACATAAAGTAGTGTACTTGCTAGTTACTGGCTTTAATTATGTTATTGTTACCATACAACTTTCAAAGTACCAGCACTTTCTAGACACAAGCAGAAACCAGCCAAGTCCTAGCCTGCCACTATTTGAACAGTAAAATCAGTTAACAGCCAAGGTAGCGTGTCTAGTGAGAGCTAAGTTAATCACGTAGCTCCTAGGAGCTTTCGTCTTTCTAACTAACTAACGTTAGTAACTTATAGCTAGTCGGCAACACAACTATGTCAATAGCTTAAATCAAGTTATATATGATCCAAGCGTCATGGCCTCATCGTCTACTGTGAGTGTGTTAATGACAAAAAAATGAGTGATTCCACGAGATAGTGGTAGATGTCTGAATAGTGGGGTCATTAATCCAGTTTTCGACCATTTCAAAAGGACATCTCTGCCAGTAGCTTATTTAAATACCGCTCACGGTCCTCGGTCGGCAAAGATAGTGTGTATGTTTGTGCAATTTAAGAAGCTTTGCAGCGACTAGAGCGAGTTCTGTTGTCAGGGGAATCCGTTCGTTTTCCCCCAAAAAGGGGCGTTAACCTTCGATGACGCAAAAGTAGCGTTGCCTTAACTCTACTTCACTTCGCTTCATAAACAGACGTAACTAATGGTAGCAATTGATAAATTAAACTTCTTCCAAAACCAGTCTGGAGTAGGGCCACAACATCACCTCCATTTAAAAGGTTTATCAAACACTCTTCTTGTTCTGGCTTCAGTTTGAAAAACCCCGGAATGTTCACCATAACAGAGCGAATTGCATCCCGTGTCTCTTTCCCATTCGATTTCTCTAACCTACAATGTAAAACGCGGCGCTTAGCGTCTACGTCACGGCTCTCAGCCCGCCCTCTGTTCATTGATTGGCCGGCCGTCCGAAGGCCGCTGGAAAACTGAAAGATAGGCTGCTATATCAGACCATGGGGGTAATCCATCGACCGGAAGTTGAAGCCTGACATCTTGTAGCAGAACTTCACTTGCGTTAGCATTCCCATTGACTCCCATTCATTTTGGTGTCACTTTGACAGCGAATATTTTTACATCTGAGGCATTTGAAGATCCCATTTGTCTTTTATTTATTTCTAAAGAAACACGACAATGTATAAATAGCTCCATTACCTTGTAGCTTATGTTATGGCCCCGTAGAAGCAGTTTTAGTGAAAGTAGGCTAACAATTGCGTCATACCTACACGACTCTGTCGCACATTAGAGAGATTACCGTATGGACATGAGGAGAAGCTTGCGTGCAATTGGGGAAACGTGGAGGCAAAATGACAAAATAATTAATCAGAATACCTAGCAAAATTGTCTCCTTCTCTTAGCTCATGGACAGCTCCTATTCACACTCTCCGTCTCTGCATGTTTCGGAAGAGAATGATTCAGATTTCTCATGCCACAGCACTAGAAGACAGACGGGTCACTCACGTCCCATTACGTAGTCATGCTCTGTTTGAGTCTGCGCGTCAGGGACGGAAGTGCTAAAAAATCGCCAAAAACGGGCTTCAATCGTCTCAATGGAGTTCCAATGAGATCGCTCTGTCCATTTCTTTTACTGTCTGTCTCAGACTGATAGCCGTTTACTGCGCATGTTCTCTAGAGTCATTCATTTGGTGGTTAATGCATGTTTGTGTCTTTTTTTCCCCATAGCGACAGAGTCTAGACTCTGAACTCAAACATGCATTAACCACCAAATGAATGTCTGGGACCTGGGAATTGGAGTGGTGCTGTCTGCACCATAGAGGTCTGCACATGCAAGGTCTTTTGCTCGCTTACTTCCATGGGCGTCAGTTTGGTTTGAAATGTGCTGGGGAAGTGCATTTTCAAAAGTGCTGGGTACAAACTTGTCAAACTTTGGAGCCTTTCTGCTCATAGATTAATGCATAGATCAAAAAATATTTGTTAGAGATTTTCAATGGTCTAGTGGTAGATCTTTTTCCAAGAGTGTCAGAGGTTAGGGGTTGTAATCAGCCCTCAGTATAGTTTTTTTTTTTTTTCTCATCAATACTGAATATGTTCATCAGTGGTTACAGTCTACACTCCCCTAAAGGATTATTAGGAGCACCATACTAATACTGTGTTTGATCCCCTTTCACCTTCAGAACTGCTTTAATTCTAAGTGGCATTGATTAATTCGTGGCAAGGTGCTGAAAGCATTCTTTAGAAATGTTGGCCCATATTGATAGGATAGCATCTTGCAGTTGATGGAGATTTGTGGGATGCACATCCAGCCAGGACACGAAGCTCCCGTTCCACCACATCCCAAAGATGCTCTATTGGGTTGAGATCTGGTGACTGTGGCGGCCATTTTAGTACAGTCAACTCATTGTCATGTTCAAGAAACCAATTTGAAATGATTTGAGATTTGTGTCATGGTGCATTATCCTGCTGGAAGTAGCAATCAGAGGATGGGGACATGGTGGCCATAAAGGGATGGACATGGTCAGAAACAATGCTCAGTCGGGTCCGTCACTTATTTGGTTCCCCGGAAACATTTCCGTTGTGCTCTGTGTTACTTGCAGCGTTTCTGTATTTAGTGGTGTTGTGAACGTTTGCAGTGCGTTTCTGTATTTGGTTGTGTTGTGAGTACTTGGAGCACACGTGTGTTGTGGAACTGATGAAGATGTTTTTCTTAATTTGCGAATGTTTTTTGTATTTGCATGCATTTTTTATATTTGCACACGGTTTTTTTTATTTGCATGCGTCTTCATCAGGTTGCAGCGCAGTGAGCTCTCTCGGCCACCGTAAAAATCCAAGAAAAAAAGTACACTATTTTAAAAAGGTATAAAACACCTTTCACCTATAAAACATCATTCACATGATTATAATTTTGTCTGTATACTTTGCAAACTGGTTTTAGGATTTTTCTTTTTTCCTCAGATATTTTTGAATTATTTCTTGTTAAAAATAGAATAAACAGTGAGTGCTTTTTTTGGTTTGTATAATGAATGCATTAATGCTTGTTGCAAGGTAAATCACTTAGTTTAAAATGTAAGGAACAGCTCGGGATTTGGTGTTAGATGAGATTTACACAGGTTAGAAAATACTGTGAATAGGTTAGACCATTTACACAAAGAGCAAGGAGAAAAAAAAAGACAACCTTATCAAAATTTTAAACTAATGACAGACTAAAAGGGTTGGGCTAGGATTGTAAAACGAGCTCCGCCTAAATCTCCCCAAAAACCTAAGTCAGTGTTTATATGTTAAAGGATTCATCAACGTTCTCATAGAATTAAGAAGAGCAATAGATAATACACAAGAGCTCTTTATCTGAGAAGATGTGTGGCTCTTAAAAGAGCCTTTGGGGTAGTTGAAGTCGGGCACGCCTTACTTCGAGCTGGTGTATTTGGTGACGGCCTTTGTGCCCTCGGACACGGCGTGTTTGGCCAGCTCACCGGGCAGCAACAGACGCACGGCGGTCTGGATCTCTCTGGAAGTGATGGTGGAGCGCTTGTTGTAGTGCGCGAGGCGAGACGACTCACCGGCGATGCGCTCGAAGATGTCGTTGACGAAAGAGTTCATAATGCCCATCGCCTTGGAGGAGATACCGGTGTCAGGGTGGACCTGCTTCAGGACTTTGTAGACATAGATGGCGTAGCTCTCCTTCCTGGACTTTCTGCGCTTCTTTCCTCCCTTACCGGCGGTCTTGGTGACGGCCTTCTTGGATCCCTTCTTAGGCGCGGACTTCGCTGGTTCAGGCATGATGATGCGTTATCACAAGACTGACGCGATATGTAAACTTCAGTGCGATACAGAGGAATTTATTCACTGCCCTATGCTAATTTTGAACGGGATGGGGAAATCTTCTGATTGTCTGTTTTCATAGACCAGACCAAACCCACAAATTCATATTTCATTGGACAGCTTGAGAGGAACGAGGGCCAATCACAGGTGTGGATAAAATATAGTTCCGCCCACCGTCTCATGTTTGAACCACACACTTCTTCCACCAAGTTTCATTTGTTTAGTTTCCCGCTCTTTTTATTAAGTAATATTTTTTAAGGAATTTAAGTAATTTTTGAGAAAAACAAGCGGTTCTAATATTGTGCATGATGTAATTTTAAATTAATAATATTTAAATTAATTTTAATCTAATATTGTGCATGGTGTAATTTTAAAACCTTATTAACCCATTGATAGCATATTGATAGAATATGAGTATGACAAAGTCAGGCTAACCCATTGAGCGAATTTGGGGAAAAAAGAGACCAATAATGGTCAGATACACTTTAAAAACGTCATTGGTTCATGAAACTGTTGAGATGTTAAAAAAACAGTAATAGTAAACAAAAGCCCATCGTTTCTGGACAATAATTATATTCATTTCTGCATTCTCACATTTGTCAGCTAGTACCATTATATCAAAGTGCTTTTTTCCTTCTTGTTGATCTTAATGGAACAGCGTTCGTGATATGGTAACGTTTAATTCCAAACGGTTCAATAGTGAATAACTTCTTATGTTAAAGTAGAAAGGTATCGGCATTCTCCATACATTATGAAACATTATTTATGCGTTCTTAGATAAGATTTATCCTGGATTGAGAAAAAAAACGTTTTAAACTTAAATCGATGATTTAACATGAAACATTTGGCTCTTTAATCGGGAGAGTGTGTGGCTCTTAAAAGAGCCTTTTGGTTTGTGAGGTTTGTCCTGGTTTCAGGCGTTTATCCCCCGAAGCCGTACAGGGTGCGTCCCTGTCTCTTCAGCGCGTACACAACATCCATGGCGGTGACGGTCTTTCTCTTGGCGTGCTCGGTGTAGGTGACGGCATCGCGGATCACGTTCTCCAGAAACACCTTCAACACTCCGCGGGTCTCCTCGTAGATCAGACCAGAGATGCGCTTGACGCCGCCGCGGCGAGCCAGACGACGAATAGCGGGTTTGGTGATTCCCTGGATGTTATCGCGCAAAACTTTACGGTGACGCTTAGCGCCTCCTTTCCCGAGTCCCTTACCGCCTTTGCCTCTTCCAGACATGTTTCCCAATGAGCACTTCAATCGATGAGCGACAGTCCACAAATGTGTACTATGAGTGTTCCAAGGAAATCTTTTATTTATGCTTACAGGACCTGACAGAAACCAGCGATGCGTCACATGACACCCCCCCTCCCCCTCCCCCTCCCCCTCCCCCCTCCCCCAAAATATAGTTAGAGCACATGTGATTTAATCCCAACCCTAACTTTTGTTTCATATTGCAATTTGTGCAATTCATCTCACAAAGGTGGATTCCGCAAAGCAAGAAATAATATGGATTCAATTGTGTCTATCAGAGATTAGGAAAGCCCAGACAAATAAAGAAATGATAGTAGCTGTCTTTCTATTTTGATATCGAAAAGACATGATGATATGCTGTGGAAAGAAGTTAATTGAATTGGTTATAGGGGGTAGGCTACAATTTGGTATTAGACTTCTTGGTTGGTGGAAAATTGGAGATTGGGGAACAACTAGATCTTCATTGCAAAATAAATTCTGGGCTCTTATGAGATCTACTTTTGATTATGGTTGTATTGCTTAAATGGAAAGCAGCTGAAACTGATTCTTAAAAAATATAAAACAAACTTAAGCTCCAAGAATATGTAGTGGGGTTTTTAAAACATCTCTAGTTGAGGCAGATGCCGTTGGGTATCAGAAGACATTGGGTAAACTTGCAAGAACATAATGAATCCCTTCCTGCAAAGACTACGCAGGAGTGTTGGGAACATAGTAAATCTAATTTTAGGAGTTTTGGATGGGTTGTGAATAAAAAAAAGCTAGGGAAATAGGTTCGAATAATATTGTCCTTCTGTCCCATATTCAAATATCCCTCCTTGGATGTTTATAATTCCAATGATTGATTTACAAATACATGAGGAAATAAAAGATAATTAAAAGCAAAGACCTGTCTGGTTTGTTGTACAAAGATACTACATACTACATATACTATACTACAGTGGGTAGATATAACACACAACATGTTTCAGTTGCATCTGATAGTTTGGCACTCACAAGCATAAAATCAAGGAAATCATTCAGGCCTGAAAAGCTAATTGAAATATATCAAATAATATACAGATTGTATAATAAAGGTTTGAGTATATGGTTTGTTTGGGTTCCTGCATGTTTGTGTGAAAGGAAATGAAGAAGCAGATATGTTGGCTAAACAATCCCTTAAATCACCAACAGTTGATTTGCATGTTGCATTAAAACTGAGGCTAAAGAAATCATAAAAGAAATCACACGTCAGTTGGGGCAAGTCGTCACATGTGACAACTTGCCCCTGTACAAATAAACACAGAACGCTCAAACACAGAATGCTCAAAAAAATGTGATATTGTAGGCTAATTTATTTGTAATTGCAATAAGGTAATTGAAGGAAGGAAGGAAGGAAGGAAGGAAGGAAGGAAGGAAGGAAGGAATCAACAAAAGATTGGCTAGTCTGGGTTTCCTCATGCTGCCTTCCCGCAGCGCGATTTTATTCACGCTGAAAGGCAGTATGTACACCATGGTCCAGAGATTTTCGCCTCATTTAGGGAACCAATGACAGAACGGGGAGGGAGCAGCAAGACGATGACGTCATCTATGCGACACACCGAAGCAGTTTATTTCTATGGATTCAACGTGGCAGCAGACGCGAAGTTACCCTTTGATGCAGCCTGGAAGTTTACTTTGAAAAAAGAGCAGCTTTTGTAAAAGCAACAGTACTGCAACTTTTCTCAAAAAAAAAAACAAACCAAAAAAAAAAATAGATATATTTAGATGATCGGCGCCAGTCTGCTACTAGTATTAAATATCAAGACATGGAAGTTACTTTAACCAAATCACAACATATTTAAGGCTTAATGCCAGCACTACATAATAAATTCTCTCTTTAAATTGAAACTTTAGTGGCTCTTAAAAGAGCCGTTGTGGGTTAAATCAGACGCCGGTTTAAGCGCGCTCTCCGCGGATGCGGCGGGCCAGCTGAATATCTTTGGGCATGATGGTGACCCTCTTGGCGTGGATGGCGCACAGGTTGGTGTCCTCGAACAGACCGACCAAATAAGCCTCGCTGGACTCCTGCAGGGCCATGACAGCGGAGCTCTGGAAGCGCAGGTCAGTCTTGAAATCCTGAGCGATTTCTCTCACCAGCCGCTGGAAGGGCAATTTGCGGATAAGCAGCTCGGTGGACTTCTGATAGCGGCGGATCTCCCGCAGAGCCACGGTCCCGGGCCGGTAGCGGTGAGGCTTCTTGACGCCGCCGGTGGCCGGAGCGCTCTTACGGGCGGCTTTAGTAGCGAGCTGCTTCCTCGGGGCTTTACCACCGGTGGATTTACGAGCGGTCTGCTTGGTTCTTGCCATTGCTGTTGTCTTCTTCTCTCTGTCCTGCTTGCGCTGGATATGTTACACGCCCGAATATAAAGCATTGTGGCGCCACGAGCTCATTGTGTCGCGATGATGCAGGCCTTGTGATTGGTTGGTAGGTGACGTCTGCGCATGAGTGTCAGCCAATGACTGCGCGTTTCCTCTTTTCAACCAATCGGAGGATTTCCCGCTCGAGCTGTTTTGTTCCGTTGACTATTTTGGGCGCCTTATACTCTCAACATTGGATTTATTTGTATTTAAGGTCCAGTGGTTGTGCAGATCACATCAGACTGTATTAAATCACTGCAGCGAGACACACTACATGGGTTTCTAACCTCCCCGTGAAATAGGGGATCAGTAGATCAGCCCCGCTAATAAAGGGTCGGAGATCCAGAGGAACATTGATCAAATTCTGTTTCCCTGAAGCCGATATGTATATTACCCTGTATTTAGATAATTTATATCGTCATCAAAGCATGACAAACAACTATATTTTATTACCAGAGAAAATGGATTGGGTGGTGAACACATTAGGTGATCATACTCTTATAACGTGCACAACGTCAACTTTAACGTTGTAGTTGAGGTAGACACTCCAATCGTCAGGTGGGTTGTTTTCCTCCTTGACCAAACGTGTTTATAGTGTTTGTAGATATTAACAGAGAAAAGCGCTCGTTAACAGATAAAATAGGTGGCTCTTAAAAGAGCCTTTGTTTCAGTAACCGAATCAGTGATCCGTTTACTTAGATTTGGCGGGTTTCTCGGTCTTCTTCGGCAACAGCACGGCCTGGATGTTGGGCAGCACGCCGCCCTGAGCGATGGTCACTCCGCCCAGAAGTTTGTTGAGCTCCTCGTCATTACGCACCGCCAGCTGCAGGTGACGGGGGATAATGCGGGTCTTCTTGTTGTCCCGAGCGGCGTTTCCGGCCAGCTCCAGGATCTCAGCGGTGAGGTACTCAAGAACCGCCGCCAGATAAACAGGAGCTCCGGCACCGACGCGCTCGGCGTAGTTTCCCTTGCGGAGGAGCCTGTGGACACGGCCAACGGGGAACTGCAGTCCCGCCCTGGAGGAGCGAGTCTTAGCCTTTGCTCGGGCTTTACCGCCGGTTTTGCCTCTACCACTCATTTTCAACTCAGTTAACACAACTTAAAATGGTTGAATAACAGTTGTACTTCTCCACACACTGTCTTTAAAAGAGAATTCCAGTCGCCCATTGGTTTAGAGTCTGTAAAGATTCAAACCAATCACTGAACTACCCCCGAAAGCCCAACCTCCTTTTCTGGCGTCGATAATTAAATACACTCAATGACCTTTAAGACAGAAGAGAGGAAACAGTAGAAATGTTTCACCGCACCCACCGTGGATGATTATGTTTCCAGACGATGGTATAACGTTGCATGAAAATATTAAAAATTATAAGGGTGATAGTGGTCAAATGGCTATGGGATATGTGGATTATTATAGGTATGTGCAAATCTTTACTGATGGATCAAAGCAACCAGAAACAGGAAAAGTGGCAATTGCATGTGATACCAGAGTTTGATATTAATTTTCATGCAAGAGTCTCAGATCATTTGTCAGTATACTCAGCAAAACTGATAGCAATGGTGATGGCGTTGCAACAAATTAAACCACTGAGAGTAGTTGTGTGTTCAGATTCGTTGTCAGTCTTAGAAAATTTTAAATTAGGTAATACGAGTGAGAGGCATGATATAGTGTGAGATATTGACTTTGCTTCATAGTATTCAAAATGGGGGGACGCATGTAAAGTTTGTTTGGGTCCATGTAGGTATGGTTGGTAATGAGTTGGCAGACAAGTTTGCTCAACAGGCTTTGAAAGCGACAAATGTGTCTATTATGTGTGAAATATCAAAGTCAGAAACTAAGTCAATAATTAAAAAACATGTTAAAAAGCTGTGGCAAGATAAATGGGATAGGGGAGATAAAGGGATGGGTTTTTACCATAGACTGTAAAAAAAAAAATTAAATGATAAATCCTGAGGTTGGTTAAGGTTGTCTGGTTATAAGATGTCAAAGAGAATAACTCATTTTTACAAGAATGAGAATAGGACACACTGGACTAAACAAAACATTACAGCTAATAGGAAAATATGAGTCAGGAAATTGTGAGATATGTAATGTGCCAGAAACAGTGGAACATGTTTTTATGTTGTGTAAGAAATTTAAGAGAGAAAGGGTTTTAATTAAAAGGAAGATAGAGGGTAGTGGGGAAGGTTTATCGCTAGAGATATTTTGTCTAATGCTTCTGATCATAGAATAATAAAATACATGTTTGAATTTTTGAGCTATAGTGATCATCAAGCACAATTTATTTGGAGTGTGGCGGTAGTGCACTAAGTTAGTTCGCATCCGCCGTTAAGCAGTCAAAGAAGAAGTAGAAATGTTTGATATACACAATTTAAATAAGTATGAAAAAGGGTATTGTACACTTTTACTACCAAAAGTCCTGCACCTTTTCTCACACTGTATATTCTGGGCACAATGACAATCTGATAATTGCAGTGTTATGCATATAACATTGTGCCCAGAATTTAGTGTTAGAAAATTTACAATAAATCTCGTACATATAAATAATGATTTACAAGAGTTAGTCAATATTTACACAGACGAGTTTTGCTCTTATTCAGAGTTAGTGGGTGGCTCTTAAAAGAGCCGTTGATGAACAAACACTGGACTTTATTTCTTTTTGGGCGCTGCCTTTTTAGGCTTGGCGGCTTTGGGTTTAGCAGCTTTAGGTTTAGCAGCCTTTGCCTTTTTAGGGCTCTTGGCTGCTTTCTTAGCGACTGCTGGCTTCTTTGCCTTCTTGGGGCTCTTCGTCGCCTTCTTAACGGCCTTGGCTGCGGGCTTCTTGGCCTTCTTGGGCGATTTCTTGGCGGCGGGCTTCTTTGCAGCTGCGCTCTTGGGCTTCTTGGCAGCGACGGGTTTCTTGGCCGCGGGCTTCTTCGCTTTAGGGGCCGCTTTCTTGACCGGTTTCTTCTTGGTCTCGGCTTGCTGCTTGTTGAGCTTGAATGAACCCGAGGCGCCGGTCCCTTTGACCTGCTTCAGGGTGCCTTTAGTCACCAGGCTCTTGATGGCGATCTTGACGCGGGAGTTGTTCTTCTCCACGTCGTATCCGCCGGCAGCGAGCGCTTTCTTCAGCGCGGCGAGGGACACGCCGCTCCTCTCCTTGGATGCGGACACCGCTTTGACGATGAGCTCGCCGACGCCTGGACCTGCTTTCTTGGCTTTAGCAGCGGACTTCTTCTTGGGCGCTTTGGCCGGGGCGGCTGCAGCGGGTGCGGGAGCGGTTTCTGCCATTTCTCTCTATCCTGATCAACAGTCTTTCTAACTTTTGTCTCAAGTTTCAGCAATGAATAGGGCTCTCGCGGCGCTGCGCTCTTAAACAACGCATGAGAACCTTATAGACTCAACCTTCCCGCTCGGCATCTGAGCGCGTCAACGAGCCCTTCTCTCTTGTGTTTTCTTCTCGTACATTTGGTTAAAAATTGGAGTGGTAAAATAGTTTGTTTCAGCCAAAACAAACTGAACACCAAGCAGAGGTTCTGAGCTTTCACCGGAGACTAAAATACCCAATGATGAAATATTTATTTTGCCTTTGTCGGATTAAATCCATGGCGAGCATCAGCCACGGGGAAAAGCAGCGTGTAAATTTGATGGATATTTTCAGTGGAAAGGTTGATAAAAGCCTGAAAACTTCATCTGTGTGTTCAGCTAACAGTCTGAAATAGATTGTAATGAAATCAGCATCAGCGAGGGGTGTGAGGAGGCTTTCATACAGATGTTTTTGGGGCCGCTTGAAGCACACGAACATCATCAGTCTCTCTGTGAATCTCATGTCTGACCAGCAGATGATCTGTCCTTAAAATAATTATAATTTGTAAATATTAATAATAAATATCCTTTCTATAAGATTATGTACATCATATCACCTATATAGAAAATGTAAATCGTCATATTTGTTTAACCTTATTCGTCATTTAATGTGAACGAGGATCGTGTTAAAGCTCATCTGAATGAGCCGCTCATTTAAAGCAAGGCAGAGCAAGTGACTCAAAAAAAAAAAAAAAAACTGCTTTCCCCCCAGTTTCATATTTCCCTTGTTCTGTTGCTTGTACTTTTCTGGACAATGTTTGAAACTTTGGATTGCAAGCATTCCTCATGCCATTGTCTCCATAAGATGATTCGCTTGTATTTCTCCTGGTCGCTTTGGATAATATCATCCGTTAAGTTAATGTGACAAAGAACAGGTCAAATGTTTGCTATATTTTGATTTACCATCACTGAATGCTAATTGAACACTGAATGCTAATACATTTGCACAGATTTCAGAGTTTTAGTCAGACTAGTACTAAGTTCAGCTCTGACCCAAACCATATTAAGATGATGAAGGTGCAGAATTACACAGACAGGTTTAATTGGGATCAGTGATAAAGCATGAGGACACTGGGGGTGAAAATAACTAAAACTTTTTAAATTAAACACTCAAAAACAATTCAGTTGCTTAAACATTTTCAATTTAATTCCTAAAATGTGTTTCTTGGAATTGAAAACAAAAGGGGATACAAGAGTATTCTGATCCGAGACAATATTTGTCTGTTAGATTTATTTTCAGGTACTCTCTGCAGCCCCGAAGCATCTGTCAGTCATCAGATGGAAACAGGCCTGGACCCCTGTGATGTGTGGCATCAGTGCAAGATCGATGATCAAAACACAGAGACAGTGTAGTATCACATTCTCAACTTTATTAAGGAATAAGGGTCATATTTATACAAGATAAAGCAGAATCATCTACAATGCAGGCCATCCAATCATAGAACTGAAAGATCAACCCCATACGGAATATTAATAAATATAATAACAAGCGAGGGCAGAAGTTCAAATGTGTGCATCTTGAGTTTGAGTGTACAAGTGTGTCCAAGTAATGGTTCTTGTTTTGTGTGTCCATGATGTGCACATAACATAACATAACATAACATAACATAACATCTTAATAATGCAATACCCAAATACTGAAACCTAATGTTATACTAGATGCAGTATTTGTTTAAAGAAACTATATTAACTTTGTTAATATTATGAACCAATCGGATGTCTCACTGACTAGTTTATTAAAAGCAAAAGTGACTTAAAAAAATATGTATATGGTACTTTCCTGTTATCCGGACCCCACAATGGCCTACCCCTAACCCCGCCCCTAAACCTACCCGTCACTGGGGTTAAGACAAACCAGGGATGAAGGCCTACCCCTAACCCCGCCCCTAAACCTACGCGTCACTGAGGTTAAGACCAATCAGGGACGATAGCCTATCCCTAACCCCGCTCCTAAACCTACCCGTCACTGGGGTTAAGACCAATCAGGGACGATAGCCTACCCCTAACCCCGCCCCTAAACCTACCCGTCACTGGGGTTAAGACCAATCAGGGATGACTATAGTTCCTAAATGGTGTATGGGTCCGGATAACAGGAAAGTATATATATATATATACATATATACCATGATCATGAGCCGCTTTCCGACCGGAGGGACTTTTGCAGTTCCTAGAACCTAACGTTCCTATAACCCTTTTTTTCTCGGGTTCCGACCAGACTAAATTGGGGATTTTTTTTAGTTCCTCAGATCGTAGTTCCTATAACTCTTTCAGTACCTAGTCTAGAGCGAGGACTTTTTTTAGTTCCCTTTCCCTAGGTCTACGTTGATTGGTTTAACTTAAGTCATGCCCACTGTCAACACGGACGGAACTTGTAGCGCGCTGTCTGCCATACGCTGTGTGTTTTTACAAAACATTACAACGAGGATTAAGACAAACATAACGCATTCAACCAGCTAATTGCTAAAGCTAGCTAAACTTACCCGTCGTGACACGACTTCCACCAATCAGATGCATCACTGTTGGATTGTGGGATTGTTCAGGATTGTTCAGGATTGTTCAAGGCCAAGGCTTTTCCACTGTCCAAAGTGGCACCAAATCAACTGCATGTTTGGTGTTATGCACATGTACTAAACCACGTTTTGGCTGACACAACCCAAACAGTAATAGAAAGTGGTTCACTGTTTGCGGTTCTCAATGATATCGCTGTGTTCTTTCGCGAGGCATACAAAAGGATGAATGTGTGGGAAAATAAGAGCCAGGGCAAGCACCAGAGGCGACTCTCACCAATTGGCGAGACAAGGTGGGGGGCCAAAGATAATGCTCTCAGGAAAATGTTGGGATCATTTGCAAATCCAGATAATTGTATCTATGTGTATGTCATCCTTGCATTGACTGCAATACAAGAGGATAGGACCATGAAAACAACTGTTCGCGTTCAAGAACGAGGATTTGTTGAGGCTCTGCTTAAGTATGAGATGATACTGACAGCACAAACCTTCATCAGGATATTTGAGCAGACATCACCACTGTCCAAATACCTCCAAACACAAGGGATGGATATTTTGTCTGCCCACAGAATGGTAATAGCAACACATGAAAGCCTGAAAAGCATGTCAAGAGACTTTTCCTCAGTCAAAGCAGCTACTGGGAAATTTGTTCTGTGGGCAAATGAAAAATTACAAATTGCTGGAAGTTAAGTCTGCATTGCCATCAAAAAGGAGAAGGAGGAAGACAACCAGGATTCCTGTAGATTCCTCATGCTGAAACTGTCACAAATCCAGAATAGGTGTAAGTCACAGTCCATAATCAGATCATGGACACAGCTACTGAGACATTACACTGGAGGTTTCATGGAACACTCTATGCTGACCTTGCATTTCTAGATCCCATCAACTTCACCTAGTTAAAGACATCCTCTTTACGACCATCAATGTTCCAAGAGCTCAGCAAATGTCTGTTGAGATTTGACAGTGAAGCAACTGCTGAGAATTTACAATGTGAATTTAGAAGTTTTGTTTTGCAATGGGAAAAATTGAAAATGTATCCGCTCGATGAGTACAGGGTCAAAACATTGGAAGACAAGACCGAAGATGAGGGGGTTGAAATCCGATGCAAGGAGTGTTCCTCGTGTACTGAATGTCCACAAGTGTTGCTACAAGATTCTCGGGAGGTTCAATCTGATGTCAAATGCCTACCACCTCCTAGGTCTGGCATACAAGTTCCTGCTCACCCTGTCAATCACTCTGGTTGCCTGTGAACGCACATTTTCAACACTTAAGTTCATTAAAACCAGACTCAGAAGCAAGCTGTCACAGGAGCACTTGGAAGCTTTTATGTTGATGGCAACAGAGAGGGACATCCTTTTCTCTCTTGAATCAGATGTGATCATTGACAAAGTTGCAGAGAAAAGTGAACTGTTTTCCAGGCTTCTTCTGTAGGTCCTGGTAGTGATGATGTTGTACCTCATGGAACATCGTTTAAATAGTTAATATAGTATACCCTAAGCACTAATATTTCTATTAGAATAATAAGTGGCATATAAATTAAGACCTTTAGTTATTTACAATAAACCCTGATAAAATCATTTGCATTTTCATTGTTTATTATTTTAATAGTTTTGTCTGGGTTTTGATAATAAATAAATTTTAATCAGTAATTTACATGCAGATTTGTATTTGTGTGTGTGTGCGTACGTGCGTGCGTGTGCGCGCGTGTGTGTGTTATGGAGATATATGGATACTATAGGAGTTATGTGACGCGGCGCTGGTTTCTTTCAGGTCCTGTAAGCACAAGTAAAAGACTTCCTTGTAACACACATAGTACACATTAGAGGCCTGTCGTTGATCGATTGAATAGCTCTGTGCAGAACATGTCTGGAAGAGGTAAAGGCGGTAAGGGACTCGGGAAAGGAGGCGCTAAGCGTCACCGTAAAGTTTTGCGCGATAACATCCAGGGTATCACCAAACCCGCTATTCGTCGTCTGGCTCGCCGCGGCGGCGTCAAGCGCATCTCCGGTCTGATCTACGAGGAGACCCGCGGAGTGTTGAAGGTGTTTCTGGAGAACGTGATCCGCGATGCCGTCACCTACACCGAGCACGCCAAGAGAAAGACCGTCACCGCCATGGATGTTGTGTACGCGCTGAAGAGACAGGGACGCACCCTGTACGGCTTCGGGGGATAAACGCCTGAAACCAGGATAAACACAAACCCAAAGGCTCTTTTAAGAGCCACACACTCCGACACATAAAGAGTCAATGTTTCATGTCATTTTAAGTTTAAGAAGTTTTGTGTTCTCAATCCAGATAACTCTTATCTAAGATCTCTTAAATAATGTTTCATAGCAATATAGATTGAGAATATCGATGCCTTTCTACTTTAAAGTTAACCCGCCAGTTAAACTGTTTGGTTTTGTATTAAACGTTGATTTTAAGAAAAAAAAGCGTTTGTGGAATGGATTAACAAGGAAAACAAGTAAGATAAAATGGTACCAGTTAGCAGAAATGAGAATGCAGAAAATAAGATAAATTGCTTTTTTAAAAACATCTAACCAATGACGTTTTTAAAGTGTATCTGACCATTATTGGTCTGTTTTCTCCCAAACTCGTTCAATAGGTTTATTAGAGGTTTTAAAATTATACGATCATGCACAATATTAGAACCGCTTATTTTCCTCAAAAATTAGTACTAAATAAAAAGAGCGGGAAACGAAACAAGTGAAAGTTGGTGGAAGTGTGTAGTTCAAACATGAGACGGTGGGCGGAACTATATTTTATCCACACCTGTGATTGGCCCTCGCTCCTCTCAAACTGTCCAATGAAATGTGAATTTGTGGGTTTGGTCTATGAAAACAGACAATCAGAAAATTTTCACATCCCGTTAAAAATTAGCATAGAGCAGTGAATAAATATCTCTGTATCGCACTGTAACAATAACTCGTCAGTCTTGTGATAACGCATCATCATGCCTGAACCAGCAAAGTCCGCGCCTAAGAAGGGATCCAAGAAGGCCGTCACCAAGACCGCCGGTAAGGGAGGAAAGAAGCGCAGAAAGTCCAGGAAGGAGAGCTACGCCATCTATGTCTACAAAGTCCTGAAGCAGGTCCACCCTGACACCGGTATCTCCTCCAAGGCGATGGGCATCATGAACTCTTTCGTCAACGACATCTTCGAGCGCATCGCCGGTGAATCGTCTCGCCTCGCGCACTACAACAAGCGCTCCACCATCACTTCCAGAGAGATCCAGACCGCCGTGCGTCTGTTGCTGCCCGGAGAGCTGGCCAAACACGCCGTGTCCGAGGGCACAAAGGCCGTCACCAAATACACCAGCTCGAAGTGAGGCGTGCCCTACTTCAACTAACCCAAAGGCTCTTTTCAGAGCCACACATCTTCTCAGATAAAGAGGTTTTGCGTAGTAGTGCTCTTAATTCAATATAAACACTGACTTGGGTGCCTGAGGAGACTTAAAGCTTTCAGTCTGTAGTTAGTTTAATATTTTAAAAATAAGATTGTCTTATTCTTTCTGTAAATGGCTTAAACTTTTCACAACATTTTCTATCTTGTGTAAATCTCATCAAATTATACTAATGAAAGTGAACAATCACTGTTTATTACATTTTTTTTTTACAAGAAAAGAAGTTTTAAAATATCTGAGAAAAATCCTAAAACCAGTTTGTCGACACTTTAAAAAAAAAAAAGATTACAGGTCTTTTATACTTAGTTTACTGTTTTTGTTAGATTTTGCTATTTTAATCCTAAAACTGTATTCTGGACAAATGTGGGCAACATAGTTTGATTTATTTTAACTATATATATATATATATATATATATCCCTTGATTGAGCGGTACAAGACCTAAGTTTGCCTCCTGAACACACCATTTTTTTTACTCAATTCTACAATGTCAAGTGGGTGAAAAAAAAAAAACACTCCTTAATCTTGTATTTGGGTCAAAAATGGGCACCCATAGAAATGAATGGGAAAAACTGTAATTTAGAGCATTCTAAGATAAGCCAAAATAAGACACCAGGTGACAGCAAAGTCACTTCATCTGTCGGTTTTAGCTCCAAGAACTCATTGGAATGATATTTTAATGTAGTTAAAAAAAAACATATAAATAAAACATAACAATAAGCAAAATGTACATAGAAAACATGGTATTTTTTGAATGAAATATATTCAAAAATACCACAAAAATAAAAAAAACCACGATAAATGGAGACAACTTTATCAGACAGTGACAACATTTATAATAAATTGTCCACAATTACAGGATTAAGGGCTATAAAGTGAATACGGTCTGAGGGCTACAACATTATAAACAAATGTTTTGTTGTTCTAATTTCATCAGCCATGTGTGCAGATACAAACTAAATGCAAAAACTTTATTTCAATGTATTTACTATTCATGTTTGAGTAAAATTACCCTTTTATAAACTTCGACCAACTTTTCTTCCTATTTTCAAGTAAAAACAGTCTTTTATTTGGAAGTAAAATAATGCTTTATACTTGAAAATTGGACAAAAAGTAAAGTGGAAGGAAGTTACCATATCGGACCTTATTAAAACGAGCACAGCCTAAATCTCCTCACAAACCCAAGTCAGTGATCATATTAACGAACTCAAGAAAATTATAAAATTAAAAGCATTAGCTAACACACAAAAGCTCTTTATCTGAAAAGATGTGTGGCTCTTAAAAGAGCCTTTGGGGTAGTTGAAGTCGGGCACGCCTCACTTCGAGCTGGTGTATTTGGTGACGGCCTTTGTGCCCTCGGACACGGCGTGTTTGGCCAGCTCTCCGGGCAGCAACAGACGCACGGCGGTCTGGATCTCTCTGGAAGTGATGGTGGAGCGCTTGTTGTAGTGCGCGAGGCGAGACGACTCACCGGCGATGCGCTCGAAGATGTCGTTGACGAAAGAGTTCATAATGCCCATCGCTTTGGAGGAGATGCCGGTGTCAGGGTGGACCTGCTTCAGGACTTTGTAGACATAGATGGCGTAACTCTCCTTCCTGGACTTTCTGCGCTTCTTTCCTCCCTTACTGGCGGTCTTGGTGACAGCCTTCTTGGAGCCTTTTTTAGGCGCGGACTTTGCTGGTTCAGGCATGATGATGCGATACTATTAGTCTGACGAGTAAATGTAAACTACAGTGTGCGATACAGAGGTATTTATTCACTGCCCTATGGTAATTTTATAGGCCAAACCCGTAAACTCGTACTTTATTGGACAACTCAAAGCATCGCAAGAGCAACGAGGGCCAATCACAGGCGGATAAATGATATAGTCCCACCCACCGCTGCTTGTTGAAACCATAGGTTTGAACGAAGGCCTTTCCTCCCAGTTTCCTTTGTTTCGTTTCCCGCTCTTTTTTATTCATTTATTTATTTATTTATTTATTTATTTATTTATTTATTTATTTATTTTTTGTTCGAAAAGAATCGGTTCTAATATTGCGCATCATGAACAAAGCCCACTTGACCGTGTGTGCACAATACAAACATTTTCACTTAAATAATATGTATTTGTTTTTTTCTTGTTAATTTTGGAAAAGAGCGTTCGTTAAATTGTTTAGCGAGTAATTCAAAAACAATGAGTTATTTATGTACTTACCATCTGCTAAAGAAAAGCAAATGTTTGTAAGACTCTGTGTAAAGATATTTGGTGGGGTGTCATAGATTCAGAAAACAAATTAGTTTAATGATTGGTATAATCAAAACATTGACTCTTTATGTGTCAGAGTGTGTGGCTCTTAAAAGAGCCTTTTGTTTAATGTGGTTTGTTTCAGGCGTTTATCCCCCGAAGCCGTACAGGGTGCGTCCCTGTCTCTTCAGCGCGTACACAACATCCATGGCGGTGACGGTCTTTCTCTTGGCGTGCTCGGTGTAGGTGACGGCATCGCGGATCACGTTCTCCAGAAACACCTTCAACACTCCGCGGGTCTCCTCGTAGATCAGACCGGAGATGCGCTTGACGCCGCCGCGGCGAGCCAGACGACGAATAGCGGGTTTGGTGATACCCTGGATGTTATCGCGCAAAACTTTACGGTGACGCTTAGCGCCTCCTTTCCCGAGTCCCTTACCGCCTTTACCTCTTCCAGACATGTTTCACACTGAGTGTTTCTATCGATCAAGGAAAGGACATAAATGAATACTATGAGTACTACAAAGAAGATTTTTACATGTGCTTACAGGACCTGACAGAAACCACCACCGCGTCACATGACACACACACACACACACACACACACACACACACACACACACACACACACCTCCCCCAAAATATAGTTAGAGCACCCTGACCTTAGGTTCATTTTGCAATTTGTGCAATTTATTTTCACAAAGGTGGATTCCGCAAAGGAAGAGATTAGGAAAGCCCAGACAAACAAAGACATGGTAGTAGCTGTCTTTCTTTTTTTGATATCGAAAAGACATGATGATAATATGCTGTGGAAAGAAGTAATCCTTATAAAACGGAATTAATTGGTTAGAGGAGGTAGACTGCAATTGGGTATTAGTCTACTTGGTTGGTGGAACATTGGAGATTGGGGAACAACTAGGTCTTCATTGCAAAATAAATACTGGCTTTTATGAGATCTACTTTTGATTATGGTTGTATTGCTTAAATCGAAAGCCCTAAGAATATGTAGTGGGGTTTTTAAAACATTTCCAGTTGCCGGTTGGGTATCAGAAGACTTAAACTAATACTAGCATATTGTGTAAACCTGCAGGAACATAATGAATCCCTTCCTGCAAAGACTACGCAGGAGTGTTGGGAACGTAGTAAATCTCATTTTAGAAGTTTTGGATGGGTTGTGAATTAAAAAGCAAGGGAAATAGGTTTGAATACTATTATCCTTCTGTCCCGTATTCAAATATCCTACTTGGATGGTTATAATGCCAATGATTGATTTACAAATGCATGAGGAAATATAAGATAATTCAAAGCACATACCTGTCTGGTTTGTTGTACAAAGATACTTAGAAAGTAATTGTCCTAATAAAATAATGATATTCACAGATGGTTCAAAGAAATGGACATATGGGTCATGCAGTGTGAATCCCACAATGTGGAAAATGCATCAAGAAAAGAACAACAGATAATCTTTTAGTTTACACAGTAGAACTGCTAGCCATTATATTGGGATTACAGTGGGTAGATGAATGTAACACACAACATGTTTCAGTTGCATCTGATAGTTTGGCACTCACAAGCATACAATCAGGGAAATCATGCAGGCCTGAAACACTAATTGAAATATATATAGATTGCATAATAAAGGTTTGAGTATATGGTTTGTTTGGGTCCCTGCAGATGTTTGTGTGAAAGGAAATGAAAAAGTCGATATGTTGGCTAAACAATCCCTTAAGTCACCAACAGTTGATATGCAGGTTGCATTAAAACTGAGGCTAAAGAAATCATAAAAGATCACACTTTGGGATATCAATGATAGAGGAAGACATTTGTATAGGATTCAAAGCTCTTTTGGCGTGAAAAGGGAGATGAGTAAAAATCAAAGTGAAGACAGGATGACATACAGGGCTCAACAAGACACCTCATCTATTAGGTAGACATATAAATGAAGTGTGTTTACATTGCAATCAATCAGAATCTGTCCAACATTTGATGATGGATTGTAATGAAAATGAAAGGACAGAAGGAAGTAAAAGAAGTACTTGAACAATTAAAATTAAACTTCACTTTAAAAAAACATAATTGGAATTGAGGAAAATACAGTTCATGACATTTTTGAAAGAAACAGTTCTGATGGAGCGAGTATAAAGGATATTGCTAATTTAGTCCAGTCATTCTATGAAAAAAAGGTTGAACAAATTGCAACAGAAGCAAACTCAACTGATTTTGTATCCTCAGTGTCCCGAGTACAGAAAAAAATCAGAGAATCCCATTAGGGGTAAGTTTCGAAAAAGACCCATTCTTTTTCTCACGTGAATAGGGTAAAAATTTTAACATTTAGATATCATCATGAAAATCACTGAGTTGATTACTTACATCAAGACAAACATAAAATGTATTACAAGTTTTTCGAAATTGTTTGTTAACATGGACAAACGGTGCATAATATAATAACGTATTAGCTAATTTGCATAATTACCCAAAACAGATCTAAACATTTGGTATAGCAGATGAAAATGTTTTTTTTTTAATCTTGTTGACATAAAACAGTGAAAGACTTAATGTTAAGGTCTGAATGGAACCCATTTAGGCTACCCATGACATTTAATACAGGAAGAAGTACTTTAGAAACCAGCCTTTATTAATTATAATGGCAGAGATGGGGTTTGGGCATTGAGTGCATTGTGTACATAATTAGATTTTTTGATCCGGACACTTTATTTCACCTACCTTTTGTCTTCTGCATTCTCCTTACCCATGTCTCCTGTTCTTCCCTCAGACTCATCCCCCAGAAACAGTCCCACTGACCCAGCCCCAAACCCCATCTCTGGACCTACAAAGAACAAGGCAGGTAGAAGAAGAAGTTCAAGAGAGTTAACTTGTTCAGGTTGAGTTTTGGTAAAATGGTGTTATCGAGGTTTGGGTCCAGATCAGTTGAGTATAATTTTGTATAGTATTCTTGAAATATTTTGTTTCTCAACTGGTGAATTGGTTAGCTTCCCTGCTGAGTTTCTGATTATAGTTGTTCTTTCTTTATTTCTTTTACTTTGACTGTCTAAATATTTTCCGGATTTATTGCTATGGTGAAAAGTTTCTTGACGGAGCCTGTGAATCAGAAACTGGTTTCTTTGGTTTATTATTTCATTAAGCATTTTTTTTTTCTTATTTTTTTAGAGATGGTTTTTGATTGATCATTTGCAAGTAATTCTAATTCTTTCTTCCAGTTGGACTTCCTTTTCTCTGTTCTTTTTTTATGTGTGGAATATGAGATAATTTTTCCCTGTAAAACTACTTTCCATGTTTCCAAGAGTAGTGATGCTTCTGACTTTGGAGAGTCATTTATTTCAAGGAAGGATGTCTACTAGGTTACAGTAAGGATTTTGGGCAGTAAGGATGTCTAGTCCACTGGTGGGGTGGGGTGCGTCTGTATTGCAGATGGGTTCCATGTGACAGCTTTCTTTTTAAGCATCTTAAGATAATGTTAACTAATATTATATCACAACTAATATTAGCAGCTTAGTTCATATTCATATTCATATCCATATCAAAGTCCATATTTAATTTCTAGAAGCTGGGCTAAATGAGCAAACACAGTTGCTGTATTCCTGGCATGGGCCAGACCCTTCAGTCACCTCTCAGTTATATTTAATACAGACAATAGAGAATACATGAAAGAACATATCAGTAATCACACTGGTAGCTTCTATAGCAAAGTAAAATCTTATAAGCCTAGAGAAGTCCTTCAATCGTGTGATATTTAGAAGAACAAATATAGATTAATATCGTCTCCTTGAAATTATAAGGTTCTATCTGACATTTTTGTCAAAATTGAGTTATTCACATATTCTTATTCTGTGACAATTTATTTACATTATGTGATGTTTTTGTACATTTAGGGTCCCTATTATTTTTATGTTTGAAAGAAACTTGTTCCCCATACACATTTTCCTATATGGAATGCAAAAACTTTGAAGCTCAATATCTCAAAACTGTTCAGAACTCAGATAGAACCTTAATTAATAATTCCAAGGGGACGATATCTTGATTATAATCACGCGTTAACTTTTGAAGCAGCAGAGAATTCCAGAATCCACCCCTTCAAAGTATTCACCAATACTCTCTCATCTCCACTCCCACATAATCACAGCATACACTAGCTGTAAACGAAGAGAACATTTAAAACACTTTATTGTCTACATAGATTGACCTCTCAGACACTTTGGTCCTGTAGTCAAAGTTTAGATATCACAAAATCGCCAAAGAGCAGAACAGACTGATTTCAATATTGTTAGTATTTCTCTGTATATTTTCCTTCATTTCAGATGAGATTTATGCATTTAATGCAGTGCCGCAACTTTTCTCAAAAAAAAAAAAAACAAAAGCTAATTTTAACGAACGGCGCCACTCTGCTGTTGGTAATTCAGACCTGGAAGTCACTGTAATCGTATCCTAACTTTAATATGATTCATTGTCAGCACTACTTTGGAAATTCTCTCATTCAGTGTTAACTTTGGTGGCTCTTAAAAGAGCCGTTGTGGGTTAAATCAGACGCGGGTTTAAGCGCGCTCTCCGCGGATGCGGCGGGCCAGCTGAATATCTTTGGGCATGATGGTGACCCTCTTGGCGTGGATGGCGCACAGGTTGGTGTCCTCGAACAGACCGACCAAGTAAGCCTCGCTGGACTCCTGCAGGGCCATGACAGCGGAGCTCTGGAAGCGCAGGTCAGTCTTGAAATCCTGAGCGATTTCTCTCACCAGCCGCTGGAAGGGCAGTTTGCGGATCAGTAGTTCGGTGGACTTCTGATAGCGGCGGATCTCCCGCAGAGCTACGGTCCCGGGCCGGTAGCGGTGAGGCTTCTTGACGCCGCCGGTGGCCGGAGCGCTCTTACGGGCGGCTTTAGTAGCGAGCTGCTTTCTCGGGGCTTTACCACCGGTGGATTTGCGAGCGGTCTGCTTGGTTCTTGCCATTGCTGTTGTCTTCTACAGGCTGTCCTACTTGCGTTAGAATTGATAATGTTGCTCTCTGTGTTACACGCCCGCTTTTTAAAGCATTTGCAGCGCCACTAGCTCGTAGTGTCACGATGATGCAAGGCCTTGTCATTGGTTAGTATGTGACGTCTGCGCATGACTGCCAGCCAATGACTGCGCGTTTCCTCTTTTCAAACAAAAGGAGGGTTTCCCGCTCGAGCTGTTTTGTTCCGTTGACTACTTCGGCCGCCTTTATTCTCACAATGTATCTGTTTGTTATGGAATATAGTATCTGGGCATACTCGCCCTAATTCCCAGTTGTTGTGCAGATCTCGGATTTTAACAAAATCACGTTGTCTGTATAAAAGCACTTATAGCGAGACTCACTAACTTTACTAGGTTTTCCATCCTCCCCGTGAAATAGGGGATCAGTAGATCAGCCATGCTTACTAAAGGGACAGAGACCCAGATTAACATTGATCAAATCCCGTTTCCCTGAAGCCGATATGTATATTAATATTATGTTAATTTATTCAATATATTATCAGAGCTTGGCAGGCAACTATGGTTTAATATTAGGGGAAATAGTTTGGTGGTTAACACCAATTAGGTGATCATGTGCTTATAACGTGCACAACGTCAACTGTAACTTTAATCGTGATTTTCCTATTTAATCAAGACTGTTTACGGTGTTTGATAATATTAACAGAGAAATGCGCTCGTTGAGAGATAAAATAGGTGGCTCTTAAAAGAGCCTTTGCTTCAGTAATCGAGTCTGTGATCCGTTTACTTGGTTTTGGCGGGTTTCTCGGTCTTCTTAGGCAACAGCACGGCCTGAATGTTGGGCAGCACGCCGCCCTGAGCGATGGTCACTCGGCCCAGAAGTTTGTTGAGCTCCTCGTCATTACGCACCGCCAGCTGCAGGTGACGGGGGATGATGCGGGTCTTCTTGTTGTCCCGAGCGGCGTTTCCGGCCAGCTCCAGGATCTCAGCGGTGAGGTACTCGAGTACCGCCGCCAGATAAACAGGAGCTCCGGCACCGACGCGCTCGCCGTAGTTTCCTTTGCGCAGGAGCCTGTGGACACGGCCGACGGGGAACTGCAGTCCCGCCCTGGAGGAGCGAGTCTTAGCCTTTGCTCGAGCTTTACCGCCGGTTTTGCCTCTGCCACTCATTTTAAACACATGTACTGCCGTTTAAAGTTATAAAAATGATGGTGGTGTGTCTTCACACACTGTCTTTAAACGAGAGTGCCAGTCGCCCATTGGTTTAGAGTCTGTAAAGATTCAAACCAATCACTGAACTTCCGCCCGAAACCCAACCCCTTTTCTTAAAGCACAGGCCGGATCAAAGACGCAAGTAGTAATAATAACAGAGATAGATGTAGCCCCTTCTGTTGTAATATCATCTATACCTCCATGGTTATACCCAATGCCAGAAATAGACTTATTAATTCATAAAGAGATACACAAGAATGAACCAAATTTGCCATTAAAAGTTATAGTTCAACAACACATTAATCAAAAGTATAACAACATGATAAAAATATTTACAGATGGATCAAAAGATCCAATAACAGGTAGGGCCGCTGCAGCAGTATATATCCCTCAGCACAGTGTTAAAATATCAAAAAGAGTAACAGATCATATATCTGTTTTTACAACAGAACTGATATGTAACGAGTAAAATATTACTGAAAATTGATTAGTAATGCCTTACACTACAGCGTTACAGCAAAAAGTAATATGTTACTGTAATGTATTACTTTTGTAATGCGTTACTCCGAACACTGTTGCTGAGTATATTATTTGGTCAGCTGACATTTATTTTGGTCTGATGTCAAGTGAGGTCAGAGAGCTTGCCTACCAGTTTGCTGTGGCACACCAGCTGAAGAAAAAGAAAAGGCCAGAAAGAGTGGTTTACAGGCTTCTTAAAGCGGCACACAATGCTGTCACTGAGAAAACCAGAGACTACTAGCGTTCCCTAGGGAAGTAGCTTCAACAGAGAGAGCGTTAATGCTTTATTTGACAACTTAGAGAATGCGTTAACCAAATATGAGTTTGGACCAGGAGACATCGGGAATGTTGATGAAACTGGGGTCACCACTGTATATAAACCAGAGAAAGTGGTGGCCAGACGTGGATTCAAACAAGTAGGGTCACTGACCTCGGCTGAAAGGGGAACCCTTGTCACACTGGCATGTGCCGTCTCAGCCACAGGGAATAGTACACCTCCATACTTTATTATACTTTATTATTTATTTATACTTTACCATTTCCTGATCAACGGGCCACCTGGCAGCGAAGGAGGGGCAAATTCCTCTGGATGGACTTTGTTGACTTCCTGAAACATTTCAGTGAACATTCAGTGAACATAAGTGCTCAAAGGAGAAGCCCTGTTTACTCCTTTTGGACAACCACGAGTCTCATCCTTCCATTGATGGACATCGGACAATGCTAATGAATGATTTACACATCGGCTGCCCACATCGGCTCCAACCATTTGACAGGTCTGTCTACGAGCCGAGCCACATCACAGCACATGTGATGCCTGAATGAGGATCAATGCTGGGAAGACAATGTCAATTTATGAGACTCCTGGGATTGTGGCGATTGCCTATCCCCTGGCTGCAATGCCCTTGAACATTCAGGCTGGCTTTAGGGTACTGGTGTTCAACCTTACAACAGAGATGTGTTCCTGGAAGTCAAAATCTGGACCTACAAAGAACAAGGCAGGTAGAAGAAGAAGTTCGAGAGAGTTAACTTGTTCCAGGTTGAGTTTTGGTAAAATGGTGTTATCGAGGTTTGGGTCCAGATCAGATGAGTATAATTTTGTATAGTATTCTTAAAAATATTTTGTTTATCTCAACTGGTGAATTGTTTAGCTTCCCTGCTGAGTTTCTGATGGAGGTTATAGTTGTTCTTTCTTTATTTCTTTTACTTTGACTGGCTAAATATTTTCCGGATTTATTGCTATGGTGAAAAGTTTCTTGACTGAGCCTTTGAATCAGAAACTGGTTTCTTTTCTTTATTTCATTAAGCAAAAACTATTTTTTTCTTAATTCTTTAGAGATGGTTTTTGATTGATTATTTGCATGTAATACTAATTATTTTATTCTTTCTTCCCGTTGGACTTCTTTTTCTCTGTCCTTTTTTTATGTACTGAATATGATATAATTTTTCTAAAAGTAAAACTACTTTCCATGTTTCCCAGAGCAGTGATGTTGGCGAGCCATGCTGGAGAGTCATTTATTTCAAGGAAGGATGTCCACTCTTGGAGTAGCTGTCAAATTCTGAATCTTTCAAGAGGCATGTATTAAATCGCCATCTGGTGGGGTTCTTCTGTATTGCAGATGGGTTCCATGTGACAGCTTTCTTTTTAAAGGATTAGTTCACTTTTGAAAAAACTTTTGCTGATAATTTACTCTCCCCATGTCATCCAAGATGTCCATGTCTTTCTTTCCTCAGTCGAAAAGAAATTAAGGTTTTTGATGAAAACATTCCAGGAGTTTTCTCCATATAATGGACTTCATTGGGAACCGGATGGTTCAGGTCCAAAAGATAGTGTTAATAACAGTTTCAGATGCAGCTTCAAATGTCTTTAAACGATATCAGACGATGAATAAGGGTCTTATCATGCGAAACGATCGGTTATTTCAAAACTTATTTCAAAAATGTAACTTTTATAAGGACAAATGCTAGCCTTGCTATATTCTGTGAGGCGCGTTTGCAACGTCACGTACTACGTCATTACGTTCAAAAGGTCACGGGCGACGTAGCCGAAAGTACAGAGTCAGTGTTTACAAGTTGAACGCATAGGTTGAACGTGCAAACTAACTCAAACACCGTTTACAAAAAAAGGAATTAAAAGGAAAAACAACGATGTCGGACGATTTTGATTCTGTACTTCCGGCTACGTCGCCCGTGACCTTTTGAACGTAATTACGTATTACGTGACGTTGCAAAAGCGCCTCACAGAATAGAGCAAGGCTAGCATTTGTCCTTATAAAAGTTACATTTTTGGAATAAGTTTTGAAATAACCGATCGTTTTGCATGATAAGACCCTTATTCATCGTCTGGTGTCGTTTAAAAGACATTTGAAGCTGCATCTGAAACTGTTATTAACCGTCTTTTGATACTTGAACCATCCGGTTCCCATTGAAGTCCATTATATGGAGAAAAATCCTGGAATGTTTTCATCAAAAACCTTAATTTCTTTTCGACTGAGGAAAGAAAGACATGGACATCTTGGATGACATGGGGAGAGTAAATTATCAGCAAAAGTTTTTTCAAAAGTGAACTAATCCTTTAAGCATCTTAAGATAATGTTAACTAATATTATATCACAACTAATATTAGCAGCTTAGTGTTGTTTTTTTCCCCACTGAAGAAAAATTAAATTGACATACTACTTTTCTCAAAGTCTGGATGTCCAGCACCATGAAGTACAGAACATTTGAACCACATCCTCAAAAGAGACTTAATTCACACAATTATTATGTGATTGATAATTACAAATAAATGAACAATGATTAATTATATATGGTCCTTGGGTTTTTAGATCCCATGACAACTTAATGTGTGTGAGGACTTTCATTGAGTGATAATGCCTGATAATAAATTATTTCACCTCAAAGTTTGAATAAATACAATGATGATATTGTCCTAAATCATACACAAATTTATCATATAACAGGTAATGTGCTAGCCTGACTACATCAGACTTAATACTTCCGCTAATTTCATTTCACTCCTGTAGTCTGTCTACGAAGCAAAGTGAAGTAGCAGAGTCTGGTATTACCATGCTAGTAATGTGCACCACAAGATAAATACTCTTTATTCTTTTGTAGAAGGCCTGAAAAATATTGTTACAATATATATATATATATGTATGTATATATATAGTCAGGCTAGCACATTACCTGTTATATGATAAATTTGTGTATGATTTAAGACAAAATTATCACTGTATTTTATACAAACTTTGAGGTGAAATAATTTATTATCAGGCATTATCACTCAATGAAAGTCCTCACACATTAATTTGTCATGGGATCTAAAAATCCAAAGACCATATATTATTAATTAAGACCAGGAGTTAGAAGAGCAGCCAATTTAAGAAAAGAGTCAGAATTATAACAAATAAAATATTATTATTAATTAGTAATATATATATTTTTTGTACTGAAGTTCGTTTGGAATTTCATCAGGCACAAAGCAGCTTCAAGACTCACAAGGAGTTTGTAGGCCGCATCTCTTACAGTTACAAAGATCACAGCAGTTTTAGCCTTCACCAAGGTCTAAGCTACAGCCTTCCTTCTAAAAAGTCCATATTTAATTTCTAGAAGCTGGGCTAAATGAGCAAACACAGTTGCTGTATTCCTGGCATTGGCCAGGCCCTTCAGTCACCTCTCAGATATATTTAATACAGACAATAGAGAATACATGAAAGAACAAAGTAGTCACCAATACAATGTTATTTGACATTATTCTCCGCAAACAGTACACTCATCTCCACTCCCACATGATCCTATTATCATATTGACCTCTGACACTTCAGTTTGATCCAGTAAACACGGTTTAGATGTCTTAAGATCACCAAAGAGCAGAATAGACTGACTTCAATATTGTGTTCAATGCAGTGCCGCAACTTTTGAGTAGTATGAAGCTGCAGACTCGGAGACCTGCATCTACAGTCCCCCTGCACCCAGAGTCCCGCATTCTCAGACCCCTCGTTTTTCGAGTCAGCGCCTCCTATCAAATTGTATCGGATAAACAGAACTTAAGCCAAAACGTGAGTAGGCTGTCTTCAATTTTATTTAGAGAATCGTAATAGCTCGTTTGATTTATTTTTTAATAAAACTAATTAAGCTAATCGATACAACATAAGAATAGTCCATTTAATATTTGTTTGTAACAAGATTTGAGCCGTTATGTTTTTTCGCCCTCTTTACCCCGAAAATATTTTGATAGCTAACGTTAGCCTTTAACCTCGGACTTTTTTATATGTCATAAATGCTGCAGTTATTTTTACTGCCCATTTTGTGCCCCCATATATCTCAAACCCACAAAGTTGTCCAAAGTTCAAAAACATCTCAAGGGACACTTCTACAGTCAGAGCAGTGCAACATGAATTTGAATTTTTTTTCTTTCTTTTTGAAAGATCATAAGACATGTGCTATCGTATCCAGTACACCATACATCGATGGAGTTGCGCCTTCCGATTCCAGCAACGTATCATTTTATGATTATGCAAAGCGACTTATAAATGAGTTTTTTTTAATGCAATTAAACCTAAAGTCACGAACACAGTTTGTTCTTCCTTTTTTCTTTACAGTAAGATGATGTTTAGGTGATCATTAAATAAAGTAGCCTACTGAATTGTTTATTATTGGTGTTTTGTCTATTCTGATTTATTTTGCTTCGCATTCAAAATATCAAAAAACAGATTTTGTTATGTTAGCATGGTAATGTTAATTAGACCATTATAGGTTGAACTGAAAGAAAAAGTGGAATTTGAATTTTGAATAAAAAATATATATATATAAAAAAACCAAACATTGTAGCAATAAAATATCACATAGACTATTTTTCAGAAGATAGTTCAATCTGTAATTGTATCCCTTCCATCAGTAACAATGAGTTTTTTTGGCACCTGCATTAAGCAGGGAACGCAAATATTTATTGGATAATTAATTTGAAGACCGTAATATTGCATCCTATTGTTTTTAATTGCATTTGGATAAGCGTGCACTGTACTCTGTGTGCGGGTGTTATTCGATCTTTTAAACAGCAGGAGGCGCTGTGTTCGAAAATGAGGGGTCTGAGAATGCGGGACTCTCGGTGGGGGACTGTAGATGCAGGCTCCGAGTCTGCAGCTTCATAATATTGGCAACTTTTCTTGAGAACAACAACGGAACAAAAAGCTTAAAATGGTCAGCACGCCATTCTGCTACACTGGTAATTATTATTTATACGTGGAAGTTACTAGCCTGGCTGCGCCCGCCTACGCACTTCCGCTCAATTTCATTTTCCTTCAGTACTGCGTCTGGGACCGCTCCATATCCTTAGGTTTCCAGAAATCAATTTTTTGTAGGACCAATCAGCGAATAGAGGGAGTGGCTGAGAACGATGACGTTGATGTAGTGCGTCAGTTTGAGTGCAGTAATGGCAGCGGAGAAAGACGTGAGAAAAGCTATTCGGTCCGTTGTTGGAAAAGAAACTGCCGAATATACAGAATTTAAAGCCGGATTGTTGTCGTCTCACCTCTTGTTGCACAACGGAGGACCAAGTGAAGGAGGCAGAAAGGTTGGAAGTTTGTGCTGGACAGCTCGTGCACAATGACCGTGACATTTTGGACTTTAGCCTGGTGTTCGCGGTGTTCGGAAGCCCCGAGTCCTGGCTGCTAAACTATTGTTGAAGATCCGCTCAGGAGTTATGTCAGTCGCTCAGATTCCCAACAGTAAATTTACTGATTCTTGTGATGAATAGAACATTTTGAGCCCCTTTGTGCACTCGTAAAAGAGGTTGGTGTGTCAGTTTTACATGTTGTAAATCATACAAATTGGTTGTGATTTAAAAAAAAAAATTGTCATAAATAAAAATTTGAAAACCCATACTTTGGAGACTATATTTGATTTTCAGTTTTAGATAATTTTTATTTTTTTTTTATTTTCAATAGTTAATTTGTTTTAATAAAAAAAAACTAAATGCCATATAAAAATGTACAAACACATACTTTGAAGACCATAATTAAGGTAATTAAGAAACAAAAATACGTAATATGAAAAATTGTTGTTTATTACACATCTGCAGACAGACTGATCATTCACTGTAACTTACAGCATTGACTGAAAAATCACTGTCCTTCATGTCAAATATACATTTCGAATTAATAATTGTTCCTAGATTAACAAAACCTGCAGCTCTCGTTGACTGAAATCCTATTGTAAATTTAATCCTCTGATCATTCGGAGTTCGGACTTGTTTCTTTTTACTGTCTATGGTTGTATCCAGCCGTTTCGGCGCATGACATACGTCACTCACGACCACACATTAGCGATTGGCTATGGCAGATCGTGAGTGACTCTGGGCAGATCCAATAGATTTGAACTTTAATAGTGAACCCGCCTACAAGGAAGGAAACGTTTCTCAATTGAGGGAGGCCAGACTCTCTGTACAAATGAAATGTATGTACGAGAGTCTGGTAGAATCAGGTTAGGAAGTGACTGTAATCAAATCACAATTTCAATATGATTAATTATCGGCACTACTTTGGAAATTCTCTCATTCAGTGTAAAGTTTGGTGGCTCTTAGAAGAGCCGTTGTGGATTGAATCAGACGCCGGTTTAAGCGCGCTCTCCGCGGATGCGGCGGGCCAGCTGAATATCTTTGGGCATGATGGTGACCCTCTTAGCGTGGATGGCGCACAGGTTGGTGTCCTCGAACAGACCGACCAAGTAAGCCTCGCTAGACTCCTGCAGGGCCATGACAGCGGAGCTCTGGAAGCGCAGGTCAGTCTTGAAATCCTGAGCGATTTCTCTCACCAGCCGCTGGAAGGGCAGTTTGCGGATCAGTAGTTCGGTGGACTTCTGATAACGGCGGATCTCCCGCAGAGCTACGGTCCCGGGCCGGTAGCGGTGAGGCTTCTTGACGCCGCCGGTGGCCGGAGCGCTCTTACGGGCGGCTTTAGTAGCGAGCTGCTTCCTCGGGGCTTTACCACCGGTGGATTTACGAGCGGTCTGCTTTGTTCTCGCCATTGCTGCTGTCTTCTTCTCTCTGTCCTGCTTGTGCTGGATATGTTACTCAGTGTTACACGCCCGAATATAAAGCATTGTGGCGCCACGAGCTCATTGTGTCGCGATGATGCAGGCCTTGTGATTGGTTAGTATGTGACGTCTGCGCATGAGTGCCAGCCAATGGCTGCGCGTTTCCTCTTTTCAAGCGGAGGATTTCCCGCTCGAGCTGTTTTGTTCCGTTACTTTGGGCGCCTTTATTCTCTCAACATTGGATTTATTTGTATTTAAGGTCCAGTGGTTGTGCAGATCACATCAGACTGTTTTAAATCACTGCAGCGAGATCAAATTCTGTTTCCCTGAAGCCGATATGTAAATTACCCTTTATTTTAGATGGTAATTTATTAAAATATTCAATATATCATCATCAAAGCATGGCAAACTATATTTTAATATTAGAGGAAATGGATTAGGTGGTAATCACACATTAGGTGATCATCATGTGCTTCTAACGTGCACAACGTCAACTGTAACATTCATCGTGGAGGTAGACACTAGTCGTTAGGTGGGTTATTTTCCTCTTTGACCAAAAGTGTTTATAGTGTTTGTAGATATTAACTGAGAAAAGTGCTCGTTGACAGATAAAATAGGTGGCTCTTAAAAGAGCCTTTGTTTCAGTAATCGAGTGCTCCGTTTACTTAGTTTTGGCGGGTTTCTCGGTCTTCTTGGGCAACAGCACGGCCTGGATGTTGGGCAGCACGCCGCCCTGAGCGATGGTCACTCGGCCCAGAAGTTTGTTGAGCTCCTCGTCATTACGCACCGCCAGCTGCAGGTGACGGGGGATGATGCGGGTCTTCTTGTTGTCCCGAGCGGCGTTTCCGGCCAGCTCCAGGATCTCAGCGGTGAGGTACTCGAGCACCGCCGCCAGATAAACGGGAGCTCCAGCACCGACGCGCTCGGCGTAGTTTCCTTTGCGGAGGAGCCTGTGGACACGGCCGACGGGGAACTGCAGTCCCGCCCTAGAGGAGCGAGTCTTAGCCTTTGCTCGGGCTTTACCGCCGGTTTTGCCTCTTCCACTCATTTTCAACTTAGTTAGTACAGTAAAAACTAACGTTGGTAGTGAGTTCTCCACATACTGTTTTTAAAAGAGAGTGCCAGTCGCCCATTGGTTTAGAGTCTGTAAATATTCAAACCAATCACTGAACTTCCTCCCGAAAGCCCAACCCCTGGCGTGGATTGTTATGCACACGTATTAATGACCTTAAAAAATTATATTGTACGCTGTTTCTTCCAAAAGTGCTGCACTTTTCATACTGCAAAGTATTATGTTCCTATTGTAGTAATAGTGGAGTCTAATCAGTTCCCATATTGTTAAATGTGGGTTGTTTGTATTGTCACAATTCTCCAACATTGTATTCTGTCTGTACTGTGGTGTACAACATCCTATTTACTGTAATCACTGTAAAGGGGCAGATATTAAGTTTATCTTCTTTCTGCTCCTTTTCATTTCTGTTTTTTTTTTCAAAAGAATGAAATAAAATATATGAATGAATGAATCTGTCTGAACTCTCAGATTTTTTTTTTTTTTTTGCTTTTTACAATACGTCTTATATATAAATAATGGATAACATAACGTTGATGTCTTCTTCAAGACGTTTTGAGTTGTTTGTTCAGAATTAATGAGTCCAAGAGTTGCTTTCAAAAAGAACACATATCATTGATATAAACTAGTTTTGCTCTTATTCAGAGTTAGTGGGTGGCTCTTAAAAGAGCCGTTGATGAACAAACACTGGACTTTATTTCTTTTTGGGCGCTGCCTTTTTAGGCTTGGCGGCTTTGGGTTTTGCAGCTTTAGGTTTAGCAGCCTTTGCCTTTTTAGGGCTCTTGGCTGCTTTCTTAGCGACTGCTGGCTTCTTTGCCTTCTTGGGGCTCTTCGTCGCCTTCTTAGCGGCCTTGGCGGCGGGCTTCTTGGCCTTCTTGGGCGATTTCTTGGCGGCGGGCTTCTTTGCCGCTGCGCTCTTGGGCTTCTTGGCAGCGACGGGTTTCTTGGCCGCGGGCTTCTTCGCTTTAGGAGCCGCTTTCTTGACCGGTTTCTTCTTGGTCTCGGCTTGCTGCTTGTTGAGCTTGAATGAGCCCGAAGCGCCGGTTCCTTTGACCTGCTTCAGAGTGCCTTTAGTCACCAGGCTCTTGATGGCGATCTTGACGCGGGAGTTGTTCTTCTCCACGTCGTATCCGCCGGCAGCGAGCGCTTTCTTCAGCGCGGCGAGGGACACGCCGCTCCTCTCCTTGGATGCGGACACCGCTTTGACGATGAGCTCGCCGACGCCTGGACCTGCTTTCTTGGCTTTCGCAGCGGACTTCTTCTTGGGCGCTTTGGCCGGGGCGGCAGCAGCGGGTGCGGGAGCGGTTTCTGCCATTTCTCTCTTTCTGGATCAACAGTCTTTCAAACTCTTGTCTCAAGTTTCAGCAATGAATAGGGCTCTCGCGTTGCTGCGCTCTTAAACAACGCATGAGAACCTTATAGACTCAACCTTCCCGCTCGGCATCTGAGCGCGTCAACGAGCCCTTCTCTCTTGTGTTTTCTTCTCGTACATTTGGTTAAAAAGTGGAGTGGTAAAATACTTTGGTTCAGCCAAAATAAATTGAACACCAAGCAGAGGTTCTGAGCTTTCACCGGAGACTAAAATACCCAATGATGAAATATTTATTTTGCCTTTGTCAGATCAAATCCATGGCGAGCATCAGCCACGAGGAAAAGCAGCGTGTAAATATGATAGATATTTTAAGTGGAAAGGTTGGTAAAAGCCTGGCCCCGTCATCTGTGTGTTCAGAAAACAGTCTGAAATAGATTTTTATGAAATCAGCATCAGCGAGGGGTGTGAGGAGGCTTTCATACAGATATTTTTGGGGCAGCTTGAAGCACACGAACATCATCAGTCTCTCTGTGAATCTCATGTCTGACCAGCAGATGATCTGTCCTTAAAATAATTATAATTTGTATAAATATTAATAATATAATCCTTTCCATAAGATGATGTACGTCATATCAGCTAAATAGAAAATGTAAATCGTCATATTTGTTTATCCTTATTCGTCATTTAATGTGAATGAGGATCGTGTAAAGCTCATCTGAATGAGCCGCTCATTTAAAGCAAGGCAGAGCAAGTGACTCAAAAAAAAAAAAAAAACCTGCTTTCCCCCAGTTTCATATTTCCCTTGTTCTGTTGCTTGTACTTTTCTGGACAATGTTTGAAACTTTGGATTGCAAGCATTCCTTATGCCATTGTCTCCATAAGATGATTCGCTTGTATTTCTCCTGGTCGCTTTGGATAAAATCATCTGCTAAGTTAATGTGACAAAGAACAGGTCAAATACAAGTTTGATATATTTTGATTTACCACCACTGAATGCAAATTTGTAAAATAGTCATATAATCTGCACTATATGTTTGATACATTTGCACAGATTTCAGGGTTTGGGTCAGACTAGTATTAAGTTCAGCTGTAACCCAAACCATATCAAGATAATGAAGGTGCAGAAGTTGAAGACTTTACCTCAGAGCCTCCGTTAACTGAATGAATTGAGAATCTCACCTGAAAAATCCAATAACATCAGCAATTGTCATTCAAGCAGCTGATTTCTGTAAATGAATGCAAAACTAAATGTATATTGCAGCATAGGGCGAAATCAGGATCCATCAGCACCGATTTGAGACAAAAATGTGTAAATGGCGCTCTGTGGCGCAGCAGGGTTTTGAACACGGCCCTGAGCCATTGCTGGGCGCCGCCGGTGTGTGTACACTCATAGAGAATAATGTGTTCGAATTTTAAAGACGTGGCGACAATAACTGTGTTAGCGTAGCCTAGTAGCCTAGCTGTATCATTTCTTCCATACTGCCCTCTGTTACCGGTAGGCGTGGCTTCGGGGTGGCCTCTTAGGGCAGCGAAGCAAGTGTATTCTGGGAGTTGTTGTCTTTCATCCACATGGGCCAAAAATACATTTTCTGTCTTTTCTCAGTCTAGAAGGCACCAACTTGTAAAATAATTTCACATTTTTACTACATAAATTACCCAGTTTAACCCTCTGGGCACTAAGCCCTTTTTGGTCTGTTTTCCCTATTTTTACATTTGGGCTTATAAACTATATGTAATGGAGATATAATGGAGGTATCTATGGATTCAGAAGACCCTAAGCTAACATATGCATGCATGTAATGTGTTTATAAAGGAAGTATGAGTGAAAAATGGACAGTCGATTTTTGTCATTTATTTCCGAAAATCACAGTTTTTGAACTATATATAGATATATATAAATATTTCTTCATCTACAATTTTTCTATTGGTTGTTGCTTGTGAATCTGCCAAACAACATCGATTTCTTTGGCCAACTAAATAAATAAATGTATAAATAAATAAATTTGTGAATTTACATTTACATCACACGTAAATGTGTGAAAATACAATTATACATAATTATGGAAATAAAAGTAAAAATACTCATTTATTTGTACTTTTTTACATTTCTTTGTATATTTATGTATGTATTTATGTATTTTTGCTTTTTTACATTTCTTCGTATATTTATTTATGTATTTATTTATTTTTAATGAAGTCAGCTTTGGCATTCCATATAAACCACACTCACTGATGTATAAATAAAGTACCTGTTCCTGTTTGTTATGCTCAAGCCTGCAAAGACCTCTCCACTCTTTGAGTACAGTTCTGCGTGTTGGAGTGCCCTGTTCAATGGCATGTGCATTTTGCTAAGGGATTTAGGAATATTAGTTTGTACAGCCAGAGGTATATATCTCATTGCCAGGATCTAAAGCTAGAACGGCATTCCTTACTGGTTCTTTCTCATTCTTCTCGGAAAGGTGTAGCATATTGTACAGTGCTGCACATATAACAAGAGGTGGAATTTTAGCAGGGGGAAGGTCACCACACCCATCTGCGGCTCTCTTTCTCTGGGCCTTATCCAAATCGAACCAGTCCCTCCTTTTCCAAACCAACCCAAGCTGTGAGAGGTGGTTCAAGGAATGATGTACAGTATCTAACATAGAAAAAAGGTTTTAGGGAGATAAAGTCTATCATTCACAAGCACAGTAGCCTAGTATGCATGCAAAGTAACTAAGTAATAAGTAGACGCAGTACAACAGTAACGTGTCATTCATTCTCCATGTAGTCTTTATCTCATATCATTTCAAATCAAATCACGTGCAGATGAACACGTTCTCGTCACCTATTGGCGAACGTGTAAGCACGTTTATGTTATGATTACACGATTGACATGAAACATAACATCAGCGAATCATCAGTCTAAATGCACGTCACCTGTCTCTATGACAGGAGAATTTATGATGTCACTAAAGTAAACCCAGCTGGACGCATAACTTGCAAGTCGTCTGATTTGTCTACCCACGTGATGCCACATGTAAACATATATGGTAGCCTAAATAAAAAAGGAAAGAAATGTATAGCTTTAAAAAAATATCTGTGTACCTACACAGAGGTAGCCTAATTACAGAAACGTACACTCTAAAAATGCTGGGTTGTTTCAACCCAATTTTGGGTCAAATATGGACAAACCCAATTGTTGGATTAAAAAAATGCACATACATTTAACCCAACAGCTGAGTTTATTCATATTTGACTCAACATTGGGTTAAAACAACCCAGCATTTTTTTTAGAGTGACACCATAATTTCGGTTTACTTATGAAGTTCTTTGCAGGTTGTATATCTGTTTGTATCTGCTTTGTGAAAACAGTTTCCTATATTAACTGCATAGTTTCATGTATTGTAGATCAGATGACTTCACGGAAAGCAGAAAGTGTCCGACTCCACGCCTCTCAATTACGGATCAGGGAATCTTTAAAACGCCTCAAATATCTTCAGGACAATTGACGAATGGCGTTTTCCTTGTCAACTAAAGAGCAAAACGCGCTGTTGGGGGTGATTTTCTCGCCTACAGGCAAAGTCTGATTCACTTGAGTTCACAGAGTGTTTTACTCTTTAAGCTATTCACATTTTTGGTGCTGTTTCTCATTCTGTGCATGCAATTGGTGAATATAACGATGAGAAAACACAGCACATTTACTGAACTCTTAAAAACGAAATTACTAATTCTAAATGTTTCATTTGTCAGTTTGTCTTCAGTAGCTAATTCATGTTTTGTCACAATAATAAATCTAATATCCAAAGCTACATTTCTTTACAGATCGCACATGCTTTTTGTGTTTTAGAGATATTTAAGTTTTCTGAGTGTTTCCATTCCTCAACAGCTAAGAACTTGTTAAAATTCCAATTATTCATACATGCATAGTTAAAATGATGCTGAATGCTTCATGCTACTGCAATTTTATTTGTAATCATAGATTTTAACATTGTGATTCACCTTGTTTGATTGGTGGTTTAAAGACTTTTAAAAAGAAATTGGGGTGCTGCTCAATCCTGCTCAGTGTTCAACACTTGCCTGGAATTTCTACACAGCAAAGGCCCTAGTTAATTTAACACTGTAACACTTCAGCAGTCTTGTTTATGTGATAATTAAATAATTAAGATAATCAAACACACAGTTAAAGCAGGCCATTTTTTACACAAAGCCAAGGGTAAAGAGCCCAACTACATAAACACTGATCATCATAAACTGGTGACTCTTTCCTTGATTCTGCTTTTCAACAGCAGGTGTATTGACTATGGGTCGCTTAATTATATCATTAACTTTAACACTGGTTCTGTGTTCTTTTTTAAACACTCTTGATTATGTACTCAAAATCTGAGTTAATTTAACACTGTTTTTTCTTTTGCTGCGTAGTGAATAGCTGGACCCTCCATGAGCAGGTTTGGGAAGATGTAGGTAAAATATTTCTAAAATCAAGGGCACTGTCATTGGTTTAAGTGGCAGTGGGTGGAATATACAAGAAATGTACAGTTTTCTACCATCTTGCTAATACGTTTCTTTAGCCATTCAGAAGTCTTGCAGCCTGAACCCCTGCAGAAAATCCACCCTTACATTTATACAGCATTACGTGCAAACTTTCATTTTACTGGAACATTCTGTGCATAGTTTCTCTGTCCCATCCAACCACATTCCCAAGCTCAACGCTTGTTCTACTTTATAAAATGAAGATTATCGAAATATTATTTTTTCCACATAGTGCTTGTTTGCACTGGAAAAGATTAAGAGTTATATAAATTCAATACTAATTAATAATAGCTTAGCATGTTAAAATTAACATGTTGCTCTCTGCTTCTGTATTTGGATTTGCATTCACCATGAGATTCCATATAGTTTCCCATGTATATATGATGAGTCGATCTATTTGACATCCGTGAGTCTCTCTCACATTTGCTGCAGTCTCGATCATGATCGAGTTATGGCATTGAGATGTAACATGATTTATATTATTGTGTGGTCCAGTAGACGGACGCCGATGCTACTAGTACTATTAAAGTATATAAATCAGTATGCTGAGTTAAATCATAATCAGTTCAGTATTTTAGACAACTTTGTTGTGAAATGAACAAGTTACAGTAAGTCACACCCTGCAGGGAAAAAAACTGTTTCTTAGGTATGTTACCAGGAAGATACAGTATATAAAGCCCTCAGTTGGAAGGAAGCGGCAGTGTGTATCGTCTCTCTGTCTGTGTGTTCATATACAGTGAAATGGCAGAAGCTAGTTTCTCATGGGCTAAGGACCAGTTAAGTTGTTCAGTGTGTCTGGATCTCATGAAGGATCCAGTGACGATTCCCTGTGGACACAGTTACTGTATGAAGTGTATCTCAAACCACTGGGATCAGGAGAGAATCTACAGATGTCCTCAGTGCAGAAAATCCTTCCCAGCAAGACCAGTTTTAGGTAAGAATGTGGTGATAGCTGAATTGATGGTGAAACTCAAGCCGACGAGTCTCCGATCTGCCCCTGTTCCTCCTCACACTGGATCTGGAGATGTGCAGTGCGACTCCTGCACCGGAAATAAACAGAAAGCAGTGAAGTCGTGTCTGGAGTGTCGAAGCTCTTACTGTCAAATTCACCTTGAACAGCATGAGAGTCTCTTCAGAAGTAAAGGACACGATCTGATGGACGCCACTGGACGACTGCAGGAGATGATCTGCCCTCGACATGGTCAACTGCTGGAGATTTACTGCCGCACCGACCAGCGGTGTATCTGTTTGCTGTGTTCGGTGGATGAACACAGCGATCATGACACTGTATCAACTGCAGCAGCGAGGAAAGAGAAACAGGTACTGCTTCATACTGGATCTCATGAGTGATCAAACCCCAAACATTTGAATGGAAATGTAGATGAAATTTAAATCTGTTTTCTGCAGAGACATTTTGAAGAAACGCAGGGAAACATCCAGACGAGAATCCAGGAGAGAGAGAAAGATCTCCAGGCGCTGATGGAGGCTGTGGCGTCTCATAAGGTGAGTTTGGAGAAGAAGACAAGCTTGAGTCTCAGTTTGGACTTTCCTCCAGTGCTGGAGCTCTTCTGGTCCCACTAAAGCCAGTGTGTGTGTGTGTGTGTAACAGCGCTCTGCACAGACGGCAGTGGAGGACAGTGAGAAGATCTTCACTGAGCTCATCCGCTCCATTGAGAGAATTCGCTCTGAGATAACGCAGCTGATCAGAGATCAGGAACAATCTGCAGTGAGTCAAACTGAAGAACGACTGGAGCGAGTGAAGCAGGAGATCGATGATCTGAGGAGGATTAACACTGAGCTGGAGGATCTTTCTCACACACACGATCATGTTCATTTCCTCCAGGTAACACAGATCTTCTCAAACACTGAGGACTTTAACAACCTTCTGGAATTACAGTCAGTTTGTGTTATTGTCTTTGTGTCTGTAGAGTTTGTCATCAGTCTCTCTCTCTGGATCTACAGACGGCTTCACTGTCAGTTCTCGTCTGTCTTTTGATGATGTAGTGAAATCTGTCTCTCAACTCAGAGACAAACTGCAGCAGTTTTGCAGTGAGGAGACACAAAACATATCTGGAACAGGTACTTTTGTAGGTTTTAGCAGGTTTTGCATAGTCATGCTAAATTCTTAATATGTCTGTCTGAGTAAAATATTTTGCTTGTAAATCTTTAAGAAATGGTTCTATTTAGAACCAGAAATGGTTCCATCCCCCGCTTCATATATGGAACTCCAAAATGGCTCTATATAGAACCTTTTTTTTTCAGTAAAAGTTTCTATTGGCCAAGTATGGATACACTCTTAAAAAGGGTTCTAGAGGAACCCAGAGGAACCCTCTTTTAAGAGTGTATAGAACCTTTTAGGGGTTCCAAATACGTAGCGCTGATAGAACCTTTTAAGGTTCTATATAGAACCTTTTCTTCTAAGAGTGCACACGTCACCTCTCTCTCTGGAGTGTGGAGACATCAAATTTACCAATTAACAAGTATATCTGCTGGACGATGCCAATCAGATTATCCAAATCTGTTTGTCCAGTTTTGCTAAAATGTGTTTACATGGCATTTTATAAAGACAAATTATTGCGATAGCTCAATTGAAATCGAACATTTAATGTACTTGTAAACGTACAGTAATTTATGCTCAGAAATTAGTATAATTAAATATATACTGTAGGTGGATGTATATTTAATTTCCTCTTGATGTGATAATTAAACTGCAGATGTGTTTTGGTGTCCATAGTGAAAACCGTCCAGGTCATTCAGTCTCCTGGATATCAGACCAGAGAGGAGTTTCTACAACGTGAGTTACTATGAAAACACACACACAAGTCTAAAATCCATTAGAGTTAGAGATTGTTATGCTTAAAGTCCCCGTGAACCGGAAGTTGCAAACGATTTTTCTCCAGTGCTGTGACGTATTTTCAAGTGAAACGGAATATTGAACAGAGGGCAGGGTTTTACTCTAGCGCTCCTCCTCTCCATCTCTCGCTCATAGCGTAAGCTAAATTATGCAATACGAGAAAACCTCTCGTAATAGAACTTTTCAAAACAAGATCACAATTAATTGTGAGTTTTTTCTCTCCATCAGATTCCCGTCTGTTCACTCTGGATCTGAACTCAGTGAATCATTGGCTCCGTCTGTCTGAGGGAAACACAAGGATCACTGTCGCTGACAGATGTCTGCCGTATCCCGATCATCCAGACAGATTTGAACGTTGGTGTAAGGCGATGTGTAGAGAGAGAATGACTGGACGCTGTTACTGGGAGGTGGTGTGGGCTGGAGATAGGAGATTTGGAGTGGATATATCAGTGACGTATAAGAGCATCAGCAGGAAGGGAAATGGTCCTGAAAGTATTTCTGGACGAAACAATCAGTCCTGGAGTTTGTTCTGCTCTCCAAACTACTGTTCATTCTGGCACAATAACATTGAGACGGTTCTTCCTGTAGTCAATGTCTCCAGTAGAATAGGAGTGTATGTGGATCACAGCGCAGGGATTTTGTCCTTCTACAGCGTCTCGGACACGATGAGTCTCATCCACAGAGTCCAGGCCACATTCACTCAGCCGATCTACGCCATGTTTGGATTAGATAGTAACTCAGCGGTGAAACTGTGTCGTCTGACCAATTAAATCATACATAGATTCTATATTATTTTGTCATGTCCATTACTGAACTTTAAATAATCACAGATATATTAAGAGTAAAACTTCTCAGATGAGTATAATAATGGCTGAATTGAGAATTGGTCATGAAAAATGTTACATGTATTTCTTTGAAACTCTTGTTTGTCTGTCAGAAGTAGCTTTAAAAATATTTTGACAACAATTTGACAACATTGGGATTTCTCATTGAAATACTTTAAAAAAAAAAATCAGACCTTGCAGATTTAAAAATCCTGCATTCCCAGACAGAGAGAAACACAGGCATGTAAGAATAAGGCTACATGAGAGGAGGTCATTCTAGATTTCCCTGTTCCCCATTTCTCTATCTCACCCCATCATACACTCTAAAAATTGCTATGTTGGCTTTATGTTAACAGTTGCGGCTTTAATTATCCTTTTATGTCAACAGATTTATGTAACATTATTTATTTCAATTAACGTAAAGGTGCCACCTGTAAAAATTGAGGTTAAAATATTCCAAAAATGAGCTACACGCATCAAAAGAATGAGAAGAAATAAGGTTGATGATGTCATTAAAAAAATGACAAGTTATAGTGCTGCCGAGATATAACCTAAATTAGCATGCTAAATTACTAGCCCCGGCCCGGCAGGTGTCGTAATACCAGTTTCGGCCATGGGAGGCGGTATGCGGGCGGGCAACATTACCACCAGCCAAACTGCAGTACACGAGTGAGTCGTCGCGCTCTCGTCGGCTTGTGTGTACTTGAACCTGATGTCATGTCGTGTGGAAAGTACAGCCCACTACTACATTTCAGTAAAAAAAAAAAAAAAAAAAACTACTACATTTCAGTTCAGGGATGAGTTAAAAAAATGATTGGTTGATATTATGCATGAGGAATACATTTTGGTAAGTTGTAACATACTGTATCTTTCAACAGTGTTCGTGTTCTTTTACCATTTAATGAGAACATTAAATTAAATCTTAAATAAATTAAATTAAAATACCATTTAAAAGAACCATTAACTAGCAGCTAGTAGAGATGATCGGTTCACGTGCGCTAGGGATCTGTCGTGTAAAGCGCCAAAACTGTATTTATTGTTTGAATTGCGTAATAAAATTAACATAATCTGAGAGCTGACATCGGTCTCCGTGTCCTTTTCTGTGCATGACAAAACTGATGTGTGGCGTGAGAGTGTGTGAAAAGTTGTGAGAGTTGGCAGCTCTGAAAGGCGCTAGCTTGGTCCACATCAGGGAATGCTGTCTGTCACATTAATTAAAACTAATGATACAAATGTAATATGAACAAAACGAATATCATAAAACTAGAAATAATAGCCTGGGGTTTAATTTTCCCATATCGTCGAAATGCACCAACTTGTCTATGAGACGGCCTTTATAATTTAGTATTGAGATGTTGTTCATTTAGTCTCTAATCTGTAAAAATCTTCAAATGCTCCACGTGAAACTGCGGTCTTCCAACCTTTTACTATCGTGTCAATTGATTTGATTAATTGATTAATATCCACAACGAGGGAGACAGAGCAACACAGCGCTCGGCCGTATGGGCTCTATGCACGGCGGTATTTCCGGTGAAGCATTAGGGATGCTCGATAACTTCCGCCGATCGTAGAGTCCAATGCAATACCGAGAATTTATATTGAATTTTATACTCTATGGTTATACTAAAGAAACGTTAGTCACAAAAACAGATAAAACAGACACCCCTCGTTGCGTTTATGCTTCTTTTTAAAATTATATTAAATAAATATAACTATATATAAAATTACATCTAAACGTATGTACGTTTCATTTCAAAGACTGGAGGACAGTAAATTTTGAAGACTCTGCCATAATCCCGTTTTCCTCGGTTTTCCTCCGCTTTAATCTCCACAACCGGAAATGGACGAGCATCCTTGCGTCAAATGAGATTGCGCGTGGCCGTGGAGGTATTTCTGGAGGTATACTGCCCCCATCTGGTATGGAATATGTTGTAGCACTCCCGGTTCCCTCGCTCTAAAGTCTATGGGATTTTTGAATGGGTTTTTGCTAAATCGCCTGAAATAAGGTCTGTGGTTAGCAAAGCCTCTAAATATTTTCACGTTTTGATCTATGACATAAAACACACATTTATAACCTGCTTGTGTTTTTTTAAAACTTTATTGTGTCTGATTGTGTTTTTTAAAAACTTTATATGGCTTCAGAATGTATACATTTTGGATTAACTTATTAAACTTATTAATTTTGGATTAACTTAGTAAATATTATCTTGATAGAAAAAACGTGTAAGGGTCACAACTCTTTGTCAAACACAAATCTTATTTTTTTGCGATTTTCCAAAAGTCTATGGCGAAAATTCATTGCTTTTCGATCGAGGGAACCCATGCGCCGCTAGCTTCCGAGTTGTCCTACAAAGTGACGTCATCACTTCAGCACTCTATTGCCGTGCATTTTATACTGCCCGCGAATCAGTATTTGCATACTTCGTGACAATAGGTTAGCTGTTCCAACTGGCGTTATAAGATTTCAACAAAAAAAGTGGACAAACTGATTGCCAAAGTTCCCGCAGCGTTGCTATGCAATGTCTCGTTCCCCCCTCTCAGGGAACTGAGGTTACGATAGTAACCAGAGACATTTTCACTGTGTTCAGTTTCTGGTTGACTGTTTTTTTTTCTAACCCAGTTCTCATCACATTCTCCTGTGCACTATTAATTAACTAGTTCCTAGGTTTGTCCTATATATTAGCCCTGAAATCTCCTTTGTTCTGTGTCCTGTATTGTTTAACATTTATAGAAGAGTGGATGTGGTTCTCTGTTTTATTGATATTGATTTTTTATTTTTTTATTGAGTTACGACCTTGGATCCGTATAGCGCCGGCACTAGGCCATTCGGCTGATATAAATAAGCTCTGCAATCATTTTTAGGGGAAAAAAAGCTAGAATGCAATTTTTAGCTCAATGCACCATTGTGTCTATAGGGTATATGATTCTTTGTCTATCATAGTTTGGATGCAACCATGGAGTTTCATTCCATACTTGATATACAGCTAAATATAGTCGCCTCTATAAGCAAATTCTGCATTATGCTTGCCAAATACATATGATGAATATGTCATAAGACCTGCACAAAACATGCATTTAAGTACAGTCTTAATTAAAAAGAAAGCACAAAAGCATGTAAAACTCTGAGATAACCTCTCTAGTATGAACCCTATCAGAGGCGTGCTAAACACACACTGCCTCCGGCGAACAGCAGCTTTGCTGATTTCTCGTGCATGTAAGATGGTTCTGTCATTTTCTCCCTTTTTTGTCTTAAGGCATTTGATTAAACACTAGAATTCCCAGGGGTACAATGAAATGTTTTGATATTTTAATCATCATCATCATGAAGATCAAGTGTATTGTTTGTTCATCACCTGACATCTTGAGAGGACCCAGAAGTCAAGCCCTGCTTTCTTATATGGAGCACAAAAAGCTGCTTAACATAATAATATTAAAAATGAAAGCATTTGACTAGAGAGCATTTGATATACGCCAAAAAAGATGTCATTAATACTCAGCTCTGTTTTCCTGAGATAAAAGATTGTGTTTTAAATCCATATACGTTTTTTTTTTCTTCAGGAGTAGGATTAGCTCACAGCTAGGACTAAAAGCCACAATAAAAGCCACCACTGGATGTTTAATATACAAACATATCTATATTTTATATTATTATACGAGTACATATGACATCAATCAACCAAAATAAACAAGGACATTGTGATTGTGCATAATTATTAAAATTAAAATAATATCTGTAATAAATCACCTGCTTCTTCGAAATATCAAACTGTATGTAACACAAGCACATTCTTGTTGTAATATATTGGGCAGCACATCTACAGATATTTTATTTAAACGCAATTCTAGACAAAACTAAACTGCCAAATAAAGAAGATGTTTTGTGATTTAAATATTTGCTGCACGTGAGCGGTGTGCGGCTGATTGATGGCGTCACTGATTGCACGTCACCGCCTCAACGGCGCGAACACTCCTCAACAACAGGTGCAGGCGAGGTAAGAGTCGCTCTCCTACTTTATGCGTAACGTTAAATGGGAATATGTTTTACATCACAGTTATAAACACGATATTTCACGCTTTTAACCTACATTCGAGACAAAATGTGTGTCGTTATAAACCTGCAGCAAACTAACAGCAACTTTAAGTGAAAACTGTAACGTTACTGTCCCTCGGCCGACAGACTTTCAGATTAACGTTAACGTTACATCTTCAACAGTTATTTTATGATTGTATGTTGCTTTCAGACTTAACTGCGCACGTGATGTTGTAATCAATGCGGACTTTCTGCAGTTTTAGATGAAAAACGATTAATTATTATACAACAGTTATGCGATTGGTCGAACCACACTGTTCGGTTGAGTTTTTCTGCGGCTAAACTTGACATTCATAAGGTTACTTCGACAAAAATGGCATTTCTGTCATTATTTACACACCCTCATGTCGTTCCAAACCTCAAATTAACACATTAAGATATTGTTTGATGAATTTGAGAGCTTTGACCCTCCATTAGACTGAAATGTTTTTACCACTTTTGAGGCCCAGAAAGGTATCTTAGCAAAGACATTGTTAAAATAGTCCATGTAACTCCAATGGTTCAACTTTAATGTTATGAAGTGATAAGAATACTTTTTGTGCCCCGAAAAAACAGACTTTATTCAACAATTTACATGTTAGTGTCTGGCGCTGTTCACATGATCACCACTACGCATGCGTGATGCCGAGCAGGATCGGCCGCGCCGGTGTGCTAGGCCGGAGACTGCGTGGCGTGTCCGTTTTTATTTCGGCTCCCATGTTAACAGATTAGAGCAGTGTTTCTCAAACTTTTTCGGCCATTCCCCACTTTGAAGGTTGGGAAGGTTTAGTGCCCCACCTGTCCCCTTGCAATTGCCCACCAAAAAATGTTAGTAAACTAGGCTTTAAGTTAAAATGTATTTTATCATACATGACAATAAAAATAACAATGCAATTGTGTTTGTATTTTGCCGCTGATAACATCAAATTCAGAAACTGAGAAAATAAAAGTGTGGACTAGTTTATTAGCTTTATTTTGTCACTTCGCAAACTGCATGGAAAAAGAACAAACAAAATTGAAAAAGAATAAAAAATAATCTCAGGGTTTTCCTGGCTCACAACGAAGTGGAGGTGGCAAAATCCTAATAATATTTGTATTTTAAGTATTTTTGTATTTTTCGAAAACTATCATAAAGCTACTGTGTTTCCCACATATTGTGTGTGGACCTCTGCATCCAGGGGGTCCGGGGGCATGCTCCCCCGGAAGAAAAGTTTGCACGTTTGAAAGTTAAATTCATAAATCTTGTGCACTTTGAAAGTTCAAAATTAATTGATTTAACTAATTTAGTGTCTAAAATGAGCCTGTTCTGTAGTAGGCTACACATATTTTCTGAGCCAGAGACGGAGAGCCCCCACCGCTTGACATCAAAACTATTCAGCTACATAATGTTTTCAAGCACATAACGTTTATTTTAGGTTTCAGACATTTAAATTCACATAAGTAAGTTACTAAAAAAGCAATTCATTAAAAGTTTGTCAAATACAGACTTATGTCTATGGAAGCGGAACTAATAATTATTCTCTATGTATTTTCCTCGACATTAATAGCTATAAGCGCATACATCCAGCAATCTCGCACGCACTTAGAGCTCATGGGAATTGCACGTATAAAATGAACAACCTCGATCCATCAGGAAACGCCACATTGGTCGCCGGATTTCAACTTGCTGCGTTTGATTAATATCCGCCAGGGAGAGAGAGAGAGAAAGCGCTTGTGTTCTTCGAAGGCTCTCTCTCTCTCTCTCTCTCTCTGCTCGTTATGTCAAGCGCAGCAGTCATTCTATTTCACATCACTCACCAATCAAAATAGGCTTTGGCGGGACAAAAATTTGCTTTGGCGGCTGCCAAAAAGCGGACGATCTGACGATTTTAGAAGATTGGCAACCCAAAACTAAAAAACAGACCCTTCCCAAACCTGCAGTCACACCAGGTGCGTAAAAGAGACAGGCGTCTATTTGGGAGTGGGACTCGGCTATTATTTGAAGTTTTATGGTATGTGGGTTGTGTGTGTACTTAAGAGGAACGAGTGCGTGCCGCCTTGCACTTCTGATAGTCTGAAGAGCCACTCGTATTGCTACTAGGGCTGGTTAATAAATATCGATTTCTCGATATGAATCGATTCTCATTTTTACGAACCGATATCGATTCTTAAATCTCAAGAATCGATTAGTCATCCTGTTTCATTTGAATAAATGGATCATTGTATCGCGGCTGCGCACATCCAAAAAAACGCAATAATCTTTGTCCTTTTTTACTATTGATCTGAAACAAAGTCTCGATTTTCAAATTACGTCCATTTTCTTTACAAATTCAAAAACATAAATAGTGTTTTGGCGCTGTGGCGTGAGATCGCTCTGGAGAAGCAGCAGCGCTGATCTCTCTTCTGGCTTAATAATATCAGTCACAGCGCGAAATAAACATGAATGAGCGTCTGAAAGTGTGTTAAAGATAGAGTACAATTTATCAAAATCCGTATCATGTCACATTGATTCGCTCAATCAGCGTTTCAACCGTGGAAAGACGTCAGTTAAACAGCTTGTAATCAATGTCATGTATCGTCATATTTACCTCAGAAAACCCACATAAACTCGTTATTCAGCTAGAAAAAATAACTCTAGAGAGGAGCATTTTGCTAAATATATACACCATATTACATAATATGCATTATAATCTTAATGTTATTCAATATTTAATGCATATTTGAATAAATCTGGCAAGTTTTTTTTATGACAGCCACCATTTAAATGTTTATATTTATATAATCTTCTTATTATAAAAAATAAAAAAGTGTAATTTAAGTGTTTGTATAGCTACAAAACAGTTCATTATTACCTTCATATTAGGCTAATGAAGTCTAGCAGACTACAACTAGACTCCCATGATAGTTTACAGCATTAGTTAAGAGATTCGATTTCCTTGAGAAAATTTGCCATTTATTATAACTGATATCCAAAATAATCAATAGTGAATCGAATCGAATTGTGAAATTTGTGTCAATACCCAGCCCTAGTTGCTACTACTATCCGGCGCCGCCATCTTTGTTTTGGGTCTGACGAATTGATGTGCATATTTTGCGTCAACGACGTATTTTTTGTGTCGACGTAATCGATGACGTCGACGCGTTGTCCCAGCCCTAGTTGAAAGTTTAGGTTTTGACCATAGAATGTAAAAAAATATGGACTTAGTATTCGTGACGTCACCCGTAGGTTTCTGAAGAGCGTTTTTGAAGCCTAAAGTGGGCAGAGCCGACCGTCGCCATCTTGGCAGGGCGTCACCTCTCATCACTACCGGATCAATTAAAATGGGCAAAGAGGCAGGATGCGGGTGGAGCTGAGGTGCTAATGCTATGCTACTGGCCTCACGCTGAAGAGACAGCTGATTGAAAAAGTAAAGCCAATGTTTAAAGTTCATGTTTTTGCCCTTCGAAATATTATAATAGTTAAGACGTAACTAAAAGTGAGACTATTTACTTCACTTTTTATCAACTTATTAATCTCACAAGGGGCAGTTAGTTAAGAGTATACAAGTACATAACACAGATCACACACATTTCTCACAACATACAAGCAGTCAACTATGTGTATTGTGATGCATTATTATTCTGCTAGTTAAAAATGTATTATCATGCAGACAGTTACTTACAATATTGCTCTAAGCTTGTGCATATTCGTCCATCATGTTAATTTGTTATCGATTATCATGAAACTAATACTGTTGCGTAGTGTGAGTGGAAAGTGAACGTGTTCCCCGGGCTGGTCATGTTAGCGCGGAGGTAACTGTGCATCCCGGCAACGTCAGTCCCCTCATCAGAACGTTGTTTTCAGCGGCTGGACTGATGCATTTGTTTACACTCGACGCGTCCACACGAGCGTGAAGGTGCGCGCGGCAAAAATGAGTATAAACACCTCGTCTGTTTGGGGAGGTGCGCGTGCGGTCTGCAGAGACTCGCGCTGAAGAGCCAGGCAAAAGTGTAAACAAGGCTTGACGGTCACCAAGCAGGTTGCGGTCGCGTCTGACCCCAGATCATGTCATCAACATGCTTATCTTTCTCAACAAAAATCAGTTGACTGGAGCAGAAGTTGTATGCGAGTTATTTTTGGCTTTAAGTAGGCTAGCCTAATTGATTGTTAGGTAGGCTAATCTCTCTCACCCTTTCTTGACTCCGTTCCTTGATTGAGTTACATTTTGACAAAACCTTTCAAATCTAAATGTTATTATGTTTTTGGTTAAGTTATTTTTATTATTATTTATTATTTTGGAACAAACGAGGGTCTCACGAGGGCCAACTCGCAGCTGCAGTTTCAGTTGCGTTACAGCACCGTTGCGCATATCTTCAAATTTACGCCCAGTTTAACTGCCACAAGTTGATCATCTTGTAATAAAGATCTAATCGAGGAAAAACACGCTGTATTTTTGTATTTTCATTGCATTTTTAATTTATAAAAAGTGAAATAAATAATAAATTTAAATATAAAAATATTAATGATTAATCGATAGTCGATCGTTAATTCTTCCGATGATCGACTAAGAAAATTTAATCGAATGCCTATCCCTAAACTCCACATTTCAGTACTTCACAGTTCACAGTCTTTCTAATATGTTTTAGCAATACATTTGTAACATTTATAATGTGTTCAGATTTTTTTTTTTTTTTGTAGAATTGCCTTTACAGGGACTTTAACCCTCTGAGGACCAAAAACGCATCCCCGTGTTTTGATCGTGTTTTTTTTTCTTTCACATAGCTGCAACATAGACTTAAAATACTCTGTCATTTATGGTCATATAATGAAATCAATACATGATTATAAACTATAGAGGGTCTTCTTTTTTTGTGTACACTCTTATTAATATCAAAACCTTGTGTTTTTGTAAAATAAATAAAATAAACAAGGTGCACTTTCAGCTCACTCTGTCTCCGCAAAAATCTTTCTGAAACGCGTCCAAAAAATAACCTGTAACTCATTAAATACTTGTCACAGAGACACGAAAGATCTCTCTTTATGAAGCTGAAATTCTCTTCTTTTAAATGAAGTAATTTATAAAAAAAAGCAACTATTCTCAGTTGATGAAAAGAGAGCGATGTCAGTCTTTTCCCTTTCACCTAATTATAGCTTATGACGTGTTAATGTGACCCCGCTCACTGATAAAAACATAGTTTATTACGTATCTAACCTCGTCCTAACCTTTCGTCTTGCTGCGCAGTGTGGAGGATCCTGTATAAAAGTACCTCAGTTACCAGTTTCATTTTGAGGAGCACGGATTCAGCTGATGCAGTAAGTCATTTATTCTTAAGTGCTTTGTTCTAATTGCGTTACTGAATAATGTCTGTAAACTGCACAAAGACTTTTGTTTAAATATCAAATGCGTGTCTGATAGGAAGGAATAGACGAATTCACAGACTGCGTTAATTCACTTTCGCCCCTACATAAGACTATATAGGCTATTCTATTCTGATCTGTTAAACCAAAAAGACTGTTTAAATATGAATCGGGTGTGTGAATGAACGTTCATTTAGTTAGACAGTTTCTGCTCATATTATTATTTTTCAAGATCTTTCAAACTCTAACTTTGAACCAATTCTACAAAATGGCCCATATAACCTATTTGACCAGGATTTGTTTCCAGGTATGACTAAAAATGGGTTTTGACTTTTATTTATACTTAAATTGTATATATATAGAGAGAGAGTTCAGATGCAAAAGCCTCCAAGTACCATTTAAAAAATTTTCTTCTAGAATGATCATTTTTAGAATGATAATTTTTATATAGTAATTTCACTTAAATGGCAATGAGACTACCTATTAATTGTCATTTAAGTGCATTAATTGTCCGACGTCCGAGAGGAGAAATCCGAGGAAAGGGGGCGTGTTGCTAGTCAACATCTGTCGTCCGATTCGGATCTCCGAGACGGATGAATAATAGAACGCACCAAGAGAATGAGAAGCGTGAGATCCTGTCAGCAGCGACAGATCTTAAAGTGACAGGGGGCATTAATTCTGTCTGTCAGTTAAGTTAACCTAAAGAACAGAGGGAACAGAAAATTACTATCTGCTCTTGACTAAAGAATGCTTGTAGCTTTGATAAGGATTCATCTATATTTCATTTATAATATATACAGGGTAGACTGTTTTATAACATTTTCTATATATATATATATATATATAATTGTAATAATCCAGTGAAATTTTTGAATGCACAAGGATTCTGACAACAGCCAATGCTTCACACGGAGGTCGGATCTCATCATCCCATCATCGAGTGCATCTGAAATTATATGAAGAAACAGAAAAAAACAGAGACTAAGACCAGAAGAACTGCGGCAACGTCTCGAAGGTAGTGCCTGCCTGCCTGCAAAGCTACAGTACTATGAAAAAGCACTTGTGTAAAAATGCTGTAAATGAGAATGTTTTCCAAAATAATGTCAATCATAAATAGATTTTATTTATCAATTCACTTTTATTAGTTAACTAAATCAAATCAATAGGTGTTTAGTACCCTTTACGTTTAAAACAGCTTTTGTCCAGGTATTGCGCATAGTTTTTAGTTTTGCAGGTTTTTTCTAGGGTCTTTGGAAACGCCGCAGTTCTTCTGGTCTTAGTCCAGAAGAATTTTTATATATTAGGGCTGTGCAAAAATTAATTGTGATTAATCGCATCCAAAATAAAAGGCTGTGTTTACATAATATATTTGTGTGTGCTGTATATAATTATTTTGTATATATAATACCTATGCATGCATGTATATATTTAAGAATTATTTGCACTTAAATTCTGTATATATATAAATACATAATCTATATTATATAAATATAAATATTTTATATATGAATAGCACATTTTCTTAAATATATATTATACATGCATGTGTGTGTATTTATATATACAATATATATATTTGTGTGTGTATGTGTGTATATATATATTATATGTAGGGATAATTATCGCAATATAATTTTTCAGCGAAGAATACAAATGTCAAGTTTAAACCAGTTTAAAGGCAGATTAAACACGAAAAGGAGAATCACTGCGTGCAACGATACAGTCAGAATCTGAATTGATACTGAATCCATTTAGCCTACCATGGATTTACTGTAAGGTTAGTAATATTAACTGCACCATGAAATGTGGGATATACATATTGAATTGTATGATATTATTATTGTAGACAATGTATTAAGTGACTAATGGAATATAAGTACAGTATTTAATAATGTATTTAACTGTTAGGCTACTGTTTTCATACAAATACCACAGAAACCATAAAGTTACATTTTGACATGACAGTGAGGAGCTAAGTTATAGGCTATACCTGGTTTTATCTGTGGTTATCATGATCTAAATGCATGATACTGGATGACCAATGGTTAATTTTTAATAAAACTCAGTCAGAATATTACATTTTACCAAATAAAAATGTGGTCGTTACATTTAAAAAACAAAAAACAGATGTAACTATTTTTGTTAATGAACATAAATGTAATATTAGCTTGAGTGAGGATGCAGATTTACTGTCAACTCACTGTCAAATGTGCATTTCAAGACAAAACATGTAATTTGAATATTGCAGCCTGCACTGCAAACTGTGCTCAAGAAATATTTTTCTTTTCAGATATTTATTTTAAGGAAAAATGTTTGAATGTTCTACCTCATATTTGTGAAATGTTCACCTGTTTGGCAAGTGTTTGTCATGATATGTTCTGACAATAAAGAGTAGTTTAAAACCACAAATAATGCTCTGGTTTATACAACTTTCACTTAGGAGCAAAAATCTGCCTTTAAACTTGAAAGAAATAAAGATTTGACATTTATCATGATAATTATCGATATCCACTGATATAAAAAAAATGATTGTGATAATTTTTTTGACCATTTCGCCCAGCCCTACTCTGAACTGACCACCAGATAATGAAGAATATCAAAGACTTTATGAGTCGCTGTCCACGACAGTCCTAAACCTGCCAAAGTACCAGCACGATAAACACACACAGCAAAATAGCGTCTAATAATCACCGTCCAGAAAATCCTGAGATATAGTTTTATCAATATCACACAGCCCTAGTGTGCCGTCGTGCACTGAACACCAGCTGACGTCGGTGTCCTGTGAAGGATTTAAATAAACGTTTGTCTTTCTTTCCACTCTTTTGCAGATTTTGCGGTGGAAGTCGAAGAAATGCTAGAAATAGAGATAATCAAGGTAAACACTACATGCAGCCGATGGCTCTCATTCAGATATTACATCATCGAGACACTATGGTTTTTATTCATGGTTTGAATTTTCTAGATCTTTTTTATTCATTTTAATTTTAGCTAGATGTATTTTAGTACATGGTTAAATGAAAGAAAAAACGAGTTAGACGACTAGCCGAAATAATCTCTTGATGGGATGTGAAATATGTAACATTGCTAATTTTTTCTAAAAAGGGGTTGACAATTGATATATTTCTATTATGTATTTTTCATTGTTTGTTTTGCAGTTTTTTTTTCCAAGTAGGTCAAGTTATGTTTAACACAGCTTTTATAGGTAGTAGAAAAATAATAATAAAAAGAAATTTGTCAATAATGAAGGATTATTGCTTATTTATAATAATTATTTTTTTAGGCTCCATGTTTTTTTATCACTCTTAAAGGGTCTTTATACTTTTGGAAGGATTGTCCCTTTGCATCACAAACAAATGTGTTTACCTTGACACTTGACCCTTTACTCATTAAAGTCATTGCAATGAACAAATGGAAACTAATGCCCTACTTGCTAACAAATGCACTAATATTCATCAGTCCAGTAATGAATGCAATCTAAATTCAGATCTGAAAGTTAGATCAACCCTAAACATTGCAATCTGATGCACATATCTGTTTACATAGGAATCGCATGTATTCTGAACTAAATTTCAGCGTATGCGCTGATCGATTAATGCGTTTACATGAAGGCATTTCAGCCATCACTGATATATCGGTAATAAGCAGATCTTTGGTGTGCATGAGTGTATCTCGACGAGTTCTTGATGTGTGTGTGTGTGGTCAGGTGGAGGACCCGGGATGCCTGTGGGCGCGGGTCCTGAGAGGAGCAGGCGTTCAGCCGGACAGCCCTGAGGAGTACGAGCACCTGAGGGTGCAGATGAACCTCTTCTACCACAAGGTCAACATGGACCTCCAGAAGCTGAAGCCTGCAGAACTGAAGCTGGGGCTGGTATGTCAGATCAGGAATATGAAGAATAATAACTTCCTGTGGTTCATATTTGGGGGTTTGTGGTGTCACATGCTCTACCAGTCTGAAAACTCACTCATATCATGGTTTTAGAAGGCTAAATATCATTTAATCAGAGCTATGGCATAACCGGAGAAGAAACATTAAACAAATCTTCTATGTGAGCTGCTGATCTCGAGACTCTGTTCTACACACTGGACACTCGCTTTTCCTCTTAAAAAAAAAAAAAAAAAATTATTACCAACATATGCAAATGTTGATGTTAAAAGATTTAAGATTCATGAGAAACATCTACAATTCAAGTATGTCTAAAGTGACATAAGTGTCAAAAGTGTTGATTTATAATGCCTAATGCGACATTTACTTCATTTTAAGTGAGATTATACATTAAATATTAGTAAATTATTTAATTCTAACTAAATTTTCTTCATGTAAAAGAGGTGTGTTTTGAGTGTTTGATCCTTTAGTGTTAAGGTCATTGCACACCGTGTCTGAAATTCTCGTTCGAAGTTTTCGCACGTTAAAAATAGATACGACCTCAGACCTCACGTCGTGTCAATAGACCATTTCACAAGATGTAAACAACACTGGTCCAGAAGCACTTCCTGTTTCAGTTTGTAACTGTTTTCTTTATTTCACATGTAAAGAAAACATCTTAAAGATGTTTCTTTAACTTTTTGATTCAGTTTTAAATGTTCTGTTGGTTGTATTTTATCCCAGCTTTTATGTAGTGTTAAAAAACTGAAACAGGAAGTGCTTCTGGACCAGTGTTGTTTACATCTTGTGAAATGGTCTATAGGTGCATTTCTGTTACAGATCTTCGCAAAACTTTTGTGAATTTTAAGTGAGATAATACATTTAATATTAGTAAGTTATTTGATTGTAATAGTACATTTTCTTTCGCATGTAAAAGAGGCGTGTTTTGAGTGTTTGATCCTTTAGTGTTAAGGTCATTGCACACGACTTTTTCGCACGTAAAAAAATATGACCTCGGACCTCACGTCGTGTCAATAGGTGCATTTCCATTACAGATTTGCGCAAAACTTTTGCGAATTTTTTCTAAATGTCGACAGAAAACTTATTTCGGAATGACGCGTTTCCATTTTCCTCTCGTGACAAGTCATTCCAAACATGGCAACGGATGTTGGTTTATGTATCCCAGCCACTGCACTGGCTGTTATTATTAATCGAAGGAGATGTGTATGTGTGTGTGTGTGTTATCCAAGCATTAATGGCAAGTAAAGCCTGTGAGCGGCTTGTATGAGGTGTATTTCTGGGAGTTTGATGACTGTGGCGTTTCTTTGAGGTTTAGAATCCAGTATTCCCATAATTCTTTTGTCTTTTATGTATTTAATAGAGAACTCAGTCTCGTCCTCTGTCGAACACGCTCGTCATTTATGTCAGGTGACTGTAAATGTGCAAAAACTCTTTCCATTGCAGTTTTGTGTAATATTCATTTTTTTGCCTGAAAACCCACCTCCTGTGAGCATAAAAATGTTTTTGCGATAAATGGGAGTTTTCGCGAAATTGACGTGTTTCCATCAGAGTATGTGAGCGGAGTGGAGTGGGAGCGGAGCGAGGAGTGGAGCGGCATGATTTTGAATGGAGCGCGGAGCGGATTTTTTAAAAGTCGGAGCGTCGTGGTTTTCACTCGCTCCGAGCGCGCTCCACTACCGCTCTATCACGAGGACAATTCATGCCAACGGCTCATTATAGAACTGCATTTTTAGTAAGGATTCACGTGTTAAACACATTACGCTAGCATGATACAGATGGATCACTCGAATCAGAAAAAAATGTGAGGGTTATGATGACGCCGATGGACATGAGTGGCTGCGGGAGGTTATAGTTATCAAGCCTGTACTGAATATGCAACACGCTCTCATGAAAGTGCGAATCTATAGCACACATTTTATTTCTCGTGCCTATTATTATATGCCAAAAAATTGTTTGTGCGTGCAAATGACGCACACTAAACCCCTTGGTTAGGATGGGTGTGAAGTGCGTTCTTGCCATTAAGTGCGTATCGTAGGCTATGCCCACGAGAAATAAAATATAGATAGCCTATGCACTTTCATGAGATGGGGCGCTGGATCGGGCGGGGTGAAAGCACATTTTAAACAGGTAACACTTATTCACCAACGCAATCGCTTTCTCACTAATGCATTGCATTCAAACAAATGTAATCATACAGTCGGCTATCTGTCAGTATTTGATTTTAAATGAGCATGAATCTGTGAGAAATGTAGCGACCCGTAGATAAATAACTGATGAAAACGTAGTTATTTTCTTCTTTCCGAACAAAATGTGCTCTGCAAAAAGCAGCAATGATATTTAATTTATAATGCTGATAACCTGTAATAAGCATAGCATGTCATAGGAAAAGTTTGCACACTATCCAAATCCAATAAACAACACTATTCTCCTAACGTTGTTTTTTTTTTATTTATTTACTATGCCTATGTATCTATTATGATGAGGAGACATTTTGTGAGATTTTAAAGCATACTTAAATACTTTATTCGGAATTTCCTTGGGGAGCGAACACGGAGCGGTGTTTCTGATATCAGTGAGCGAGGAGTGGAGCGGGAGCGGTAAATGGTGAACCCGGAGCGGAGCTGGAGCGGAGTGATTATATAATGCTTGGAGCGTGGAGGGGAAATTGTTGCCGCTCCACTCCGCTCACATACTCTGGTTTCCATTGAGCGTATTTTCAATTTGCGCAATTTGAAGTGTAATGTGAATGCGACTTATCACGTTTACACACTGCCTCCGAAACTGTCATCCGTAATTTTTTTCTTTTTTTGTGCATTTTTCGCATCCGTAGCAAGCAGCCAACGAATCACGAATACCAATAAACACATATGAAAATTTCGGACTTCAATTTTTTCAAATTTCGGAAAAGTGTGCAAGGACCTTTACCCTGCGCATGCGATTCTTTATGGCATCATATTACCTTCATAGAGGTCGTTTTTATTTTTTAACGTGCGAGAATTTCAGACTCCGCTCTGTCTCTCTCTCTCAGGTGTGTGTGGTGTTCAGTCTGGCTCTGAAGAGCTGGTGTCGTGCCGTGGTCGAGTCCGTCATCGAGGGGTCGCTGGACTCTCAGGCCTGGTGTTTGTTGGTAGACCACGGAGATCACATCATCGTCAGAGCTAATGAGTACGAAGCCTTTTAAACATTTAAATTCAAATATCCTGAATTGGTTTTATCAAGTGTAAAGGGATAGACTCTGCATTTACTCGCCTTCATGCCATCAATATCTTCTGGAGTGAAACGATCGGTGTTTGTGAGAAAAATACTCAAAATATTTTACTTTAAAGAATAAATCATTGTTTTCAATCTACTGTCATACAAGTGCCATGTAAACTTTAAAACGCATTTACGTTTGTGTTAAGCAATGTATTATAGTTAAGAGTTTATATTAAAAAAAATGCAATTTGTTTTTACACACACGTATCGTTTGGCTTCAGAAAACTTTGATCCGTCCACTTGGGTCATGTGGATTACCATTGCCATTGTTGCGTTTGGTGTATTATTCATTATATTCCTAAGAATCTTCATTAGTGTTGTTCTGAAGAAAGAAAGCGATGGCATGAGGGTGAGTAAATTATGCGAGAATTTTAATTTTGGGATGAACTGTCCCTTTAAGGTCATACATATCATATGGTGTATCAGAAGTCTTAAAGGAGTAGTTCAAAGTAGCATACTGTAGTTTCCTCACCCCCATGTCATCCAAGATGTCCATGTCTTTCTTTTTTCAGATGAAAACAAATTAATGTTTTGGATGAAAATGTTCCAGGATTTTCTCCATATAATGGACTTCAATGGGAACCAAACGGTTCAAGGGCTTTAAACGACACCAGATGATGAATAAGGGTCTTATCTAGCGAAACGATCACTCATTTAAAAAATAAATAAAAAACTAAGTTTTATAAGCACAAATGCTCGCCTTGCTCTGTTCTGTGATGGTCCCCATTGAAGTCCATTATATGGAGAAAATCCTGTAATGTTTTCACCAAAAACCTTCATTTGTTTTCGACTGAAGAAAGAAAGACATGGACATCTTGGATGACTTGGGGGTGAGTAAATTATCAGCAAAAGTTTTTTTTAAAAGTGAACTACTCCTTTTATCTATCATTTTAAGAGGTCTTAATTTGGGGACAGAAATAAATGGCCTAATGTGATTATAACATTTTTAAAGTATGATTTACGTAAATGCAAGTGCTGCTGGTACTTTTGATGAATTATGACAGCGTTTGCATGATGTTTGTAATATTTTGTATAGAGTTATAAGAAACTAGTGCATATAATTATCTTCCTATCATATTGAGTGAGCAGCTGGAAAAAGTAAAGCATGAGAATTTCAAAGTAGTCCCAGTGTGTTTTTGACGTCTTTATAATTAAAAGTCTTTTAAATGCATGAAGCGTTTTTAGTTCCGCTTTATTTTAGCTGTCCACTTTGCTTCCTCTCGGTGTGAAGATTAGGGCTGGGAATTGGCAAAAATGTGTCGATTCGATAGTATTGCGATATTTGGGCCAGGATTAAATTTTACTGTGATTCTTAACATAATGTGATGCAGCAAGTGTTGCGATTCAATTCTGCGATATATTGCGATTCATGTCCCCATATTAATCAAAGGCATTACAAAAAAAAGAGGAAAATAAGACTGCTCAACTCACTTCAAATGGATAATTTATAATTAAATATTGCAATACTTTGCGCTACTGTATCGATATAATTGCGTGCGCAAAATATCGCGATATTTTCCCCCACCATTAGTATCTGTATCTGCTCTCAGTGTCAGGACTCCTCTGGAGAAGTTCCTGCAGCTGCCCTTCAGGGTGCGCCGCTTCAGCCTGGCTGGGATTCGCCCCATGACCCTTCAGGTGCCGGTCTCCGGAGACACGGCCGAGCTGGTGTAAGTCCCTCTCCTGAAGCAGTCTCTGTGCTGTACGCGCATGTGTTCTGATGCTCTGTTTCCCTGTCTGATCTCAGGCCCTCCTCAACGTGGGACAGCTCTGCCACCAAATACTTGCACAATCTGCTACAAGGTAAGAGTGTGCTGTGGTTCTACAGCGGCTCCTCCTGTCGGCGTCGGCCGGAGTGACTGCAGTCACACGCACTGAACGTCAGCATTGGTTTTCAGCTGCAAAAAAAATCACACCTAAAACGGGAAAGAGCTTTTATAACTAGATTTTATAACAGACTGTTGAAAGATACAGAACAGAAGCAAATGAATCGATGCAATTCACCGAAACAACCGGATCCAGACAGATAAAGCTGGATTTGCAGTCATTTCGTGTCAGTATGCTGAATTATGGGGTAAAATCATACTGTATTTACAACTAAATTAAATATTTACCACCGTATATTCTGAATAATTGGGTGTTTTTAAATAAACACTGACAGAAAACTACACCAGTTTTACGGCTGGACGATATGATGATGTATATAACACTGATATAGTGATCACATGGATTTAGACCTAAATTGTATTTATATGAAGCGGAGGCAAATCAGGCTCCGAATATATCCGAATATAAATCAGGATATTCAAATATCCAAATATAAATCAGGAAACATGATTCCTGCTGCATGTCGAGATCCACGATCACGGGATGTGTGTGAGGAACACTATCAAGCTTTAGTTTAACTGATAATGGTTTGTTTTCTCAGTTTAACTCCAGCAGCTCTTCTGACACTCGTGTTCCTGTGGGAAACTTGCCTCCATGCATTCCTGCATTGTGTGTTTATAGACGCTCTGTGTGTTTCTAGTGTCGACTCTGGTGGAAGCCGTTCTGTGTGAAACGCTTGCCGGCTGCTCTGCCGTTGAACTCTACTTGACTATCAATGACACAAAGGTAAAGTGTGTTTATGTGACATGCTGAGCAGGATCTCAGACAGCTGCTGAGTGCCAGTCCGCTGTCGTTGAGCAGATCTGTGTGAACCATGAGCTCGTGGCCAAGAAGTTTGCCTGTTTCGTGAGTGAGAAGTCGAGCGTGCCGGACGGGAACAGGAATGGAGACCGGGTTCCTGTCAGCCTGGCGTGGGACATTTACTCCCGTCCTCAAGAGCTCTTGGAGATGAAGGGCTGCTGTCCGGTCAAAGCTTCGCCCGCGCCCGAAATCCCCCAGAATCCCCAACGAACCGAGCGGAGAGATGATCCACAACCACAGACAGGTCAGGTTTGGGGAGATCTTTTACTCTTTAAAAAAAAAAAAAAAAAAAAAAAGAGCTCTCTTCTGCTCACCAAGGCTGCATTTATTTGACCAAAAAAACAACAACTGTGAAATATTCTTAGAGTTTTAAATATCTGTTTTCTATGTGGATATACAGTAAAATATATTGGTTTGTTTGTTGACGGACAAAGACAAATGGACAAAACCTAATTATCACAAAAAAAAGGAGAATTTTTTTTAAATGATTACATTTTTTATATATAAGATTTATTATATTTTATTTAATTTGACTTCTAACAATAACAGATTTCACTAGTAAATCGCTGTTGAACGACAAAAACAACCACCAGATGGGAAAAAGATATTTTACAAAACCTTTAAATGCACCACAACGCACCGTCGCTGTTGGACCTTCTGACACTAGGTTCCCGAGAGGCTGGGTGACGGTGTGTGTTTTTTAACCCTTTCCCAAGCCACATCTCAACCAAGATAAGTGTCTGCTCTGGATTAAGTTATGCGGTAGACCACAACACCAACTAAACGTGGATAAATTAAACAAGGATGTCTACATCTGATCTAAGTTAAGTCAACAACATATTTGAACGTTATCTTTAAAATCTCTAACGTTAGACGTACATCAGAAAACATTAAAGTTAGCTTCTAGCTGCGTTGTACATCATGTCACTTAGCTTCATTAATGGCTCGTTTCCACTGAGTGGTACGGTACAGTTCGGTTCGGTACGCAATTATTTGCGTTTCCACTGTCAAAAGTTGTGAATGGTACCAAAAAGCCGAACCGTACCGTACCACTTTTTGGGTACCCTTCCGTTGGGGTACCTAGCACAGTGAAAGGGTACTAAAAGGTGGAGCTAGACTCACTGCAGAACGGTGATTGGTGGACAGAGGATCGTCACTCGCGTGTGCTACAAGGGCATTAAGCATACAGTTGAAATATAATTCTACTGTTATTGTGTCACGAAATGTAGTTTTAAGACTTTTTCAGGCGAGAAAGTAGTTTTTTAAAGCTCAAATCTGTGGTTTATTTATAGATTTTTGATAATTTGACTGAGATCCATTCCAAGCGATCACCGGACGCTCGCGCTCGTGTCCCCCGCCTGGAACAGCCTTTCCTCGGCGAGTCGTTCTGATGTTTGCCGCTGACTCGGACGTCTCTGTAGTGGTTAAACATGAGATGTAGTTCGTCTTGTATAAACCTAACAGGTGATCTTTGGTCTCGTGAATCTATAATTCGTTCCCTGGCCAATAGTTTTGGCAGAAGGCTACGTGAAGTTTCATATCTTTGAGCGCTGAATTTGTATATTTGACTGACTGAATTGTTTCTTTATGATATTTAAGCTTTACTGTATATCTTTTTGTACCTTTTACTTATACTTTTATAATGCCTATTATTGATAAAACTGAAATTCAACAAAAAGATAGTTTGTAATTTTTAATTATTTTATTTTATAACAAGATCATCTAATGTTGTTTATTGCAACATTTGTACCAATGCGATATGCAATACGTTAACGTTACATATTGCCGGGCATATGTTTAATATTTTTAAATTTAAACGAAGAGGTAGGCAGGCAGGGTTGTTTTATATTTAGTTTTGTTATAAATATAATGTTACATAGATGCAGTGACTATAATCAATAGGCTATGCGTTGCCTGAACCACATTTGTGTGCTTATAATGTTTAAAATGTATTTAAATGAAATCGAAAAGAAGCAGAGTGGTTTTATTGTCGTCTAAAATGAACATACAGAGATAACCGGAGTCGCAGAGCGAGCTGAGTGCCGCGTTCAAGAACGCACTGTTCGATTAGCAGAGTTACTGGACTCGCGTCCTCGGGAGTCATTGAGTCGGATTTTGCGTAGGCTACTTGATATTGAGAAACGCCTAATGCCAGCGCTTGTTTCTAGTGACAAACATGCCGATAAGCAAGAACAAGATGATCAAGATCTGCTGTCTGTCATCCATTGTTGTTTACTATGTCGCTTTCTTCGCGCGAAAATGACTTCGATCGCTTCTTTCCAGCAAACACCATGCCTATCAAGTAAGGGTACTGTTGGCGGTGGAAACGCAAGCCGGATCATGATGTACCCGACCTGACCCGACCCGTACTGTACCGTACCTCTCAGTGGAAACGAGCCATAACGTATCTGTAAATAACCGAGATAACAAATGTTAACAATGTTGTGCTGAATGATTCATGTAAATACCGCAGCACCAAACAGTGATGGCAACGATATGCGGTTCATCACGTTTACACTGTGACCTGTTGAAGCTGAAGCTTTCCATCGACCTACTCAACAATAAAATGGTTAATATAACCCTCCAATGCATAGTTAAGGCCCTTTAGGTGACTTCAAAATGATATATAATCTTTCTATCTCCAAAAATCACCAATTGCCTCCTATGAAATGTCTCCTACTGTGACAGCTGCCATAGCGCCCATACCGTGTTTGTCCAAGTGAGTGGAGGGGGCGTGGCTTAGCCATAGGTCAATTAATACTAGCACTTACCTTTTCTTTTCTTTTCTATTCTATTTGTTTTTCTGATTTAAAACACAGACCCTTGCTATAACATATTTTGTATTTAATCACACTAAAATGACATGACAGCCTGGATAGTGAATGTCTTGAAAGGTACTCATATTGCTGTGTGTTTTTCTCCTTTAGAAAGCGAGCCGCAGAAACCGCAGGTGTCGGAGGAAGAACACACGCATTCTCCGGTCAAACCTCAAGTCCATAAACTGGCCCGCAATGCTGGGACCAACACTGTAAGTGTCCGTTTATAACACACGAGAGCGATCAAGCTCGACCGAGTTGGGCTTTATAGCGGCACCAGTGAACGCCCGGATCCGAGTTTAACTGTGACCCCTGTGGTTTGATGCAGATCGGCAGAGGATGGCGGATCAGAGTTGAGGCCACGGGCATTACCACAGAGGAAAGCTGTGCGCAGACCGACGTAAACAAGGCCCAGTAAGACTCATCTCAGTCCGGTTCCTCCTTAAGAGCTCATAAATCGTGCAATTGAGTTTTGGATTGTGTGTTTGAGTTTAGATGGACACCCGACTTGTCTCTAAATACATCTGATTTTATGAAGGTGATGATGAGTAATTTAGTTAACTAGCCAACAAATTAGGGGTGCTCTGATTGATCAGCTACCGATCGCTATTGGCCAATGTGACAATATATATTGTGTATAATTCACCCAAAATAAAAATTACTGGGAGAGAAAAAACTCCGTTTTAGTGTCAGTACTGCATTAAACTACTTTATACTACAGGGCTGTTGAATGCTTGATTCTGATTGGTTGAGAACGTTCTAAAGGTGTGCAATTATTTTCAGGGAAACGCACGGCTGAAGTAGTTTCAGGCAGGTTTGACCGCATCACAGTGCCATATCACTGCGCGTAGTTAACTGTAATAACGGAAAATAATTAATAACAAGAGAAAACATGCAGCCCCATGCGCTTGATATGCAATTTACAATGACTAACTTCATAATCAATGGACACATACAGTTTAATGTTAATAAATAAAATATGTAGTCCTATCTATAATAGGCTAAATGGAAAATTAAACTGAATAGGCTATATAAATAAATTAATATTCCTGCTGCACGGATTTTCGTAATTATTCCAGATAATAATAAATAATTATAGATAGGCCTACTTGTTAATAGGGCTTTGTGTGTTTCATTTATTGGGTTATCTACTGTCAATTATAGAAAACAAGAATGAACGAATGAATTAAAACAAATTTAATTAATAAATAAATAATAATATTGACGCCCATGCTTTTCTGTCTCATTATTTCAACATCTCTCTCGCTTCCTCTCTCTAATAATTGCATTAACAACCGCATAAAGCCGGGACACACTTAGGCCTACTAAGGCCAGTTATAAATGTAATTTGATACTTATGACTACAGTCGATGGAAACAGTCGGTGTTCAAATGTTTCAGCGAGCAGCATAATGGATAATACCTGCATAATGGATGTGAATAAAACTCAAAATATACAATCAATAAAAACTAATATTCCATAACAGAATGTGACCAAATGAGAAAATTTCAAGGCAAGACTATGCACTATGGAAGTTCGATTAATGGATGAAATTCAGATTTGACCCTTAAGAAATGTAAAATGTTTTGGTACAATGTCAGTAATTAGTTGTGAAGTCTCGCTGCATAAATTGAATCTATTAAAGTAACACCAGGTAGTTTTTGCTCTCGGGGTCCCCCTACAGTTGGGAAACAGTATTGTCCTCTACTGCTGTCGTAAACTCTGTCATCCCACATGCACGCGCATTTGTTGACAACCATGATAGCCCTGAACACTGTAGGAGGAGGTCACATGCAGGTGTTCTGATTGCGTCGCGTGTGAAATGTCTTCATCCCAGGTACAGTGGCGTATATGTCAGCATGTCATATGAATATAATTTCATGGGTTTTATTTTTTTTTCTAACGGCAAATGATCGCAATAGTCACGTTTACAAGCCAGCGTCATTATAGTGGCCTACTTTATTGGTTACCTTTTTACTGAATCTATATGATACTTCAATGCAATGTTTGAGTGGTAGATAATAACCATTTTTCGATTTCATCAATTTCAAAGTTCAAATCAGAACGAGAATGCTAGCGATAGCTAACCATTAGGGTTGGGTATCGTTTGAATTTGAACGATTCTGATTCCTTGTTTCGATTCCGGTTCCTAACGATTCTCGATTTCGATTCTTTTAAGAGGCAGGGTCAAAAAAGTTTAGCTAACCTTGCTAACCAACGGTCTTCCTTCTGTCACAAATACTTGTCACAAATTTTGCATTTTGCCGAGATTTCGTTAATTTTTAGAAAAGTGAAGCCACACTTTGGACCGCCGACTTAAGCTACTCATGTTCGACTCGCGCGGTTATGCCAACACTTCCGGTAGACGCTTCTTCGTTGGTGTTGTTCAGCGGTTTCTTCTTCCGCTCGGCGGACTGTGAATATCGAAACTAGGAATCGAAATTTTAACTTTTGAACGATTCCGGGAAAAACGAAAAGTTAGTCCCGGTTCCAATCGATACTCGATTCTCGATACCCAACCCTACTAACCATCAAAAACTAGAATATCGTTTACTAGCTACCAGATTGATAGTTCGCTACTCTACTATCATTACTTGATTCATGAAGATAAACCGAGGATAAGATAGCTTCCATAACGTTGTCAGGCAGACAAAAAAAAACAAAGAGATAGTATGCAAGCAATATATTTACTAGTCCAAAAGCATGACAGCTAAGTCCGCATCGGTCGGCACCCCTCCTCCTCCTTCAGCTCACGCCAGCAAGAAAAAGCTGACCCAATGTTGATCCTCGTTCTGCCTTTAACGCGATCACTTTCTCTTTTTGCTTTGCTCTGATAAAACCTTTGCTTTCTTGTTTTTCTGTGCTGCTTCGGCCATGACTATAATATTTGGCTCGCACGTCCGTTTTTAAGGAAGTGGGGGTGGTGGTGGAAGTGACGTAGATGCCGTAAAGCAGTCGAATTGTTCGCCGGTTACTACCCGAAACTCCAAGTTTAAAAGTATGTTTAAAAACGCTACAGACCCCATCAGGCTATGGCAGACGTGTCATTCAAACTATTGTTTAGTCGATGTACCATCACAAGAGACTTGGAAATAAATTATGAAGGTTGAAAAGTTACCTTGTGTTACTTTAAGCCTCCATATGAAAGTTTACGTGCTCGAATTATTTCTATTTATTAAACAGTAGTTCAAAACCTTGAAAAATTCATTCACCTTCCCATTTTCAAAAATGAAATTCAGGTCCTGAATTAATGCAAAATTCCTGATTGGAGCATCCCTGTAAATAATTCTACAAATATACTTCAAATAGATCGGTGATCGGTTAATTAGTTTAATATAATGATAATATAATGTTTGAAAATTATAATAAATTGTTTTTCTTTCACAGATGCATGAAGTTTAAATTACGTTCAAAGCAGATTCCTGAAGTAAGCACTCAAAACTCTTAAATACCTCTTTTTGCATCTGCAGAAATAGTTAGTAAACGAGCGGATAAACGAGTGACCGTAAAATGAAGTGCTTTTAATATTTTCAGTCTGTTGAAGAGAAGCGGCACAGTCCTGATCGGCCTGAAGAGAACGGCGTGGCTTCAGCACCAGCCGGGAGTTCGGCATCATGGTGAGGCCAAACACACTTTCCCTTCAGAAGACACACGAGCACGTCTGATTCCGGTCAAGTTAATCTAAAACCAGCCTGATTATGCAGCGTTTACTTGAGACCAAATAGCCATTCAGTTAGTCAATGTAGTTTTACACCTGTGTGTGTGTGTGTGTGTGTGTGTTCATAGTGCCAGTGACTCCTCAGAGGAGCAGAAAGAGGCATCTCTCCCCCAAGAGCCCAATCTTGATGATCAGCTGGCCTCGTCAAGGCAGGCTCTACATTACTGTCCTTACTAAACAAACAAACATGTCACACATTTTCTCTTAATCTAATTTATCTTACCTATTTCGTAAAGAAATGTTTCCCCTATTTGTGTGTACCCTATTCTGGACAGACTCATGCAGTTTCTGAACCCTGATCCACTCAATCCAGACCAAGAATCTCTTGATGCCAAAGTAAGAGCCTCATTATTGGTTTGCAGTGTTGATGGTGCTGGTGTGTGTTGTCTAACCGGGCCTGTGCTGTTCCACAGGCTGCACGCTGTGACCCGGGTCACCTGGGTGTGTTGGTGCACTCCGCCCTGCGTGTCGAACCCTGCAGAAACCTGGCCCGCGCTCCCATCAGCGAGCAGTTCAGAAAGGTCCATCATTAAGTGTGCCTGAATAATGTCATATTGGAATATCCACTGCTTTATTTATCATTTTGTGTTATTTGACACTTTTCCACTGCAAAATGCTATGGCCATGCGCCCAACTTAATTACCTTTCTTCTGATTGCTTCTGGGGTATTATTTGTGACTTTTAACTTTTGTGTTGGAGGATATGGGATCATACTTTAATTAGTGCTGGGCAATGATTAATCACATACAAAATTAAAGTTTGTTTACATAATATGTGTGCTGTGTGTAATTATTCTGTATATATAAATACACACACATGCATCTATATATTTAATAAAAATGTGTTAACATAAAAATATTTATATAATATAAATTAGTATAACTATATATACAGTATACACCTGCAAATATTTCTTAAATATATACAAGCATTTGTGTGTATTTTTGGTATATGTTTTAGAGCCCGACCGATAAAGGATTTTGAAGGCCGATACCGATACAAATAGTTTTGTGTTTTCAAATCCGATATTCTGAAAAATCGGCCGATATATTATTTATTTATTTATTTTAAACTGGACATGATAGTCACAAATTTTGTCATGCTTATTTGACTTAAGAGAACTGATGGGAATGTTCTTTTAATTGTTATTTAAGCAATGTATGTATCATGAACAGGAACGGTGTTAACTCCAACTATACAACTCCAACACTCATGACATGGTTCAAGCATGTTTCGTCCTTTTTTATTTTATTTTTTATATGAAGAGTTCAGATGCAAAAGCCTCTAAGTGCCGTTTGAAATTTTCTTCTAGAAATATCTTCTGTTTAAGTTCAGTGATGTCACAATAATATAATTAATATGAATTGTTATGAAAGTGAAATTACTGAACTTAAATATACAAGTTTGATAAAAATCATCATTAAAGAAGAACATTTCAAATGGCATTTAGAGGCTTTTGCATCTGAACTCTTCAAATATTCATTTATCGGCCATTATAACTGCCGATACCGATAGTTTGGAAAATGCCTAATATCGGCCGATAATATCGGTCTGCCGATATATCGGTCTGTCTCTCATATATATATATATATATAATAATTACACACAGCACACGGACACAAACTTTGTAAACAAACTTTTATTTGGTATGCGATCGTTGCCCATCACTAATTTGAATAGAGGATGTTTTTAGTGGTTGTATCTGATTGTGTGGATGTTTCAGTTCCTGCTGCGGAGGAAGTATAACGGGCCGAATGTGGCGGAGAGCTACTGTTGGCCTGCGGTGGCTCGGGGCTTCGACACAGTGCTGGTGTCACACAGCGGGGACAATCCTCTGTCCTATATCCCTCCTCTGCTGATGCTGTTGCAGACGGTGTCGGTCGTCTCCAGCCTCGCTGCTCGCTCTGGGGTGAGATGCACTCCTACAGCTCAGAGGAGAACAGAGTTTAATGAAATTTCCCTCATTTTTATTCTGCCTGAGCAAAACTTTTTTCTATTGGGGGGATATTTTTTTGCACCTGAGCAAACATATTCTGGACACCTGACCTGTACAGCGGTGTCAGCATGCAGTTGTAACTTTGAACTTTAATGTGTAATTTCTATTTTATTTGACCCTTGATGTAACTTATTGGTATTAAATCATATTTTTGAAAACAAGCAGTTAAGAAGTCACCAAATGAAGCACATTTTAGGGTACCTGAGATTTTTGTTTAGGGTACCTGAGATTTTTTGTTGTTGTACCCATCTTTACCATAAAATTAAATTTTACAAAACAAAACAGTCAATTAATTTTGTTCAGGCAGCATTAAAGGTACAATATGTAAGAATTTTGTGTCAAAATATCCAAAAAACACATTTAGAGAATTTGGAGAAATTCACGATAGTGCCCGTCTCTGTTCACTTGTCGCCTGTCACTGATGTAACATCCCTGGTTTCCGCTCGTACTGCCATAGTAACCCTGGCAACAGACGCGGACAACTGTGTAACGTCTAGCGGCGCGCCGTTGTTTCATTCAAACACTATTGACCATGGCAGGCAGACTTTGGGACAAAAGGAGAAAAAAACGGGGATCAATATAGCTATAAACCATCAAAGTTAAATGATTGTTTATTGCTTATGAATTTCCAATATTTTCTTTAGCAGCGGGTTTTAAACTTTTCAAAGTAGCCCTAAACAATGCCCTAGTGAGATCAATTCTCTATTAGGCTTATAATAATAAAATACAGGGCTACTATAATAAAAAAAAAATAATAAAAAAAATAATTGAAGTATTTGATTTTGATATGGTATAATATATAATTTTAAATGCTTCAATTTGTTTTCATATTATATTATTATTGTATGAAAACAAACTGAAGCATTTAAATATCTCTAATAGCTAAATATTTTCAAGAAAAGAGAAAATGTGAACTCTTTTGTAGTAGTCTAAACATCCCTAATACCCACACACGCACACAAAATCGATTTAAACTAATGTAGATTTAAACGATTTAAATGAATGTGTGTAATTGTTAGCGTTCTGTGGCCATCATCCGTTATTTACACCAATTAATCAGACTACTCTTCTTTAAAACATGATGATGTGATATTATTTGACTATTTTGAGCTTTTTGGTGTGCAAACATGACCGTATTCTCACTGGCTGTAACTCACACACTCATATCGTTCTCTTTCTATGAATGCTGTAGACTGCGGTCACCGGTTTTCACTCTATAGCAATACCAACTCTATAGATGTTGACCACAGCACTGCAATTATTTCTCACGCAAACTGCAATTAAATTAATTTACCCACACATTTCTTAGCAGTGTGTTTACGGTTTTATCTAAATCCAAAAACCAACTGGCCAAGAACAGAAATGGGATTTTCATCTCAGAACACACAGTTATAAAATCTCCTTCCTCTAATGCTCTTGTCATGCTCTGACCCCAGTTGTGCTGCTACACATTGTGTGTGTGTGTGTGTTTGCTTGCAGCCTGTGGCGGTGATTCTGTGCCCAGGCTGGGAGAAAGTCCAGACGGTGCTGGAGCTCCTGGAGGACAGCCGAGCCACTCACAGTCTCCGTCCCACCAGTGCTCTGCTGGGCTTGGACCAGGACGAGCCCAAGAAGTTCAAGATCCCGAGGAACTGTAAGTGTCCGTCCGTAGCACACGAGATGTTGAGTGTGGGGAGTCTGGACCGAAACCCATAGCTGTTGTGATGCCGTTACAGGTCAGCTGCTGGTGACGACCCCGTTCTCCATGATGAGACTGCTGGAGGCTCAGTGCTTTCTGTTCCTGAGGCTGTGTCACCTGGTGCTGGACGAGGCCGATGTCCTGTATTCACAAGCTCCTGAGCAGGTGACGCCAAACAGGAGGACTGCACAGTTTGTGCCATTTCAGACCAAATTTGTCCCACTTTAAAGGGATACTCCACTTTTTTTGGAAATAGGCTCATTTTACCACTCCCCCAGAGTTAAACAGTTGGGTTTTACCGTTTTCGAATGTATTCATCCGATTTTTTTGATATTTAGTAGAATATCAGTAACCAGACAGTTTTTGGTCTCATTGACTTCCATAGTATATTTTTTTCCTACTATGGAAGTCAATGAGACCAGACTGTCTGGTTACTAATATTCTACTAAATATCAAAAAATCGGCTGAATGGATTTGAAAACGGTGAAAATTTGTTTCATTTGAAAATTAAAATACTATCTATATGTAATTATATAGTCAAAGTTATTATTTATATTTATATCAGATGGATTTTAAGCAATATTTTATAGTATTTAAAGTATTTAAACAACTGTCCAAATCATGAATTACCTAATTAAACCAGGCAAATTAGTCAAACTTAAGTATATCAAATTCGAGGAAATATTAAAAAACCCTAATCATTAAACAAAATATAAACATAACAAATAGACATATTTTAACACACTACACAAATAAACACCTTGTGAATTGAAGATGCGCTAGTCAAACCAACAGCGTGATTTAAAGGGTGTCATTGAATGGTACATGCACACTCTGGTAGCAGTAACTACCAAGCAAGGCAAAGTACAGCATTTCTTAACCCTTGTGCATCAATTAAAAAAAGTTACACATAGATAAAAAGAGGAAAAAAATGTCCATGTCAAAAAACTGTCATAAAAATGTGACGCTTTGGAGCACAGACTTAAGTTTGGTATCATTTTAAAGACCCTTTGCAGATTATTGCTGAAGTAAAAAAAAATAATAATAAGTAAACCCCAAAAAAGTTATATAGGTATAAGTTTATGAAAAATATTTTATATAAAATATATATTTTTTAAATCAGGTTGAACTCAAAACTGCAATAAAATCAAAGCCATAAATCTAAATAGGTTGATAGGTTGTGTTCCAAATTTGAGGATGATATCTCAAAAAATGAGCTTTCGGTAACAGTTTTTTTGGGCGTAGTAACATATTTTCCCCATTGGGTGCCAGCAAAAGCCCACTGGAGCTCACAGTGATTGGATTTGAATTTGCAGTTTTTCTCTCTCAGTATTACAAACACACACATGCGCACACACACATACATATTTTTTTATAACACACATACTAACCACACTCTGACATCCATACCATCATACCCACACAAATATTGTTGCATAAAACAGGAATAAAGCGATATTTGTTTTATAGGCCAAACTTAAAAAAAATGACACCATCTGATAAAAAATAGTAAAAAATAAAATTTTTAAGCCTTGTCTTAACAAAGATTGCATAATTGTATAGTTAACTGAACCGGGGATTAAAAATGGCAGTTTTAATGGGTTTCAATGGGGACATTTTTGTCCAAAAGGTGCTGAGAGGGAGTATTTTTTGTACCCAATGCAAAAAATTTTTTTTTTAAGAAAATGACGGTGAAATAGTAAAATTTCATTAAAAATACACACCTGTGCCAATTTTTTTGCAGTTAGCTTTAACACAGGAAAAGTGATCAAAAAAACAAAACTGAAAAGGACAAAAATGTCCATAAGGATGCACAAGGGTTAATCAACAGAGCTTCAGAGCTTACCGGCTGTCACTTGCTGAGTTCTTTAGTGAGTACCTGATCCCGCACAGTGTTTAAAACAGACATCAAGCTCTAATACTCGAACCTTGTAATATTTATTTAAGCCAGCGCTGCTGTCTGCTGTAGTGTCAGCTCCCGGTGCACACAAACAATAGCAACGGTGCGTTTCCGCAACAATGAGTGTTTTTGTAATGCATTGCCTATTCCGCATCTCATGATTATGCATGGGACATTTTAATTGTTTATTAATGTTTTCTGTGTCAGTGTCGGCTGCAAAGATAAAGTTTACGTAACTGACTCGCCAGTGAACAAGCCTATAGAGAGAAATGAACACTTAATTCGAATTAGTCTACATAAGCAGAGAGTAGCACATTTCTATTCATTTTGAATCGTTTTGTTTAAAATTAGACATTTCAAGCTGCCTATAGACATATTTCTCAGGTCTATGTGGCAAGTAGCTTATATGCTGTTTCGGTTAATTTATTAGAAGAGCTCCAGTTAGGACCAGTTTGGATAATCAGGACCTCTGTGTAGTGTAGTGAACGTGCCCACCAATACTACACACTACATGTCACAAGGTTTCTATAAAAACGAAATAAAACATATCCAGTCAGGTCCGGTCTGCTTCACCTTAGGGTCAATCAGAAATGTGTCATAGCCCTGAAACCTTGGAGAGCGACCGGCTGGTACCAGTCTAGTGTAAACTGTGTGACGTCCTCGTAGGGCTGGGCGATAAAACGATAACGATAATTATCGCAATATAATTTTTCTCGATAAAACGATATCAAGAGGTCGATAAATGTTCGATAATGTTTATGCGCCAAAAGCGGAACGAAACTCATTTAAACCGCGCGCCACACGGAGCTTTTATCCACTCGGGTCAAAGTCCAAAATGCAGCGCAGCGCGAGCTCACGCAGACGCGATTACTGATCGTCTCGCGCACGAGATCCAGTGAGAAGCACTTGAGTTCAGCGAAGAACACAAATGTCAAGTTTAAACCAGTTTAAAGGCAGATGATACACCGCTGACAAAAAGGAGAATCACTGCGTGCAACGATACAGTCAGAATCTGAATTGATACTGAATCCATTTAGCCTACCATGGATTTACTGTAAGGTTAGTAATATTAACTGCACCCTGAAATGTGGGATATACATATTGAATTGTATGATATTATTATTGTAGACAATGTATTAAGTGACTAATGGTACAGTATTTAATATTGTATTTAACTGTTAGGCTACTGTTTTTCATACAAATACCACAGAAACCATAAAGTTACATTTTGACATGACAGTGAGGAGCTAAGTTATAGGCTATACCTGGTTTTATCTGTGGTTATCATGATCTAAATGATCATGATCTAAATGCATGATACTGGATGACCAATGGTTAATTTTTAATAAAACTCAGTCAGAATATTACATTTTACTGTGGCCGTTACATAAAAAAAACAGATGTTACTGTTTTTGTTAATGAACATAAATTTAACATTATTAACTTGAGTTAGGTTTACAGATTTACTGTCAACTCACTGTCAAATATGCATTTCGAGACAAAACATGTCATTTGAATAGTGCAGCCTGCACTGCAAACTGTGCTGAAGAAATATTTTTCTATTCAGATATTTATTTTAAGGAAGAATGAAAATGTTTGAATGTTCTACCTCATATTTGTGAAAATGTTCTCGTGTTTGTCATATGTTCTGACAATAAAGAGTAGTTTAAAACCACAATTAATGCTCTGGTTTTCACTTAGGAGCAAAAATCTGCCTTTAAACTTGAAAGAAATAAAGATTTGACATTTATCATGATAATTATCGATATCGACTGATATAAAAAAAAATATCGTGATAATTTTTTTTGGCCATATCGCCCAGCCCTACGTCCTCGAGTGTGCAGGTGGTGTCTATGGACGTCTCCACCTCGGGATGGGGAGCGCTGCACGAGGGCAGACCGTTTATCGGCCAATGGTCAGAATGAGAAAATCTCCTTCATATAAACTGTCTGAAAATGTTGGCAGTCGACAACGCGCTGAGGCGCCTTTGTCCCGGAATAAGAGGTTGCCACTCCTTAGTCCACTTGGACAACATGTCAGTGGTATCCTACATAAATCACCAGGGCGGCATCCAGTCTAAAAACATTTTCAGACTGACGGAATGCATCCTGGTCTGGGCTCAGCACAATTTGCACTCACGGAGCGCTGCACACTTGCCTGGCTCCCAGTATTTGGGGCCAGACAAACTGTCCAGAAACAATATACCAGCTGGGGAATGGTCTCTGCACCCGCAGATAATCCTCCTGTTGTGGGAGACATTCGGCCGAGCACAGGTGGTACTATTTGCGTCCCAGGAAAACGCTCACTACCGAATATTTTTCTCCAAGAACGAGGATGCGCTGGTCCACGACTGGCCCTGCTCCCCGCTCTATGCTTTTCCCCCAGTCTTGCTCCTGCATCAAGTGTTGGAACGAATCAGGGAAAAGCAGATGCTCAGTGCTCTTTGTTGCTCTGCTCTGAATGAACCAGGAATGGTTCCCAGTCCTAATGCGCCTGACGAGCACTGCCCCATGGCTGATTCCGATGAGAAAAGACTTCCTCTCTCAGGCCAGGGGCTCAATTTGGCATCCTCACCCGGAATGGTGGGCCCTGCATGCATGGGCCATCAATGGGTACCCGCAAACCTCATAGAGGGGAGTGCTAAATACCATCACACAGGCCAGAGCACCGTCTACTAGACGTCCCTATGCCTCAAATTGGACAGTGTTTGTTAACATAAGGGCCTGTTCACATTCAAGTTTTTTTTTTCTTCTGTAGATCGGTCCACAGACCGTGAGCTGATTTAGGCTGGTTGTTGGATGTCAGACCAGTCCACAGACTGTGAGCTCGCCTGGGCTAGTTGTTGGATGCTGGATTGGTCCAAAGATTGGGAGCTGACCTGGGCTATTTATTGGATGTCGAACTAGTCCACGGATTGTGAGCTGGCTTAGGCTGATTGTTGGATTCCAGACTGATCCACAGACCGTGAGCTGATTTGGACTGATTGTTGGATGTCAGACTAGTCCACCCACCGACTGTGAACTGACTTGAGCTGGTTGTTGAATGCCAGACTGTTCCACAGACCATAAGCCGACTTGGGCTGGTTGTTAGATGCCAGACTGGTCCACAAACTGTGAGCTCGCTTGGGCTGGTTGTTGGATGCCGGATTGGTCCACAGATTGTGAGCTGGCTTAGGCTGATTGTTGGGTGCCAGACTGATCCACATACTGTGAGCTGGATTAAGCTGGTCGTTAAATGCCAGACTGGTCCACAGTTTGCGAGCTAGCCTGGGCTGGCTGTTGGGTGCCAGACCGGTCCGCCATCTGCGAGCTGACCCTGGCCTCAACTGTGCTGATTTGGCACAATCAACTGTGAGCTGATTTGGGCTGGTTGTTGAATGCCAGACTGGTCTACAGGTTATGAGCTGACCTGGGATGGCTATTGGCTGCCAGACCAGTCCACAGACCGTGAGCTGGCTTGAGATGGTTATTAGATGTCAGACTGGACCACAGGCTGTGAGCTGATTTGGGCTGGTTATTGGATACCAGACTGGTCTACAGGTTATGAGCTGACTTGGTTTGGTTGCTGGACGCCAGACTGGTGAACAGACTGCGAGCTCGCCTCAGCTGGCTGTTGGATGCCAGACTGGTCCACAGATTGTGAGCTGACTTGGGCTATTTATTAGATGCCAGACTGGTCTATCAATTGTGAGCTGTCATGGGTTGGTTGTTGAATGCAAGACTGGTCCATAGACCGTGAGCTGACTTAGGTTAGTTGTTAGATGTCAGACTGGTCTACAGGTTATGAGCTGACTTGGGCTGGTTGTTGGATGCCAGACTAGTCCACAGACTGTTAGCTGGCTTGAGATGGTTATTAGATGTCAGACTGGTCCACAGGCTGTGAGCGGATTTGGGCTGGTTATTGGATACCAGACTGGTCTACATGTTATGAGCTGACTTGGGCTGGTTGTTAGATGCCACTCTGGTCCACAGATTGTGAGCTCGCTTGGGCTGGTTGTTGTATGCCGGATTGGTCCACAGATTGTGAGCTGGCTTAGGCTGATTGTTGGATGCCAGACTGATTATTAGGCAATTTTAATCAGACAATTTGACCGGAGATATTTAATTTTGGCAGATATTTCATTTTTTTTACCGGCCAATGTCCGGAAATTACCGCACAACGGAAACTCTGCCCGTGTTCTTATAAAGCCCTGCTCACACTTGCCCAACAGTGGAAACAAGGCTAATGGAGAATATGGGAAAAATAATAAACTTTGAAACTCTTCTAGTAGAGCCCAAAAACAGCATCAAGGCTTTGTGAAAGGGCATAATGGGCCCTGTCTAATATAATGAGGGACCCTCAGATTTGTTTTGAACATGTCTCTGTGTAGATGTCGGTGATCCTGAAGCACTTTCAGAAGGTGGTGTCCGGAGAGGAGAGGTCCTCGTGCCCCAGGCAGATCATCGCGGTCGGCGGGCGGTGGAGCGCCGGGATCCAGGCTCTGGTGCGAGAGCACATGATCTATCCCTCTATCATCATCACCGTGATGGAGGAGGCCGCGCTGTACGGCAGGGTTCATCAGGTCAGTCCTCGAGCACTGGTGTTTCTGTCCTCTCGAGTGCTGGTGCTTTTGTTCTCTCGAACGCTGGTGTTTCTGTCCTCTCGAACGCCGGTGTGTCTGTCCTCTCGAACGCCGGTGTTTCTGTCCTCTCGAACGCAGGTGTTTCTGTCCTCTCGAACGCAGGTGTTTCTGTCCTCTCGAACGCTGGTGTTTCTGTCCTCTCGAATGTTGGTGTTTCTGTCCCCTCAAACGTTGGTGTTTCTGTCCTCTCGAACGCTGGTGTTTCTGTCCTCTCGAACGCAGGTGTTTCTGTCCTCTCGAACGCAGGTGTTTCTTTCCTCTCGAACGCTGGTGTTTCTGTCCTCTCGAATGTTGGTGTTTCTGTCCCCTCAAACGTTGGTGTTTCTGTCCTCTCGAACGCCGGTGTTTCTGTCCTCTCGAACGCCGGTGTTTCTGTCCTCTCGAACGCAGGTGTTTCTTTCCTCTCGAACGCTGGTGTTTCTGTCCTCTCGAATGTTGGTGTTTCTGTCCCCTCAAACGTTGGTGTTTCTGTCCTCTCGAACGCCGGTGTTTCTGTCCTCTTGAGCGCTGGTGTTTCTGTCCTCTCGAGCGCCGGTGTTTCTGTCCTCTCGAACGCTGGTGTTTCTGTCCTCTCAAGCGCTGGTGTTTTTGTCCCCTCAAACGCTGGTGTTTCTGTCCTCTCGAACGCCGGTGTTTCTGTCCTCTCGAACGCTGGTGTTTCTGTCCTCTCGAATGTTGGTGTTTCTGTCCTCTCGAACGCTGGTGTTTCTGTCCTCTCGAATGTTGGTGTTTCTGTCCTCTCGAACGCAGGTGTTTCTTTCCTCTCGAACGCTGGTGTTTCTGTCCTCTCGAATGTTGGTGTTTCTGTCCCCTCAAACGTTGGTGTTTCTGTCCTCTCGAACGCTGGTGTTTCTGTCCTCTTGAGCGCTGGTGTTTCTGTCCCCCCGAACGCTGGTGTTTCTGTCCTCTCGAGCGCTGGTGTTTCTGTCCCCCCGAACACTGGTGTTTCTGTCCTCTCGGGCGCTGGTGTTTCTGTCCCCACGAATGCTGGTGTTTCTGTCCCCTCAAACGTTGGTGTTTCTGTCCTCTCTCGCTGCTGTTTCTGTCCTCTCGAACGCCGGTGTTTCTGTCCTCTCTAGCGCTGCTGTTTCTGTCCTCTCGAGCGCTGCTGTTTCTGTCCTCTCGAGCGCTGCCATTTCTGTCCTCTCGAGCGCAGGTGTTTCTGTCCTCTTGAGCGCTGGTGTTTCTATCCTCTCGAGCGCCGGTGTTTCTGTCCTCTCGAGCGCTGGTGTTTCTGTCCTCTCGAGCGCCGGTGTTTCTGTCCTCTCGAGCGCTGGTGTTTCTGTCCTCTCGAGCGCCGGTGTTTCTGTCCTCTCGAGCGCCGGTGTTTCTGTCCTCTTGAGTGCTGGTGTTTCTGTCCTCTCGAGCGCTGGTGTTTCTGTCCTCTCGAGCGCTGGTGTTTCTGTCCTCTCGAGTGCTGGTGTTTCTGTCCCCTCAAGCGCTGGTGTTTCTGTCCCCACGAATGCTGGTGTTTCTGTCCTCTCTCGCTGCTGTTTCTGTCCTCTCGAACGCTGGTGTTTCTGTCCTCTCGAACGCTGGTGTTTCTGTCCTCTCGAGCGCCGGTGTTTCTGTCCTCTTGAGCGCTGGTGTTTCGGTCCCCCGAACGCTCGTGTTTCTGTCCTCTCGAGCGCTGGTGTTTCTGTCCTCTCGAGCGCTGGTGTTTCTGTCCTCTCGAGTGCTGGTGTTTCTGTCCTCTCAAGCGCTGGTGTTTTTGTCCCCTCAAACGCTGGTGTTTCTGTCCTCTCGAGCGCCGGTGTTTCTGTCCTCTCAAGCGCTGGTGTGTCTGTCCTCTGGAACGCCGGTGTTTCTGTCCTCTCGAACGCCGGTGTTTTCTGTCCTCTCGAACGCTGGTGTTTCTGTCCTCTCAAGCGCTGGTGTTTCTGTCCTCTCAAGCGCTGGTGTTTTTGTCCCCTCAAACGCTGGTGTTTCTGTCCTCTTGAGCGCTGCTGTTTCTGTCCCCACGAATGCTGGTGTTTCTGTCCCCTCAAACGTTGGTGTTTCTGTCCTCTCTCGCTGCTGTTTCTGTCCCCTCGAACGCTGGTGTTTCTGTCCTCTCGAACGCTGGTGTTTCTGTCCTCTCGAACGCTGGTGTTTCTGTCCTCTCGAACGCTGGTGTTTCTGTCCTCTCGAACGCTGGTGTTTCTGTCCTCTCAAACGCTGGTGTTTCTGTCCTCTCGAACGCTGGTGTTTCTGTCCTCTCGAACGCTGGTGTTTCTGTCCTCTCGAACGCCGGTGTTTCTGTCCCCTCAAACGTTGGTGTTTCTGTCCTCTCTCGCTGCTGTTTCTGTCCTCTCTCGCTGCTGTTTCTGTCCTCTCGAACGCTGGTGTTTCTGTCCCCTCGAACGCTGGTGTTTCTGTCCTCTCGAACGCTGGTGTTTCTGTCCTCTCGAACGCTGGTGTTTCTGTCCTCTCGAACGCTGGTGTTTCTGTCCTCTCGAACGCTGGTGTTTCTGTCCTCTCGAGCGCTGGTGTTTCTGTCCTCTCGAGCGCTGGTGTTTCTGTCCTCTCGAACGCTGGTGTTTCTGTCCTCTCGAGCGCTGGTGTTTCTGTCCTCTCGAACGCTGGTGTTTCTGTCCTCTCGAGCGCTGGTGTTTCTGTCCCCCCGAACACTGGTGTTTCTGTCCTCTCGAACGCTGGTGTTTCTGTCCTCTCGAGCGCTGGTGTTTCTGTCCTCTCGAGCGCTGGTGTTTCTGTCCTCTCGAACGCCGGTGTTTTCTGTCCTCTCGAACGCTGGTGTTTCTGTCCTCTCAAGCGCTGGTGTTTCTGTCCTCTCAAGCGCTGGTGTTTTTGTCCCCTCAAACGCTGGTGTTTCTGTCCTCTTGAGCGCTGCTGTTTCTGTCCCCACGAATGCTGGTGTTTCTGTCCCCTCAAACGTTGGTGTTTCTGTCCTCTCTCGCTGCTGTTTCGGTCCTCTCGAGCGCCGGTGTTTCTGTCCTCTCGAGCGCTGATGTTTCTGTCCTCTGGAACGCTGGTGTTTCTGGCCTGTCCTCTGAGATCTGACTTGTGTGTGTGTCTCAGAGGGTTCAGCTGTGTCTGGACTGCGACAAGATCTCCGTTCTGCTCGGATCTCTGGACTTCCATCCGCCCAAACCCCAGAAAACCCTCATCATTACCAACTCGGCTGAGGAGACAGAGCATGTGTATAAGGTAGAAGATTACACCAATCCACCAATCAGATTTCAGATATCACAAACATTTTGCTTTCATCCTCAACATTTCACAATTATTTCATGACTGGTTGTCCATGTTTTAGGGTTTGTACAAGGTGCTTGAAGTACTTGAATTTGACTTTAAAATGTAACTCCTGGAAAACCCTTGAAAAGAGCCATATTTACAAAGAGTTACTTGCAAAGTGCTTGATTTATTTAAATACAATATACATTACATAAATAAAAATCGGAAAAGCACACATAAAATTTTTATCACACAAAAATAATACTGCAGCCCACTGATAATCCCCCTGGAATTTATTTTTACAGTATCTGTACGAACTCTGTTTTCTTGTTGTCATTATGGCAATGTGTTGAACCTCTAATGTAATGCTGATTGGCTCCTGCATATGATGGATTTTACCATCTGTCGTTCAGGCTGTGGTCAACACTGCCGTATTCACACTGAAAGCTCATGAAGATGTGACGGACCAGTTTGACTTCGTCATTGATCAGTGGAGGAAAGACATCGGTCAAGGAACCCAGGTCATTCTGGGTAAGTGTTTGCTATTTGACGTTCCAGCTGTTAAACTAAATACCTTAAGATGTTTTTCCATCAGATGCAGGAGTTTTCTTTCCGTGTTTTTCCAGCTACAGAGCAGACATTCTCTGTTATTATTTTTAAGTAATTGCGCTGTTCGATGCTGCCTATTGTTGTTTTTTAATGTTCTTTAACTGAGATTAATTCACTTGACAGAATTTCGTTTGACTATGTATATTGACAATTATTGTTTGTTATGTTCTTACATTCTGTTGGATAGCCACAAAGGTTTTCTTTATTTAAATTAAATGTTCCTTTTAGGTTTGGAGAACATTCCTCCTAACCTCTGACATCCTTTACCTGCTATTAGTCAATAATTAGTCCTGAAATAAATTGTTTGGTAAACTTAAGCCATGCATCTAATAGAAGAAAAAAAAAAAGATTTTTTATATTTAAAAAATAAAAGCCAGTTTATCATTTAAACTATGATGATAAACATTTATCATTACTTGGGTTTTAATGTATACTTCAGCTCTGGACATTGTGGAGATTATTATTACTGTTGCGCTCACTATGCACAGGTGTTTTAGTAGAGAACGCAGGTTAATAGGTGGGAGATTCACGTTCCTGATTGAAGGAGGGTCCAGCTAAGGATTGAAACGCAAATCAGTGAGATCTTAAAACGGTGTGTTATTATGAGCATGTGATATACGCAGAAGCGAGAGTTTGTTTGCATGTTGTCTCGTCGGGAGAGTTGCGCCACCAGTAAGCTTCTATTTAATAATGAAACGCTTATTGATATGCGGGGAAAGTTTGCCTGTCTGTTTGTGCAACCATTGTGCTACCACAGCATATGCACACAGTTTGTGTGTAGATAAATGTTGATAAATGTTGCTGCGGGAACATTGATAACCTCGCTTTCAACCAATGTTTAATGTTGTCATATTAAAAGTATTTGCGGTAATTCTTAAGTAAATGTTTGGATTTGGAGCGGTTCACTTTTGTATGAAGTTACTTCCTGGTTTGCAATGCCGGATGGGAAATGTAGTTTGTCATCTTGCGTTGATAATGAGTTACTATGCTAAAGCGTCACTACATAAACTACACTCACTAGATTCACGTTGGGCCAACGCACTAAGAATATCTCTTGATTTAGAGCGATTGGTTTAATTATAATTGAATATTGGTGTATATCTTATATGTGTGAAGCTGTTGCATTTCTGTGCTTAATGTTTATGTTTGTATAGTCATTTTGATTGAATAATAAATTATATTATAATATTTATTGAGAATGTTGATTAATATGTTATTACGTAATGTTTATTGGAATTTATATTTATTAGTATTTGATATATTCAGAATTTATAGTATGATATGTAAGTGGTTATTAATTGTTATTTACACTGTCTTTTTATGTCTATAGGTTTATAACCTCTTTGTTTGTGGACTAATCAACTATATGTGGAAATAATAAATCCAAGTAAAACAAAACCACCATTGAGTTATGAAAACGTCTTCTCTCCTGACGCCCCGTTCGGTGGGGAAATTCTTGAAAAAAACCCCGAACAATTACAGTTAACTAGTTTATTGCACACCTCCATGCAGTGTTCTGGATCGCAACTTTAGTTAACTTTCTGTTTTCCTTTGACTACATTATTGTTATGATGTCAATGCAGGAACTGATTCGTTTTTCATGCGAATTTGTGTGTTAAAGGCACAATATGTAATTTTTCGCCTCTAGAGGTCGCTTATTCAAAACAAAAGCAAAACTTGATGGCGCCTTGATTTGGTGGAATCATAGGAGTTGTTGTCTCAACCTCTTACAGCCGGTGGAGAATAAGAAGGGACTCAAGAAGGAACAGAAATCATATTCATGGATTACCCGAAATGTATTAAAGATTAATTAACGTTTCGAAAGCTGTTGAGCTGAACGAGTCGCTGGAGCGATTGCTAATGAGAGACGAGTACGACACGCAGCTAGAGAGCAGTGGAGCTTTTATTATCCAAAGCTTCCACTTCTTCTGGTCATGCAAATGTTTAACGCAGTGTTGTTTTATCAAATTAGATACATTTGAGTGTGATGTTATAATGTTACATTATAACATTATAATGTACGTTATAATGCTACTCTACTAAATCAGACACACTGCAGTGAGATACATCAATATTAGTCATGGTAAAACATGGTACTCGCTGTAAATAAAAATAAAAAAGAGATTTAAACAATAAGACTGTGTAGAGCTGTAACAATGACTAGTTTTCTGCCGAAGAATCTATCCAATCAGATGCTCACCTGTCTAATTAAACACACGGCACAAAAACACAAATCGAGGGTAACGTGGGTATGATGTCATTGACAGACAACGCACGGACATGGTCCGTGTTCTGGTTAAAACTGCTTATTTCTCTGAATTTAAACATTCTTAGAAACATTTGTAATAATGTAAGCATACAAATCAACCAAATATATAACCTTGTCCTAGTGGTTTTTGAATATTTTAGTCCAAACATCTTACATATTGTGCCTTTTAATGGCATTATATTATTCGCTTCAGTCTGAAATTATTTAAAAAAAAAACAGTAGGTTGTTAGCGAAACCTGCCTGCAATGTACTGGGAAGGTTAGTGGACATATGTTAGGGAACATTCAGTGTTTTGCTTCTTGTCTGACTCTCATTGCTCCTCCAGTGACCACCAACGACTGCCTCAAGGCTCTTGGTATCCGGGACGCCACATGCGTGGTCCATTACGGGTTCCCCAGCTCCCCCAAGCTGTTCGGCCGACGCCTCTTCTGCATGTCGGAGAACTTCAGAAGCCTTCCAGACACGGTGCTTTGCTTTATGCTCATCCCTGTTGTTGAGTGTGATGGGGATATAGTGTTGGGCGGTATGACCTAAAATTTATATCACAGTATTTTTCAATTCTCGATATACAACAGCATTTTTTTTTTTTAATTCACTTAGAATGCTATATTTTACTGTCATGAGGAAATATTAGAAAAATAGAAAAATGCCACACTAGTATTAACCCTCTGGGGTCGGCTATCGCGCCAGTGCGACAAGCTCACTTTTTTTCTTATAACTGCAAAAGAGACTCAAATTACTCTTCTGATTTTGATCTTGCATATAAGTGGTATACATCATTCGATCCCGTTAAGTGTCTAGTTTTTTGTGCATACACACAATAAAAACAAAGTGTTTTGCTTTTTGTGAAATAAAGAAAAATAAACATGATGCGCATTTTGCCTTTTCTCTGTCAGTGGAGTTTATTCTGAAACGCGTCCAAGAATGAACTGTAACTCAGTGAATACTTGTCACAGAGACATGAAAGGTTTCTCTTAAATGAAGTAATTTATATAAAAAACAACTATTCTCAGTTGATGTAATCTATATGAAAAGAGAGAAAAATCAGTCTTTTTCCTTTCACCTAATTATAGCGTAATGTGGCCCCGCCCACTGAGAGTGTGCGCTATTCAAACGCTAATGTTGAGGCAAGCCATGAAAAGCCGGATAAAACATCCAGTTTCTTACAAATCTCACCTCGTCTTGCTGCGCAGTGAGGAAAAATACTATCTAATAATCCTGGATAAGTTACCTCCGATGGTAGTTTCTTTTCGAGGAGCACACAGATTCAGCTGATGTAATAAGTCATTTATTCTTAAGTGCTTTGTTCTAATCGCGTTATTGAATAGTGTCTGTAAACTGCACAAAGACTGTTTAAATATTAAATGCGTGTCTGTGTGTAAATGAATGGATGAATGAATGGCACAGATGCGTGCGCTCTGTGCGTTCATGATGGGGGTTATCCATCAGCCGGAAGTTGAAGCCTCGCGGGGGCCGCCATTGTAGAAGAACTTCACCTGCTGTTAACATCCCATTGACTCCCATTGATTTTGGCGTCACTTTGACAGCGAATAACTTTACATCTGAGGCATCCAAAGACTTCATTTGTCCATTATTTATTTCTAAAGAAACACGACAATGTATAAAATGATCCATTACTTTTTATTTTACATTACGGCCCTGTAGAAGGCGGTTTTGTAAAAATGGGCTAAAGATAGCGTCTTAACCACGGGACTTTCTGTCGCACAATAGAGACATTACTGTACAGACCGGAGGAGAAGCTTGCAGGCAGTCTTTTACTGTCTATGAAGCAATCGGGGGGGACATGGAGGCATAAAGTCAAGGAAGAAGCCTTTTACTGTTTATGAGGCAATCGGGTGGACATGGAGGCACAAATTCAAGGGAGACGCCCACAAATAGAAAGTCCATAAAAGCAACGGGACAAAATATTTCAACAACGTTTTTGAGCAATTGCACCAAGTCTGGCTAGACAGACAGAAGTGTGGCCAATACCAGCTAAGGACCCACCTTCTTACCTGAGGGCATATAACCCCTGCAAGAGCTACTGTTCTCCAATAAGTATATATACGCCTCTCGTGCAGCAAGCGGGACAAAGCCATAGTATAAGAAATGGACAGAGCGATCTCATTGGAACTCCATTGAGATGAATGAAGCCGTTTTTTTTTTTTTCGTTTTTTTTAGCACTTCCTTCCCTGACGCGCAGACTCAAACAGAGCTTGACGACGTAGATGTGACGAGAGCAAACCGTCTGTCTTCTAGTGGCTGTGGCATGAGAAATCTCAATCATTCCCTTTCGAAACTCGCAGAGGCGGAGAGTGTGAATAGGAGCTGTCCATGAGCGAGGAGAAGGAGACACTTTTGCTAGGTATTCTGATTAATTATTTTGTCATTTTGCCTACATTTTCCCCGATTGCGTGCGAGCTTCTTCTCCTGTCCATACGGTAATCTCTCTAATGTGCGACAGAGAGTCGCGTGGGTATGACGCAATCGTTAGCCTACTTTCACTAAAACTGCTTGTACGGGGCCATAACATAAGCTACAAGGTAATGGAGCATTTTATACATTGTCGTGTTTCTTTATAAATAAATAAAGGACAAATGGGCTCTTCAAACGCCTCAGATGTAAAGTTATTCGCTGTCAAACTGACACCAAAATGAATGGGAGTCAATGGGAATGCTAACGCAAGTGAAGTTCTGCTACAAGATGTCAGCTCCCGTGAGGCTTCAACTTCCGGTCGATGGATTACCCCCTTGGACAAAGCTGGTGTACGTCTTCCCTCGATGTTATAGAGAACCGGGTTTACAACAGTAACCTATTGTTTTCTATCATCATCTCGTGTTCGAGATCCACCTATGGGAGAGGCATGGACAGCTCCCCGATTGCCCAGTTCACCCCAGGGAGGCGGTGGGTAACTGGGTAACCGGGAAGGGCTAAGAAGACCTCACCCCTACAACAGAATGTGCTACCGAAGTTTTGAGCTCTGATGTCCACTGGGGGCTGCACTCCTTTCGATTCATATGCCAATGTGAGAGGCGTTGCTTAGATAGGGGATTCCCTGTATGAGGGGGCGCCCAGGAAATTAGAGCAGCACTGTTCCTGGCCATATGTCTGTAATGCACGGACAGCCCACAGAGCATTCAGCCTCTGATCCTGGGCAGAGGAAAAATGTGGAGGGTAAAAAGTGGATAGCTCTAACATCTCCGATGTGAATGCAGGGAAGCATTTGGGCTTAAAAGCCAGATTAGGCTTTAGGAAAACTTTATTCCCACTAGGAGAGACTTTAGTGCACATAGAATGCACCAAGAGTGTATAAAGCTCACTGACATGTGTAGCTGCTGCCAAGAGCAACGCCATCTTGAAATACACCACCTTTACGAAAATACTCCCCAGAGGCTCAAAAGAATATTGAGACCAAATAGAGGTCCCACTCACGAACAGTTCTCCAGATTACTGGCAAGGAGCGACAGGCACCCTTCATAAATCTGCGGATTAAAGGATGCTGATAATGGAAAAGAACCTGCCTTTATCCATAAGGTTTGACGGAAAAACAGGACCTGGTATTCTGTATTAGCAACCACACGTGGGGGAAGCCCTGGTGTGCTTAGGATTGTACTCGCACAGGCCAGGCCTAGAGAGCCACCCTGTCTTGGTGTGGGTGATAGATCTCCCTGTTTGTTTGAGACAGTAAGGGCCATTTTCATTTTGTCTTCTTGTCTGTACTTGTGTTCTTGTGAAACGTCATAATTTGTGGCCCAAGTACTGTCCCAATACACAAGTTTGTATTTTGGCAAGAACTGTTACAAATCCCGGATGTGTTCTTGTCGCCCATTTTACCCGAGGATGCATCGGTTGGTAACTTGTGTGAACTTGACGGCAGAAATATCCCAGCATTCATTTCGGCATTCGAGGAAGAAGACAATACAGTAATTTGTTTTTCTACATTTTGTATGCTATTTCATCACTAAATTCACTTCTGAGAACATTTGATGTGAGAAAGATTTCAAATATTCTTATTTTAATGAAAATCTATGGAGAATCGAAAATATGCTCAAACGTTTTCGGAAGTGAGAATCTCTAAGCGCCCGCGGGTGTTAAGTCAGCTAGCGAGCCGACCGGCCAGTCTGCTCACTGACTCGTTTTACCCCACACTCAAGAGACCATTGCTGCCTGGCTCTTATCGTCAATAATTCTTGTTATATTTGGGTACTGCTGACGGTGTCTGTGCAGGGGTATTATTGCGCAATACCAGCAAGAACACATTGTCTCAAACTGTCAGCAGCGTTCTGTGTGCCGTCACCTTGTGAGTTCATTCTTCCAAGAACAACTAGCAAGAGTGTTCTCCCCAAGAGCACAAGTCCATTCTTTCCATAAGTCTGTGCAGAGGGAAAGGCGCCATGGCTCGGCATATAACAGAGGGATTATCTCCGCCAGCCATCATGCTTTGGGTGTCCCAAAAAATGGGTGCTATAAAAATGAGAGACAGGCACTTCTTTTTCGCGCTGGCCAGCGTGGGAATTGTCAGGCACAGGGGAGGAAAAGCATACAATAGCACTTGAGGCCATTGGTGGGCCAGTGGAATATACCCCGAGGGTATATTCTTTAAAGAGAAGACGTCCCAGGACAATGGGAGTTTTCTCACGCGAGGCGAATAGATCTACAATTGCCTGTCCGAATCTCATCCAAATCATGCCCACTATCTGAGGGTGAAGGCGCTAATCTCTGTAGAGAGGGTTTCCCCCTCGATAGAAGGTCTGCACCTCTGTTCAGAATGCCTGAAACATGAGTTGTGCCTAATGACATGAAAACCTATCTGCTCTACATCAAAAGCTTGTGAGCTGGAGCGTGAGTAAAGTTTCTGCTACAGACCAATAATGCTTTACCGCACACCATTTTTTCTTCAACAACCACACGTCATACATTACTACGCCATTTCTCATAACTGCACCTTTCAGTTTTGGTTTTCCTTTCGATCGAGTGTTTACATGTTCTATCTATCGGATTACAAAATGAATAAACCAACCCTTTCAAAGCTCATTTGGATCGATTGAGGTGTTTACATGAAGGCTTTTTTTTTTTAGTCTGATTGAGCCGTCAATCCGAATACTAACGGATTATTTGGTTGCATATAAACGTAGCTAGTGAAAACGGTCTCTAAAACAGTGTTGCTCCGCGTTCCCAACGTTGTTTAAGCGACAAACACCATTATTGAGATTTCTATAAAAATGTATATTGCAACAAAAATAAACACTAGTATTCGGTATGAACTGATAGATCACCCAGCACTACTGTGATGTAACTGGTGTGTGTGTGTGTGTGCAGGATCATGTTGAGAGCTTTGGTTTATGCTCTTTTCTGTAGTTGAGTGTGATGGTGATGTAACTGGCGTGTTTGCAGGATCACGGCGAGAGCTGGTGCCCGGCGGCTCAGTCTGTGTTGCTGCTCTCAGAGCTGAACGCCCGGCACGTGTGTGGTGTGCTTCGGTACCTGAGGAGAGCCGGTGCCCGTCTGCCCCCCGAGCTGCTGCAGTTCGCTCTCGGTGTCCAGCAGGCCAAGGAGGAGCAGAAGACCCAGCGCCCACTCTGCTGCACACTCAAGAGCTTCGGCTTCTGCAGGTCTGCCTCGAACACCTGCACTGCACAGAACTCACGTAACTCACACATCACAGAACTCGCGTAACTCGCATATCACAGAACTCACATCAGAGTTGTACAGCGTCTGACTGGCTAATGAGTTTCTCCTCTTTGCAGAGACAGCACAGTTTGTCCAGATAGACACATGATCAACAAATCCCTGGATCATCCAAAGCACCCGGACTCTGGCACTGTAATGGTCAGTTCAAAGCAGACCATCATAAGAAATATCCGGTTTCTCATGGTATTGTGTAATTCAGTAATTGAAATGGAATTTATTGTAGATATTGGATCCTCAGTAGATCAAAATGTTTTTAAGGACCGCTTAAAGTCGTATCTGTATTCTTTAGCTTTTTAGTACCTTACTATATGGATGTTTTTGTGTTCCTTTTCTATTTTTGTCTTCATGTCTTTTTGACTCTTTTACGGCAATGTACAGCACTTTGGAACTGCGGTAGCAGTCTGTAAGGTGCTATATAAATAAATAAACGAAACGAACAAAACGAGAATGTGGAATGTCACGAAATTTGGCAAGTCAGAAGTAGGGCTGTACAACTCATCACATTCAGACTGTGATGTGCGTTTAGTGTCTGATTATTAAACCACAAAAAAACATCCAATACAGTCTGAAACTCAAAGGACAAAAGTTCAGTTTAACTTGAAGAAATTGACAATTATATTACTGTCGTAGAGTAAAGTCATTCATCATAATAATAATAAATACAATTTATTAAAGCGTTCTTTTTAAGGAATATCACACAATCAAGAGATTTGTTTTCATCCATGTTTTAAATAATTTATTCAGTAAACTTCTCTTGTACAGCACTAATTGACACAGATAAAGGTAAAGGAAATCAAAAAATAAAAAACAATAGAGGCAACACTTTCATTTGTTATCGCCGGAGTTCTCGCCATCATTCAAAAGCTTTGCTACCGATGTAAATTCGGAACTTCGCACGTTATTTATCCGACTCCTTCTTTTTAATTTGTTCTTGTTAGTTTTACATTGGTTTATTGGTTAACATTGGTTAATTGTTACCAGAATTGCTATATTTTCATTTAATTACATGTTACAATAAATTGTTTTATTAGGTTTTATTAATTAAGTTGTATTACCTCAGGTTTTAAAACATTTTAATTGAATAGACAAACATTGAATAGACACAAAAAGATTGAATTAAATTAACCATTTCATAGGGCTCAGTTATAATTAAAATAAAGTTATTAGATGTGCTTTTTGATGATTCAGTTTAATTTTGATAATATAATATTGAAAACAAAATTTTGGAAAAAAGAGAACATTTCACAAAAAAATCTAAAAATCTTCAAGCTTCTGCTAGCCTGGGTAAAACCAGACCATTCTCAGTTGTAACTGATTTATGGTCTGGCAAAGCTTCATAGACGAATCATTTCCAAAGAAGCGTCACCAACGGACGTAGCGCAAATGCCTTTGGGCGCAATTGGATAGACCTATAACCAGTCAGGGGTGCGTTTCCCGAAAGCATCGTTAGCCAACTATGATCGCAAGTCCCGTCGTTATCAACATAGTTCAACGAGTCGGTGTTTCCCGAAACCATCGTTCCAACGAACATTCGCAAACAACATCGCAAAGTTGTGTGGTTTGAAAGACAGCTCTCGACCTGTGGTTAGAGGCATCGTTTCTATATTGCAACACATTTGGGCGTAATAAATCCTTATCTTGAGCAAAATAAGCAAGCTGACATTCAGTACAACCAGTGCCTATCCTGCTTTGGATTTGTTTGGAAAAATGTCTTTTGGCAAAGCAAAGATAGAGCAGACAATTGGTCTAAAATTTAAATATTTATTATTACACTCAAAGTTCTGCTGTTACTCTGAGGATCAGTGTGTTTGCATTGAAGTGATGCGGTTCTGATGCATCTTGGGTGTGTTCAATCGTGCCCATTGCCTCAGATCACTGAAAACCACGCTAACGTCAGACAGAAGGGCGCTCGCATTACTATCTGTACATTTCCTCAGTCTCTGTTCTTCTGACTTTGTCAAATTTCATATTTTGAGCTTGTCATATATTGTTTTAGTAGGTGTACTTATGAGTTCTAGACTTTTCAGATAGATTTGAATGTGACACTTTCTGAATCTTGAAAGGTTTTGCCGCTGCTGATAAAGACCGCGAGCGTGTACTCGGGGCGGATCGTGAGCCGGAGCGAGGACCGTTACGAGGCTCTGGCGGCTGCCATGAGCGCGCACTACGCCGAAGAGAGACGCTGCGCTGTGGAGGTGCTGGAGGGAGAACTGTACGCCGTCCAGGAGGAGAACTCCTACAGCCGGTGAACACACACCTCGCTCTGATTACATTTACTACATACTTCATCACAAACTGACACTAATACTGCAGTTAAACCGATCAAACGTTACAAAAGATTCCGTTAAAAAGAAAATGCTGCTTTTCTGAACTTTCTAAAATCCTGGAAAATAATCCGAGATCCACTGGTTGACGATCTCACGTTGATCTGATTGGCTACAAGGTGGTTTGTGGCGTCAGAAACACCAGCGATTTCACACCGTGTGTTTGAGACTGTCTTTGGTTCACTGCAGCTTTAAGGAGGAAATACTCAGCAATGCTGTCCACTTATCAACGCACACATGGTTAAAGCATATTAAAAACACCACACAGACACATAAACAACATTAAAGCTGGATTTCACCACAGGGGGACTTTAATTTGATCTTTTCAGTGTATGTAAATTAGGGCTGAAACGATTCCTCGAGTTATTCGATTACAAAAATTCCTCGAGGCAAAAAACTGCCTCGAAGCCTCGTTAAATTCCTATGACGCGCACTTTACGCGCACGCAGGGATCTGATTGTTTCACACGGACCGTTATTCAGGAAGGACACCATAGCGCATGATACATTTGACTTCATAAATGGCAGAGAATGTCTAAAGTTTGGGATCATTATATGTTTATAAAGGGAGAGAACAAGATGCAATGTGTCTGCAAAGTATACCTGGCAGGGCTGCCAACTCTCACGCATTCAGCGTGAGACTCGCGCAATTCGATTTCTCACGCGGAAGTGTCAATCCCTTCAGTCAAATGCCTGAAAGATGAGTTCGTCTATAGATCTACCTGTTGAGCCACTCCTGATCGACTAGTTTTACTGCCGCATTGATTCGCAAGTTAAAATATCCTGCAATCTAGTGCGAGCGCGCATGCGAGATGTTGAGCTCCTAACCGCGGCTCGCGCACGACGGCAGAGAGGTAAGCGAGCGCGTGCACCCATGTCTCTCTCACGCGCCAGTCAGACCAATTGCGGCAATTCATTATATGCTTAAACTTTTATGTAGCCACGCAACAAAAATTTCATAATACATTCACCGGGACGTGATGGAGGAACAAATATTGTGAGACACACAGACACACACTCTCTGATGTTTGTCTTGAGATTACAGTTGAAAAAGTCTGATTCTTATTTATAATTGTTTTATTTCCATTTATTTATTTTTTATAATTTATACACATTTGTGTACCTGTTTGGGTTGATATTTTATATTAATATATTTTTGTTTCCAGGTGGGTAATTTGCAGAAGGTGCAATCCTTTTTTTGTAATGTTGTATTAAGAAGACAAAACTAAGGCCAAATGGGCTTTACTATTTAAGTTTGTATTCAAAGTTGTACATGTTATGGGCTACATGTAACATGTTGTACAGTAAATTGTTTTAACTGTATTGTTATATAATTGTTGGCACTGGCACTTATAAACACTAAATGGGTAAAAATTGCAATGATTAGTTGTGGAGCCAAATGTTGCAGTTGGAATAAATACCTCTATTTTTTGAAAGAAATAAAAGCCAAACACCTTATCATTTTCGTAATACATTATTTGTTTTGGTTGCTTAAAAACACACATAAACAAATTATCCGATTACTCGATTAATCGATCGATTAAGTGCTAGATGAATCGATTACAAAAAGAATCGATAGCTGCAGCCCTAATGTAAATGATTAAATGACAGATGTTTATGTGAATGTTTATGTGTCAGTGTGCGTGTGATGGAGGTGCCGGATAAAGGAGAGCAGTTGTTCAGCAGCGTCACGGCCTGCTTCATCGACGAGGGCCGCACACAGGAAGTGAAGTCACACCAGCTGCTCCAGCTTCCTGCTCAGTTCCAGGAGCTGCCGGACCAGGCCGTGGAGATCGTCCTGTGCCGAGCGCAGCCCGTCGACGGAGAGGTGGACTGGAACCCAAAGGTCTCAACAGCACCAACGCTCAAGTCAATCTACTGCAGTATTTCCTCTCAATCAGTAAAAAATGTGGTTTGCACACAGCTTGAAAACACAAATACTGTCATATACCGTGAAACCGCTATCATTTTGAAAAATACCGTGGTACAAATGTTTGGTCATACTGCCCAGCACTTCTTCAGCATATGACATGTTCAGTGTGTGTGTGTGTTCAGGTGACCAGAGCCGTGAGCGTGAAGATCAGAGGGAAGCTTCATCAGGCCAGGGTCGTGATGAGCGTGGGGAACACCATCTGGGTCGATCCGATGGTAGGTGTTCGTCAAAGTGTGTTCTAGCCAAAGAAATATGTGTGATGTCACCCGTAGTGTTTCTGAAGAGCGTTTTGAAGCCCAAAGTGGCCGTTGCCATCTTGGCAGTGCGTCACTCACAGATAAACCTAAATGATGGTAACAAACAGCAGACAAACGGCTAGCAGTGACATCAGCGGCAGTCTACCCGTCACTCAAGTGGCCACGCCCTTAATAATGCAGAACTTTAAGGCTTAATATCATTTAAATGGATGAGTTATAAAATAATTCACCCTCTCACAGTCATCGTGAAGGGCAATACTAGCTATATAGATCAAAACCACATTTTGCACCAATTTGTTTCTGCTGTGGCGTTTTAACATGGGGGTCTACGGGATTGACTCTCTTCTGCAGCCGGTTAGTGGTCAGTCGATGAACTGCAGTTTAAGTCACTTGAGTGTTGGTTTGGAGAGAGAGAGGAAGGTTTCTGCTGGGTTCTAGCGCTGGTTCTCTTCACACAGGTGCGCATGACGCGAGTGCCGGGTCTGAAGACCTACATCAACGAGTATAACGTCCACGCTGAGATCCTGGCCTCTGGGTTCGGTGTCAATAACCCTCAGCATCTGGACCTGCTGAAGAGGGTTTTCCAGGGAGAGCAGACCCTCGGCACGCTGGATCAGCACCTGACAGACGACAGGTGAGCAGTCTTTCCCTTCAGGAAACCCACGTATATATTAAATACACATTTAAATGCACGTTAAACTGACAGCATGTCCAGAGACGACCGATCTGATGAGCTGCTCGTGTGAACCATAAATCACAAGCGGTTTCATCAGACGCCTGCCAAAAAGCTCACTCAAAAAAACAATGTTAGATACTTTAATATTATCATGAGAAGTGTAGAAATAGTTCCGGTTCATTATGAAACTGCCGGGCCACCAGAGTCGACTGGGTTTATCACTGATGGCAAGATATTCAGTCATTAAAAAGGAGTAAAAATATTTATATTTTAAGGGTGCTTTTACACCTGCCTCGTTTAGTCCGGTTGAATCGCACTAGAGTTCGTTTTCCCCTTCGGTGCGGTTCGTTTGGGCTGATGTGAATGCAGAGATCGCCCTCGGGTGCGCACCAAAGAGGACCAAACAAGCGTACTTCGAGGAGGTCTGGGTACGCTTTCAAGCGAACTCTGGAGCGGTTTGTTTGCGGTGATCTGACCCCGAACAGACCCGACTGCCAAAGAACTGCACATTTCTGGACTAAACCAGCTGCCGTAGCGCATCAAAACTATGATTTAGATTGCCAGTAGTGCTTCCTTTAAGCCATGACTGACTCCCGCGTTCTGCTTTTTTAAAAAATTTATTTATTTATTTATTTTTATTAAACATTAAAGCAATACATACAAACATATATAAAAGAAGAAAAAAAATTACAGCAAAATACACAGACACAAATAAGTTGCCAGGGTAACATAAAAGCAAGAATGCGGTGCATTCACCTTAAGAGGACATAAAGGATGAATATATAGATACAGTTTTCATTGGGATTAACAGAACTTTGGATAATTTCCATGTATCTGCTCTCTCACTGAAACGCTCCTCATGAACACTGCACAGTGAGTCTCTTATTTACATCGCGTCTAGCCTGTGTTGTTTATAAGGGCATTTGTGAAAGGATAAAGCTTGTGCTGATTCTGAACATACACCGTGAATGACTTGTCCGCATGTCTGCCGGATCTTCCTCCTCTTCGTTTACTTCATCGAGTTATATTGGAATTTTCCCGCACGTTAAGCAATCAGTGTGGTGTGAAAAGGAACCAAAACGCCTGAAAATGCTACGAAGTATAATTTTTCTCCCTTGGTCCGAAACAAATTAACCGAACTACAGATGTGAAAGCACCCTAAGTCTAGAAAATCTGATTTTTTGGACCATTAAGGCTGCTTTACTTGATATAATGCCTTATACCATCATGTACACATTTACTATGCTCCAAAAATGTGGATTTGTCCATCAGATGGAGTAAAGAGGCTACTAGCATTCATATTTAAAGGGGCATTAATTTATAAGACTGCTGTATATCTTCCTTATGCTCCTATTCAGTAATGAATGTTATTATTTTGTTGTTGTTGTTGAGATTGATGTTGTGTCTACAATAACATCATGACTGAATAAAGAAATTTGATTGATTGATATTTTTAAAAAGCAGGTTAAGACATACCGTAAGTTTTAAAGTTGATTATCTATATATCAATTTGGTGTTGTAATAACAAAGCAGTATGTAAGTCAGGTTTTTTTTTTTACTGATTAACTGATTTTTAATTTTTTAATTTATTTTATTTTATATTGAGGTCAAACTATATAGCAAATTTACTTTTTTTACATGCTGAACCTTTATAGTTGTTTTCAAATGTCTTTATATTTACATTGTGTGATTGTATTATTTGAATTTATGCTTGTGAAGCACTTTGGGTTGCATGCTACGTATGAAAAGTGCTTTACAAATAAGTGTTTATTATTGTTATAATTTCGTAACACACACACACACACGCCTATTGTTGTTATCTGCAATCTGTGTTTTGTTGTCAGGAGTGAGAGCCATGCGCTGAGCCTCTCCGAGGAGATGATGACCAGCCGGATGAAGGATGTGGTCAGTACCCACAATGCACTGCGCTTCATCAACAGCAGCAGCGCAGATCAGGAGCCGGCAGAGGAGACCAGGCTAGTCTCTACATGCACTTCTTTTCATAGCTTCTTTACTTTATAGAAAACAATGAAAGTCCCTATGTTAGCAAAAAAATGTTACCCTTTATATCTATTTTATCCATGTGGTTTGTGCCGTTCACACTGTCTTAATAAAAGCCCCAATCTGAGTCAGATGTGAGCAAAAAAGTCTGATTTAGTCCACTTTTGCTTTGGTTTAATGGTTTTAACTCTATACCAAAATATAATATCATCTAATCTTTCCATTTGCGCTGTTTGTTGCATGTAATTCATTATTGAAGTAAACTTTTGCTCTGCTTTTCCCGGCTTAAAGGGGTCATGACCTGAGAAATCAAATTTGCCTTGATCTTTTGACATGTAATAGATCTATGTACCATTAAAACATCCTGCAAGTTTAAGAGCTTAAAACATCTTCTTCATTATTAACAAGCATTTATTTAATCAAGCTCATATGGATTTGTGACAAAACATCGACCAATAATTTTACATCATCACACCATATAAACTGATCACTCAAGACCAGCAAAAAACTTGATTAATGTTGTAAGTGAAACGCAAGGAAAATGTTGAAATGTAAAAATACATGTCATGTTCTTATTATGTAAGTCTCAAGATTTAGACATGGAGAAAAGCCATTATAGCTAATAACGTGAGGTGAGGACTAATTCACAAGTCTTTTTGATTCTGATTCCTAAAAAAAAGTAATTTTGTGTATCAGACATCAAAATATTAGATTGTTCCAGTATTTTTTTTATTTAACCGGTTATGAATAAGGACTGACTCACAGTTTTCGTATAGTATTGACTCATGTTCTCATTATAATTTTTTTGTTGTTGTTCTGTCTTAGCCCGGATGTGAACGGATTCTCATCTCCAGACCTGACCAGCTGTGAAACAGGCATGTTCATGTTCATGTGGATATAAGCACTACTCTGTTCATTAGCACTTATAGTGACACTTGGTTTTGATTATGCAGACAATGATGAAGCCCTGAGCATCAACAGATTACAGGCTGCTAATAAACCACAAGTACTCCATAATCCAGCACTTTTATCATTCCAGCCTCCCAGGTGTGTGTGTATAGCGATTAGCCAAAGCCTCTGATGATTTCTCATGTCTGTCAATAACGGCCAGCGTTCCCTGCAGTTTCCACCCACAGATCAAGTGGTTTCAGAGGGGCGAGTTTGTGACCATCTGTGTGAAGCTCACCAATCCAGTGATGCAGAAGTGTGAATTCAGCTCTGACACAGTCATCTACAGGTCACATGCTCATACTGTCATCTTATCCGTATGGATGCTTGACATGATGTCACTTTACTGTCCGTAATGAAGCAGAAGAAGCGGAGAACATGTGCATTTTATGGTGTTTAATGGGGATCTTTTGATGTATGTGATCTCAGTGGGTACGTGAATGACCGGCATTACCACGCAAAGCTGGAGCTGTCCGGTGAAATCATCGCGGAGAGGTGCTCATGGGAAATCAGGTGCAATGAGCCTGTGATGAAGCTGATGAAAAAGGAAAAGCAGGACTGGACGACGCTCCTCAAGCACAAGGCATGTATGCATGAATTATGCTGTAATGTGTAGAATCACACTGATTTCTAATCTCTCTCCACAGAGTGCCTTCGTCAGCTATGAGTTTGACCACATCGATGAGACTTGTGCTTCTCCAGTGAACGGTGAGGAACAAATATGTGTCTGTGGTCCTCAGTGTTTCAGCGAGTGTGACGGGTGTTTGTGGTCCTCAGTGTTTCAGTGAGTGTGACGGGTGTTTGTGGTCCTCAGTGTTTCAGTGAGTGTGACGGGTGTTTGTGGTCCTCAGTGTTTCAGCGAGTGTGACGGGTGTTTGTGGTCCTCAGTGTTTCAGTGAGTGTGACGGGTGTTTGTGGTCCTCAGTGTTTCAGCGAGTGTGACGGGTGTTTGTGGTCCTCAGTGTTTCAGCGAGTGTGACGGGTGTTTGTGGTCCTCAGTGTTTCAGCGAGTGTGACGGGTGTTTGTGGTCCTCAGTGTTTCAGTGAGTGTGACGGGTGTTTGTGGTCCTCAGTGTTTCAGTGAGTGTGACGGGTGTTTGTGGTCCTCAGTGTTTCAGCGAGTGTGACGGGTGTTTGTGGTCCTCAGTGTTTCAGCGAGTGTGACGGTGTTTGTGGTCCTCAGTGTTTCAGTGAGTGTGACGGTGTTTGTGGTCCTCAGTGTTTCAGTGAGTGTGACGGTGTTTGTGGTCCTCAGTGTTTCAGTGAGTGTGACGGGTGTTTGTGGTCCTCAGTGTTTCAGTGAGTGTGACGGGTGTTTGTGATCCTCAGTGTTTCAGTGAGTGTGACGGTGTTTGTGGTCCTCAGTGTTTCAGTGAGTGTGATGGTGTTTGTGGTCCTCAGTGTTTCAGCGAGTGTGACGGGTGTTTGTGGTCCTCAGTGTTTCAGTGAGTGTGACGGGTGTTTGTGGTCCTCAGTGTTTCAGTGAGTGTGACGGGTGTTTGTGGTCCTCAGTGTTTCAGTGAGTGTGACGGGTGTTTGTGGTCCTCAGTGTTTCAGCGAGTGTGACGGGTGTTTGTGGTCCTCAGTGTTTCAGTGAGTGTGACGGGTGTTTGTGGTCCTCAGTGTTTCAGTGAGTGTGACGGGTGTTTGTGGTCCTCAGTGTTTCAGCGAGTGTGACGGGTGTTTGTGGTCCTCAGTGTTTCAGTGAGTGTGACGGGTGTTTGTGGTCCTCAGTGTTTCAGTGAGTGTGACGGGTGTTTGTGGTCCTCAGTGTTTCAGCGAGTGTGACGGGTGTTTGTGGTCCTCAGTGTTTCAGCGAGTGTGACGGGTGTTTGTGGTCCTCAGTGTTTCAGTGAGTGTGACGGGTGTTTGTGGTCCTCAGTGTTTCAGTGAGTGTGACGGGTGTTTGTGGTCCTCAGTGTTTCAGTGAGTGTGACGGTGTTTGTGGTCCTCAGTGTTTCAGTGAGTGTGACGGGTGTTTGTGGTCCTCAGTGTTTCAGTGAGTGTGACGGTGTTTGTGGTCCTCAGTGTTTCAGTGAGTGTGACGGGTGTTTGTGGTCCTCAGTGTTTCAGCGTGTGTGACGGGTGTTTGTGGTCCTCAGTGTTTTAGTGAGTGTGACGGTGTTTGTGGTCCTCAGTGTTTCAGTGAGTGTGACGGTGTTTGTGGTCCTCAGTGTTTCAGTGAGTGTGACGGGTGTTTGTGGTCCTCAGTGTTTCAGTGAGTGTGACGGGTGTTTGTGGTCCTCAGTGTTTCAGTGAGTGTGACGGGTGTTTGTGGTCCTCAGTGTTTCAGTGAGTGTGACTGTGTTTGTGGTCCTCAGTGTTTCAGCGAGTGTGACGGTGTTTGTGGTCCTCAGTGTTTCAGTGAGTGTGACGGGTGTTTGTGGTCCTCAGTGTTTCAGTGAGTGTGACGGGTGTTTGTGGTCCTCAGTGTTTCAGTGAGTGTGACGGTGTTTGTGGTCCTCAGTGTTTCAGCGAGTGTGACGAGTGTTTGTGGTCCTCAGTGTTTCAGCGAGTGTGACGGTGTTTGTGGTCCTCAGTGTTTCAGTGAGTGTGACGGGTGTTTGTGGTCCTCAGTGTTTCAGTGAGTGTGACGGGTGTTTGTGGTCCTCAGTGTTTCAGTGAGTGTGACGGGTGTTTGTGGTCCTCAGTGTTTCAGTGAGTGTGACGGGTGTTTGTGGTCCTCAGTGTTTCAGTGAGTGTGACAGTGTTTGTGGTCCTCAGTGTTTCAGTGAGTGTGACGGGTGTTTGTGGTCCTCAGTGTTTCAGTGAGTGTGACGGGTGTTTGTGGTCCTCAGTGTTTCAGTGAGTGTGACGGTGTTTGTGGTCCTCAGTGTTTCAGTGAGTGTGACGGGTGTTTGTGGTCCTCAGTGTTTCAGTGAGTGTGACGGGTGTTTGTGGTCCTCAGTGTTTCAGTGAGTGTGACGGGTGTTTGTGGTCCTCAGTGTTTCAGTGAGTGTGACGGGTGTTTGTGGTCCTCAGTGTTTCAGTGAGTGTGACGGGTGTTTGTGGTCCTCAGTGTTTCAGTGAGTGTGACGGTGTTTGTGGTCCTCAGTGTTTCAGTGAGTGTGACGGGTGTTTGTGGTCCTCAGTGTTTCAGTGAGTGTGACGGGTGTTTGTGGTCCTCAGTGTTTCAGTGAGTGTGACGGGTGTTTGTGGTCCTCAGTGTTTCAGTGAGTGTGACGGGTGTTTGTGGTCCTCAGTGTTTCAGTGAGTGTGACGGTGTTTGTGGTCCTCAGTGTTTCAGTGAGTGTGACGGGTGTTTGTGGTCCTCAGTGTTTCAGTGAGTGTGACGGGTGTTTGTGGTCCTCAGTGTTTCAGTGAGTGTGACGGGTGTTTGTGGTCCTCAGTGTTTCAGTGAGTGTGACGGTGTTTGTGGTCCTCAGTGTTTCAGTGAGTGTGACGGGTGTTTGTGGTCCTCAGTGTTTCAGTGAGTGTGACGGGTGTTTGTGGTCCTCAGTGTTTCAGTGAGTGTGACGGGTGTTTGTGGTCCTCAGTGTTTCAGTGAGTGTGACGGGTGTTTGTGGTCCTCAGTGTTTCAGTGAGTGTGACGGGTGTTTGTGGTCCTCAGTGTTTCAGTGAGTGTGACGGGTGTTTGTGGTCCTCAGTGTTTCAGTGAGTGTGACGGGTGTTTGTGGTCCTCAGTGTTTCAGTGAGTGTGACGGGTGTTTGTGGTCCTCAGTGTTTCAGTGAGTGTGACGGGTGTTTGTGGTCCTCAGTGTTTCAGTGAGTGTGACGGTGTTTGTGGTCCTCAGTGTTTCAGTGAGTGTGACGGGTGTTTGTGGTCCTCAGTGTTTCAGTGAGTGTGACGGGTGTTTGTGGTCCTCAGTGTTTCAGTGAGTGTGACGGGTGTTTGTGGTCCTCAGTGTTTCAGTGAGTGTGACGGGTGTTTGTGGTCCTCAGTGTTTCAGTGAGTGTGACGGGTGTTTGTGGTCCTCAGTGTTTCAGTGAGTGTGACGGGTGTTTGTGGTCCTCAGTGTTTCAGTGAGTGTGACGGTGTTTGTGGTCCTCAGTGTTTCAGTGAGTGTGACGGTGTTTGTGGTCCTCAGTGTTTCAGTGAGTGTGACGGGTGTTTGTGGTCCTCAGTGTTTCAGTGAGTGTGACGGGTGTTTGTGGTCCTCAGTGTTTCAGTGAGTGTGACGGGTGTTTGTGGTCCTCAGTGTTTCAGTGAGTGTGACGGGTGTTTGTGGTCCTCAGTGTTTCAGTGAGTGTGACGGGTGTTTGTGGTCCTCAGTGTTTCAGTGAGTGTGACGGGTGTTTGTGGTCCTCAGTGTTTCAGTGAGTGTGACGGGTGTTTGTGGTCCTCAGTGTTTCAGTGAGTGTGACGGGTGTTTGTGGTCCTCAGTGTTTCAGTGAGTGTGACGGTGTTTGTGGTCCTCAGTGTTTCAGTGAGTGTGACGGGTGTTTGTGGTCCTCAGTGTTTCAGTGAGTGTGACGGGTGTTTGTGGTCCTCAGTGTTTCAGTGAGTGTGACGGGTGTTTGTGGTCCTCAGTGTTTCAGTGAGTGTGACGAGTGTTTGTGGTCCTCAGTGTTTCAGTGAGTGTGACGGTGTTTGTGGTCCTCAGTGTTTCAGTGAGTGTGACGGGTGTTTGTGGTCCTCAGTGTTTCAGTGAGTGTGACGGGTGTTTGTGGTCCTCAGTGTTTCAGTGAGTGTGACGGGTGTTTGTGGTCCTCAGTGTTTCAGTGAGTGTGACGGGTGTTTGTGGTCCTCAGTGTTTCAGTGAGTGTGACGGTGTTTGTGGTCCTCAGTGTTTCAGTGAGTGTGACGGGTGTTTGTGGTCCTCAGTGTTTCAGTGAGTGTGACAGTGTTTGTGGTCCTCAGTGTTTCAGTGAGTGTGACGGGTGTTTGTGGTCCTCAGTGTTTCAGTGAGTGTGACGGGTGTTTGTGGTCCTCAGTGTTTCAGTGAGTGTGACGGTGTTTGTGGTCCTCAGTGTTTCAGCGAGTGTGACGGGTGTTTGTGGTCCTCAGTGTTTCAGTGAGTGTGACGGGTGTTTGTGGTCCTCAGTGTTTCAGTGAGTGTGACGGGTGTTTGTGGTCCTCAGTGTTTCAGCGAGTGTGACGGGTGTTTGTGGTCCTCAGTGTTTCAGTGAGTGTGACGGGTGTTTGTGGTCCTCAGTGTTTCAGTGAGTGTGACGGGTGTTTGTGGTCCTCAGTGTTTCAGTGAGTGTGACGGGTGTTTGTGGTCCTCAGTGTTTCAGTGAGTGTGACGGTGTTTGTGGTCCTCAGTGTTTCAGTGAGTGTGACGGGTGTTTGTGGTCCTCAGTGTTTCAGTGAGTGTGACGGTGTTTGTGGTCCTCAGTGTTTCAGTGAGTGTGACGGGTGTTTGTGGTCCTCAGTGTTTCAGTGAGTGTGACGGTGTTTGTGGTCCTCAGTGTTTCAGTGAGTGTGACGGGTGTTTGTGGTCCTCAGTGTTTCAGTGAGTGTGACGGGTGTTTGTGGTCCTCAGTGTTTCAGTGAGTGTGACGGGTGTTTGTGGTCCTCAGTGTTTCAGTGAGTGTGACGGGTGTTTGTGGTCCTCAGTGTTTCAGTGAGTGTGACGGGTGTTTGTGGTCCTCAGTGTTTCAGCGTGTGTGACGGGTGTTTGTGGTCCTCAGTGTTTCAGTGAGTGTGACGGGTGTTTGTGGTCCTCAGTGTTTCAGTGAGTGTGACGGGTGTTTGTGGTCCTCAGTGTTTCAGTGAGTGTGACGGGTGTTTGTGGTCCTCAGTGTTTCAGTGAGTGTGACGGTGTTTGTGGTCCTCAGTGTTTCAGTGAGTGTGACGGTGTTTGTGGTCCTCAGTGTTTCAGTGAGTGTGACGGGTGTTTGTGGTCCTCAGTGTTTTAGTGAGTGTGACGGTGTTTGTGGTCCTCAGTGTTTTAGTGAGTGTGACGGTGTTTGTGGTCCTCAGTGTTTCAGCGAGTGTGACGGTGTTTGTGGTCCTCAGTGTTTCAGCGAGTGTGACGGTGTTTGTGGTCCTCAGTGTTTCAGTGAGTGTGACGGGTGTTTGTGGTCCTCAGTGTTTCAGTGAGTGTGACGGTGTTTGTGGTCCTCAGTGTTTCAGCGAGTGTGACGGGTGTTTGTGGTCCTCAGTGTTTCAGCGAGTGTGACGGGTGTTTGTGGTCCTCAGTGTTTCAGCGAGTGTGACGGGTGTTTGTGGTCCTCAGTGTTTCAGTGAGTGTGACGGGTGTTTGTGGTCCTCAGTGTTTCAGCGAGTGTGACGGGTGTTTGTGGTCCTCAGTGTTTCAGTGAGTGTGACGGGTGTTTGTGGTCCTCAGTGTTTCAGTGAGTGTGACGGTGTTTGTGGTCCTCAGTGTTTCAGTGAGTGTGACGGGTGTTTGTGGTCCTCAGTGTTTCAGTTAGTGTGACGGGTGTTTGTGGTCCTCAGTGTTTCAGTGAGTGTGACGGTGTTTGTGGTCCTCAGTGTTTCAGCGAGTGTGACGGGTGTTTGTGGTCCTCAGTGTTTCAGTGAGTGTGACGGGTGTTTGTGGTCCTCAGTGTTTCAGCGAGTGTGACGAGTGTTTGTGGTCCTCAGTGTTTCAGCGAGTGTGACGGGTGTTTGTGGTCCTCAGTGTTTCAGCGAGTGTGACGGGTGTTTGTGGTCCTCAGTGTTTCAGCGAGTGTGACGGGTGTTTGTGGTCCTCAGTGTTTCAGTGAGTGTGACAGTGTTTGTGGTCCTCAGTGTTTCAGTGAGTGTGACGGGTCTTTGTGGTCCTCAGTGTTTCAGTGAGTGTGACGGGTGTTTGTGGTCCTCAGTGTTTCAGTGAGTGTGACAGTGTTTGTGGTCCTCAGTGTTTCAGTGAGTGTGATGGTGTTTGTGGTCCTCAGGGAACTGGTTCAAGGCAGAGTTGGGAGAGGACGGCTGTTTCATCAGCTCCGAGAGCGACAGCGACAGTGACTGAGCACATCGGCTCCCACATAAGTTTACTTGCTTTAGGACAATAATGCTTATGCTTTATTTTAAGATGACGTAATTACATTGTACTTACTCAGATATGTACTGAGTAATATTAATTAACTAGAGTTTTGTTTAGGGTTAATTGCTTGTAATTATGCATAATTTAGTGTTTGCTATAGTGAGTACGTGTAACTTCGTCACCTTAAAGTGTTATCTTAAAATAATAATAATGTTTGTTTTCTTTTTAGCATTTGTGTTGAGGTATCTTTTAAACTGCTTCTTTGAGTTGCACTAGTTTCTTTTATACGTTTAAGTTTGTTGTTTATATTATTAATTACTACACATTGTCCTCTAACTAGCAATTTCACATGTTCTTTAAGAAGTAATAAAGTGACACCACGCATATGATTTCTTTCATGGTTTGTGAACTTGGTCACCATGACATGGGTGTTCACCACAACACAAAAGAAAATATCTCTTGCTACTTCCGAGTCTAACTGTTTATTAAAAAAAAAAGAAAGAAAAAGAGTAGAGTGGCGCTTGGTTCTATCAATATGTTTTTGTTGGATGGAGGCTTGCAGTCGACCATAATAAAGGGGCGGGGTTCAAGCAGACTAAATGATTGGACAAGTGCTGTGTACTTCACCAGATTGAGTCGAAATTCAGGTGAGTAAAATAAAAATTCACGAATTAATCTTTTACAATAAGATACATAACATAAAAAATAAATAGGGTCAGTTAACCCTTTCACACTGAAGCCCTATTGTTTTCCATTTGGACTTCAGAAAATAGAAATTTGCATGGCAACTCAGTGATAAAACTCATTCGGATGGCGATTCATTGACGGTGGAGGAGCGAGTTTTGTAATCCCACGAATGCACTGCTCACTGGTCAATTTGCTGTAAATAAAATGTCATATGCTTGGAATACAAATACATTTTGTGTTTAATAATAGGAAAATAATGTTCTTTTTATTATTTAATTCTCTCTCTTTTTTAATTATTATATTAAATTAAAATACCTTACGACCCCGTGAGAAACGATTACTGTCCGATTAGGGCTATAGAGGTCACTCTAGAGGTCAAGCATTTTCTTGCATATGGATGGGTCTTGATGGCACATCAGCCTCTACAGTGAACATCATCCAACACATTTGTATGTAGATTTTTTTTTTTTTTTTTTTTTTTTTACTCCAAACCAAGATTGTCGATGGCCGGTCCGAAATGCCAAGTTGCTCTGGGATATTCATCCATTCCTTCGATCCTAGGAGACTCTTGCAGGTAAAAAAAAAATGTTATGTCAAAAAGTAAAGAGATTACGTAATGCATCCTGTGTGTACTTTTTGATGTAACGAGTAAAGTAATCCTATACAAGTAAAATGCAGGACTTGTTACATCAAAAGAGTAATCTGGTTACATAATGCATTATGTAATCACATTACTTTTTGTTCTAGCCAGTAAAATAATGCATTACAAGTAACCTGCAGTATGTAATCAGATTACTTTCTGATGCAGCAAGTTGTTTGCGTTACATAATCACTTTTTGATGTAACGAGTAAGTAATGCTTTTTAGTAAGTAATTATCATTGTAATGCATTACTTAGAACATCAGAAAAGTAATCTGATTATGTTATGCATGTTGCTAGTCATTTATTGGCTAGATCAAAATGAAATGTGATTATGTAATGCACATTACTTGTAATGGGCTACTTTTCTCCTTGCATCAAACAGTAATCTGATTACCCCAACCCTGCTCATTTACTATGAGATTTGATATACCTGATCACTAGGCGTTCTCGGAGTAGAGCTACGGTGGGAATGTGTCTGTCCTGAACATGATCACCGTTAACCGCTAGTGGTAAATCGGCGCTTCTGCGTCGGGTTTCCACCGCAGTACCTGGACTGGTTGTAGAGATGAAATCGCATACTCATATTCTGATATCAAAGATATGCGATCGAAGTTCAACTTGTTTGAAGTTCAATTGGGTTTGCAATATTTTGTATTTATTTTTGTATATTTTTCACATGATTTTATTCATTGGTTTGTTAAAAACATGCAATATTGCTTTGTTATTACTCTATTATGTTTAATACAAGATCTCTTTAGTGAACACCAAACACATACAGTGGACATCTGAAAATATCTGTGAAAAATGTGTAAAATAAACAAAAAAACATTTCTAATCTTGTTTATCATGCCCTAAGAGCAACAAAAACAGGAAAAGTCCTGACTGAGGTTGTCAATTCATGCATGAAAGTTATTTGCGTATTTCTTTTTTAACCTTTATTAAACCCTTTCAAATAAAACATGCATTATAACCCAATTCATATTCTTATTGAAAGGGGAACAAACAATAATTGTGATGAAAAAAATCGATAAACTGAAACCGAAATATATAAAAGCAAATTATCAAATAAGCTAAATTAAACATGTCCCTTACTTTTTTACAAATTAATTGGGCTTAAAAATGCTGCTGCTGCTTCAAGGGTGTTCCTTTTTTTGATTTCCCTGACTGGGCGTGGCTTAACATGCTGAACTTGGCTCTGATTGGTCAGTTCGGAAGCATCTCTATTTTAACTCTTCACTGAATGGAAAATGCGTGTCTGCCCATCCCATCGAACACACTGTCGATAATGATAAGAAATATAAGGTAATTACACAGTGTATCCTTTTCAAACCGTTGATTTTTGTATTTTTTCTCCTCCACACAAACTGCCTGTTACTTTTTTTTCAGCGAAGTCGTAGATGACCAATCACAGTCGTTTATTCGTTTTTCTTTTTTAGATGTGTTTGGCGAATTCCTTGTAAATTTTAAATTTGTGGAATTAATCTATCGCTCTTCTAAATGTGGGGTCTGCAATAAGTCTATGGGCTCTATGCACAGCGGTATTTCCGGTGAACGTTTAAGGATGATCGATAACTTCCGCCGATCGTAGAGTCCATTGCAATACCGAAAATTTATAGTGAATTTTATACTCCATGGTTATACTAAAGAAACGTTAGTCACAAAAACAGATAAAACAGACACCCCTCATTGTGTTTATGTTTTTAAAATTATATTAAATAAACATAACTATATATAAAATTCCATCTAAACGTATGTACGTTTTGTTTCAAAGACGGGAGGACAGTAAATTTTCAAGACTCTGCCATAATCGTGTTTTCCTCGGTTTTCCTCCGCTTAAATCTCCCCAACCGGAAATGGACGAGCATCCTTGCGTCAAATGAGGAACTTATGCGTGCATATAGCCCATTAAATTATTTTTGTAATAATGTTTATTTTGCTTGCATATCAAAGATTTTCTCTCTGCTAATAATATGGATTTCTCAATATTAATGGTTTTCATTTATACGAATCGATATCGATTCTTAAATCTCAAGAATCGGTTAGTCATCCTGTTTTTATTTCATGAATGAATGGAACTTCATTCTTGTTACCAGTAAAAGTGTCCGACATTATTATAGACCCCTTTTCAGTTGGTAAACATGGTGATGTTTTTTTGTGGGCGGAGCTTAGGTGGAGGCAGAACGATCCCTCTGGCCGCTTCACTAACGCTAGTTAGCAAGGATTGTTAGCTTGTTTTTTAACAATGACTGGAGAAAATCCGATATTATCTTAATGTTTAAGGTCACTCAGTGTCCAGGACCGCGATTGTTATTTCCAAAAGTTATTTTTAACGGACGGAACCAGATTGGCCGACCCGTAGCCGCCTACACGCTCACTCAATGCATGGATGATCTGACAGGATTAACGTACGTTACCTCGGTTGAGTGGCCTGACTTCTACACCTACCTTATAGAGAAACGGATCGTAAAGAGAAACTGAGGGCATATAAATCTTTAGATGCCTATATGGTCGTGTACAAGACTTGTGTGTACGATCCGCAGTTCTGCCGAGCCAGCGCCGAGACCACGACAATGTAAAGAGTGTCATTACAGTGCGATTTTAATCATGTGAATATTTTCTAGAGATAAAAAATCCAGATACAGCATCTTCATTTTTCATTGATACTTGCACCAAACAACACAATAAGATGACATTTAAAAATAATAAAAGTAATTTAAGCTCCTTATTATGTAGCCGAATCTTTGCTGGTTTGCATTGGCCGCCTCCAGTTTTCACTTTATTTTTTTTTATTTTTTTTTTATTGACAAACTTCAAATAACAACAGATGACAGCATGAGAAAAATAAGACAATTACATCAAATTGGAATATAAGTACAGTAAAGATAAAAAAATAAAAAATAACAGAGGAAGTAACTTAAATTACATATCGCTCAACATATTATCATACAATATTTTCACAAATTTGGCACATTTTTGTTTTTAATTCTTTTTAGTGTGTTAATAAAATAATTAAATTTACAGAGAAAAACATTTAATTTGGGTACTCTTAAAGAAAATTTGCATTTATGAATAAAATACTTATATTTAAATAAAATAAAAATATTTCCTATGTATTCTGTTCTATGATTACAAAATTAGAAAAATAACAAATTACATCTCTCAGATTTAGTTCAAATTCCAATTTTAGTTTTGAAGTTAGGAGTTTTGACAAATCAATCCAAAATTCTTTGACAAGGGAATACCCAAAGAAAAGATGATCAATTGACAATTTTTACAGAAATTACAGTTCAAATGAACATTACCAAATTTATGTGTGATCTCATTGGGGGGGTATATTGTGAAAAAGTGTAGTTCTTTCACCTTATTGGGGATACAATATTTATAAGGTAAGATCGAAGATTTTTCCAATTAATATTTTCTATCAAGGAATTCCAAAAGAATTTTCCTCTCGGGGTAATTCGTTTTCTAGACTGAAACACATTTCTAATAATTGTATTGCTACATTTTGGATCGTAAATACGTTTGCCTTCAATCATACATTTATTTTCACTCTTTACAATCACTTCATACGATAAATGGCACTTCATTAAATGGACAAGACCATTTGGTATAGCTTTTACCATGGTAAGAAATTCTTTATGAATAACTGGGAAATTATGTTTAGACATGAAATCATAGGAATAAACATTCCCTTTTGAGTCTAACAATACCTTTTTCATGCCAATTCTTAAGAAACAGCGACTTGTTCTTTAAAAGAATATTTTCATTGTTCCATAGCTTTAACTTTATGTGGGGAGAAGTTGACAAAGCAAAAGTGGCACTAGTTACTTCCCGTTTGTGGACTGGCTGCAGTAACACGTCTCTGTCCATGCGGGGACGCTCGCGGTCGAGTGCAGAATGAATGGGAGTCAATGGGGTTTCACCCCCAGAAATCCACTTTTCTCAGGATGTAATTTTTTGTCGAGTAATTTTAAAGTTGCAATCAAAAGGGAGGGCTAAGATAATACACTCAGCTGAAAATTGCATTTTTAAGTTCACTTTATCTATTCTAAAAATCTGTTCAAAAATGTGATGACGTCACACAATAGCAGAATGCTAGCGTGTTCTGGCCCACAACGGCCTAACCTGTAAGACATCGAAAGGACATAAGTACTCGATCATTCGACTTTTGGCCTAATCTATATTGAACTTGCGGAATCAACAATGAAATCTATTTTGATTTAATGACAAGCAGGTGAAAGAGACGCATTTAGCCGTTTAGCCCCATAGACTCCCATTCATTCTGCACTCGCCTGCGATCACCTCCAAGATGATACACAAGCCGAGGCTCTCCGTTAGACGGTAGACGGGCTCTGCTCAATAATATCTGTCTGCAGAGCCGCAGAGCCGCAGTTTCACCCCAGCAGTTTTACACCAGCAGTTTTACCCCGCGCATGCGCAGTTTTTACTCCAGCAGTTTTACCCCGCGCATGCGCAGTTTTTACACCAGCAGTTTTACCCCGCGCATGCGCAGTTTCGCCACAACAGTTTTAAGCAGTTTTATCTGCGCATTCGTAGTTTCAATATAGCAGTTTTACCCGCGCAAATTGTTCAGTATTAAAACGATCTAATGGTTATTTTTACCAATTATTTTTGCTTATTAGTCTGCAGAGCCACAGTTTCACCCCGCACATGCGCAGTTTCACCTCAACAGTTTTACCCGTGCACGCGCAGTGTCAATAACCTATATAGTATTTGTTACCAATTATTTTTGCTTACTAGTTATTTTTTTGCTGTTGCTCGCAGGCTTTCAGGTTCCTTTACTGAAATAAAACAGTGCTTTTATCCTCCAAAACAATAAATAGCCTGGCCTACATATATATATATATATATATATATAGCATATATATATATATATATATATATATATATATATATACACACTTAATTGCTCAATACCTGGTATAACACAAACTTCTGACTAGACATTCAAAGGCGAACTATTAGTCTAAATCAATATATGTCTAATTATTCTTAAATTAATTAAATCTGCCTGATGAAACAAATGACTTGAACACAAATTATTAACAATTATTTCAAATATTTTATTAATTTTGGAGACATTACCAAGAATACAATTATATTTCAATTCAATTACCAGAGAGACATACTGATACAGACAGACAGGCATACGATTCAGACAGACAGGCACACTGATACACATACACAGTGATACAGACAGACATATTGATACACAGCCATACATACTGATACAGACAGACAAACTAATATACATACACAGACATACTGATACAGACAGACATACTGATACAGACAGACAGGCATACTGACATACATACAAAGACACACTGAGACAGACAGACATATTGATACACAGACAGACATATTGATACAGACAGACCTTCTAATATACATACACAGACATACTGCTACAGACAGACAGACAGCAAGTCTGTCACCAATTAGAAAATAAATAATAATAATTAAATGTCAGGGTTTTAAAATGATGACACTCTTACATTTTTCTTTGTCCTTAACCTCAGACATGAAAAAGGGCATGACCTCTCTGTTTTTAAATGTAAAATAGAATGGGGCTCTTAATTTATCATCCTCATCCAAAGTTGTGGCACAATGTGAATGTAGTGGAGAAAGGGCTTTCTTCCTCCTCCATGCTGTCAATGCGTGGTGGCAAGGACTTGATCTTCATCAGCGGGTGATTGTCCTTCAACCATTCCACACCTTTCCTGATGCTGCTCATCATATTGGCATTCTTTATGAAAAATATTTGAAAATTAACAGCAATCAACAATTTTATATTTTCAGATAAATAAAACTTCTAAATATATTATATACATTGCAGAACTCTACAAAATACCTCAAGATTGTGTGGTGTCGTGTCCCCCTCCAGCGCTCCTACTCCATACTCAATTTCTCCTGGTCCATTCATCTGTTGTAGAAGAGCACAGTGTGATGTAATGTATTTCAATTGTCCACTACAAAATGTTTAATTTAATAAAATGTATAATTTCATGCATATGCAATGCAGAACCAAACTAAGATTTGATTTACTTCTAATTTGCACAAAAGAATTCATCTATTTGAATCAATCCATTTTACAAAAACAAACAAAAATAACAAAGGTCAATGTCCCTGCCCTAATACAGGGTGTCCACCAGTTAAGACTTTTAAGCCCTTTTTAATACCGCATTATAAAACTACAACATTACATTTAGCAAGAACATATATTAAAAGTAGTGCATGCCTGTAATGATCAGACTAGCTCTAGACCATTTGGCTTGGGGCACATGTGTGTTCACAGGGGTCTTTTAGGGTCTTTCAAGGATCAACCCTGCAACAATGGGACTTGGTGTGTTTTAAGAACCCAACTGATATCTGTGTCCCCTGAAAGTCTAAGTATAGAATATTGGCGACTGACAATAGGATAGATAAATAAATAAACAAAATACTTTGACAACAAAAGCTCACTTCACTGTCAGTGAGGCAAGATCCAACCGCCATGTGCAATCCAACCGCCTCAGCCCAATGTGCAAGCCACCTTCCATGTCTGACAAAATACAAAAAGACAACAATGAGAACAAAGTTGTGCAGAATACTGAGTCCTGACCAAGGACTGTCCCTAAAGTTAGTTTACTAAAAGTCACTCTGGATAATAGTGTCTGCTAAATGACAAATAATAATAACTAAACCCTAGAAACAAAATTCTCCATGAGGAGAAGTAGGCACCACTTATTGTGTCATGAATGTCATGCTGAGAAAAAAGCAATACTTCCATGAATACTATTAACAACAATAATATTAATATAACGTAGAAATAAGACTTACAGCAGTGAAATCAACGGGTTCATTCAATACGATGTGTAAAGCATACTGAAACATTCATTTTACAATATATTTTTGATAACAGAGTGGAGACAGACTGATAAAAGTCCAATAACTTACCATAATCATGAAGACCCGACAGGATGTCATATCGAGTTGATGGGAGATATGCTGAAATGGCAAATTGCATTTCGAAAAACAAAGAAATCAATCAGGACGTTAAAGTGTCCCGAAAACAAGACAACAAAATACCCTTACTTTGTTTGTTTTTTTTTTGTTTTTGTTTTTTCATTTTGATCCAACGGCCTGGTGCTGCTGTTATAGCAAGTTTCCTGCGACATGAATATATGTTAAATAAAAGAATGATTTGTCCAACAGCACTGCTGAACTGACTGCAGTGAAGACAATTTAATAACTTATTCAAAACGAGCGGATAAAACTGCTATAGTGAAACTGCGCATGCGCGGGGTAAAACTGCTGGGGTGAAACTGCTGGGGTAAAACTGCGGCTCTGCGGCTCTGCAGTCAGACCCTTCTCGCTCTGCTGGTACTGCATTAAAAAAGACCCCAAGTCGACTTTTACCGCCTGTTTAAAAATAAATCATTTTGATATACAATTGGATATACAACACTAAAAAGAATGATAACATCCAAAACTTATTTAATCAATAAAATGACTCGTTTCTCCCAAAAAGTTTTTTTTCGTGTTAAGTAAGAGATCAGTAATGTTCCTCAGGCGTCGCACAGAGGCGGCCCGTTGGGTCCTGCTGGCGGAGATGTCATTGAGCGCAGGCAGCAGTTACTCAACTCTGTTATGGAGAATGAAGCTCGTTTGAGTCGAGAGTGACCGGGGTCTGTGTCGAGAGTTACCGGGACCTGAGACTGGAGTGACCGGGGTCTGTGACCGTGTTCTGGCCCGATGGCAGCGCTGTTCTCCCCGGCGGCCGCTGCTTCTGTGCGCTGCGGGATCAGAGCTCTCCTGCGCGGCGTCAACCGTCGAGGAGCCGCGGGACTCACTGGAGCTCAGCCGCCGGTCAGACACACACACACATACACACACGTGTTTGTTTCATCACACTAATGTATAAGATCAAGTATGTGTGTGATATGATCATCTGCAGTTTGTTTAGTCTTGTTACAGTGTCTAACCTATATACTTGTCTGTCATTACTGTTATACACATGGATGATTTGGCATATATTTGGTCTTATGATGTAACAAATAACCACCGTGTCATGGTGACATAACTCCTAGACGTGTTTCTGTAATTTCTGATTTATAATCCTCCTCATAATTCCTTCCTTTCTCAGTTTTTATCCCTGAACACACGTGTTTATGTTTCATCACACTCAGTGTGTGTGTGTGTGTGTGTGTGTTGAGATGTGATCATTGCTGTTTGTTTGGTCTTGTTACATAATCTGACCTGTTTGTATTTTTCTGTTTATACACAGTAGTCAACATTTGAAGAGGATCAAAAAAGTTAATCAGAGTTGTCCTAAGACAAGAACGAGTATTCTTCAAAATCCATGTATAACTTTGATGAAAGGTTTTGATCCACTTCAAATGTTGACTACTGTAGATATATAGATTAATGGATGATTTGGCATATGTTTGGTCTTTGTTATGATGTAACAAATAACCGTGTCAAGATGGCATAACTTGTGTTTAAGTAGTTTTTGACTTGTTTTCTCAGTGTTTATCCCTGAAGCTCCTGAAAGCGGTGGCATCCACGAGGAGTCCCTGCCGGATCCCGATCTCCTCTTACTCCACGGAGGCTCCTAAAGGTGAGATTACACCAGATGAGTGATGGAATGATGTTCACCGGAGTCTTCTTCACTCACAGCCTCTTCATCCTCAGATGGGAAAGCCGGCAGACCAGGAGGAGGAGGAGGAAGGAAAGGAGGGAAGAAGGACTGGAAGAGTCGATTAATGCAGGTAACCCCTCATCAACCGCTCTGCTCATGCTTTACCCCCAAAACAAATAAGTTTTCAATAGAAAGTATTATGCCTATTTTTACCTCATTAAAATTTTTTCCTCATTATTTTCATGGCATTTAAACCAATCATCTTTTTTTTTCTGGAACATTTCAAATCCACATGTCAAAACGGTTTATATAAACTATAACATATCAAAAACTGTACATTTGACATGTATACATTACATTATATATACATACAAATACATTTCATTTTCTAATGCTGTAAACAATACTGGAATCCTTCCACTTGTCTTCAGGACATATTTATTATTATATTAGTACAAATTATCTATCTATATATTTATTAGGGCTCTGCAAAGAGTAATTGCGAAAAATCGCATCCAAAATAAAAGTTTGTGTTTACATAATGTGTGTGCTGTATATAATTATTTTGTATATATAAATACATATGCATGCATATATATATTTAAGAATTATTTGCACTTAAATACTGTATATAAATAAATACATAATCTATATTATATATAAATATTAATATTTTATTTGCATGTGTGTATTTATATATACAAAATAATTATACACAGCACACACGCATATATTATGTAAACACAAACTTTTATTTTGGATGCTATATAGACGGTATATATAAGCGGTAACAGTAAATATGCTCCTCTCTGGTGTGTGTTTTATAGCTAACTAACGAACTGTGAACATGAGAACTTTCCTGAGGTAAACGTTCATGAAGATATTTATACATAGCTGTATGATTATTAATTATTCATGTTTTTGTCACACTATGGTAACAGGAATGAGATTTTTCAAACTCTAAAAATATCCTTTGGTTTCTTGATGCAAATTATTATTTTATTATTAAATAAATGGGTCATATTTAGCAGTTTAATATACACATTATATAGAGAAATTATAATATACATTTAAAAAGTATGTAATGCCTAATTGAAAGTTTACATTGCAGTATACATTTTTGTACTGAATTAATTCATGCGAGTTTATAAAAATGTCAAGGTGTTTTTTAGGAAATAATTTTAGGACTTCTTTTTAGCATTCTCTTCAGGAAATTGAGAGGGGGAAATTTTGAGGAGGTGTGTGTGTCCTGTTTCAGGGAGACGTGCCGTGGGACGATATGGACTTCCTCTATGCCCTGGTGTTGGCGGGTGGAGTCGTGTCGCTCCTGCTGATCCTCTACTTCAGAGACCCGGGCCGAGAGATCACCTGGAAGGACTTTGTGCATCGCTACCTGGACCGAGGGCTGGTGAGGGGCTTTCAGAGCACTGCCAGGAGTGTGTGTGTGTGTGTGTGTGTGTGTGTGTTTCAGTTCACGTTTACACCACAGCGATATGCTTTGAGTTTTCCGTGCACAGACACTGTCGGAACGGTCTCCAGTCACACGGATCCGTGAAAACCATTGAAAGCGCTGTATTCTGCTGCCAGGCCACTAGATGGCGATGAAACACTACAGATGGATTACTATATGATTTAGTACTATTGATTACTATAGATTAATATCGTATGCAAAACACTGTTGTCCTGTAAACGAGCGGCCAAAATGCATAAAAAGGAAATGCATTTGATAATGGTGTCATGTAAACAGGCGCTAAATCTGATGACCACGTGTTTAAGGTCACACACACACCCTGATGAAGGCTTGTCTCCTGTTTATAAAATCCAAGGCATTAAAGACTAAGGTTGAAAGGTCAGGGGTCACGCTCGTCTAAAACAGGCTCTTCTGTGCGCAGGTGGAGCGTTTAGAGGTGGTGAACAAGCAGTTTGTGCGGGTGATCCTGGTCCCCGGGGTCGACGCCTCTGAATCTGTGAGTTATGATGGTTCTCTGTACAGTAGTGTGTGTGTGTGTGTGTCCCTGATCTGGAGTGTTTGCCCGCAGAGCTACGTGTGGTTCAACATCGGCAGCGTGGACACGTTCGAGAGGAACCTGGAAGCGGCGCACTACGAGCTGGGTCTGGAGCCGTCACAGAGAGCAGCAGTTATATACACCTCAGAGAGCGACGGGTGAGTGTGTGTGTGTGTCGGTCTGGAGCCGGAGTGATGATATTACTGCGCCAGTCGAAGCACTTGCTGTGGTATTCCGCCATACAATATAGTTATCCACTTTACACGCTTAAAGCGCAACATTTTATTGTGTATCACCGTCCTAGGTCGAGTTACACTGCTCGAGTAACTGTATTTAAATAGGGAAAACGTGGATCGCTTCTTTGCTTGGCCCATATTGAATGAACTGGGCTAGTTAAATGCTATCAAAGTGTCTTGCGCGCCAGAGCGATTTACCGTACGCACGAGACAAGAGAGGTGTGTATCAACTCGTTTAATATGAAAAAACAAACAAACGGTGGAGTATCCCTTTAAAGGGGTCATGAACTGGCTTTTTAAATTGTATTATATTGTTGTCTGAGGTCAACTTATGACGTTCGCTTGGTTTTTGCATTCAAAAACATCAAAATGAATAAGTAATAGGCTATTTTCTACCCTAGTTTTGAGACCAGCTCAGAAACGCTGGGTTTTTATGGGCGTCTCGCACTGAAGACTTGGTAGTAAACGCCCACTGCTGTGAGTGGAGAACAGTTTTGCATATTATAATGAGTTTCCACTCACCCGTCGGTGTTTTGAAAAAGTCCAATGTTGTAAAATGGCGACCAGAATGATTCGCCCATACATGTTCGACCCAGAGTCCGTGTGTTGCACAATTCCTGTCAGATCCAATATAGACGGCACAGCACCGTTCTTTACTCTTAATCGCTCTGCAAATCCAGTCTTGTTGACAAAACAATCCTCAGTGAAATGAAGCGAACAGACGGACGATGTTTTACCTCATCAGCTGGAACGTCATTAAAAATCAAGTTTATCCATGAAGTCCTATTGGAATCCACAGGAAGCTTATGCAGCGACTGTCTTCTTCCACAACCAGGCACTGCACAGTATTCTGTATCGCTCGGTAGCTCGATCTGGTTTGTCGTCACGAGATAGGCATCTATGTTATTTATTATTTATCTATGCGTGTAATGCGCGAATCGGTGGGCGGGGCTACACCGGCCGTGTTGAAGTAGGTGTTGATCTTCTTCTGCAAGGGGTGGGGTTTTATCCTCTTTGTCGTCATAGTTCCCCACTTTTAAAAACGAGGCGTTTTCAGAGGCTGGTGTCAATAAAAGCTTTTATTGGACTAACAAGGACGTTTTCAGTTCTGAAACTTACAGGATATTCTTATAATATGATGACCTCTTAGATATCAAAAGCTCAAGGAAAATTTTGATTTGATTAAGGACTTTCGGGATTCTTTCGTAACATTGATAATGTCTTTACTGTCATTTCTGATCAGTTCAAAACCACAAACAACTCTTACTGATCCGAAACCTTTGGGCACCATTTATAAATGTTTTAATTGCTTTTAATTATAATAATAAAACATAAAAACTAACCAACATATCTGAAATGAATGTTCAGGCGTTCAGCAGATATGAATGACCGTACAGTAGCTATATTATGTGCTTATATTAATAGTAATATTCCTCTTTCTGCAGGTCTTTCCTGATGAGTTTCATCCCCACGCTGCTGCTGATTGGCTTCCTGCTGTTCACTCTGCGGCGTGGGCCAATGGGAGGAGGGATGGGCGGGGGAAGGGGCGGGCCCTTCAGCATGAGCGAGTCCACCGCCAAGATGATGAAGGACAACATAGACATCAAGTTCAAGGACGTGGCGGGCTGTGAAGAGGCCAAGGTGGAGATCATGGAGTTCGTCAACTTCCTGAAGAACCCGCAGCAGTACCAGGACCTGGGAGCCAAGATCCCCAAGGTATGATCCGGTTATTGATCCATCTGTGTGATTATTGATCCCCCTGTGTGATTATTGATCCTCCTGTCTGTCTCTTCAGGGTGCTGTGCTGTCCGGTCCTCCAGGAACGGGTAAAACGCTGCTGGCTAAAGCCACCGCCGGAGAAGCGAACGTTCCCTTCATTACGGTCAACGGCTCAGAGTTTCTCGAGATGTTCGTCGGTGTCGGTCCAGCCAGAGTAAGTCTGGACTATCGGGTTTCAAATAGAAATAGAGGCCACTAATTAGGGCTGAACGATTAATTGCATTTGCGATAAAATCGCGATATGATGAAACACGATTTTGTAATCGCAAGAGCTGCGATTACACTGGTCACGTGACACGCGAGAGAAAAGCAGTCTGCAAGATAAGGCATCAACTTGCCACGCTACGCGGTCTGGCGTTCAGAAAAGTTATTCTCTCCTCAACAATCCTGGATCGATTCAAAGAAAATTTCAGAATCGAGTCTGAGCTTATAGTTTTTAAACACAGATGCGTGATGACGCTGCGCGTGCTTTAGAAACGAACCGGGTTCTGAATCTGCTTGCTTCTATTTTCTCGCTCTCTCTCTTCCTCACTCACACACACGACACCGCTCGAACCTTCCAAAACATAGTAACGTTATTTCATAAAGTTCGGGATTGAACCGAATTACAAGGACATTCGCGGGCTTCATTGAACAGGTTTTGCCGCTTTGCTTGATGTTATAACGTTACACTTGCAGGTATTTTCCTACAAATGCTTCACAGAGGCATTATTTATGTATTTTGGAATGCAGTCGGCTTATATATTAAAACTATGAAAATCACTGAGAAGGCTGATTTCATTTTAAAATACTAACGAGTGCTTTGTGAAGAGCGCTCGTGCACGCGGCCGTAAGCGACTCATTGGTAAATGTACTTGCATGTCAAAATGCTTTTATGACGCGAAATTGATGTAAACACGGTCAGTTATATCTTAAACCAACAGGACAAACCACATTTACAATTTCAAAAGAGATATATATGCATTAGTGTGAATGCAGCTTATCGTATCTAAACTGAGGGGAAATCACTCCCGCTCTTGAATGAAAAACATTCAGACAGCCTACTTTTAAATACTGAGACCACTCTTTGTTTATTGCTTGTAATGTTTTTTTTTTTTTGTTTCTCTTTATTTACTAGCTTTGATATTTTGAAGCTATATTATTTTATATAGCCTATTTAAAATTCTTAACATGTAATTGGTTTAATTAAATGTTTTTTTTATATTTATTTTTTAAAGTATGTGTTTTTACACATGTAATTAAATACATATTTTAAGAGTTATTGAGATTAATTAATAAGAAAAAAAGTAGATCGGATCATGAGATTCCCATACCTACTGTACAATGATTTATTGCTTGTCTTTGTCGACTAATACAGAAGGTAAATAACTTTTTTTTTTTTAATCGCATATTAAATCGCAATCGCAATATTGGTTAAAAAAATCGCAATTAGATTATTTTCCAAAATCGTTCAGCCCTACCACTAATCGTATCGGCTGATTGAAGCCATTATTTTCACTATCGGCCGATTATTGAAAACGGCCGATGATCAGAGACGATTATATTCGTTCAATCACAAGTGTGCCGAAATACATGTCCGACTGCAACTCACTCTGTGGGCAAATTTAGGGCAAGTTAACGTGACAATAAAAGCGCTAACAGTTAAAAAAAACAGAGACCTCTACGAAGGCTTTATTTTGACCCTATGAATCATTCGTAGTTCAAGCCTTGGTTTGTAAAACAATTTGTGAAGTATCACTTAATGTTGAATTTACTTCAGGAAACATATCCAGTGTTCACAGTGTGTTATTTAGTTATACAAACACTAGAGATTAGCTTATTTACTGTTAATTTTATATATATATATATATATATATATATATGTGTGTGTGTGTGTGTATATATATATATATATATGTGTGTGTTTGAATAAATTTGCCTTTTAAATTTACCTTTTAATACTTCAAATTTGAATAAATTTGAAGTATTAATGAAAACTTGTTGTGTATAAACATTTAAACTTTTATTTTATTGTAAATATAATATCTGGAAATAAAGAGCAGTTTAATTTTAACCTCTAATATTAAAGTTTACCAAACGAGAGGGTTCCCTGTATAGCTGCATTATTTGTAAGGCAAATTTGTTAGATTTTTTTCCCCCTAAGAACAATCTAGCTATCGATATCGTTATGGGCATCGGCCGATGTCATGTGCACAATCGGTGGAGAAATGTAATATCGGTGCATCTCTAGTGTCAGATCTTTGTAATTTCCAGTTTAGTGCACTGATTGTAGTGTGTGTTTCTGTGTAGGTCCGAGACATGTTTGTGATGGCGAGGAAGAACGCCCCGTGCATCCTCTTCATCGATGAGATCGACGCGGTGGGCCGGAAGAGGGGTGGCGGGAACTTCGGCGGGCAGAGCGAGCAGGAGAACACACTGAATCAGCTGCTGGTGGAGATGGACGGTGCGCGCCACCAACACACTCAAAGTTTCATTTGTGTAAATTCAATTGAGATTATTTATTTAACCTGAAAAATGCCAAATCAGCTGTGTATCTTGCTTGTTTTTACAGGTTTCAACACAAGTACGAATGTAGTAGTTCTGGCCGGCACGAATCGGCCGGATGTGCTGGACCCGGCGCTGATGCGGCCCGGCAGGTTCGACAGGCAGATTTACTTGGGTAAGAGCTTTCCCTTTGCATCTCTTCAGGGCCTTAGTATATAAAAGTATAATACTTGGCAGTCGACTGATTTTGGGGGGGGTTTTCTGTTGAACTGTTAGCCTTATGTCGACTGATATATCATCACGGCCGGTTTTAGTTTTCTGTTTAAGTGTTTGAAGTGTTGGCTTTTATTTTCACAGCACCTGAACTTTTAATATTGACATCGCAGAGAAAGCTTCATTATTTTACAGTCTTTGTTTAAAGCCCCACTGAAATGCCTTGGATCGCGCAGCTTTGTTTGATGCGTTGATGTAATTTCCACTGAAAAAGGAAGCTAAGGCGATGCTTATTGATTGGCTCCTCCCCCTTTTTCAAATAGCCAATACCGTTTAGTTTCCCTCACAGACTGAGTCGTACTTGACAGCACCATGGAAGCGAATCCGAGCGCTGATGGTACACTGGATTCAATAGTAGAAGTGAATGAACATTAGCCGTTTCATTCTTAATCGTCATATAGCTGGAAAATGGAATAAAACTCGAGCGCTTGAGCAACAGAACACGCACCTATTCATTATAAGAGCTAAAAAAACGTACATTTCGATTTCAGGGGGCCTTTAACAGTTCTGTCATAAGTCATTAGAGCTGTTAAAGTAAACAGTACAGGAAATAGTATTATAAAATTAGCTATAACCATTGACGTTCAAACCGTCTGCCTTCAGCAAACGCATATGTAATTTAAACAAGTCTTTGAATATCTAATAGATGAAACTCAGACTTCAGCCAATCAAGCTGTTGGATCCTTTGATGTGCATTTTTTAGCATGCATAAAAACGCATGTACAAATTTGACTTCTTTTCTCAGAATTGCATGTTATAAAGTCAGAATTGCGCGATATAAACTATTCTGAGGGGAAGAATGTTAGTCTTTTTTCTTAGAATTGGCCTGATAACTCGCAATTGCGACTTTAAATCTCACAGTTCTGAGAATTTTAGATTTTGGAGATATGAAATTATGAACTCGCAATTGTGTTATAAAGTCAGAATTGTGAGATGAGACTTTATTTCACAATTGAGTTTGCATTTCTGTATTTTTTTCTCCTCAGAATTGCAACTATTTCTCACAATTCTGACTTCATATCTCACAATTGTGAGATAAAAAGTCTATTTTTTATCTCTAAAATATATATATATATATATATATATATATATATATATATATATATATATATATATATATTTATTCAGTGGCGGAAACAAGCTTCTATAGAAATCTACCACTAGAGAAATCTAGTGGTAGAAATACTTCTATAGAAATCTATTGGTCGACCAATAATGAAGCTCTTGTGCAGTGGCCTGAGAACTAGGGATGCACTGGTATGAAAATTGTCCCATAATTCTTTATATTTGAAAGCCAATAATTGATTTATTGGCCGATTTTTACATAATTGAGTGTCTGTTACAAAACAAACGTTTCAACATTAAATTAAGCACACAATTATAGGGTTCTCATTATATTTTATGCAGCTTATATGACTGGTGCTGCACATGTTGCACTGAACTGTATTTTCCTTTTTATCCATCATATTTCAAGCAGCTCAAACCCATCATGTTGAACAGAGCAAATCTGAAGTGTCTCGGCGAAAGGAAATATTACATTATTTACCGAATTTTATTTTCATAACGATAACATTGTAAGTGAACATGTATCGGCGATACCGATATGGTGGTTGATATATCGTTCATCCCAGCTTAGAACGAATATGTCGGACTGAAGAGCGTCTAATGTTTGTGATCTGTCATCCTTCAGGACCTCCTGATATTAAGGGTCGGGCATCCATCTTCAGAGTTCACCTGCGGCCGCTCAAACTGGACCCCGGTGTGGACCGGGACGCCATCGCCAGGAAGATGGCCGCCGCCACGCCTGGCTTCACCGGTGAGCGACGCATGCTCATTTTCCTATTGAGAAGAGTGAATGTGCAAGACAAACCTGGAAAATTATACATTGTATGATAATTACATATTTGAAATTCGTGTTTGGGAGTATGCTGATGTAGTTGAGATGATAATTAAGAAATCATAAGTGTTGCCATAATATTGCTATTTAAGGACGGAGTATTTTCTCTCCTCCAGGTGCTGATATTGCAAATGTCTGTAATGAAGCCGCTCTCATTGCTGCCAGATACCTGAATGAGTTCATCGGTGTTAAGCATTTTGAGCAGGCCATCGACAGAGTCATCGGAGGTGAGCTCAGACGTGCAGAACGTCTTACAAACACTACTAACACACAGACTGATGCTTGTGATCTACATGTTTAGATCTGTAGTCAATTTAACAGCTCTGGATGTAACAAACATCAGGAGTAATTGAGTTATTGGTAGGGCCTGCCTCTCTAACTGCGGTCGTCTAATGTCTTGGAGATATCTGTGAGGTCCACAGTGACCAGTGGTGTACCTCAGGGTTCAGTCCTGGGTCCCATCGGTTTCTAATCTACATCCTTCAGATAATGTAAAGTAGGGATATGACCTTACTTGGTTAATTCTATCCTCTTTAGTGGAGATGTGATTTCTTGAGCTGACTTATGCAGCTTTAAAGTCCCCCTGTGGTGAAAATCAAGCTTTTAATGTAGTTTATATGTCTATGTGGTGTTTTAGGAGTGTTTTCTCCTTAAAACTGCCATGAACCACAGACAGTCTCAAAAACACGCTTTGAAATCGCTGATGTTTCTGAGGTCTAGGGGTGCAACAGATCGCAGTTGTTTATACGTGATTTATATGGTCCAGCTGCCCCGCGGTTCGCTCGCCAGGACTAACTGCCAGATTTAACCAGCATAGAGTGAAAGTTTATAATTTGGATGTTTTGTCTTGCCAATTTACACATTCAAACAATTTAAAACGCGAAAAAAGAGTCGAAAATCAGGCGCAAGTTATGTGCTCGAACACCGAATTGATTCTTCTTTCGCGTTTCCTTACCCTTGAATGGACATGTGAACACAAAACGAAGTCTAAATACCCGTCTCTGCAAGTATTCTCTCGGTTTTGTCATGAGTGAACAGTGAATAGTTGAGAGAGAAACCGGATGTTTGTCAGTTTTTTCTGTCTTAAAGTGACACCAGCCTAATATTCCTGCTGTCGCCTGTCATTAATGTTAATAAAACATCAAAATACAGCTTTAACAAAGATAAAACTATATTTAATTTCCACAGTTAAAAAAGAGTGGTATTTTACATTTAGGCTGAATTATTAATTTCTGTACCTGAATAATACTGTTAGAAATTTGTTAGGCTATCAGTTAGGTTCATCAGTTAGGCTACTAGTTTTTGATGTAGTATCGAAGAATTTCAAGTGAGTAATAAATGAAGAGCAAAAAAACGTAAACAATCCAAACTGAATTTTGTGATCCATTGCACAACTTCTGACGTCACAAACAAACTTGTAACCAATCAGATCAATGTGTGATCGTCAACCAGTGGATCTCTGAGCTGAGTGAGTGAGTGGAGGCGGGGCTCATTTGCATATTCATAGAACCACGTATGCTAAATGAGGCAAGAGTGTCGAGTTACACTATTTTTTTATTATATTTTTTTAATTATTTTTTTATTATTCATTATGGTGATTTAAAGATGAGTTTTAAGTGATGAAGGTGCACTATCCTAAGGTTCGAATCAAATACATTTTTAGTCACTGATATTTTGTGCTCCTCTCTTAGGGCTGGAGAAGAAGACTCAGGTATTACAACCCACTGAGAAAAAGACTGTAGCCTATCATGAAGCAGGCCATGCCGTCGTGGGCTGGTTCCTCCAACATGCTGACCCACTGCTCAAGGTCAGGGCCCGAAATATAGGATTATAGCTTATATTGAGTCATTCGTCTGTAAATTGTTTTATGGCAAATGTATGTGTTCCAGGTTTCCATAATTCCTCGAGGTAAAGGCCTGGGCTATGCACAATACCTCCCGAAAGAGCAGTTCTTGTACACCCGCGAGCAGCTCTTCGATAGGATGTGTATGATGCTGGGCGGGCGAGTGGCCGAGCAGGTGTTTTTCGGGAGGATCACGACTGGGGCTCAAGACGACCTTAAGAAGGTCACGCAGTCAGCGTACGCTCAGGTGCAGAGATTGGGCTTGCTTTTTGTCTTACACAATTTCCATTTAGCAGAAGCTTTTATTCAAAGCAATGTACAATACGCTTACAGGAACACTCCATTTTGAGTACAGCTGCAACTCCTGCCAGCATAGTCAACGAATCTAGGGCCCTATAATTTCCGCGATCACGGAATCGCGGACGTAATCGCGGAATTGGCCAATTAATGCGGAATCTAGTGTTAACACCGGAATTTCGCAGAATTTTACATACAAACCCAATTCCATAAAAGTTGGGACACTGTACAAATTGTGAATAAAACAGAATGCAATGATGTGGAAGTTTCAAATTTCAATATTATATTTAGAATACAACATAGATGACGTATCAAATGTTGAAAGTGAGACATTTTGAATTGCCATGCCAAATATTGGCTCCTTTTGGATTTCATGAGAGCTACAAATTCCCAAAAAGTTGGGACAGGTAGCAATAAGAGGCCATAAAAGTTAAATGTACATGTAAGGAACAGCTGGAGGACCAATTTGCAACTTATTAGGTCAATTGGCAACATGATTGGGTATAAAAAGAGCCTCTCAGAGTGGCAGTGTCTCTCAGAAGTCAAGATGGGCAGAGGATCACCAATTCCCCCAATGCTGAGGCAAAAAATAGTGGAGCAATATCAGAAAGGAGTTTCTCAGAGAAAAATTGCAAAGAGTTTGAAGTTATCATCATCAACAGTGCATAATATCATCCAAAGATTCAGAGAATCTGGAACAATCTCTGTGCATAAGGGTCAAGGCCGGAAAACCATACTGAATGCCCGTGATCTTCGGGCCCTTAGACGGCACTGCATCACACACAGGAATGCTACTGTAATGGAAATCACAACATGGGCTCAAGAATACTTCCAGAAAACATTGTCAGTGAACACAATCCACCGTGCCATTCACCGTTGCCGGCTAAAGCTCTATAGGTCAAAAAAGAAGCCATATCTAAACGGGAACCAGAAGCGCAGGCGTTTTCTCTGGGCCAAGGCTCATTTAAAGTGGACTCTAGCAAAGTGGAAAACTGTTCTGTGGTCAGACGAATCAAAATTTGAAGTTCTTTTTGGAAAACTGGGACGCCATGTCATCCGGACTAAAGAGGACAAGGACAACCCAAGTTGTTATCAGCGCTCAGTTCAGAAGCCTGCATCTCTGATGGTATGGGGTTGCATGAGTGCGTGTGGCATGGGCAGCTTACACATCTGGAAAGGCACCATCAATGCTGAAAGGTATATCCAAGTTCTAGAACAACATATGCTCCCATCCAGACATCGTCTCTTTCAGGGAAGACCTTGTATTTTCCAACAAGACAATGCCAAACCACATACTGCATCAATTACAACATCATGGATCCGGGTACTGAAATGGCCAGCCTGCAGTCCGGATCTTTCACCCATAGAAAACATTTGGCGCATCATAAAGAGGAAGATGCAACAAAGAAGACCTAAGACAGTTGAGCAGCTAGAAGCCTTTATTAGACAAGAATAGGACAACATTCCTATTCCTAAACTTGAGCAACTTGTCTCCTCAGTCCCCAGACGTTTGCAGACTGTTATTAAAAGAAGAGGGGATGCCACACAGTGGTAAAAATGGCCTTGTCCCAACTTTTTTGAGATGTGTTGATGCCATGAAATTTAAAATCAACTTATTTTTCCCTTAAAATTATGCATTTTCTCAGTTTAAACATTTGATATGTCATCTATGTTGTATTCTAAATATAATATTGAAATTTGAAACTTCCACATCATTGCATTCTGTTTTTATTCACAATTTGTACAGTGTCCCAACTTTTATGGAATTGGGTTTGTATTTGGAATGAAATTCGTTTTTTGTGTGGGAGAAGAACGTATGTCTGGGGAAAATGCAGAGAGACGGGGAAGCAAATCTGGGCGTCACAACCCCTCCCGTCATTTCAGCTCATGACGGCATCAAAACAATAGCAGCGTTTCCACTGAAAGCATGGTGAAGCGGCTAGGGTTGGGTATCGTTTGAATTTGAACGATTCCGATTCCTTGTTTCGATTCCGGTTCCTAACGATTCTCGATTCCGATTCTTTTAAGAGTCAGGGTCAAAAAAGTTTAGCTAACCTTGCTAACCAACGGTCTTTCTGAAGGAAATAATCCTTTCTGAAGGAAATAATCCTGTCACAAATACTCCTTCTGTCAAAAATTTTGCATTTTGCCGAGATTTCGTTATTTTTAGAAAAGTGAAGCCACACTTTGGACCGCTGATGTAAGCTACTAATGTTCGACTCACGCAGTTATGCCAACACTTCCGGTAGACGCTTCTTCGTTGGTGTTGTTCAGCGGTTTCCTATTCCGCTCGGCGGACTGTGAATATCGAAACTAGGAATCGAAATTTTAACTTTTGAACGATTCCGGGAAAAACGAAAAGTTAGTCTCGGTTCCAATCGATACTCGATTCTCGATACCCAACCCTAGAAGCGGCTCTCCACGGCTCGGCTTTCGTCGGCGAAGAAACTCGTTACACACACGCACGCACACACACTCAAAGTCCCCTCCGTGCACGTCTGTATGAGGTGCCGGACCGAGTGTGTGTGTGTGTGTGTCCGAGTCGAGAGCGCGCGAGAGAGACGAGACAGCACGCTCAACAGTGAGCGCGAGAGAGACCGAGTGTGTCCGAGAGAGCGCTCGACAGTACGCGCGAGAGACAGAAGCTGCGTCCCAATGTGCATACTATGCCCGAAATAGTATTGACAGTTACTAATGTCGCATACTATTTAGGATGGATAGTATGCACATTACGACGCAGCTAGAGTGTGACTTTTATTTTAACTTATATAAACTGATTTAATTTATTTTTACAGGACAGTTTAAAGCTCATAACCATATTTTGTTGTTACTTGAAGTACTTGGAGTGCAGTGTTATGTTGCATCATGCAGTATTTGTCATGTTAATAGTAAATGCCTATTTTATTTGTGTACATTTTAATCATTAACATTAAAAGCAACATTAAAAGCTCTTTTTACAACTAAAATAACAGTAAAGGGTAAAAAAAACTGAATTCCCAAAAATTAAAATGGAAAAAAACGGAATTTGGGAAAAAGTAAAACGGATTTTATAGGGCCCTATTAATCACTATAACACAAAACAACACATTGGTGATCGCTCATTAGGGTTGGGTATTGTTTGAATTTTAACGATTCCGATTCTTCTTATCGATTCCTAATTTTGATTCAAATTGGGTAAAAAAAAAAAAAAACTAAATAAACTTGGATATCATTCACATTTAGTTTTCTTGGAAAACATTTCATTGTTGCTGAATATCATGAACAAAAATCAGCAGGCGAAAGAAAACCCTTACGCAAGTAACGTTTGCCTGTGGTTTAAAAATACCATAGTGAAAACAACTAGCCCAACTTATTAAAGACAAGTTAACACTCAGTAATTTAAAAAGAACCAATAAAAAATTAGCAATCACAACAAATAGATAGAACTGAACAAAGATATAAACAGTGTTTTAAGATTTAAGGCATTTTAAATTCAATAAACGTCCCTTGCTTTATTACCAATGGAAGTGAAATGCAAATGCCAAAAAAAATTCACAAATCCCTTAATTTAAGAATTGATTAGAGGAATCGAAATTTGTATTTAATAACACATTTTTGATTGACGCTATCTTTATTTGACAGTTTTCTTCCCCTGCTTTTCTCGTAGATTGTGCAGTTTGGCATGAGTGAGAGAGTGGGTCAGGTGTCCTTTGACCTTCCCCGGCAAGGAGAGATGGTCCTGGAGAAGCCCTACAGCGAGGCTACGGCAGAGCTCATTGATGAGGAGGTCAGAAATCTGGTGGACCGGGCCTTTCAGAGAACACTGGAGCTCGTCTCTGAGAAACGAGAGCAGGTGGAGATGGTGAGAGCATTTGGCATCGTGGATTTACAGCTTTAAATGGAGGGACGCATAACTAGTGGCCATTACAAACACTAGTGAGCTGTGGAGTGCCTCAGGGTTCAGTCCTGGGTCCCTTTATTTTTCTCATCTACTTGCTTTTTCCTTTAAATAATGCAGCACAGCTGTATAATCTTCAGCTTAGCTCTACCACAAAGCAGAGATTTGAGTGAAGTTAAAGGGATAGTTCACTTTAAAATAAATTTTTGATATGTTTTATCTTACCTCAAGGGCATCCAAGATGTAGGTGTCTTTGTTTCCACAGTATTTTCAATTTTGAAATTTTTCAGTCAAACCGTTGTTGTCTATCAGTCATACACTGGAGGCTAAGGGGGTCCACCAAAAAGCATGCACAGGGAAGTCCAAATTAAACATGATTTAATGACTCGTAAATGTAAGTACACATTGATGGCCTAAGACACGAAACGAGCGGTTTTTGTGATAAAACGAACAGGATTTATATCGTTTTTACCTCTTGTAATCCAAGTGTTCTAAATCAGTTGTTCAATGTCCAACTGAACCGAACTGAATCAGTTCGAGAGATCACTTCCAGCGCCATGTGCAGACCGAAGCGCCCGTGCCGTCAGATCATTTTGTCATGGCTATGATTACACGAGGTAAAACGATATAAATACTGTTGGTTTTCTCACACAAACCGCTCGTTTCGTGTCTTAGGCCATCAATGTGTACTTACATTCACGAGTCATTAAATCATGGTTAATTTGGACTTCTCTGTGCTGCTCTTTGAGGTGGTGACCATAGACCTCCATTATATGACTGATAGACAAGAACGGTTTGACCTAAAAATATCAAAATTGAAAATACTGTGGAAACAAAGACACCTACATCTTGGATGCCCTTGAGGTAAGATAAAACATATCAAAAATTAATTTCAACGTGAACTATCCCTTTAAGCTTTCAAAGTCGCCTGCTCAGTGCTCAGCCACATTTTATGGCTTGTTTGGTTGATGCAAGCATGCGTTTGTTTTTGTGAATAGGTTGGAAAGCGTTTGCTGGAAAAAGAAGTTCTCGACAAAGCCGACATGGTGGAGTTGCTGGGAGCCAGGCCGTTCGAGGAGAAGTCCACGTATGAGGATTTTGTGGAGGGCACTGGCAGCTTCGAGGAAGACACGAGTCTTCCGGTTGGGTTGAAGGACTGGAACCAGGAGAGAGGAGAGATCCAGGAGGAGCCTCCAGCTTCACGGGAAAAACAGGCTGCTTGAATGAACGCCGCCCGCCTCCGAGACTGCCTTACTGTGGGAAAGGAGAGGCTTCTGGGCTGAAGAAAGGATTTGTGAATTTTGTTGGTATTTGCATTTCTCTTCCCTTCTTAATTCTAAGCAGGGGACATTTATTGAATTTGAAATGCCTTAATGCAAAGATTATGTCGCCATAACCTATGCTGGATAAACTTTAACCACTGGACACCACAAAATCTTTATCCTTTTAGTTATTTCTTTTACCCTTTGATTTCTGCCATTATATCATAAACTGAATTTTATCCTTTTAGCTGCTCTTCCTCTTAATAGAAGTGGAAGAAACTACTGTATATTTGTACAATTTTCATTTGTGTGTTCCAAGAAAAAAATGTTTTGAAAAAGAAATTTAAATTAAATGAGTCCTTTCATATATTTTACAATGTTTTTTTTTTCAACACTTACAATGTTTGTCAAGGTTTCTTATTTTTCTCATGACCGATTTCCACCTTTTTTTCTTACCCTTTATTTAGGTCATTTATGCAGCTTGAATTCACCACTTCATCAGGGTTGTATTTTACAGCATCTAATCTACAGAAAGATCATTTCCTTTTTTCAGTGCTTAAAAGTGTTTTGTTGCATTGTATTTCTAGGCCTTAGACTGACATCAGCAGAAGTAGGGCAACGCTAGATGATTTATCACATTCTGTTCATCAGGGACACTCCCGTTTTAGATGGGTGAGATTTAGCCAAGAAACATCCAGAATCCGTGCTATCTGTGATGTTGTGAGCTACAAATCCTTACTATTATTTGTAGGGATGCACGATATATCGGCCAGCATATCGGTATCGGCCGATATATGTTCATTTTTAATGTTATCGTTATGGCCTGGTAAGAAAATGAGGCCGATATATTAAAGCTGATAAATAATGTATTATTCCCTTCAGCTGAGGCACTTGTTGAGCACTGTTTATGTTTTTAAATTTCTTGAAATATGATTGAAATCTCAAAAAATGATTATACGGTTCGGTACAACATGTGCAGCGCAAATCTGTCATATCGGCTATACAACACTATAATGAGAACATCATTATAATTGTGCGCTTGGGACATGGATTTAATTTTGAGACTTTTGTTTTTGTAATCAGGCTCTCAAAATTAGATAAAAAAATTTGGATTTAAGTTTATCGGCCGATATATCGGTTACCGGCTTTCAAATATAAAGAATTATCGGTTATCGGTATCGGCCAAAATTTTCATATCGGTGCATCCCTAATTATTTGTGATTGTTAAAGTATGAAAGAGAATAAAAGCCCAGTGTAGGTTTGTGGATCTTCTTTATGACAGGCTTGTGCTCAGGCTAAAGCACCATCCTTTAGACTGAATGATGAACCCACGTCTGTTCAAGTAAATTGTACCACACTGCCTCCATTTAAAGCTCATGGGCAGGTTGTTGTGTCACAGGACTTGCTTTGTACAGTGATAGATACAGTAAAGTATGTCGGGCAAAGAAAGGGAGGAAAAACAGCCTGATCATTGACATTTTTCACATTTATTCCCGTTATAGTTGTACCCTCCTTGATTTTACTGTTAATGATTCTGGTAGTTAATAGATTTCTTCTCCGATGCGACCCTGTGTATAGATCATGCTTGACATCATTGAACCCTGTAATAACCCTGGTAACACATACAGTACAGATTTATTTGCACAACAAACGTTTATTCTTTAGGATCTGTATTTGAAACTCCCCACCCGATAGCTTTCTTCTCTTTGAGGATTATATGTGCATCAGGTATATTAAGACACAATTTCTTGCTGTGCACCGGTGATCACACAATTTAGGCGTTTGATGATGTCTTTTATGTTAAATTGTTAATAAATGACATTTAATGTTACAGAGCCGTTAAAAAACATATTGCTGAAAGATTATTCACCCTTACATCCAGTCAAATGCAACTTTTGCAATGGCTTTAATCAATAAATTAGGCCAGAAACATAATCTATGCAAGTATTCTTGTGTGGTTCTGTTGTACATGATGTGCGTTCCTGTTACTGTGGCAGTGGCAAACCTCAGTACTCAAGGGGGAGATGAGTTCCCTTCACAAAATTCGTCAAAATTAAAATGTCAACATTATTCTCTTAAACTGCGGCACCATGATTCTCAACCTTTCGGATGAGGTCTTTCTTCTGACCTATTCATCTTGAATTAGTTGTTTGTTTGGGAAGATTTTGATCCAGCAGCAGGGTTGGGAAACGGCCATTTTGTATGCCTCTCTTATCTTGTTATGAGAGAGTAGCATGGACTGAGCTGTGCTCATATTCCCCTGAGCCATGTTCACTGCTCCCTGTTGGGCATAGCATAAAACACTGGACACTTGGTTTATGCTAAGCCCACCACACACCAATGTTGAGGATGCTACATTATTATGCTGCAATATGAGCTGCGTTCTGATAAATTTTGAAACGAATGATCCATTGAGCTGACGTAGCTTGAAGTGTCAGTTCGTGTACTTGCGTAGGGCATGTTTTAGGCCTATGGTCCTTGCACACAGAGTCCGAAGTTTTCGTATGCATTTTTTCGTATTTGTCATCGTAAAAATTCGTCACGCACAGAAACCTTGCACGCTGAGTCCGATGCGTATGAATTCATCCATAGCGAAAAAAAGTTTACTTCAGGATAGCAGCGGCTCAGTTTGATGCTCTGCTAGCGATACGTATTAAATAGATGATTTCCAATTTCCACCAACCAATTGATCCTGAGAAGTTCTGGATTTTGGCGCTCGCTTGTACGGAAATTGAAATCGTACCAGAGTATAATTTTGACAGCCGAAAGTTTCGGAGGCAGTGTGTAAACGTGATTGACACAACGTGAGGTCGTATTTATTTTTTTAACATGCGAAAATCTCAGACTCGGTGTGCTGACTCACTTTTAAGCCTAAAATGTTGTATTCAGGGTCTCCCATTTTCATGCAGAATCTCCTCGAAGGACACTTTTGTTGTAATTCACTCAGGCATTTCCTGAACTTCGCTGTGGGCTCGTCACAGTTGCTGCCTCGACACATTGCTCTGGTCCTTAAAAAGTTCCTTGAAGATTCCTCAGTCGCTCCTTGGGTTCATGGTGTGGTCCATAATGCTACATCTTGCTTCAAGTTCTCTGAAAGACTGAAAGTGACTAGGTCCCAAAGAGGCATCCGAAATCCTGTTTGGATGAAGTCTGTTCCATCTTGAGGAAGAGTCTATACTCATCCCAGCAAGTCTTCTCGCCCATAATGGACGAAGGGATTGCGTTATCTTTAAGTGGGATCACCATGTCCTTTGATCCCGAAGGTTCCCCGTCTCCTTGCTTGACAAGGAACGTCCCCTCTCCAGACAAGGGCTGAGTCCTCTCCTCAAGCCCCTGTAGCCGGCCTGGCTCAAGGCTGCTGGGATTGAGAGCGCTCTATCTTCAGCATTGGCTCTGTGTTCTCGGAGTCGCTGTGGTGCTTTCGATCTCTCGGCTGCTGATCCCCTTTCCCCCCGCGGGTCCAGGAGGGCGAGCGCACATACCCGCTGTGGGGGAATCTAGGTAACGGCGGCTGCTGGCGATCTGTGGGGCGAACTTACAAAACCATCCAATGAAAAACAACATCATAGTCAGTCACAACAATGATACGGCTATAGTTCTATTCCAAAACCTAGTGTACCGCCTACCAAGATGACATTTTAAGTCACTGTATGACATGAAGACTCTTCATGAACAGATTGGCATCAAGGTTAAGATCAAGGGTGCTCAATCCAGTTCATAGAGATCTAACTACCTGCAGAGTTTAGATCCAGCCCTCTCTGTTATTAGCAAGTGCTTCTGAAGATCTTTTTTTAGCTGGTTGAGTAGTTTAATCAGGGTTTGAGCTGAACTTGATCTCTAGCAACAAGATAGGGCACCTCTGGTTTAGAAGTTGTCTTCTAAGGGGCTTACACGAATTTGTGCATTTTGGCCGTTCTTTTACACAACAACTGCGTTTTGAGGGCCTGAAAATACGAACTGTGTCCATGTAAACAACAAAAAAGCTAATCTCTTTTGACAATGCGTGGAAAACTCTAAGGAAAAACGTCTCAGTTTTAAGCATATGGTGTTGTGTAAATGTACCCTCAGTTGCCTTGTTTTGACCTAATTCTAAAGTACTTAACACAGTCACACAAGAATTTCAATCCACCTCTTGATGCAAGTGTATAGCACTGATTTGACTTTCACAGACATCCCAACCTGCAAGAATTCATTTCCGGGAGGTATATTTCGGTAACAGGATCTTGGGTGGGAGGGAGGGCTAACTTTCGCGTCTGCGAGGCACACTCGGTCTCTCCCTCTGTACAGTGCACGCGCAGCGCGCTATGTATGTTATGCGCGCAGTATGTCTCGCTCTAGATTCCGGGAGATTTGAACTAATTTGCGGGCATCAGGGAGACGCTATCAATATGCGGCAGACTCCCGGAACTTCCGGGAGACTTGGGATGTCTGCTTTCATAGGAAAAGCATTAGTACAGGGTTCCTGCTTCTGTAGGGATACCATTGTGCAGAGTTGAGTTACAACCCTAAGCACCCACACCTGGACCAGCTAATCCAGGTGTTCAGGATTTCTGGAGAGTGTGTTGAGCAGGGTTGGCTATCCCACTCTCACTTTTCTGGAAGGCCACTTCCAGTTTAATTCCAACCCCAGTTAATCACCTGAACCAGCTATTCAAGGTCTTGAGGATCACTAGAAACGTCCAAGCAAGTCTATTCAGGGCAGGTTGGAGCTGAACTTTGCAGCACGTTGACGCTCCAGTAGCAGGATTGAACACCCCTGGTTTTAGGGAAAGGCCATACATAATGTTTGTTTTAATCTCATGAAATGTCTTTGTCTTTTTGTTACAACTCGAAAGGTTAATGGCAATATTGAAACAGTTTGACCTGCTGACAATGGTGTCAAGAGTAGCGGTGTGAGTGGTCCATCACAGAGAGATCTATAAACCAGTCATTAATGACGTCCCATCATGCTTCAGAAGATTGCTGCCTAGAACGCAAAGATGCTCACTTGGTTTTGGAATAGACTTCATATATATTTATACTGGTTTTACTTCTCACAGAAAGGGATTTACATTAACAAAGCAACCATTTTCAATGAAAGCTGGTAATCTGAGGGCACATGAGCGACAGACACTGCTGGTGTTCAGTTAAAGCCCAGTTCTGATACAATGAAGCAGCTACTATAGAGTGATGCAGGACGTCACTTTGAAGGCCGGCCGGCAGTTTGCATCACGCTGGTTCTCTCAAGAGAAACCCAGTAGGATTTTCCCAAAGGCTTTTTGGATTATTGCTCTGTGATCAACAAAAGTTTATGACGATTGTACGTAGTCAAAGATTAACAACTTTTATGAATTTTGAAGCCTAAATGCAGTCGCCAGAAAAGTAAAAAGCTAAAGGTAGGCTATAATTCAACGCCACCCTCACTAAGCTTCCGACAACTCTTTCAGTTTTTATCTAAACACATTTTCCCATAACGTTTGAGTTAAACTAGTTAAACTATTTTAACCATAATGAGGCTGTAACGGTGGACTGAGTTTGGCTGTTCGGCTGATGGCGTCGCATTTAGCCACTTGTTAGCAACCGCCTTTTTCAAGACGCGTAACAGCTTAATAAATCACGAGATAGGCAGTACTGATGTTTTATATCCTAGAATAAAACGTGAAAGTGTCTTCAGCTTGTTCATCACAGACCTTATTTCAGCCATTTAACCAAAACCCCACTCAAAAAAACCACTGACTTCGGAACGATGTAACTTGTTTTGGCCTACGAAGTGACGTCATACCTGCACCACCCTATATGAGTGTAAACGACAGTTAATTCAGAATACCTGCTAACAACCAAAAGTAAAAACAATAGATGACCTAGTCATTGTGAGCACCTCTCAGCGTCCATTTTAAGCACTGCCAAGATGGGCCAAGAAGACAAATGTTATTTACATAACTAGGAGAAAATTAACCCTTATGCTGCATTAGGGACATTTTTGGTCTTTTGCAGTTTAATTTCTTTGACCATTTTGGCTGTTTTAATGCAAATGGTATGAAATTTGGCAAAATTGTGACTTTTTGGATACATGTAAAAAATGTGATCCCATTTTGCAAAATATGTAAAACACACACTGTGTAGATCAAATAGTAACACTCAGCACCATAAAGACCAAAAATGGCCCATTGAAACCCATTAAAACGTTGTTTAAATCTGAGGCTGTCAGTAATACATGAAACATGATTTTTGCACAAACATCCTTTCATTTTGAAGCAAAAGCATTATATTTGCATTATATAGTGTATTCCACCAGATGACGTCACTACATATTTATTCCCTATGGGTGGAAATGCACCTTATTTTAGGCAATAGGCAATGTTTAATAGGTGGCCATTTTTAGTCTCTAACGCGCTAAGTGGGATTTTTTGCAAAGTGGGACTGTGATAATCCAAATCTAAAGTTTTCTCTTTGCATTTAGTTTATTGAAAATAATTGACTTTTTGTGTTTTTTCCTCTTATACAAATCGATGGTTTCGCAAACAAAACTGGTAATTAAAGGGTTAAAATCCTGAAATTGAATACATTTTTGGTAGTTATGATGAGGACTGATGCTGGTTAAAAGATTTAACTTGGTAAAAGTGGAAAATAATAATAATATATAATATTTTAGGCAATGTTTAATATGTGGCCATTTTTGGTCCTTAATGCACTCAACGGTGTTAAAAATCGAATGCAGGTAATTTAACAGAGTTGAGGATGCACTGACATTGCCTCATAGTTTAAATATTTAATATGTGCACTTCAGCTCAGACCTTAATCAAATAATAATGTGTTCCATGGAACCGAACGTTGAAGTCACCACGAATACATCATTCTCTACTCGAAACGTTATCATCTGTTTTCTTTGTCTTGCTACACAGTGAACATTGTGTCGTAAACAATAGAGCGCTGCCGGAGTGAGTCCTAAAACATAGAAACTAGCATTTTTGCACATCCGGTTCCCTGTCCCAAAGTCAAAGGGTTTTTGGTTAAATGCCTGAAATAAGGTCTGTGGTGAACACATGCTCAAGAGATTTTCAAGTTTTGTTTTATGTGGTAAAATACACCAGTAAAACTCCACTCTTGAAATAAGTCTGTTAACAAGAGGCTGAATGGGACTATTGTTGTGGACATTAAACACCATCACACCATAAAGGCAACAATAGTGTGATTATACTTGCTCTCTCGCAAATGGTTCTAACTTGTAGATTTTAAATAAAGATTGAAATACCAGTCAGAACTGACAGCGTTTAAATAATGGTATAGATTGTTTGTTGTCGAACTTTAGATTTTTTTCTTCTGGCAATTCTATTAAAGCTTCAAAAATCATTAAGGATGTGTTTATATGTGAAGATTAACTTTTATTAGCCCCTCCCCCATGGTGAAAATCAAGTTTTTAATGTTTATGCGTCTACTACGTGGTGTTTTTAATATGCATTAACACAATCCATTCATAAATGGACAGCATTGCTGAGTATTTTCTGCTTAAAACTGCAGTGAACCAAAAACGGTGTGAATTCGCTGATGTTTCTGACGTCACAAACGACCTTGTAACCAATCAGATCAAACAGTGGATCTCTGAGCTGAGTGAGTGAGTGAGTGGAGGCGGGGCTCATCTACATATTCATAGAACCGCGCATACTAATGAGGCAAGGGTGTTGAGTTACATTCAAGATATTTTAAAGGCATGACAGAATTTTTTTCAAGGATGTAACATTTAAATGTGTGATTTTGGAGATAAAATTATTGACTACATGGGGACTATTAATCACAATAAGAATGATCAACTTTTATTGATCACAGGGCTTATTTTCTGTAAATTGAAAGATTGTCTTTTTGTCGAGGGAACCAGAGTGATGCTTGTTGTGATGCTTGACTGGAGTGATTTCCCTAATAATTAGCAAACTTCAAAATCTGATATGGAAAGTGAAGATCAGTGTGTTGACTCACTGGCTGGGGACTCGGTATGGTTCTCCTCGTCCGAGTCGGCGAACACCTCCCCGAGCTCCTGGTCGGACATGTCTGTGAGCTCCGTCAGGTCCAGGAGGTCGAAGTGCACCTCCAGAGACGACACGCTGCTGAGAGGCTCTGTGATCGGGCACAAGACATCGTCACTGAGGCCAGGCCTCCGCTAAAGAGCAATCGCACTGTTCCTCGCTCAGACGTGTGCGCTACTGATAGAGCTGCACGATTGATCGTTCAGAGATTGTGACCTCGATTCAATGAGATAGTCATCTCATTACTAAATGACTGATTCGGCTTTGTCCATTAAACCTTCAGATCAGTGTTCAGATCCAGAGAGAGCCGTTGTCATGAATAGATATGAAACAGCTTTTCAACATCACAGTATCATTATTTCTGTCCTACAATCATTCAAATTAAACCAGAAGCACTGGGATTCAAACACTGATGTCTACAGTAGTGATAAAACCAGAGTAAATCACCTTTAGAAAGTAACAGCGGTTAAATCATTTTGTCGGTACACCAGTAGGTGGCGACAAGTGACTATTAAAAAAATTGTCATTGAATTATTCACTTAAAGGGATACTCCACTTTTTTTGGAAATACGCTCATTTTACAACTCCCCCGGAGTTAAACTGTCGAGTTTTACCTTTTTTGAATCCATTCAGCCGATCTCCGGTTCTGGCGGCACCACTTTTAGCATAGCTTAGCATACGTCATTGAAGTGCACAAGACCAGTAGCATTTCTGGGTTTCGATATTTTTCCTATTTAAAACTTGACTCTTCTATAGTTACATCGTGCACTAAGACAGACGGAAAATGTAAAGTTGCGATTTTCTACACTGCAACTAAACGTATTTCCCAAAAAAAGTGGAGTATCCCTTTAAGAGTTTCGATCAAAAATGCTGATTTATTTAGTAATGAAACGCGAGAAGTATTTATATATTATTCAGTATTATAAGTATTATAAATACTCGACGCGTTTCATTACTAAATGAATGAGTCATTGAATCATTCATGATTTTGAAAAGAATTCAGATTAATTAAACATTTTAAACAGACAGCAGCAATTCACTTTTTGTCATAACCTCTAGTAAATAAGGTTATTTTGTTAAGATTCGTAGAGGATTGTGATCTCTGTTTGAAACAACAACAGAAAAAATTGTGATTCTTAATTTTTCCAGAATCGTGCAGCTCTATTATTGGGTGAATGTAAATGTGTCTGGCTTATATTCCAGTAACACCTCATTGCAGCACACGAGATCCAGGGGGTGGAGTTGGATCCAGATCTAAGGTGTAGAGATGGGTGGGGTTAGGGGTGGGGTTAGGGGTCAGGGGGCAGAGATGGCTAGGTTTAGGGATCAGGGGCAGAGATGGGTAGGTTTAGGGGTGGGGTTAGGGGGTGTTTAAGGGTGGGGTTAGGGATAAGGGGGCGGAGATTAGTAGGATTAGGAGTGGGGTTAGGGATCAGGGGGCAGAGATTGGTAGATTAGGGGTGGGGTTAGGGATCAGGGGGCGGAGATGGGTAGGATTAGGGGTGGGGTTAGGGATCAGGGGGCGGAGATGGGTAGGATTAGGGGTGGGGTTAGGGATCAGGGGGCAGAAATTGGTAGGATTAGGGCTGGGGTTAGGGATCAGAGGGCAGAGATTGGTTGGATTAGGGGTGGGGTTAGGGATAAGGGGGCGGAGATGGGTAGGATTAGGGGTGGGGTTAGGGATCAGGGGGCAGAGATTGGTAGATTAGGGGTGGAGTTAGGGATAAGGGGGCAGAGATTGGTAGATTAGGGGTGGGGTTAGGGATAAGGGGGCGGAGATGGGTAGGATTAGGGGTGGGGTTAGGGATAAGGGGGCAGAGATTGGTAGATTAGGGGTGGGGTTAGGGATAAGGGGGCGGAGATGGGTAGGATTAGGGGTGGGGTTAGGGATAAGGGGGCAGAGATTGGTAGATTAGGGGTGGGGTTAGGGATAAGGGGGCGGAGATGGGTAGGATTAGGGGTGGGGTTAGGGATCAGGGGGCAGAGATTGGTAGGATTAGGGGTGGGGTTAGGGGTTAAGGATCAGGGGCAGAGATTGGTAGGATTAGGGGTGGGGTTAGGGGTTAGGGATCAGGGGGCAGAGATTGGTAGGATTAGGGGTGGGGTTAGGGGTTAGGGTAATCCTCCCCCTGGATTTCGTGTTCTGCAGTGAGGACCCTCTCTTATATTTCTCCCCCAAATCAAAAGAAAATACATTACATGGAGACCATTTTTAAACCATTTATTAATCTAGGTCAATGTTAAGGTCTATTGGAGTGAAAATGCTGTGACATGGAAAACAATCTTAATGGTCTTAATTTATGTTGCAAAAAATCGAACTCTTTCGTCTCTAACCCAGACGTGTCCTCGACACCAGGTCCACTCACGTCGTTTCTCTGTGATCAGCACCTGGCTGCCGTGATGGGATGGGGTGCCGACATTGTGGGATGCCTCGCTGGTGAGGCTGGCAGAGCTGGAGGACTTCAGAAGCTTCTGGAACTCTCGGTCTCTAAGTGGCTCTACAACAAAATCATAGAACATAGATTATAAAGCGGTTACCACACAATTAAAATATTAAAGCCAAATAATATGTATCAATGCAACTTTCACGAAGTAAAATCACCAAAGCCTTCCTTCTGCTGGATAAAATAGTCACTAACCAGGAACAGCAACAGAGTTACATTACTTTGCCATTAGATGGCGGCAAAGATGAGTGAGTCAGTCAGTAGAGGAGACTTTTATATTGAAATGATTTAAAATTGTAAAGAAGGGGAAGCAAAACGTGACAGATGATGTCTGAAACATAGATGTCCCTAATAAAAGCTAGATGTCTCATCCGCGCTGCTAGCCAATGGAGGTTGACGTTTACACCGGCGGCCATCTTGTCACAGGGAGCTCACTCACTCCTAACATTGTGTTTTAATGGTGCATGTGCTTTTTAAATAACCATAACTTGCTCAATTTTCTACCAATTTTCAAACGGTTTGGTTTGTTATGACGATAGAGACTCCTCCGTAAGACATTTAGCCTTTATTATGGATATCTATGATGGGAACATTCAAATATATAGGACTGAACTGGAGGACATTTAAAGACAACACTCTACACGCTTGTTTCTCTGGCGCATAACCTCTATAGGCTTCAATGAATGATATCAATGAGAACATATATTTACGTTGCTAGGGGTGTTGTGTAGTGATATATAGAACCGTTGTTTTATTGTTAATAAAAACACAGCTATCGACCAATCTGAATCAAGGACTGGAACAAACCGCTTTATAATATTTGGTGATTTATAATGTGTATTTTTTTGCCCATTGCCACAATATTAGTGTGTTCTGGGGATAACCAGGTCATTGCCATGCAGTTGCAGGGGCTTCTGGGTACTACTGGCACATTATTCGCCGGAGAATTGCTATGCGGTCGCTAGGGTGTTCCTCATGCCCCGTTCTCTAATGGGGTTTGCCAGCGGTTGCCAGAGAAGTGAAACAGAAGATGCTTGTGTTTCACTCACTGTTTGAAGAGCTTCCAGACATCTATTGATTTCTGGCGGCAGCAGTCAAAGCAGACAAGCCTTTTATACAACTGAAGGCAATCACACACATGGGACATGAAAACAAAAGTACACGACTGGATCTACCTCTGTACGTTTTTTTGCTCTAAATACCATTTAATTAAAAAATAATAATAAATAGAACTCACCCTAAAACTGACTATATCTCAATACATTGTGTAGATAGAAATATTCTATAAGTTCCCATATTATGCTTTTTCTGAACTGCGTGAAATGAGTCGTCAGTAATTCAGTCTCACTTCCTGCTGAACCTGCGTAGGATTGTAACCAATTTGCATAATGCGAGCCTCTGGTCTTGATTGGCTGAACAGCATCTCTTGGCCCCACCCATTAAACACTAGTGTATCTGAGTCGGTTCGTGTTGTTCGCGTCGAGAAGACGTGGTTTCTGCTGACGAAGCAAATCCACTTTGATGAGACTGTTACGGTCAAACCCACGCCATCGTTACTGTTCATATCACTGTGAGCTGAGATTCAGATATGATAATGAGCGTTTGCTTTCTGACCAATCACACCAATCTGGGTCATCTGACCAATCAGAGCAGAGCAGTCTCTTAGAAAGGCGGGGTTTAGAGAGACTGAATCTTCGAACGAACCGTTAAAGACACTTTAACGGGAGAAAGAGCTGATTCTGCCATGGATAGTGTTTTTTGACCTTGAATGCATGTAAACCTATTGTTCGAGTCTCCAAAACAAAATTAGGATCCTCTAAAATGGCATAATGAGGATAATTAAGATTAACAGAAAAGGCATGTGTGTTTTGCAAGGCTCTTTCCCTGTAGCAGCTGAACTGGACTCGCAGAAACAGCAGGGCCAAACAACATTATATAATGGGAAAAATATATATAATCACACTACTACTGTACATTAACATTAAAATGACAGACCTATAAAAAAATACTTTTTGAGAAGACGCAAGCAGAAAAAGATTACATCCAACCATTTAGATTCATCCAGTTTCTCTGTACATAAACTTTCTTTATGAGTCCCATATAGCATCCCACACGTGAAGAATCTATAATGTGAAGGTTTAGGGAGTTTTCCAGCTGCGCCTGTTCTCCTCCGCAGTCTGCGGGTCATCCCTCCCTTCACACACCTCTCATTAGCCCACACACACACACACACAGATCCCGCTGGTGCTTCCCTTTCTGTGCGTGCCAGTCATGCAAATATTGGTGCAGGGATTGCTACACACTGGTTAATTCCAAAAGGCTCTCCATCTAAGCTGCACACTCTGAAACCAGCTATATTTTGAACATCGCCCAGTGGTACCCAAGTCCCATTGTCTCAAAGTAGCCGCTGCAAAGATGCAACTCAATGTCAAATTCTCAAAGACAAAATGCATCCAAAAATCCCTCTTGCTCATGACCTTTCACGTTTATTCGCATTTGAGCTGAAGTAATCGTGTAAGCCTCCACCCTACATGCATCCAAGTTGCTGTGCCTTTCCCCATGTGCATGAATGCTGAGCGCCGGCTTCTCTGACTGCCTGCTTTGTCTGAGAGCTGGAGAATAAAGGACATGGTGGCGGCTCGTACAGCGGGCTATTGAATGCATTGTGTGTTTAAATGCGTCTGAAGAAATGTTTGCTCTTACCTGCAGCACTAGAGTCTGCCTGAGCCTCCATTAAGTCTCTTGTAGCGACCGGTGCAATGCTGTTTGGCGTCGCAGCCAGGATTAGAGGGAGCGCCTCCTGTCTCGTGTGCTCTCTCGCTCTCTCTCTCTCTCTTCCCCACCCCTACTACATGCACAGTCACACATTCACTCCTATTGTCACTGCAGCGCACACAACACTGACACATGAAGAGTCCCGCTGGAGAAACGCAGTCAGCCACTACACAACTGCATGACACACCAAAACCGAAGAGAGCGAGGGAGGGGTGCGCCCATAGACAATACAAAGGGTTGATATACACTCTAAAAAATGCTGGGTTGTTTTAACCTAATTTTGGGTCAAATATGGACAAACCCAGCCACGGGTTACTTTTTTTAAAATAAGATTTAAATATTTTAAGCATTGAACAGCCATTGGCTAATAGTCGTAGTAGCTGAAGGCCAGAACCATTGTCTGAGTACAGATGCTTAGCACATGGTCCCATTAAAGTTCAGTCGGGTGGTAACAACTCCAGTACTCAAGGGGGCGATAACGTTACTTTCAAATGTCTGTGCCGTAATTCAGGAAGCTAGTGCTATAAAGATCGAATTTATTTCAAATTTGCAAATTTCCACAACTAAGGTTTCGAAGCTTTGAATCAATCGAACCAATTTCTTCGCAAAATTACTCACTGTTTTGAAGCGCTCGAAAATCGTGTAAATGCGTCGATAACTCAGCCCAAACATGCAAAAAACACTTTTTTACAAACTAATTGCTAGGGATGCACCGATAGGAACATTTTCGCCGATACCGATAACCGTTAATTCTTTATATTTGAAAGTCGATAACCGATATTTATATATTGGCCGATAAATTTTTGTGTAATTTTTGAGTCTGATTACAAAAACAAAAGTTTCACCATTAAAAGCCATGTCCCAAACACATTATAATTATAATGTTCTTGTTATATTTTAATATTTTTAATATGTTCAAGTGCAGCAAAAGTCCCCTGACGAACACTCAATAATTAAAAATATATGTAAAAAAAGAGTTTTGGGTCGGCGAGATCAGAAACTGGGCTATGTCTGACGTATTACATGTACTACAGTAAACAGGAGAAATTATAACGGCACATATTGCTACTCTAGTAAAATAATAATAAAAGAATCTATCTGCAAAATCACAACTACAGAGGAGATGGTTCTTGATGTTTGTTGATGGCATAATGACGCTACTGTTGGATTTGCCTGATTGAAGAGACTAAACTCCCCTAGATTGCAACCAAACTAACTGACTTGCCTGGAAATAGTCACAGTCGTTGGCCTAAAAGAGAAAACTAACCATTAAAGACGGTTTACGCCAACAATCGCCCCCTTGTGGCAATGCTGAGAATGCCATGTGTGCTTGTGTTGCACTGTGAAATGTACTTTGACTCCTTTCAGAATAGGACAATGCAAACACTTTGAGTTAGCGTAGCTATACACGTTATCATACACACACTTGTGTTTTACAGGCTTTATGTTTCAAAGCTTAATGATTGAACACATTCATTCATACACAAATAACTTACTGGACTTACTGTGGCTATTATACAATTAAAGAAATTACATAAACAGAAATGAATGTTAGTTGACTGAGACCTCAGTTTTGGGGCATCATTAGGTCTGTGCTCGTTTTTAAGGTGCCAAGGCTGATCCTCACAGGTAAGTGGTGCCAAACTGGATTAACGTCAGTAGATCCACAGCCGAGCAGATCTTCCATCTGTCATCTAAAATGGTCATCATGATTCCCTCAAAAAAGCACATTGTTGCCATTAATATCCTGTAATCTCATTAAAGCCAAGTACTTTACATTATGTCAACCATGATCCATTCAAATCTTTTCAAGTCAATATGAAACAGAATTCACAAGCCATTTTACGAATGTGCATATTTCATAGTGAGACAGGTTATTCAATGAGAAAACTATTGTCTATCAGGACATGACAGAGTAACTATATTTACAAATAGTAAATAAAAGCTTATTTGCAAAAAATGGGCAGAGCATATGTGCATATTCATAAAAATGCACCTGTTCACCCATAGAAACCTGTTCTATGGGTGGAGCATACGAGCATATTCATGAAAAACTGTTCTATGGGCGGAGCATACGTGCATATTCATGAAAAACTGTTCTATGGGCGGAGCATACGTGCATATTCATGAAAAACTGTTCTATGGGTGGAGCATACGTGCATATTCATGAAAAACTGTTCTATGGGCGGAGCATACGTGCATATTCATAAAAAACTGTTCCATGGGTGGAGCATACGTGCATATTCATGAAAAACTGTTCTATGGGCGGAGCATACGTGCATATTCATGAAAAACTGTTCTATGGGCGGAGCATACGTGCATATTCATGAAAAACTGTTATATGGGCGGAGCATACGTGCATATTCATGAAAAACTGTTCTATGGGCGGAGCATACGTGCATATTCATAAAAAACTGTTCCATGGGTGGAGCATACGTGCATATTCATGAAAAACTGTTCTATGGGCGGAGCATACGTGCATATTCATGAAAAACTGTTCTATGGGCGGAGCATACGTGCATATTCATGAAAAACTGTTCTATGGGCGGAGCATACGTGCATATTCATGAAAAACTGTTCTATGGGCGGAGCATACGTGCATATTCATAAAAAACTGTTCCATGGGTGGAGCATACGTGCATATTCATGAAAAACTGTTCTATGGGCGGAGCATACGTGCATATTCATGAAAAACTGTTCTATGGGCGGAGCATACGTGCATATTCATGAAAAACTGTTCTATGGGCGGAGCATACGTGCATATTCATGAAAAACTGTTCTATGGGCGGAGCATACGTGCATATTCATAAAAAACTGTTCTATGGGTGGAGCATACGTGCATATTCATGAAAAACTGTTCTATGGGCGGAGCATACGTGCATATTCATGAAAAACTGTTCCATGGGTGGAGCATACGTGCATATTCATGAAAAACTGTTCTATGGGTGGAGCATACGTGCATATTCATGAAAAACTGTTCTATGGGCGGAGCATACGTGCATATTCATGAAAAACTGTTCCATGGGTGGAGCATACGTGCATATTCATGAAAAACTGTTCTATGGGCGGAGCATACGTGCATATTCATAAAAAACTGTTCCATGGGTGGAGCATACGTGCATATTCATGAAAAACTGTTCTATGGGCGGAGCATATGTGCATATTCATAAAAAACTGTTCCATGGGTGGAGCAGCATACGTGCATATTCATCAAAAACTGCTAATGAATATGTTTAAAATGTTTAAAATCAACAAACTGGTGGATGAAAACATTTGAAATCTTTGACCTACACCGTATATTTTGTGATAGATAATCTCCTAGTGTTCTCTGTGAGAGTGCCACATATCCCCAGAGCAGCTCGTTACCCCGCTGTCGCAGAGACTCCCACAGATCTCTCTCTTCCTGAGAGATTCAAGAGAATATTGCCTTTCATCTTTCTGTGTGGTGCTTCACTCGATTACAGCGGCAGTTTGTTTGGTGTAAATCAACACAACAGGAAAATGTTACGGGGTTTCTAATCAAAATATGCCTTTCTGTTACCGAACAGGCCATTGATTTCTTCCGTCCACAAGAGGACATCAGGACTGCATGTTTATCAGGCATTCTGGGAGGCACAAGTGCAATTATACAGCAATATTCCTATGAAATATTAGATATTATTGGGAAAATGTTGCCAATTATTACTCCCATTTCTTTTTTCAGTACATGTTGCCCCAGGAACACATCAATATGCAGATTAGATACAGTGTCCTTGTATAGGCTACATTGTATTGAATGGGAAAACACATTTATTGTCTTTTTACCAACATATTGCATAAAGTAAAATGGTATGTCAATACATTCTGTTATATATTTTCATAGTTGAGAATCATCTTTATACCTAGCTTGGTAAAAAAAAAAAAAATAATAATAATCTAAAACCGAAAAATTGATTGGCGAATGAAAAAAATCCCTTTGTTTTTGCCTATACGTGTTTGTTTATGTTACATTTTATGTAGGCCTATTTTTATTAATATCATTTTTCAAAAATGTCTCAGGAGTAATTGTGCTCTTTGACTTTTGTAACTCAAATGTTCTGGGAAAATGTGTTTAGATAAAAACTGAAAGAGTGGTGGAAGCTTAGTGACGGTGATGTTGAAGTCGGACCGTTGTGTAGTGCGTTCATTCGTTCATAGCTTTAGCTTTTTACCTTTCTGGAGACTGCCATTCATGCTTCAAAATTCATAAAAGTTGTGTTCATCTGTGAAAAAATGTCCAAATATCATAAACATTTTGACTATGCTGTATTATATCAAACTATATATATATAATTAATATATAATATATAATATAATTAATTACTATGTCAGATACAGTCGAACAATATTCTGTCAGATACAGTCGGGAATCGTGCGCATGCGCAGAAAGGGGGGAGGAGTCGCTGAAAAAGGTGAATGGCTCTAATGGCTGGCTAGCTAATCATATGGAGAAAAAAACACATTAAAATGTTCCTGAGTGTGAATTTCACTACTATACATGTACTGTAAACCCTTTATAAGGATTTTATGATTGAAAGCATCTCTCTTTCTATATGCATTGCTCTTTAAGCCGAGCGTGATAGAGTCGTTTCCTCTGATCTCATGAGGCTTTAGCATGCTAGCATGCCCTCTGATTTTATATCTCTCCTGAGCGCCGATATCGACCCTAGTTCTCCTAAATCACTCTATTCCAAAGGTAAGAACGTGTTTTTATGATACTACGACTTTTCTTCATTCATTTAGGTTTGCATGCGTCTTCACGGATGGTTTAGTTGTGGATACATATGAAGAATTGCTAACGTTACTTAGCACGAGAGGAGAGCACGCGCTAGCTGTGTGTATTTATAAATGTGTGAATATGTATGAGTGTAAATGTGAGTCAATGTATGCGTGTGTTTGTGTGTGTGAGAGTCGTCTATATAAATGCATGTGCGTGTGTGTGTGAGAAAGAGAGAGAGAGAGTGGGTGTGTGTTTGTTTACCTTTACACATACACACATTATAAGTGACTCGTGGCTCCGAGACAACCACGGGTTGTTGTCAAACACCAAACAAGTATTTCGGACACACACCGTTGCTGTGGTGTTTTATATACACTGACTTTGAAGTGCTGTAAAGTTGGACTAGTGCCATGATGGATGATGCTACTGATCCACGCCTATCATAATTAATATTTCATCAAGACATTGAGCTTGTTGCGAATATAGCTGGCAGTGTTTGTCATATTAGAAGGTAAGCACATAACTGACCTTACTTGAGCATATGATGTTCATATGTTGATATGATGAGGAAAGTTAGAGGCTTATGTACAATAAGCCAGCCTTTTGTAATGTTGATGACAGGTACATATTTATCCTGTGGCCAATGGGAAGTGGATAACATCCCTTTTTTGGTGTTTATGTGCTGATAATGATGCAGATTTGAATAGAAACTAAATGTTTTACAATATGTTAAGCTCTTTAAAGTGGTGGATTCTGGTTTGCTGTCAATGTTTTTACCATTTTCACCATGAAAATACACTTGTAATTTGTCTGTCCAGATTAATAGATAATAATAACAATAATAGATATAGCAGATGGCGATTACAGCAGAAATAGGCATGAGGTTTATAAGCGTGGTTTTGCACATTATGCTCCTCCTCGCACACAGTTAAATGCTTTCAAAGTTTACTCATTACTCATTTACACATTAGTAGAGTTGAGATACTGGAGATGCCTCTGTATGTATGGTCAATAATATGGTAGTTCTGTAAGTAGAGCTGCACGATTCAATTCGGTTCAAACACCTGTGCATCTCATTCCTAAATGACGACGTTTCAGTTCCGTCCATTACAACTTTGATAAAAGCAAAACCACATGTGAACGTTCAGATCTGAATGTTATGAAAGTCTTTTCAACCATTTTCTTACAATAATTCAGATTATCCTAAATGAACTGAGATAAGTGTATAATTCGGATTGTCTAGGGTAGCGATAAAAATAGAGTAAATCACCTTGATGCTTCAAATGAATAATGTATCAGTAGCATCGTGACATGAGACTGATAAAAGATGTGTGTCGTTGAATCCTTCATTCAGGAGATTCGTTCAAAAACACTGATTCATCCAGTAATGAAACAAGTGAAGTCTTTATGAGTGAGTCATTGATTTAACAATGATTCAGATTAAACATTTTAAAAGGAAAAGATTTTTAATAGATCAGCTCAATCATCACTTTTCAATCAACATCATAATATCTCAATCAGTGTCTGATTTGAGCACTTCTGGAACAGGAGTAACGATAGTTTCTAGAATCATCTTTGCCATTACGAATCAATCCAATTCCTTTGATCAACAGCGGCATTTGCACTCGGCTCTTCAATCATAGCGATCCTTACAACGTGATTTTAACATTATAAATCAAATATATATTTTAATGTACATCCTGCCCTCCAGTCAGAGTGGGAAATGTCCAGATATGGTGGCAAAACAGACGTTAATTTCAATTAAATTCAGCCGAATTGTATAGGAACACCCTGGAAACCACCCACAGCGTCCTCGTTTTGCATGAGGAGAACAGCACACACTTGGTAGTGTATTGATCCGTCTCAAGCTGTTTGACCTGGGTCACATGACCTTTGTGTTCGATTCACTCCACCCAACTTTGTAGTGACAGACGTGTTTAATAGTTCCTAGGAACTGCATATGCGGTGCCACCTGTGTTTAGTGGAGGTTTCACAGGTGAAGTGTGTAATTATTTTGACACTTTTCCAGCTTCAAGAGCAGTTCTTCTGTCCTTTTGAACAGATTTAATCCCTGCAATATAAAACGCTGGCTTGGCCGAGGAGAATCGGACGAGCCCATTATCTCTTTGTCGTCCAGGGATGCGGAGTGTTAAAATAGCAGGAATGCCGGACGTGTGGGGTTCGTCTACACTACAGGCACCGGGGGCCGTGTTTACTGTGATCCAGTTTCCATCTCTGCGCTCGTCCACTGTTCTCTGTGCCAGAATGCTATGCTGATACTCATGCAATGGCACGTTTTACAAAATATAGTGCTTAAACTCTTAAAACGGTGCTATTTTTGATCTTAACAAAGTCAGAAAATATTGTTCTTCCACCTAGGCATTTTATCAGCCTTTATTTTTGGTTATTTTGGCTTATATATATATCAATGTGACTATTTTCTATATTTTTCTATTTCGCATCTTCACAGCAAAGAATACTCTTTTAAAACACATTTTAAAACCTTGACTTTTTATGTTTTCTATCTATTTTTAAACATAGGAACATATAATATAAATAAAGTAATATGACAGAAGAAGTTACAGGATTGTAGATTTAACATTTCAGGACCCATCTGGTTTGGGGCAAAATGTTGATTCATAGTTAATAACTTAAACTAATAAATTAGATTATTTTATTAATTATTACTTTTATTTATGTTACATTTTTGAATATGGGGAAATGATCCTACGATTTTCCTTCAAGTCCCCCTGTAGTCAATAATTGTATTGTATCCCTTAAAACTCATCTTTTATCATCAAATTTACACATTTAATTGATTTTTTCATAAAAACAATTGTCTTCATGTCTTAAAATATCTTGAATGTAACTCGACACCCTTGCCTCATTTAGTATGCACAGTTGTATGAATATGCAAATGAGCCCCGCCTCCTCTCACTCACTCACTCAGAGATCCACTGGTTGACGATCTCACGTTGATCTGATTGGTTACAAGGTGGTTTGTGACGTCAGAAACACCAGCGATTTCACACTGTGTGTTTGAGACTGTCTTTGGTTCACTGCAGGAAATACTCAGCAATGCTGTCCACTTATCAACGCACACATGGATTGTGTTAAAGCACATTAAAAACACCACATAGACACATAAACAACATTTAAAACTAGATTTTTACCACAGGGAGTCTTTAATGTAATAGGACACCAATTTGTACCCCATGAAGCGTATAAACATTATTTTATTTTATGTGTGTAAGAAAGAATAAAACCTTCATAGATGGTCAGAGTACAGTGCACTCAAACAGAAATAATCTTTGGCAGTAAAAACAAAGTATTGTTTTGTCATGGGAAGTAAGTGTGTTATGTTTGGCAAGGGTTTCCAGGTAATGTGAGCGAATCTGTGCTGGTCAACCCGCTCCAGTGCTTGCCTATCAGCAGCAGTGCTGTAATCATGCTGATCGGGACACAAGGGCACCCGGGACCAAGTGTCTCTCCGTGAGCTCTGGGAACCGTAAACACCTCCTCTTATTAACTATCTGCTGCTCATCAGAGAGCTAACACCATATCAGACTACTATATATAGTGAGCGCTCCACTTTCCTTATTATGAAGCGTATGAGACGAGGCAAATTTCTGTTTGTGATTGCTGACAATCTTTGAGTGAAATATAGACATTAAGCTGGCTAGTATGGCAGTGCTCTTAGTCTCTACAAAAGCATGTCTAATTAATTGAAATCATGAAACTTATACAAATATTAAACTTTTTGTATGAAACAACATTTAAAAAAAATATATGAAATGTTTTTTTTTACCACAAATTTTTTTTTTCTGAAATCACATAATTCCCTACTGTATAGTAGACGAAAAACAGTACATGACAAAAGCAGTATGTCGACATGCGACCAGCCACCAGGGGGCGATTGAGACTCTGGCTTTATGAGCTACACTGGGACCAGCCACTAGGGGGCGATCGAGACTCTGGCTTTAGGAGCTATACTGGGACCAGCCACCAGGGGGCGATCGAGACTCTGGCTTTATGAGCTATACTGGGACCAGCCACTAGGGGGCGATCGAGACTCTGGCTTTATGAGCTACACTGGGACCAGCCACTAGGGGGCGATCGAGACTCTGGCTTTAGGAGCTATACTGGGACCAGCGACCAGGGGGCGATCGAGACTCTGGCTTTATGAGCTATACTGGGACCAGCCACTAGGGGGCGATCGAGACTCTGGCTTTAGGAGCTATACTGGGACCAGTCACTAGGGGGCGATCGAGACTCTGGCTTTATGAGCTACACTGGGACCAGCCACTAGGGGGCGATCGAGACTCTGGCTTTAGGAGCTATACTGGGACCAGCCACCAGGGGGCGATCGAGACTCTGGCTTTATGAGCTACACTGGGACCAGCCACTAGGGGGCGATCGAGACTCTGGCTTTATGAGCTATACTGGGACCAGTCACTGGGGGGCGATCGAGACTCTGGCTTTATGAGCTACACTGGGACCAGCCACTGGGGGGCGATCGAGACTGGCTTTAGGAGCTATACTGGGACCAGTCACTGGGGGGCGATCGAGACTCTGGCTTTATGAGCTACACTGGGACCAGCCACTGGGGGCGATTGAGACTCTGGCTTTAGGAGCTACACTGGGACCAGCCACTGGGGGGCGATCGAGACTCTGGCTTTAGGAGCTACACTGGGACCAGTCACTGGGGGGCGATCGAGACTCTGGCTTTAGGAGCTACACTGGGACCAGCCACTGGGGGGCGATCGAGACTCTGGCTTTAGGAGCTACACTGGGACCAGCCACTGGGGGGCGATCGAGACTCTGGCTTTATGAGCTACACTGGGACCAGCCACTGGGGGGCGATTGAGACTCTGGCTTTATAAGCTACACTGGGACCAGCCACTGGGGGGCGATCGAGACTCTGGCTTTAGGAGCTACACTGGGACCAGCCACTGGGGGGCGATCGAGACTCTGGCTTTAGGAGCTACACTGGGACCAGCCACTGGGGGGCGATCGAGACTCTGGCTTTAGGAGCTACACTGGGACCAGCCACTGGGGGGCGATCGAGACTCTGGCTTTAGGAGCTACACTGGGACCAGCCACTGGGGGGCGATTGAGACTCTGGCTTTAGGAGCTACACTGGGACCAGCCACAGGGGGGCGATCCAGACTCTGGCTTTATGAGCTACACTGGGACCAGCCACAGGGGGCGATCGAGACTCTGGCTTTAGGAGCTACACTGGGACCAGCCACTGGGGGGCGATTGAGACTCTGGCTTTAGGAGCTATACTGGGACCAGCCACTGGGGGGCGATTGAGACTCTGGCTTTAGGAGCTACACTGGGACCAGCCACTGGGGGGCGATCGAGACTCTGGCTTTATGAGCTACACTGGGACCAGCCACTGGGGGGCGATCGAGACTGGCTTTAGGAGCTATACTGGGACCAGTCACTGGGGGGCGATCGAGACTCTGGCTTTATGAGCTACACTGGGACCAGCCACTGGGGGGCGATCGAGACTGGCTTTAGGAGCTATACTGGGACCAGTCAATGGGGGGCGATCGAGACTCTGGCTTTATGAGCTACACTGGGACCAGCCACTGGGGGGCGATCGAGACTCTGGCTTTAGGAGCTACACTGGGACCAGCCACTGGGGGGCGATCGAGACTCTGGCTTTAGGAGCTACACCGGGACCAGCCACTGGGGGGCGATTGAGACTCTGGCTTTATGAGCTACACTGGGACCAGCCACTGGGGGCGATCAAGACTCTGGCTTTAGGAGCTACACTGGGACCAGTCACTGGGGGGCGATCGAGACTCTGGCTTTATGAGCTACACTGGGACCAGCCACTGGGGGGCGATCGAGACTCTGGCTTTAGGAGCTACACTGGGACCAGCCACTGGGGGGTGATCGAGACTCTGGCTTTAGGAGCTACACTGGGACCAGCCACTGGGGGGCGATCGAGACTCTGGCTTTAGGAGCTACACTGGGACCAGCCACTGGGGGGCGATTGAGACTCTGGCTTTAGGAGCTACACTGGGACCAGCCACAGGGGGGCGATCCAGACTCTGGCTTTATGAGCTACACTGGGACCAGCACCAAGAGGGCGATCGAGACTCTGGCTTTAGGAGCTATACTGGGACCAGCTACTGGGGGGCGATCGAGACTGGCTTTAGGAGCTATACTGGGACCAGCCACTGGGGGGCGATCGAGACTCTGGCTTTAGGAGCTACACTGGGACCAGCCACTGGGGGGCGATCGAGACTCTGGCTTTAGGAGCTACACTGGGACCAGTCACTGGGGGGCGATCGAGACTCTGGCTTTAGGAGCTACACTGGGACCAGCCACTGGGGGGCGATCGAGACTCTGGCTTTAGGAGCTACACTGGGACCAGCCACTGGGGGGCGATCGAGACTCTGGCTTTAGGAGCTACACTGGGACCAGCCACTGGGGGGCGATCGAGACTCTGGCTTTAGGAGCTACACTGGGACCAGCCACAGGGGGGCGATCCAGACTCTGGCTTTATGAGCTACACTGGGACCAGCACCAGGAGGGCGATCGAGACTCTGGCTTTAGGAGCTACACTGGGACCAGCCACTGGGGGCGATTGAGACTCTGGCTTTAGGAGCTACACTGGGACCAGTCACTGGGGGCGATCGAGACTCTGGCTTTAGGAGCTACACTGGGACCAGCCACTGGGGGGCGATCGAGACTCTGGCTTTAGGAGCTACACTGGGACCAGCCACTGGGGGGCGATCGAGACTCTGGCTTTAGGAGCTACACTGGGACCAGCCACTGGGGGGCGATCGAGACTCTGGCTTTAGGAGCTACACTGGGACCAGCCACTGGGGGGCGATCGAGACTCTGCCTTTAGGAGCTACACTGGGACCAGCTTATAGCTGCCCCCGACTAAAGATATTCCTAGTCGACTAACACTCCTGCATTTTAGCGATTAGTCGAATAATCGTTTATTTATTATATTAATATAAAAGCTTGCGTATATACAAGGAAAGGTATAGTCCAATTTTAAGTTTAACACTTACATATGACAGAAAATGCTAAAGCATGATGTTTGCACGTTCCAACTGAAAATTAAGCTCTTAAAACAGAATAGTAAAGTGTTTAAAGTATAGAGTGCCGACACGTTATAGGCTAATTATAGAATAAAAAACAGCAATCAGACCGCCTGTGCAAGTGTGCATTTTAATCATTTATTATAAAAAATACAAACTGTAACAGTTACATGTAAAAAAAAAAAAAACAACAGTTTTGAATAAAATAAACTTAATTTCATTCTTTAAAATAAATTAAATAAACTTATTAGTAAGGCCTAGTACAAAAAACAAAAAACAAACAAACAAAAAACAACAACAAATACTGTAGCAAAAACGCTGTTTGGTATAAAATACAGTGGAAATTAAATTAATATTTTTTTTATATTGTTCAAAAGGAAAATTAACAAAAACTAACAATTTAGTAAATGCACATGGCACATGGCACAACACCAAAAATATTGTGAATAAAAAAAGAAGGGGGCAAACAAATCAACAGCCTAAGTATTTGATAAAATTGTTTAGAAGAACTAGGCTATATTTAAGACAAATTGTGGAACAAATAGGCTAATTTAAAGAACAAGAATATCAGAGCAAAGCCGCAAACTGCCATTAAGACAACGGATGAGTGGCACGAGATCTCGTTGATCTCTCGTTGCTTTTATGTCACGTCGATTGTGTGAATTTTATTTATTTATTTTTTTTTTTTGCGACTAAACGACTAAACACCTAGTCCTTTTGACCGCAACTTTAAAGGAAGCAAGACAATGTTGTGTAAACGAGTGCTGGAAACCTGAGGTAAAACTTCTCTTTATTCAGAGGGTGTGAACGATTGGTTTCCACATCCATTTCCTTGAAAAGGGGCTTGAGAGCTGTCTCACTACCACATAGACTGCCTAAGGGACTGGCTCTTGATGGCCCAGGAAGTCAATGAAGAAAATGTTTAAATATTCCATGTGACTACAGCGGCTCAACTATATGTTTATCAAGCGACGCGGATACTTTTTGTGCAAAAAAACAAACAAAAATAACGAGTTTATTCGACTATTCCTTTTCTTCCTTGTTGGCCTGAAACGAGACTTCCTTATATTTCCACGACGCATGCGCGAGAATTGCGATCTCCTTACACTACTTCAGTTCAGTTCTCTGGCATGCGTCATGGAAATCGTATTGAAGTCTCGTATTTAAGTCTTGGTTCGCTTAGCGTCCGCGCTGTCATTAACACTGAACCTACAAATACATAAGGGTTTGTGTGACAGAACTTACAAAACATCCAGACCAATGCTGTGTATGTGCATATGTTGATATGATGCCATTTATGAGAATAAAGATCTGCTGCGAGGAGACGCGGTTCTGACGCTTGTACAGAATGATGAGAATTATGATGAAAATTATTGAGCATTCTGTGCTTTTTATGGCCATATCTTATGACATCACGTCATTGTGTCAACACGGCCTTAAACAGATTGGGACCCATTAATAAACTATAACATTGTCAGTGCTGTTCAAAAGCAGAAGTACAGATGCTGCAAGATTATTTATTATTGCTCAGTATTGTATTGCTCTATTCAAATTCTTTTTTTTTTTTACTTTTTTTATTGGAACAAAGAACACAAAAGACGTTATCATGGATGTTACAATATCAGACAGTATCACAAAATAATTCTAACATCTTGATGTATAATATCACACTCAATGGTTTACATACATAATCAATTTTTCCCACAACGTGTTAAATTTGTCAAATTTGAGCCTTAATATAAATGTAAGCCTCTCCATAAAGTATATTTAGTATATTCAAATTCTAAAGGCGATTCCTAATGTTAGAGGAGGAAAGTGCTGTATTGCCCACAAGAGGGCAACAAGGACACATAAACCAAAATCAAGCATCTTTTATTGAAACAAAAAATGACATTCACTTTTTAAAGTGCGTTAACTTTTGAAACAATAGTTCTGAGATAAAATATTATTTCCTTAATGTGCATGCAAGGAAAATTAGATTTAGCATAAAACTGTGTTTGTGCATCAGTAACCTGAGAAAACACACTTCAACACACAGCGTAATGAACTACATGCACACACTCCACTTCTGCTCACTACATCTACAGAAAATTAGACGCTCGATTTGATCTGAGCGCTTTCTGTTGACGGTGTCAACACACACACACACTCAGCTCTGACCGAGCTGTGCAGGTTTTGGTCAGCAGGAAAGCCTTTCAAATTAACAATCTTGACACACCAGCAATTTGAATGCATGGTTTTTGCATTCGTATGTGCAGTTCTTTATTTTATTTGTATTGTATGAATCTTCTAAACTGTAGTGTTTGTGTGTCAGCCCTAATCTGCAGCGGACCTCTCTGTTGCAGAGTCAGTGTATGACCTGCTCCCCAAAGAGCTGCAGTTGCCCTCGGTCGCTCAGCAGGACAGCCGGTTCCCCATGAGCCAGAAGAGCGGTGGAGAGGCGGGCCCTCCTCCAGCTGCGGCCCTGGCCTCAGGTACACACACTCCAGCGCTCACGCTACACACACACTCTCATCCCCTCCACTCACCTCTGAATCCTGTGTGTCTCTGGATCTTTACTATACTTTTCTCTTTTGGTGGTGTGCAGTTATCTTTTTTTTGTGGGTTTGATCATTTCTTTCTAATGCTTCTGACCCGTGCTTCCCATTTCACTCTTTTAAAACCCATCTGGACATCCAGACCTTTTACATTTTTCTTTGACATGTTTTTCTCTCTCTCCCTTTGGTCATTTCAGATTTTGCAGACTAACTCATTCGAGTGCTTTACTTGACCTGTATAAAAGAGCTCCCTGTTATTGAGGTTGAGTGATTTCCTGATTTTGCCCAGACCTTGTTCTGGAGTTTCGGCCTGTTATGGTTGAAGCCAGTCAATGAAATATAACCAGCACTCACTGGCTGGCAGCGGTCCATAGCGCATTAGATGACACCTAAAATTATGTTTTTATCTTTGTCTACAAATATATTGGCATTTGGCCTAATTTGAGGCTTGTCTCTTAATCTTTTCGCTTTTTTTGGGGAAGGCCTTTGCTTCTTTCAAGTAATAATAAAATGGCTTGTAATCAGAGTAGGGCTGGGCAATATAGAATTACAAAAGAAACCCAATATTTTATATGACTCTATTCATATATTTACAGACTTGTGTATGTATTTATTTACTCTGGAAAAATCTTTTAGGTTTATTCAACAGCCATTGTTGTCAAGTAAATAAAAAATGTAAAATATAAAAATATATATACAAATATAAAAATAATTTGATGCACCAATATAACAATACCTTTTAACAGCATAATGGTACGTTCACCCCGTACGCGAATAGCGCGTCAAATTTTCAAATTTCAAATTTTTAGCCCACTTTGTATTAATTTGCGTGTCAAGAGCGAAACTGACGTGGGTAAAATAGCTTTGAAGCAAAATAGTTTGAAGCAAAATTTACGCGCGCCTCGCGCATCAAAAATCAAAACCCGTTGACGGCCATCTTTTTTTTTTGTTGATCGAGCATTCATCGAGAGATTCACCGCATTGTATTTGCTCTGGAGAGCTAGACCAGCGGCGTGGGGATCATCGTCGGCGTATTTGTGTCAACCGGACCCTTCGGAGGCGACCCGTTTGACGAGTTTTACCATTTGCTCGCTCCAGGAGCTGCGCTGGATGACGGCCGCTGTCAGCGGTACTTCCGTCTGTCCCGCGCCCAGTTTGATGACCTGTTGTCCCGCATCGGAGCGAGGATCACCCTTGCCCTCATCCATCTAATCTAGCTGTCATTTATTTTTGTTTTGATGATAAATAGAGCCAGCCTACAAAAGTTATTAACCTGTCCTGTGATATTTTTTTCTCTCTCACGTCCAGACACGAACTTATGCACATGTATGTTGGTTGTCTTTACATCATAATACTATTTCATGTAATCTAGATATGGAATGAGTAACATTCAATACAAAATGAACATGTCTCGTATATAGAAATAATGTTGATAAAATATTTGCTTTGTTGTGCATAAGAATCCCACCATGCATTTAGTCGTATTACAAAATAATTTATTGAAGCATCCAAACACTTGCTCCTGATTGGTTAATGCGGCGCGAATTGACGCCAAAGTTCAGATTTTTTCAACTCGGACGGCAGACGTAAATTCGTGTCAAACGCGTGAATGCACAAATGGCACTAAATAAATCATTTGCGTGTAACGTGTTTAACGCACCAGACGCTCGATTCGCACCATTCACGTGAACGAGGCGTATTTGCGTCTTCCGCGCCGCACTCTACGCCTCATTCACGCCGCAGGAATTTTTTACGCGCGTATCGCGTCTTTGCATTGACTTAACATTGAAATCATTCGCGCCTGACGTGCTATTCGTGTCCGGTGTGAACGCACCATAATGCTTAATACAGTATTTAGCTAATAGTTCGGGTGAAACATATTTATTTAGAAAATAATGTTACAAAAATGTTGTTTTGTTGCTGCCCGGCGATCTGAAGCATGAGCTGTTAAGGCTCCGCCCACTTCTGGAAATGGGGGCGGGGAGCAGCAGCTCATTTGCATTTAAAGATACACGAAAACGACATGTTTATGCTTTCATCCAAACGGACAATTTGGACATGGTATAATAAATGAACTGTGGGGTATTTTGAGCTCAAACTTGACGCACATTTTGGGGGACACCTGAGACTTGTATTACAAAAAAAGGGACATAATAATAATAATAATAGGTCCCCTGTGCAGTAAATCATCTGGCACATGACAAAACCAATGCCACGCAAGAATGTCTGTAAACCTTCTAGACTCTAGAATCTAGAGCGATTATGTAAACAAATACTTTTGGTTAATTTAATACATTTGCAGAAATTAATCAAATTTCTGTTTTGTTTTTTATTGTTTGATGTGTTTAAAATCATTTTGATATTCACAACTTTGGTTCATCGACAAAATAATACCAAATATATTGCCCAGTTCTAATTAAAAGGCAGTACTCTGCATTGTAGCCAGGTTAATGTTACACTACCTCCTGTTTTGACAGAAAGCTGTCATCAGTTTATTCATCAATACATTTGAGCTCAACCAAATCCAGTACCAAACTAGGACAGTGAGAAAACCGATTTTTTATTTTCATATATATCTGTAACAAAACTGGCCCAATAAATTAGTCATTTCTAAAAACAGATGTTTTTATGATAATGATTTTTTTTTTTTTTTTGGTTATGATTCTGACCAAAATTTGCAGATATCTACATTGGATGACCAGCACTTATTGTTTATTCGCTGTCATTTGTCGTTTTTATTCCAGGGAGTTCCCTCTGAATCAGGGAGAGTCTGCATATAAAATGGTCTGCAGTTCTCTGCTTCGTAGGTCAGAAGCTTGTTTATTCTGTCTCCATGGCTACGCTCAGTCCCAACCAAATTGTCCAATTGGCATGCATTAGTCAACACCTCAGAATTTTCTTTGTCCAATATTATGTGTCTATGAGAGGCTGTTTTGAATAGATCAGCTCTGGGTTATCATCCACCAGTACCAGTTCGTCCAATCGGCATGCAATACTCAGTTATTATTGGCCATTACAGTTTGTCTGTGAATAGATCAGCACTGGGTTATGCAGAAGTGACAACAGATGCTCTGTATACCCCTCATGCATGTTTATTTTTTGCTTTTTTATGGTAGGAGGATTCAGTTATTGGGCCATCATACAAAATAACATGAAGGAAATAAGGTATTGGACAATGCACAAGCTTAATTAGGCTTACTTTAATTAGCAATTTAATACCAAGACATTCCAAACAGATAAAGGGCATTGACCAGATACCATGTCGAGTTTCACTGCTTGATCGGGACTGCTAGCCAGATTTAAAGGGAGCGGTTTTTAACCGTTCTGCGTTGTGCACACTACAGATGCTGCCGCCACATGCACCGCTGCCTCCTCCCCTGGAGGACTCAGCACCCTTCCTTCCTGTCCCAGCATGCTCTCTGCTACCTCAGCCCAGGAGCAGGCGCCCAGGCTCGGGCCCGCCCCCGAGGGGGTGCCCGAGAGAGTGTGCGTGGAGCCCGGTTCAGCTGCGGGCGAGAGCCAGGCGACCCCCTCGAAGCGGCGGACCGTCCTGAGCATCTCCCCGCCTCCCGAGGATCTGCTCGACGACAGCCGGATGTCCTGCCAGGACGATCTGCCGCCCAACCCGGACTCGGAGCAGAGCGGCAGCATGTGGATGGACGACTCGGTGTCCAACTTTAGCGTGGGCAGCAGCAGTTCGTACAACGACAACACTGAAGTTCCCAGAAAGTCTCGAAAGAGGACTCCTCGGCAGCGGCCGGGGCCGAAACCCGCGGCCCGCGAGGAAGCCGGCATGGATGTGTTTGATGCAGACAGCGCTAAAGCGCCACACTTTGTTCTTTCACAACTGGGTTCAGACACCAAAGTCACACCCAAAGTGAGGTTGGTTTCCTTACATTTTTCTAAGTTTGCCACACAAAAAAAATGCAATATGGATAGGGCTGCAGGATTAATCGCAATTTACTTGAAATCGCACTTAAACCGTTTTCTTATCGTGATTATCTTTTCATGCGCAGCTTGTCATTGATCGGCTCTGCAAACGCTGCTCCGTTGAAATAACTGCGAGTTTGAGTCGCTTATAACGTGCATTTGAAAAAGCAACACATCTTTCCAAACATGAGAAGCATTCATGAACCCCTTGACCAACAAAAGAGAACATTTAATAACACCCTTTCACTCCAAACTCTCTTCATAACGACATTTGAGCTCGTTCTTCTGTGAGATGATGCGCTTCTTACTCAGAATAAGGCAGTCGTGTGTTTATTAGTCATGTTTAATTAATCAAAGCTTTTTAATTTTTCAGCTACAGAGATGATGGCCATAGTGATTTCCTGGAATGATGTGTGTTATCGTTAGGGTTGGGTATCGTTTGAATTTGAACGATTCTGATTCCGATTCCTTGTTTCGATTCCGGTTCCTAAAGATTCTCAATTCCGATTCTTTTAAAGGGTTAGTTCACCCAAAAATGAAAATTCTGTCAGTATTTACTCACCCTTGTGTTGTTCCAACCCCGTAAGACCTTTGTTCGTCTTCAGAACACAAATTAAGATATTTAAGATATTAAGATCGCTCCTGCATACAGTCCATAGGCTTCTTGAGGGAATGACTCTTGATGGCCTCAAAAAGTCATTAAAGACATCGTTAAAATAGTCCAAGTGACTACAGGGGCTCAATCTTAAGTTTATCAAATGACGAGAACACATTTTGTGCGCAAAAATAAACAAAAATAACGACTTTATTTCAACTATTCACTTCCTTCTCCATGAGCCTGTAGTCAGTTAACGTAGTGTGATTGTGTAGAGCTACTTCACACGTAGGCTCACTATTGGCCGACGCTGGTCATGTGTGTGATGCGTGTGACGTACAATAACAGAAGCTTACGCTATCAAACTAGCAACTTGACTCAAAGCAGAGGGAGAAATAAACGAATAGTTGAAATAAAGTCGTTTTTTTTGTTGTTTTTTTGCGCACAAAAGTGTTCTCGTCGTTTGATAAAGTTAAGATTGAGCCCCTGTAGTCACTTGGACTATTTTAACGATGTCTTTAATGACTTTTCGATGCCAGCAAGTCATTCCCTCAAGAAGCCTATGGACTAGTATACAGGAGTGATCTTAATATCTTAAATATCTTAATTTGTGTTGCGAAGATGAACGAAGGTCTTACGGGGTTGGAACAACATGAGGGTGAGTAAATACTGACAGAATTTTTTTTTTTTTGGGGTGAACTATCCCTTTAAGAGGCAGGGTCAAAAAAGTTTAGCTAACCTTGCTAACCAACGGTCTTTCTGAAGGAAATACCCCTTCTGTCTCAAATTTTATATTTTGCCGAGATTTCATTATTTTTAGTGAAAGTGAAGCCACACTTTGGACCGCTGACATAAGCTTCTCATGTTCGACTCGCGCGGTTATGCCAACACTTCCGGTAGACGCTTCTTCTTTGGTGTTGTTCAGCGGTTTCTTCTTCCGGTCGGCGGACTGTGAATATTGAAACTAGGAATCGAAATTTTAACTTTTGAACGATTCCGGGAAAAACGAAAAGTTAGTCCCGATTCCAATCGATACTCGATTCTCGATACCCAAACCTAGTTATCGTACTTCTGCGGCAGGGCATATTTGGCGTGTGTGTGAGACTCCCTCTGGTGTTCAGAGGTATATGTGGTGTGTGTGAAACTGGCGTTCAGGTGGAACAGCATTTAATACCGATCAGCCGCTGCACTGACGAGCTGCACATAAAATACTCGCGTGTGGTTTCTTTGCGGTTAATCATGCAGCCCCGTTTTCGCCATGAATTCGACATGAATTTTAAAAACGTAATAGAAGATGTTTGAATTGCTTTCTTTTACTATACCTTTAGCTCCCTGGAAGTGTCAAACAATCAGAAAGGGGGGATCCTTTCCATTCAGTACCCGCAGAAGAGCGAAGGGAAGGAGCTGAAGATTTTGATTCAGCCAGAGACACAGCATAGGGCACGATACCTCACAGAGGGAAGCAGAGGATCCGTCAAAGACCGTACCCAGCAAGGGTTCCCCACAATCAAAGTAAGAATTTAAAAAACATTATATTATCTGGACTAATATGCTTTTATGGAAGTAATACAGTTTATATGGTAATGTTTCTATATGTGGTACATCAGTTAGAGGGAGTCAGTGAACCAGTGGTGCTCCAAGTATTTGTGGCTAATGACGCTGGACGTGTGAAGCCTCATGGGTTTTATCAAGCCTGCAGAGTGACGGGGCGCAACACAACGGCATGCAAGGAAGTGGATATCGAGGGGACCACAGTTATTGAAGTGAACCTTGAGCCGACCAGCTCTATGACCCTACCGTAAGGATCGTTCCGTCTGTTGTCCAATCGCTTTCAGTTATTGTGTTTTGTTGTCGTTAAAGTGTAATGTGGCGTGTGTTGGCAGCGTGGACTGTGTGGGAATCTTGAAGCTGAGGAATGCCGACGTCGAAGCTCGTATAGGGGTTGCTGGCTCCAAAAAGAAGAGCACTCGAGCTCGTTTGGCCTTCAGGGTCAACATCCCAAGACCTGACGGATCAGTCCTAACCCTTCAGACTCTCTCCTCCCCTATCTTATGTAGTAAGTGCAAAGGGTTGCAGGGTATAGATTTGATATTACGGATGTCTGTCAGTGGTTTTAACCTGTATTCTTTGTGTCTCATTTTCAGCTCAACCTGCTGGAGTGCCAGAAATCCTTAAGAAGAGTCTACACAGTTGTTCTGTCGCAGGAGGAGACGAGGTCTTTATCATCGGCAAGAACTTTCTCAAAGGAACCAAAGTTCTTTTTCAGGAAAATTCTACAGGTACATCTTATACCATAAAAGCATTAACTTTATACTGGGTGTTATATGGGAATGATGGGATAGCATTGCATACTTTTGTGACACTTGTCACCTTTCAGAAAGGAATGACACATTAAATTTAGCTTGCGTAGTATGATGAACATACTCCTGCTCCTTATCTCTCCAATGTATGTGGAATGTTTTGCACCAAAGTTCATCTTTTTCCTTCCTGTTTTAATTTTTCTTCTCAGATGAGAGTGGCTGGCAAGCTGAAGCAGAAATTGACATGGAACTTTTCCATCAGGCAAGTGGAATACGCTTGTGAAAAATGCTTATCATTCAAAAATATCTTGTCTAAAGCATCTTCTCAACATAATTTGATCCAGAATCATCTAGTGGTGAAGGTTCCCCCATATCTTGACCAGACAGTGGCCGCCCCAGTCTCTGTTGGGATTGCCGTAGTGACAAACGCAGGGAGAACGCATGATCTACAGCCTTTTACCTACACTCCTCTTACAGGTTGGTGAAGAGAGGAAGTGTTTATAATATTAACAGGTATCCAGCTCAGAAGTTAATTAGAAAAATTGTAAGGATGTGTTGACTGTAAGCAAGGGGTGTCATTTTCTTATTTGTAAAGTCCCAGACATATAGTACTCTACAATAAAAAACTGTCTTATTTTCGGATTGGAACCTGTCCTATTTTGGTTTGGGGCTTAAACAACCAGTTTTTTGGGGGGTCTTATTTTAGGGGTGGGGTTAGGGATACTGTTTGGCCTATGATTGTTTGAAAGGAATGTTTTGCAGGACCAAAAAAGGATTGTGAGCCATGCATGTCTGTCTTGGGTAAGTAGGGTTAAGCCTAGTTCATACTACATGATTTTATGACATCGGGCTGAACTGCGCGGTTCACACTACATGACTTGCTCTCAGTGAAATCAGGAGTGTTCAAGTTGTTTAGCGGTTCACACCACATAACATGATTTATCCACAACAGGAGGTAACTCACTACACGAGAGATACAACCACGATCGGATGATAAGAGCAAATCATTGTGACTCTAATGAGAGCTGTTTCAGTACTATGGTACGGTCTAAATCCTGAAAATAATCAAATAAATAATGAGTTGACAACAACTCTGTCACCCAACGATTCTATCTTGTCTACAAACCACGTTTTGTCACGAAAAACCACGCAATAAAACGAGCAAGAAATGACGCGAAACAGCACGTGCGCCAATACCCAGCGACGAAGACGAGAACACAACACACGAATATGGACGTCAGACAGAAACTAGTGCTGCACACTGTTTGCGCGATGATTTGTTCTGAGAAAAAAAAATGCAAAAAATAATTAAACTAAGATTTACCTAGTGTCCTCAACCCATGCCTTGCTATGATTGGCTGTAGCTCATGACATCACTGAGGTTGAGTCGCGCGACGGCTCTGGATATCTAGCATGCTAGATGTTTTTCTTGGCTTGGCGAGGCGTCTGTGAGCGTCTTCGCTGTGTTGTTGGCTCTTTCATACTAACAGATTGGCAAGCGTTCATCGTTCGCTAATCCCCCGCGATTTGCACGCGATAACACCCTGACCTGTCGGCGAGCTCAACGATTTGCAAATCGGGCTTAAAATCCTGTAGTGTGAACTATAAAGTATATTTGGGTACATCAAGCTAAGTTACTTTGGTAAAACAGGTTTGGAATTGTGAATTTTTGTATAGTTGAGACTACGCTCATGAATATTAATTTGGCCATGCTGATAGTGTTTTGTAACTCTCCTTGAGTGTCCAGTTTTATAGTATTGGTACATTTGCTCCTGATTGCTATCGGACAGAGCAGGCAACAGAAAGGCAGGATGAACAGTAGTGCTGCAGCTGCCAGTTGAAAAGAAAAACATCAAAAACAATGTCTTAGTATATTTGGCTAAAGATTACAGGCTATTGTTTTTGTGAATATTGCTAGCAAGTATCTTCAATTTACCTTGTGAAATTTTGTTTTGGTGACACCCCTTAATGGGACACAGTATAAGATTGCACTTCCGCACCAATAGATGATGTCATCATTCATTATTTCAACTCTTTTCATACAGAGAAAGTTGAAATACCAGTGAAGTCAGAACTGCCAGCCACAGTCAAGGCTTGTACTTTCGAAGAGCAGATAAAAGGTGTGTTATCAAAAATAGTTTCATGCTTTGCTGTCGAACAGCTTTAAAGTTTGAGCTCAAATGTTTCATGACTTTCTTTTTACAGCAATGCAAACAGAGACCAGTTGTCTAAACAATGTCTTATTGTTACCTATGGTCAAACGAGAAGAACCCATGGATGTCTCCTGCAACGCAACACCTTCAGATATCTTTAAGGTACTGTCATTTTTAAAGCCCATCCCTTTTGAGGTAATTTAGTAACAAAGGTAACAGGTAACAAAGTATTGTTTTTATGAATGGGGCATGAAAGTTAACAGATTGTTTCTTATTTTCACAATGCAGCCTGTCGAGGCCCTTAGTTCAACCCAACAAATCTTGGAGATAAGTACTGTCCTTCCCTCTGCCACTAAGTCTTTTCCAAGCCCTGTGGCTCTCCAACCCGTCGACTCACCACAGTCAACGGCTCAAATATTTACGACTCAAGAAACCTTGTCCACCATTCAAAAGCAGGACATTCCTTCCCCTACATCGTTCCAAGTGTCCTTGTCAGAAGACACAACGGTTCTCCAGCCGGTCCCCCCTCAGGTCCCTCAGCAGTTCTTGCGGGAAACCCCAGAAACTTTGTCTCCTGAAGACAACAGTGCAGATGGAAGCGGAATGGTATTGGTGGGCATAGACTCTCGTAATCCTCCATCCCAGCAGCCACAGGTTCAGGCGCTTTTGCCCCAGGATGGGGTTGCACAGCTAGAGAGAGCAGTAAGAGAGCTGCAAGCACAACAGCAGCTAAACTCTGTACTTTATAGCCCAGCGCCGTCTGCGGAGAGCCTTCAGCAACACGTCCAGGAAAACATGAACAGTTTAAGGTTGGGTGGAAATGAGACCTCTCTAACCAACCAGCAACAGCAGCAGCAAGAGCAGAATATATTGGAGAATCTACATCAACAGCAACAGAAGGCACTTGTGGATCTACAGCATCAACAAACAGTCCTTGAAAATTTACAGCAACATCAGAAGGTCTTGGAAAACCTCCAGCAACAGGCTCTGGGCAACATTCAGCAGCAGCAGCAGCAGCAGCAAACACACAAAGTTTTGGAGAACCTGCAGCATCAACAACAGCACCAGAAAGTTCTTGAGAACATTCAGCAGCAAAGTTCAATTGTGACTCTGCAGCATCAAAAAGTAATTGATAATCTTCAACAGCAGCAACAGCATCAGATAAATTTGGAAACTCTTCAGCATCAGGAAGTTTTAGAGAACCTAAAGCAACATTTGCAGTCGGAGCTCTTGCAGACACAGATTCCAATGCAGTGCACACCTAGCTTCACCAGCGAACAGCAGAGCTCCTCGCAGACCAATACTCTATCGCAGCCCTCAGAAGGCTTCCTCCAGAACCCACCCCAGCAGCAGACTGCACTTTTCCAACAGACTGGAAGTCTTATGGCCATTCAGACATCGAGCTTTCTGCAGCAGCCGTCCTCTCAACCTTCACCCCCTCAGCCGCTCTTTCAGAGTCACAACCCCTTGACTGAGACGCAAGACTCGCAGACAGTACTCTTTGGATCCACAAAGTCACCACAGGTTCAAGCAGCCTTATTTCCTGGTACCATGACAATGCTAACAAGCACCAATCTACCCCAGAACAGCAGGCTCCTTCAACTAGCCTGTTTATTACGCAAAGTGTGTTGCCTAGCCAGCTGCCATCGGATAATAACCAGAACCAGCAGCAGCAGCAACAGATAACTTTCCTCACGCCCATGCAGACCTCTGGAACAGACGCTCAGACTGTCTCACTTTTTCAGGGACAAACACAGTTGTCCACCCCAATGGAACAACAGGCTCCCCAACAACAACAGATGGCAACACCCCAACAAGCCCCTCTTTTCCCAAATATTGCCACAATATCTCCGAATCAGCAACAAACACAGACAGGCATATTGTTCTGTACCACAACCATCAATCCCCATGATCTACCCCAGGCTCTGTTATTCAGTGGCCAGAACCAAGCTTCACTAGGAAGTGACCGCCTCCCAGAAAATATCTTTCAGGAGCAGCAACCCATGCAGGTTGTTCCCAGCTCTGAAAACGTTACCGCAAACAACCCTTCAAACCAACCTACCGTTCCGGCAGCCCAGTCAACTCAGAATCCATCCATTATTTTTCCGCAAGCCAGTGTTGTGAATGTTGCCCAACAGGACTCGGCAGAGCCCATGTCTTTTCAAGACCAGAGCACCATTGTGAGTGACTCGTCTGCCAGTATGCCTTCAACACGGACAGAACTTTTTCACGATCAGCAACCCATGCAGGTTGTCCCCAGTGCCACCAGCGTAACCCCTGTCTCTCCTACAGACCAACCTTCTGTCAACAATTTTTTGCCTCAGTCAGCAATTTTAGCCCTGCAAGGTGGTGTAAGTTCTCAGGACTTGCCTTCGACTGCGGCAGCGGCCACTATATTCAGTGGACAGAGTGGTGTGGCAGTGAGCGGCCTACAGAACTCCACTCCCACCACCCCTCAGCAACCGCCCAGCCAACTCTTTCAGACCGCCATTGGGGGAACTCTCAGCCAGCCTGGACAGCCAGGACAAGCAGGCCTTTTTCTCTTTGAGATTCCCAGTGGTAAGTGCAAATAAGTCAACATGCAATTAGAGTTGCAGTCATAGCAAATAACAATAGATTTAAGGGAGGGAGGGAGGGGGGGGTGTACTATTGGGACATGCTTTGGAGCAGTCCTTCCCTGTCCTGGGGACACCACATTTTGCCAAATTAGGTTTGTTAGATGAGGGAGAAATGCAACAACCCTCTTCAGACATTTTTTTTTTTTGAGATTCCCAATGGCCAGTGGTATTAAGTCAACCATTAATCAGAGTTAAAATCTTATCAAATGACTGCAAAATAAAAAATACCGTTGGGTCATGTTGAGATGATCTAAAAGATCATTTTGTCCTTGACCCAGTCCAGGGGCCGGTTGCACCAGCTGGACGTAAAAAAGTTTGGTGTAAGCTGTACGCTGGACTTTATATCCAGCTTTCCGATTAATATTTACACCCGTTGCACCATCTAAAACTGCAACTAGGCGCAACTACGCAATGCGCGTACACCCTGACTTGTTCTACCTATTGAGATACCGTTCGCCGAAAAAAGAACATTTAATTACTCAGATTGTGAAACAAAAAAAAAATAGTATATGCATATTTTGGTATGCAAGCAAAACAATTCAGTAACAAAAATAAAACAAAACATCTGGGAAAAGATAACAGCGACAGTAAATGAAGCTGAGGGTGGACTAGGAAATCTGTCTGTTACATGTTGTAACTGCGGTGATAACTCGATGATTAATTCTAACAATTCAACCCTGCAGAAACGAAAACGTTCAATAAGTTCTGTGTCTCCTTATATATCTAGAGGATTGGTGCTGTCTCTCTTTCACCCCGGAAAGCTCGCAGATCACGTAGCCTGTATACCAGACGCACCATTGTCTCAATGTTTTTATTTATGGAAACAAGTAAAGACTTCTCACTTTACACCTACCTTTGAAAATGCGTAAGATTTAGGCTCAATCCCAATCCACCCCTTGGCCCTACCCCTCCGTTTTGCGCGTTCACGTCTAGGGGTAGGGTGTCCCGATTCTTGTTGATATGAAGGGGTAGGGCCACATAGGCCTCGAAATGGAGATTTTTCAGAGGCATACTCCAAAAGGAGGGCTACAAGAAAGTTCACGGAATGCATCGTAAATAACCGGCGAGATGGCTTCGCAAACTGTTAAACATTTAAATTTAGCGCCAGATGATTCCACCACGCACTTTATTTACTCTTATAATAACACTATAGTCGTTAAAATTAAGAAATGGTATAATAAATTACCTTTTCGATCAGAAAAGACATACATCTCAAGGAAGGGATGTTATAATCATCATGTTTATTCAAAGTTAAGAGCAGCTGTGCTGATTGTCAGTCATTGTTATGGAGAAATCCTGTAAAAACTCTGTAACGGCAGAGCCATCGCCGACGACTGATGACGTATCGGGTTCATGAGGGGTTGTTCCATTTCGTAGGGGAATATTTCAACCCCTTGGCCCTTATAACTCCGTTTTAAGGGCCAAGGGGTGAACTGGGACTACTCCCAGATGGTGCAACAGGTATTAGTTCTACGCAGGACTTAGTCTAACGGTCGGGTGTACGTTCGGGTGCTCCTGGAGGGCTACTGTTCATGGCCTCAACACACCAGCCTGGAAGTTTCCAGTATGACCTTTATAGTGAGACCTTGATTAGCTGGTTTAGCTGTGTTGCTTTGGGGTTCGGATCTAAACTGTGCAGGACAGTGGACCTCCAGGAGCAGGACTGGACACCCTTGACCTAGTCCTTATTGTTCTGGAATTGGAGTAGTCACCATTTAATGATCCAGTAAATTCCAGATGGTTAAAACCAAGTTTGTCCTACATTTATTTGCAGAATGTGCCTTTCACAGCCCAATCTTTTTGTGTTTTATTAGAGTGTGGACAGCTAATAAACTCTCCCGGTCCGGCGTTGTCAGATCAGCTCGTCACCATGGGTCATCCCGGTTCGGATCAGAATCAGAGTAATGCCCAGATTCAGACCTTACTGGACCAGTCCAACAACATCGACGAGAAGATAGACGAACTTCTGGAACGTTTTCAGGAGCAGGGAAAGACGCTTCCTAGGGATTTCTTGGACCATTAAAGATGAGTAGTTAGAAACCTCACTTCAGTAGACCACCGTCCTCACTGCTTGTCGTGTTCCTTTACATCTTGCGTCTTATGTCGGTATTATCTAAGCTTATCTAAGGGTCGTCTCAGTCGGGGGTCTTCACTTATATCTATGTTTCTGAAAGCTTGTAATGTGTTGTTTCGGCGGGACATGTTAGCTATGGATCTCCTTTTCTTGATGGACATCTAAGGGTCCACTTTATTGAGGCCACCGTTTGGCATGTCAGCATATCATGTGACCCATTAAGCCATTAAGTATATTGGCACTTTGCTACTTTGTATTGTGTTCTTGACTTCCAGTTGAATCTTCTCCATTTATTGCCACTGTTAACCTGTTTTTCGTAGAAACCAACCTAGTACAATATTAAATCAAAAACTCTCTGTTGCCGTTGAGATACTAATACATTGTGAATGAATTTGAAATATATTTAGCACTTTAGGGGGTTTCTACCGTAACCGGAGATTCTCCCTTTTAGCTTTGTAACCCATACGTGTCTACTTGGCTGTCAAAGCTTTTCACGTTTTGATAGTCATAATGCTTTTCTAAAAAAAAAAAAAAAAAAAAATAGTGTTTGTGTTTCATTACTCTTCAGTGACTCTTTTCTGAATATAGCCTATTTTATGAGCCATGTTTTTTTGTGTGTTTGAATGTTTGACATGTCCATCTAATCTCTCAATTTTCTCATGACATTTAAAGTCAAGATGCTCAATCACTCCTACTCTTTTCCTCTGTTTTAGTTTTATTTAATTTTATTTTATTTAAATGAACAAGAGGTCCAACTTGTAGACATGAATTCCTATCAGGGATGTGAAAATGTGCAACATTGCCATTGAGATATGTGAACTGATTGTATTATCATCCAGCTGAGGGTCTACGATGTGTGTGTGTGTTTGTGAAAGACGTGTTGCTGTTTGTACTATATAAGATGCAGCTAAGTTCTTGATTTTGAATTATATGTGGATCGTGGAGATTGTTCAAATAAGCACAAGCTTGGAAGAGGGTTTGTTGTGGTGGTGCACCAAACGCGCATGGCCTTCTCTCATCTGTGGTCCTCAAAAAACAAAACGCAAATGAAGATATTTTGCTTTAATGAGATTTAAGAGTTTATACCGAGGAAAGGATTTTAAGTTTGACAGCTTTACGCCATGAATGCTTCTGAAAGCACTTCCACAGAAGAATGAAGATCATACTTATTTTGAAAGACACGAGTGTGAGACATGATGGCAGGATATTTATTGCTGATGTGAACCATCACAGCTATGAGTGTTTTTGGGCAGCTTGGTCCATGTTTTCCATGAGTGTTACGAAGGAATTGGTTTGTTTTCAAGTTACAATAAAGGCCCAGTGAAAATCAGAGATTTAAAGCAAGCTACGAGGAAGAGATTGCCTCAAACCATCAGTGCACGACAATCTCGTCATATGAGTTTGAAAAACGAAGGCTCATACCGCTCGGAAATCCTTATTTGATGCGATTTCTGTAGGCGAAGTGTGCGCTGGTTTAGGGACTCGTACAGGGTTTAATACGTTTAGTCATGGCTGTTTTTAAATGGTTTGAGCTGTTATTTAAATTTTGGAGCATTGTAGTTTCCCTGTCAGACCCTTACCCAGGAGATATTTTATTAAATCACATTTATTTGACATTTTACAGTCTTTTTAAAAGCTCTTTTAAGACATGTTTTCGACGTGCTCTATTCGAAGATGGATCTTTTGCATTGACAATATTTTCTCATGCAAACATAATGTGAGGCAGTTCTATGTAAACACCTTTGCTTTGTTGTTTTTACGTCATACCTTTTCTTGTCTTTAAAAAAAAACAAAACGCTTTATGTAAAATTTGCATAACAAATTGTAAATAGTAGATCGGCTGATCGACGTGTGCTGTTCCTTTGTGAGGTAGCAGTTTGTTAAAAGCGTGCTCTCTTTGTAGTGAAACATAATATCTCACCTGCAGGTGAGGCGTACATACAGTATTTTTGTAAGACTGAATTTCCAAATGTACTGTGTACATTTTAAACATGTAAAAGTGAATTGTCCCTTCTGCAGTACTGTACTTCATATGTCAATATTCAGAGCGCTGAAAATGATGGGTTTTGTTACAAAAGTGGAGATTGTTATTCGTTTGGTAAGCGAAATTCAAATATTGTCGATTTGTAAACGATTAAAAAAAGAGGCTGGTTTTGGTTGTGGGTGAATCTCACACACATATTCCTTCCCCAAAATCAAAAAACAAAACGTGAAAACAGCTGATCTTTAAATATACATTAAATATACATACTCGTTGTACTGACTCGAAGTGATGCTGATTTTCATTGCTGTTACAGTATTGTGGTGGTGTTTTTTTTAAGTTATGAAAATTGAGTTTTGATTTTGGGGTGAAATATGTTCGATATTTAGGCTAATGTCCAAGCGAAGCCATAAAACAAGACAACTGGGACTGGAAGTGTGTGTGTGTGTGTGTGTGTGTTACCTCATGGTGTAGGACATATAGATTCACTCTACATCTAACCTAAGGACCAATTCAGAAGAATATTTTCTCAAAACAAGGCAGCAAAATCAATGTCTTTTGATTTAAAGATTTAATTTGTCCATTCTTGTTCTTTTACTGATGCTCCAGCTTATGTGGAAATCATATTTCTGCACAAATCCATCATTAACATTTTAAAAGGTTTTACTTTCCATCATATTGTGCTTTTTGATTGAAAGTACTTTGTGCCTTTGCAAGCCTTTCCTCTTACTTCTAAAGGACCTTTGTATATAATGAAATACTTCGATGTAGTGATTTACTAGTTCTTAATCCACAAGTAAAAGACTACGGCTTTGGTTTTGGTTTTTAATTGACATTATGTCTGGTCGAATCGTCTTTAAGCGGTCTGTAAGTGTAGTCTCGAATACATCTGAACGTTTATATCATGAAACTGCTATGCAGCCTCAACTCACTTTTATTTGGATTTGATTTCAAACATTGCCATTCTCATCCACTGGTGGTTCTTGCCTCTTGACATTTGTAAGATTGTTGTTGGTCTCAATGATTACAGGTTTTCTGTTTGATCGGGCAGTGGGTTTGTGAAGAAGTTTTGTTTGTAAAGGTTAAATTAAAAGAGGTTTGAAGAGCGCTTACCCCAGTCACCAGCTGTTGTGTGTGTGTGTGTGTGAGGGGCACATTTTAAATGCACTCTTTCTACACAGTTTTTATTTGGTTTGCTTCTGTTTGATGTGATTAACGTCCACTGCTTTTAAAGCGGTAACAGGACAGTGGTTCTCAACCTTACACTAGGAGTGTTGATGGGGTCAAATCAATAATTCTGCTTAATTTGGGGATTTCAAGAGTTGTGTGTACCAACAACAGATTAATCTTGACTTGGTCAGCTCCACAGTGGCGGTGTTGGATAGCTTGGATCAAATTTCCACATTGTGGTTTAGTGTTCAAGTGGTGCATCGCACGTCCTATTTCCAGATTTAAATGACATTAATTATAACTTATTTTAAATACGTCATCCCTCTGGCGCCCCCTACTGGCCTCCTGGTTCAGAACCACTGTTTATAGGGATTCAACCGTTCATTCGTGAGTGTGTACGAATGACGTTCAGTATCATGAAGAAACATGAACTAATGACATCTGATGTTTTTTGTCTTTGCTTTAATCAGTACATTTGTATACTCCTGCAGTTATATTTCTGTAACATGTGCTGCTATATGAATAAAGATAGATATGAAGTTCTCTCCCTTGTGTCTTGTATGTTTTGCTATAAGTGTAAAATGAGACATTTTAGAGAGACATCTCTGTATGTACTTTAAATTACACTTCAGGCTCTATTAAACAATCAGAATATGAGGAGTATGTCATATTGGGAAGATGAATATATACTAAACTCGGTTACGGTAATTAGGGTTGGCTATCGTTTGAATTTGAACGATTCTGATTCCGATTCCGATTCCTTGTTTCGATTCCGGTTCCTAACGATTCTCGATTCCGATTCTTTTAAGAGGCAGGGTCAAAAAAGTTTAGCTAACCTTGCTAACCAACGGTCTTTCTGAAGGAAATACTCCTTCTGTCACAAATTTTGCATTTTGCCGAGATTTCGTTATTTTTAGAAAAGTGAAGCCACACTTTGGACCGCTGACATAAGCTTCTCATGTTCGACTCGCGCGGTTATGCCAACACTTCCGGTAGACGCTTCTTCGTTGGTGTTGTTCAGCGGTTTCTTCTTCCGGTCGGCGGACTGTGAATATTGAAACTAGGAATCGAAATTTTAACTTTTGAACGATTCCGGGAAAAACGAAAAGTTAGTCCCGGTTCCAATCGATACTCGATTCTCGATACCCAACCCTAACGGTAATGAAATGACAAAATTATTTGGCAAGAAAGGCATTTTTCCCAGCATTTTCCAGGTTTATTGTATAATGCAAAGGCATATAGGGGGGAAGCCCACTGGAAATAAAGCATATCTTGACTAAAATGTAACGAGTTATTATATTTATTTGGCTCTCCCTTGTTTTTGTGGATCCATTCTCCTGGGCATCGACTCACTGAGCTTAACTTCTTCCCAATCCTCCCGAAGTGGAGCTTCATTGGAAGGCCTGCATGACTAAACACAGCTTATAATTCCCCAAAGGTTCTCAATGGAGGCTGAGACTCCTCAATGCTGAGCATCAACACTTCCATTGTTGCGGATTAATAGTTGGATTCCCACGTATTGGTCCATTTTCAACTTTGTAGCTCCTCCCAGCACCAGTGTCCTCAATCCCATGATGTTTCCCATGCCGTGTCTAATGGATCCACGCATGCGTTTGGTATGAACACACGCAACACCATCCATTGCTAGACTGGTGCATGTTGAGTTGTTGGTCTGCAGAACTTATCCTCCATATCTTGTCTTGTCTTCCTTATCCTTACAGTCTTTGGCACATTAATTCAGTAGATAAAGCTAATAAATGGTTTCTTTACTGGTTCACAAGCTCTCAATCCAGCCATTGACCAACAGTTCCAGATGATATGGAGGTTTTGAGGTCTTAGGAAGCTGTTTTGAGGGGGTTACAGTTTTCAATATCCAAGACCAGATGATGCCATTTCAAGAATACCCTCTTTGCTTGCAGAGGACGGCTCCATGTTCACATCTAACACTATAGCGGATTTAATCAATTGTAGGCTGGGAGTAAAGAGTGCAAGCTTGGTGTGACCACTTGGCTAGACATTAACATTTCAGGAAGTCATGACAAATGATACAATTGGAATGTGGGATGCATACATTCGTTGTACACACACACAGACACACACACACACACACTGATCAGCCAAAACATTAAAATCATTAAGTTAGATCGTTACAAGGGCGCCTGCCGAGAGAGAAAACAGTCAGATCTTGTAATGCATGTTCAGTCAGCTGCAATGTCAATGCAATGTCAGTTCTTGAAATGTAGGATGCAGGAAAACGGGCAAGTGTAAAGATCCGAGTGATTTTGTCTAGAGCCAAATAATGATGGCTGGGCTTTTCACTTCTCAGTACTGAAGATTCCTCAGCTCCTCGTTTACTAATTTCCTCGTTTCCTCATTTCCTCGCTTCATTGTTTCCTCATGTCCTTGTTTTCTCGCTTCCTCGTTTCCCAATTTTCCTTGTTTCCTTGCTCCCTCGTTTCCTCATTTCCTAATTTCCTTGCTTCCTCATTCCCTCGTTTCCTCATTTCCTAATATCCTCGCTTCCTAATTTCCCCACTTCCTCATTTCCTAATTTCCTCAATTCCTTGTTTTCTCGCTAATAATAAATAATAATAATAATAATGAAATATTGAGTTTGTTGTCACCAACAGCTCTCTGTTTTGTTATGGATCACTAAATCGTTGCTCTGCCTCAGGAGTGTGTGTGAAGTCAGTTTCGTGAGGGATCCCCCGAGGAGTTGTGAGTGAGGATCCAAAGGTGTTTCCAATGCCGAAGTCTTTCCTCTCGGGAAACCTGACGCATGCGTACATTCTCCTCCACGTCACATATCACAATAATTACACTTTTTTTATTGTTACATTTTTCACGAAATTTATGTTTAATGTTTCAATGTAATTGTTGCATTTTTGATGATGTAGATCTGTCAAGACTGCTTTTGATAAAACGTTCACACACACACACACACACACACACACGTAAGGATGCTCGTCCATTTCCGGTTGTGGACATTAAAGCGGAGGAGAACCGAGGAAAACGGGATTATGGCAGAGTCTTCAAAATTTACTGTCCTCCCGTCTTTGAAACGAAACGTACATACGTTTAGATGTAATTTTATTATAAATAGTTATGTTTATTTAATATAATTTTAAAAAGAAGCATAAACACAACGAGGGGTGTCTGTTTTATCTGTTTTTGTGACTAACGTTTCTTTAGTATAACCATGGAGTATAAAATTCAATATAAATTCTCTGTATTGCATTGGACTCTACGATCGGCGGAAGTTATCGAGCATCCTTAATCCTTCACCGGAAATACCGCCGTGCATAGAGCCCATTGTTCAGGTTATTGTTATTTATGTTTTATTGTGGAAATGTATGTTTGGCCTGAACAATTATATTTTACTACATCAATTCAACACAAAACATATTAAAATCAGTCCTAATCATAAGAACAAAGTTAAATGTCACACGTAGGCTTTTAGTTAGTTTTCCAAGCGATCATAATTGGCTGATAATGTGTGAGTATACATTTTTTTTAAATATGTGAATCATTTTAACAAAATAAGAGGGATCATAAAAATTGCATTGCTTGCTACCGAATAAACTACATAACAGATTTTGACTATATGTTTATAATATTTTGGGGACAAATTTGTACCGTGAAGTGATCAAAACCAGACAAAATCTCCAAAAACCTTCCTTCCTCATTTGTAAATCTGGTGTAAAAAATAAAGTAATTGAAGTTTTTTTCAACATTAAAAAATGCAGAAAGTTTTGCGTTATGGGTAGGTTTAGCTATGGGTCGGGAATTAGTGTGAGTGATGGTTAGCGTAAGGGGACAGAATATGCAGTTTGTACAGTATGAAAACCATTACATCTATGGAGAGTCCCCAAAGATAGCGAACCTGTGTGTGTGGTTCAGATATAAAGAGGTTGTGCTACATTAGTTCGCCACACAGCTCTATATCAGTTGTTGCACTCTCCCTCTGACGTCATCGCGCCTTATCAGCGTCGCGTCAGAAAGCACTGATGAGGATGATGAAGATGATGTAAACACACAGACTCACTCGGACCCGGTGCTGGTGACACACACACACACACGCGCTGACTCTCTTCCCCTGGTGTTAAAGCACAGGTTGTCCCGGGTCAAGCAGATTATTGGGTAAATGGATTGTGACGTCAGGGTTTAGCACGCGTCGCGTTGCCTCGACGTACAGCAGACGCGCTCTCATCCAGCGCACACACACACTCCAGCATGAGCCCGAGGACCACGAGCTGAAAAACACGAACACCGCAGATCATGGCCGCATTTCTGGAGGTAAGAGCCAAAAGCGTGCGATGCTGCGTTTAACGCGACTTTAGAGACGCGCGTCAGATCGAGACTCCGCGTTTGTGGTGTGGTTCTTCGCCACTGTGTGTCCACAAACTAGTGAATCATTCATATTTCTCATCAGGTGTGATGGAAGTCTCAATATATGTTACATAAATAGAGTGTAACGCGAAATCCGTCGGGCCAATGATCGTCTTCTGGTTACGCGCGAGCGGGTGTGTTGACAAGGACACGCCATTATCGGTTTAAAGTAATAATTTACAAATCTATAAATCAGCCATGGTTTAACTTACTCACGCGTAAGTCTTCAGTAGAACACAGAAGGAAAGTTTGCTCTTTTCAATACTACCGCTGTCAAGCTCCACAGTGGATAAAATGACCATAAAGGTAGTTTATATTAGAAGACCGATGCGCTATATTGTAATTCTGCATGAAATATAGTGACTTTTCTGAAGACAAAGCTGTGTGTGGAGATTCTGCTTAGTATGAGTTATGGTCACATCAGCTCCATTGTCTATTATTATTAATAGTGAAGCTCAGCTCACACTTGAAGCAACTTATTTTTGTGTTTCACACACACACTGAAAGGTTAGTTGTGTAACCAGAATTGGCTCTGCTTTATAAAAAGATGTGTTACGATAGAGGTTTGATCTTGCAGATATCCGATGACAGCATGGGTCACGAACTGAACCTCTTCTGTGTGCCGAAACACTACGAGGAGGATTTGGACCGGGTCATTATACCCAACGGCCTCATTAAGGACAGGTACGTGTCTTTAACAGTGATTTGTATGGTTGTTGTGGTGTGGGAAGTGTCTGTTGTGTTGTGGCCGGTGATTGCCCTGGATAGTAAAAGAGCCCTGTGTTCCCCGTAGATTTAGCTAATGATGTTAGCGCAATAGCAGAGGCATGTGATTTGAATTGGCTTTCCCATTCATTTGTTTAACAAATTTCCCCTGAAATCTCTTGACTGTCATTATTGGCATGGCTTCAGCCAGCTTTAATGAAAGCATTCATGTCAGAATACTCCAGCCTTCAGTTTTGATCTTCTCTGCAGGACTGAGCGCTTGGCCAGAGATATCGTTCGGGACATGGGCGGACATCATATCGTGGCTCTTTGCGTTTTAAAAGGAGGGTATAAGTTCTTCGCAGACCTGATGGATTACATCAAGACTCTGAATCAAAACAGTGATAAGTCTGTGCCAATGACTGTGGATTTCATTAGGCTGAAGAGCTACTCGGTGAGTGGCAGGTCTACCGCAGTCATTCACTGCAGCACTGGGCTCATACAGTCTGCCTTATATTATTACATGTGGAGCATTTTATTAGTAGCTTGTGCATTTGAAATGTGGCTTATAAGATGATAAGGGTTAAATACAACTTAAAGGTGCAGTAAGCGATTTCTGAGAAACGTTGTACGACACACTTGTAGCCAATCAGCAGTAGGGGCGTGTCCAGTCATGATGGGGGAGGAGAGAGAGTGAGCCAATCAGCAGTAGGGGGTGTGTCCATTCATGATGGGGAGGAGAGAGAGTGAGCCAATCAATAGCAGGGGGTGAGTCCACTCATGATGGGGGAGGAGAGAGTGAGCCAATCAGTTGTAGGGGGTGTGTCCACTCATGATGGGGGAGAGAGTGAGCCAATCAGCAGTAGGGGGCGAGTCCACTCTTGATGGGGGAGGAGAGAGAGTGAGCCAATCAGAAGAAGGGGGTGTGTCCACTCTTGATGGGGGAGGAGAGAGAGTGAGCCAATCAGCAGCAAGGGGGTGTGTCCACTCATGATGGGGGAGATAGTGAGCCAATCAGAAGAAGGGGGCGTGTCCACTCATGATGGGGGAGGAGAGAGAGAGAGAGAGCCAATCAGCAGTAGGTGGCATGTCCACATACTGTAGAAAGAGAGATGGCTGAGAGACATTGCCAAAGAGAGAATCTCAGAGGATATCACTAATTACGATCAGGCAAGAGCTTTAGGATCTGCGCTAACATTAGAAAAGCTTTCCAGCGCTGGAAGGAAAGGACTGAAAATGGACACCAAGGTTAGGTTGTTTCTTCTCCATATGTGAGTACCATGATTCATAGAACCAAGATACGCTGTTGTTGTCATGTGAGCTATAGTAACAGGACCATTCGAGTTCACTGTTTACTTCAGCAATGATGAACTCATGAATTGTGTGTTTGTGCAGTTTGGAGGAGGAGCTATGAAGGGAGGGGCGTGTTTGTTTGGGTCGATTCGAAATCGCTTACTGCGCCTTTAAATGAGAAGTTTGCCTACGAATGACAATCATTTCTCACCCTCACGCCACTCCAAATGCGGAGGAACACAAAAGATGCTTTGAAAAGCAATGAAACAGTTTTTTGTTCATTCAGTAATGGACAATTTTCGTTGTATGAGACAAAAGATCTCCTTTTAATGGCCTTTGCCCACTTTAAGAGTGTTTAAAGTTGAATGAACTTTAAAAGGAATGAAAGTTGTGAGAAGATCTTAATATAAATAAATAAATATACATATAATGACGCAGATCTGAATGTAAGCTTGCAGTTGATTGTAAGAAAGAGCATAGTTTAAACTGAATAAATGACATTTGATTAAATTCTGAAAATTGATGAAAAACATATAACGATGAAACCATTTCCCTTTGCACACAGTATATTAGAATCGGATGCCTGAATTCTTTTTAGACAGAATACTGTGTAATTTACTAGCATTTACATGTTTATCATTTGATTACCATAATAATATCAAAGTCATTTATCGGTATTGGGCCGAATTAGAATCGTGGTGTATCAATAGTATAACTATAGTTAATGCTGTGGAGAAGGAATAGTTCCACGGCTCACAGTTTTCAGTGCCGTGTTTGCTATAAGCATGTCTCATCTCTCCAACACTAGTTTAAAGTGTTATTTCTGTGATTTCGCTCCAGAATGACCAGTCTACGAACTGTGTGAAAGTCATCGGTGGAGACGAGCTGTCGGCGCTGTCTGGGAAAGTGAGTCTGATCTCTCCACACTCTTTGGTTTAGTTTCTATTTCCACAAAGCATTCGGCGTCAGTGTTTTTAAAAGAGTCTCTTCTGCTCTCCAAGGCTGCATTTATCGGATCAAAAATAAACAAAAACAGTGAAATATTATTACAATGTAAATCAGATGTTTTCTATGTGAATATATAGTACAGTGGCATTTATTCCTGTGATCAAATCTGAATTTTTCACACTTGATCCTTCAGAAATCACTCGAATATGATGATCAAGAAACATTTATGATTATTATCAGCGTTGAAAATAGTTCATGTGCTTTAAATCTGAGTGGAAACTGATGTGTCTGGGTTCTTTGATGGACAGAAAGAATTATCTTTTGCAACATTATAATGTCACTTTTGATCAGTTTAATGCACCATTGCTGAAACACATTTATGAATGAACAAACGTTTGAACAGTTGTGTTTATGCTTTTTGAAATGTTGGTCATATTGTTAGTGTGTCTTCTTTCTCTCCTCACAGAATGTGCTCATAGTTGAGGTGAGTGTGTGCCATGTCATGTGAAGTGTGTGTGCTGTGAGAAACACACACAGATGCTGAGTCCTCTGTTTGTGCCTCAGGACATCGTGGAGACGGGGAGAACTATGGAAACGCTGCTCAAACTGTTAAATGAATACCATCCTAAGATGGTGAAAGTTGTCAGGTGAGACGTAAACATCGCCGTTCTTATTCCAGACACGACTGTGTTAATGCCAGTTCATAACTATAGTGATAATGCTAAAGGTAGAGTTGTTTTAAATACATCAGAATAGAGTTACACAGCTATAACGTACGGAAGCCCTGAACCGCAACCTAAAAAAAAAAAAAAATCTGTAAAAAAAAAAAAAAAAAAATCTAGCATTTCGAGATTAAAGTCGAAATGTTTCGAGATTAAAGTCGGAATGTTTCGAGATTAAAGTCGGAATGTTTCGAGATTAAAGTCGGAATGTTTCGAGATTAAAGTCGGAATGTTTCGAGATTAAAGTCGAAATGTTTCGAGATTAAAGTCGAAATGTTTCGAGATTAAAGTCGGAATGTTTCGAGATTAAAGTCGGAATGTTTCGAGATTAAAGTCGGAATGTTTCGAGATTAAAGTCGAAATGTTTCGAGATTAAAGTCGAAATGTTTCGAGATTAAAGTCGGAATGTTTCGAGATTAAAGTCGGAATGTTTCGAGATTAAAGTCGAAATGTTTCGAGATTAAAGTCGAAATGTTTCGAGATTAAAGTCGGAATGTTTCGAGATTAAAGTCGGAATGTTTCGAGATTAAAGTCGGAATGTTTCGAGATTAAAGTCGGAATGTTTCGAGATTAAAGTCGCAATGTTTCGAGATTAAAGTCGCAATGTTTCGAGATTAAAGTCGGAATGTTTCGAGATTAAAGTCGGAATGTTTCGAGATTAAAGTCGGAATGTTTCGAGATTAAAGTCGGAATGTTTCGAGATTAAAGTCGGAATGTTTCGAGATTAAAGTCGGAATGTTTCGAGATTAAAGTCGGAATGTTTCGAGATTAAAGTCGCAATGTTTCGAGATTAAAGTCGCAATGTTTCGAGATTAAAGTCGGAATGTTTCGAGATTAAAGTCGGAATGTTTCGAGATTAAAGTCGCAATGTTTCGAGATTAAAGTCGCAATGTTTCGAGATTAAAGTCGGAATGTTTCGAGATTAAAGTCGGAATGTTTCGAGATTAAAGTCGGAATGTTTCGAGATTAAAGTCGAAATGTTTCGAGATTAAAGTCGAAATGTTTCGAGATTAAAGTCGGAATGTTTCGAGATTAAAGTCGGAATGTTTCGAGATTAAAGTCGGAATGTTTCGAGATTAAAGTCGGAATGTTTCGAGATTAAAGTCGCAATGTTTCGAGATTAAAGTCGCAATGTTTCGAGATTAAAGTCGGAATGTTTCGAGATTAAAGTCGGAATGTTTCGAGATTAAAGTCGGAATGTTTCGAGATTAAAGTCGGAATGTTTCGAGATTAAAGTCGGAATGTTTCGAGATTAAAGTCGGAATGTTTCGAGATTAAAGTCGGAATGTTTCGAGATTAAAGTCGAAACATTGTGCATTCATAACAGTGCGCGTCCACTGGCTCAGAGCGCGCGCGCGCGTGTGTGTGTGTGTGTGAAGTCGAACTGCCATGGATAAACCCAAAATAGTAGCTTTTTACTTTTATCTGGGCTTTCAACAAAATTCTACACACGTCACACGTGCTAGTGGCAGTGTTTCTGAGGTGTTTTCGTGCTCGTCTAGTCAACACTATCTGGGTCGAGAACACAACAGTAACTGTTCGGTCTCCCTCTTCAACGTAAATACGCTCTGGATACATTTTAAGTGCATCATTCTGTATCCAATCATTTTTCCTATAGGCTAAAGTCTATTCCGGCGCATTATATTTTATAACGATAAAGTAAGATAAGTAATTCAGATAAAAGTAAAAAGCTACTATTTTGTGTTTATCCATGGCAGTTCGACTTCACACGCACACGCGCGCGCTCTGAGCCAGTGGACGCGCACTGTTATGAATGCACAACGTTTCGACTTTAATCTCGAAACATTTCGACTTTAATCTCGAAACATTTCGACTTTAATCTCGAAACATTCCGACTTTAATCTCGAAACATTCCGACTTTAATCTCGAAATGCTAGATTTTTTTTTTTTTTTTTTTTTTTTACAGATTTTTTTTTTTTTTTTGGTTGCGGTTCAGGGCTTCCGTAATAACGATATCACTTGGATCAGAAAAAGATTTACTCCAGTAATTCTGGGAATGAAGTCATGTTCCATCATGTTCCACAAAATTACAATAAATCAAACTTAATTATTTGCCCTAGAGCTTTACTGGGAAACATTTGCTGTTAATGTTTTCTGCACAAGTTGTTCAAACTAATATCATTTATACAATATGTAATGCAATCATGTAAAGCTTCATTGTTAAACACTAGGCTACAGTATATGCATTTCTTTGAATTTTTATTGAATTGCAATTCTGCTTTCTTTAATTCAAATTTGAATTGTAATTCTAGGTCCTGTTTTTGGCATCAATTTAGTCATTCATGCTCATGCACTGGTGTGAAGGAGTCTTTATTGATGTTTCTTAACGGTTAAATGGCTTTTTACTGGCGTTAGTGTTTAAAAACAAGATTATTCAGATTATATTCATTATTCTTTTTATTAAATATATCTCCCGATATTGAATTCAGTGTGGTTTATTTCAGTTTGCTGGTGAAAAGGACACCCAGGAGCTCAGGATACCGTCCCGACTGTGAGTGCTTCTCATCGTGGGGTTTATGGGATATTATGAATATTTTGCGTTTAATCCACGTCACTGAAATAAAACACCCTGCTTTCTGTCGTTGGACACATTAGACACACACTCACTGCTCATCTCTTACGCAATGCTTTTAGAGCGAAAGCTGATAAGCTCTTTATATCCACCCGTCCTCGAGCACAAGCGCCACGCTCTCGCTCTTGACTTCCACTGTCTTCTTCTCGCTCGCCCGAGTCTCTCTCTGCTGATCCGCTGAGGTCTGTTCACACACTCATGATAGAGTGCGACTAGTGTAGAAATATGAATGGAAATGTTGATGTCAAAGATTGAGTGTCAAATCAACTCTATGGTATTTCCTGTAGAAGCCAGAGACACGTGACCACACACACAACACACACCAGAGCACATACAATAATTATGGGTGCACACGCTTACTGTTGGAAGTTTACCCGTTTAGGACCTGCCATTATTTATATATATATATATATATAAATAATATATTATTTTTATTTTGCAATGTGCTACATTTTCATTCAAATGATATTATAGAGTTCTAAATATAGTATAAATTAATATTTCAAATTTTCTTAGTTCTCATGAAAATAATATAGACTTAAAATATTGAAAAAAAAAGTTATATTACATTTTTTAATGTTAATGTTTTTTAATGTTATATTAAAATACTTTTTTGGATTGTGCTTAATTTGAAAATAATACAAACCTCTTCGTTTTCTTCTTGCTGAATATAATGTAATGTTCCCCTCTGTGTGTGTGTGTGTGTGTGTGTGCGCATGTTCACACGTCTTGTATTCTTCCTTCAGACATTGGATTTGAAGTTCCGGACAAGTTCCTGGTGGGATATGCTTTAGACTACAATGAGTATTTCAGGGATTTGAGTGTGAGTTTAGTCCTGTTTTAAATGTGCATAACCCGTCTGATGTCTGACCTGAAGGATGTCCTGACACTTTCTCTCTGTTTCTCTTTATATCTTTCAGCATATCTGTATATTAAGCGACAGCGCCAAAGAGAAATATAAAGTATGATACGACGCGAGTGCTTGGATGCACCGAGACAAAGATCACTGTGAACCTTTCTTCTGATTGTGAAGTTATTTTTGAACATGCCATCTGAATAATGAAACATATTCCCAAAGATAAATGCAAGAGAGAAAATATTATTTTGTTAAGAATAGTTGATGGTTAATCTCATTTTAATTGTGATTTTCTGCGGAAGACTGTACAACTTTCTGATTGTTTGAACTGAGGCCTTAGATTAACTGATTTTATGTTGATTTTATGTTTTGAGTTTGGGTTTAGCTCAGAGGTTGTGAAGGTACTCATTGTTAGCTAGTTATTGTCATTATATTATCTAGATTTTGACTCCAGAATATACACACTCTCTGAAACGGAGAATTGTTGTGCAGCTGTCATGAAAAATATGAAGATGATTTTTTTTTTTGGATCACCACAATAGAATAACACTGACAATGATATTATTATTATATTATTATTATTATTAGCTAATATTATCTGTCCTGGTTGTTTCCCATGCATGTTAATGTGAAAACAGTCCAATAAGCTGAGGTGAATGATTGTATTGATTACGTTTACTGACAACAAAACTCTGACGAGCTGTTATGAAAGAGAAGAAAAGTTAATGAATGAAGCTAAGCAATAAAGTAATGTACGAACATGTGTACGAAGGTCTATGCTTTTTTGTTTTGAGTTTTCGATATTTGTATACAAAAAAAGCAAATGGTCATTATGGGGGAACAATCTCAAATGTGAGTTAAATGTCGGGTTATTTCGGAGTTTTAATATCTATTTACCTCATGTAAATAAGTGTTTATAAGTGTGTTAAATATATTATGAAGCTGCAGACTCGGAGCCTGCATCTACAGTCCCCCACCGAGAGTCCCGCATTCTCAGACCCCTCATTTTTCGAACACAGCGCCTCCTGCTGTTCAAAAGATCGAATAACACCCGCACACAGAGTACAGTGCACGCTGATCCAAATGCAATTAAAAACAATAGGATGCAATATTACGGTCTTCAAATAAATTATCCAATAAAAATTTGCGTTCCCTGCTTAATGCAGGTGCCAAAAAAACTCTTTGTTACTGATGGAAGGGATACAATTACAGATTCTTCTGAAAAATAGTCTAGTGATATTTTATTGCTACAATGTTTGGTTTTTTTTATATATATTTTTTTTATTCAAAATTCAAATTCCACTTTTTCTTTCAGTTCAACCTATAATGGTCTAATTAACATTACCATGCTAACATAACAAAATCTGTTTTTTTGATATTTTGAATGCGAAGCAAAATAAATCAGAATAGACAAAACACCAATAATTCAGTAAACAATTCAGTAGGCTACTTTATTTAATGATCACCTAAACATCATCTTACTGTAAAGAAAAAAAGGAAGAACAAACTGTGTTCGTGACTTTACTTTTCGTCTTTAATTGCATTAAAAAAACTCATTTATAAGTCGCTTTGCATAATCATAAAATGATACGTTGCTGGAATCGGAAGGGGCAACTCCATCGATGTAGGCTATGGTGTACTGGATACGATAGCACATGTCTTATGATCTTTCAAAAAGAAAGAAAAAAAATTCAAATTCATGTTGCACTGCTCTGACTGTAGAAGTGTCCCTTGAGATGTTTTTGAACTTTGGACAACTTTGTGGGTTTGAGATATATGGGGGCACAAAATGGGCAGTAAAAATAACTGCAGCATTTATGACATATAAAAAAGTCCGAGGTTAAAGGCTAACGTTAGCTATCAAAATATTTTCGGGGTAAAGAGGGCGAAAAAACATAACGGCTCAAATCTTGTTACAAACTACCTTTACAAATATTAAATGGACTATTCTTATGTTGTATCGATTAGCTAAATTAGTTTTATTAAAAAATAAATCAAACGAGCTATTACGATTCTCTAAATAAAATTGAAGACAGCCTACTCACGTTTTGGCTTAAGTTCTGTTTATCCGATACAATTTGATAGGAGGCGCTGACTCGAAAAACGAGGGGTCTGAGAATGCGGGACTCTGGGTGCAGGGGGACTGTAGATGCAGGTCTGCGAGTCTGCAGCTTCATACTACTCCTCAAAAGACTCGAAATATATGTGAAATATCACAACGGCTTTTTATCTTACTAACATTTATTTACAGGCGAAGTCGTTTGGTTTTATATATATTAATTACCGCGATTTGTACATGAGATAGAAGGGAAATATCCATAACATTATTAAGAAAGGATAAAAACCTTTAGCCTGGTTCTACCAGACTCTCGTACATGAAATTGAGCGGAAGTGCGTAGGCGGGCGCAGCCAGGCTAAAAAACCTTTGGCTGTAATCGCAAAACATTGGTTGGTCCATCCTGATCAGCGCTGAGGAGAGTAACAGGTACCACGTGATTTTTTTTCGCCACATCCTGAGTGAGTCTGACATTGATATATATATATATATATATATATATATATATATATATATATATATAATATATATATATATATATATATAATATATATATATATATATATATATATATATGTATATATATATTTATATATATATGTATATATATATATACACACCAATTTATGAAAAAAGCTCCACATATGTTGTATTATTTTAAAATAAAGTTATTAATAAAGTTATTATTATATAAAACAAGACCAGTATATTTTTTATTTGTGTATATGGTATTTTGTTAGGAAAATTGGATTTTTTTTGCAAAGATAAATCCTAAAGGAAAATTATTATTTTACGATTAAGAAATTAGAAAAATACAGTTTAATATAAGCCACAAGTAAATAAAATAAAGTTTTTATTTAGATACATCGCACCTGACGGTCAGACAGCTAAACCCCGCCCACTTTTGTGACGCAATGTTGTATTTCCGGAAGTGGTCCAGCCGGATTATCGCAACGTGAATTTGCTGTTACCGAAATTTCATTGAGAAGTTGAATGAGTTATTTTATTTGAAAGCAATCATTCCGCGATGGCAGCTCTTAAATACGCCGGAATGGATGATACAGACAGTGAAGACGAGCTTCCCCCCGGCTGGGAAGAGAGATCCACGACAGACGGATGGGTTTATTATGCCAAGTGAGTGTTTGAGACGAGCGCGTGCCTTCTCACTGTCCATAATAATGAGTATCTATAGAGGCACTGACAGACACATGATATTATGTCATAACTCGTTTCAGCCATGAGGAAATGAAGACTCAGTGGGAGCATCCCAAAACTGGGAAGAAGAAGCGCTGTGCTGGAGGTTTGAGGATTGATTTATGAACAATAACTGATCATCTCAGCGTTAAAGCCGTATTAAAATATCTCAACGTCATTAATACACTCTACTTAAGTGTGCAGCGCTTTCAGAAGAGAGTGTTGATATGCAATGATGATAAATTAATGATTAAGTCACTTATTTATTGTATTTTCCAGCTTTGCCATATGGATGGGAGCAAGAGACCGATGATAAAGGCCAAATCCTCTATGTTGAGTGAGTTCAATCAGTCATATTATATATTATAGTTTCCCTTCAGACAGATTTGTCTCTCAGATTTCAGGCTAATTAATAATAAATTAATTGGTAACACTTCAATAAGGTTTCATCCAATAACACAAACTAACACTGCAGTATTTATTAATCTTTGTTAATGATCGGTAATAAAACACAGCTGTTCGTGTGTGCTCAATTCAGAAAAATAATAAAGACAGCTTTTTGATTTTGATAATAATGTATTAGGCAATTTAGAAAATAACATTAACCTTGATGTTTACTAATGTATTTCACTTATGAAACCTTATTGTCAAGAGTTACAAACTAATTTTAATACACTTGACAAATGCATTTTTAGATATATGCACACTAAATATTTTAAACATTTTCTTCCTGATTAATTAAACTTGAACACAATCAAATACTACAAGATATTACAATGATACATAAATAAATGGACAAACAAATAATATAAAGGTTTTAGAAGTCAAATAAATTAATAAAGTGACGTTTTTAGTTATTTTATAGTTATGTTTGTATATTTTATTATATACTATTATTTATATATATACATATATATATATATTAAAATGCATTATAATTTACTGGATATGGTATTTTGGCAGAAAAGATTGGCGTAAAAAGTCTTCTGATCTGGACAATAACTCACACCTGAATAATAATGACAGTAATAAACTTAGATTCGAGTTAAAATAGAGAAGATTTTTTACTTATATCCAATCAGAGACGTTCAGGATGCTAAGCCCCGCCCATTTCACGACCACATTTGTTTAATTCTAATTTTGTTTAGCATGTTTTCTTTGTGATAACATGTTATGAAGCAGTCTACTGCACTAGTGTTGTGTAACTGTGTGTTGTGCTGCTGTTCTCAGCCACATCAACAAGCGGAGTACGTACTTCGACCCGCGGCAGGCCTTCACCGTGGAGGACGTGCAGCTGAAGCCCAAGCGCTTCGACGGGAACAGCTCGGCTCTGGAGGTGCTGCACGGCAGAGACCTGTCCGACCGCGTGGTGCTCATCACGGGGGCCAACAGCGGCATCGGTGAGTACAGCCACGCCAGACCGCATCACAGCCGTGTTTAAACACTTTAAAGGGGTCCTATAATGTCTTTTTCACAAGAGTTATAATAAGTCTCTGATGTCCCCAGAGTGCGTCTGTGAAGTTTTACCTTAAAATACCCCACAGATATTTTTATGTAGCATGTTAAAATTGTCACTTTTTTCGAGGGTGAACAAAAACGCACCTTTTCGTGTGTGTGTCCCTTTAAATGCAAATGAGCTGCTGATCCCAGGGCGGACCTTCAAGAGCACCTGTGTGTTTGTGTGTGTTAGCAGGTATGATTACCGCACACAGACAATGAGAATAACTTTTAGCCTTTTATGTTCAAACCGAGTCGGACAATGATGGAGAGACTCAAGAAGAAGTGACAACGTACATTTCTAGTTGATGTGGAGTTAACTATCTTTAAGTCAGTGATTAGTATATTCTGTCATGATAATCTATAAATCAAGTTCCTGGGGTCAGGGTTTATGTAAAGTTTGTGATGTCATTAATCCGGGAGGAGTGTTGTGCAGTTCCTATCTATTCCATTATATTCTATTGTCTGCCTATTCCTTTGAGCTTTGAACGTTCTGCAGATGTTTCTGCTCAAACAGCAACATTACACACTACAGCTATGATCCAGCAGCCCTTGCTCTGACAGTGCGTGCAGCGTTTGTCCAGCAGGAGGCGCTACAGCACCAGCTTTAGCCCTGAAGTGAGCACATGAAGGAATGCTATTGTGAATCTCGAATAATTCATCTGAAGAATTATCAAAGCAACTTCAGACATGCAATAATTCAACACCGTTATGATACGAGTCCTCACATCTGTGGTATTAATTACTGAAAAAACAAAAGCACATATTTCAGTCGTGTGTTTATGACATCGGATGCTGTTTCATTGGTGGATTCTGCTGTTATTTTTAGGTTTATATTTAACCCTTTAAGGGGCAAGTATAGATCATTTTGATGGAAAAATGATTCATTGCTATTTTTGTATGTATCTAGACTAAAATGGCAGAGTTCATACATTTTTTTCAAAATATGACCTATAGTTTCTAAGTTATACTCTGTATCTCCCGAGATACATTGCCCATTTAGGGTTACATTTTGCAATTTATTATTTTTTTTTATTATAGTTGATATGACAACTTTTAAAACATTTAATGAACAATTAATTAGCTACAATTTTTCATGTTATCCATACAACATTAGAAAAATTCGAAAAAACTGAACTTTTTCTCCCAAGATGCATTGCCTATGTAGGATTTACATTTAATATTTCATAACTTTTTAACCCCTTAACTGTCACCGTCCTGGTACCGGGACGCCTAACTTTACTTCACTGTATTTCTATTAAATCCTAATCTAATTATGACAAATTATATATTTTTGGAAAGGTCTAAGACTTCTAATTAAATATTCGACCCCTGTTTTGTGTTAAAAATTATGTAGGAAGAGTAATTAATGAATTTAGGACAAGAGTGCACCTAAAAAAATCTGCATCATAACAGGAGGTCTGACCTTTGTCACAAAAGTTGATGCACCCACTTTTAATCATTGAAACTTCTGTTTTTATGCTAAAAGTTCATAATAAAACATATAATCTAGTATTTTTCAATAAAAAATAAAAAGTATAGTATAACATTATCCTCTAAAATTATAATATATATGTATATATTATCCTCTAAAATATAATATTTTTTATCGCCTTTTTTTATTATATCACATATTTTAGTAGTTATCATAAATTAGGTATCATTTGAAAGCTTATAAACTCAGAATTCATCCTGTGAAAACCATTTTATAATTGAACGTTGCGTTACCATAGAAACGCTACTTATTTTATGAGGCTCCTCCCCTTTTGGGCATCCTTATATTTCATAATTTATGATCAAAACCTTTTCTAATCTTGACAAAACACATATTGTCAGAAAGGTCTGAGTCTCAAGGTTCCAAATTTTGTGACAAAATTGATATTTGGACAGAAATGTATTAATTTGTTAAGGCAGAATGTACACAACTAAATTCAATGGAATTCAATGGCACCCGGTGGCTATTTTTGGTACTACGCCTAAACAAAATCTCATGGGAACTTCAATTTTTGTGATATCAACTTCAAATTTGGAACATAACTTGGTTAGATTTATGGCTTTGATTTTATAGTAATTTTAGAGTAAAAATATTTTGTAAAATATATATTTTATATAAAATAAAAAATACAGTATATTTGATTTACTGTGAATTAAAACTTCCATAACTTTTTCATATTTTCATTTATTGAAGTGTTTTCACTTCAGCAATAATCTGCTGAGTGTTTTCTTTAAAACAAGACCAAACTTGGGTATATATTCCAAGGCATTCTTGAATTATAACCATTTAAGTGTGAATAGAGCATTTAACCCCCATTCTCAAAAAAAAACGGGGGGGGGGGGGGGTCACATGACCTGATTACATGACCCATCACCCCATCAGTGTTTCTCATCAACTGCAACCAAGTAATGCCTCTCCCCCCATAGCCCCTCCCCCTACAGCCTGTTAAATGTCTGTATCCCCCAGGATACAGAAACTCTTTAAGGGTTAAGAAAATAATTTCTTGTTATTCAACAATAATGCACGAAGTTAAAGGCAAATGAAGGATTTATTTCAAATAAATAATCTTTTGAACTTCCGGTTCATCAAATATTGCTGGAAAGTGTAATGATCAGTTTTCATATATCCGCTCAATGTGATTCAATTTGAAAAATGTAATTTTAACATAAATAATAATCATAAATGTTTCTTGATCATCAAATCATCATATAAGAGTGATTTCTGAAGGATCTGACGATATTAATGATGCTGAAAATTCAGCTTTGATCACAGGAATACATTACGCCTGCACTTCACTACACATTCACTTAATAAAGTCATAAAAACGTTGATTTTTATGTTCAGTTTTTATTTTAATTTCAGTTTGTTTTAGTAATTTTTAATGCTTCGTCATCTTAATTATTATATGTAGATTAGTAATTTAATTACTTGCATTTAAAAACTTGTCGACTAACTGAAATAAGTTTTCCATTTAAAATTTTATTTCAGCCTAATTTCAATTCATTGTTATTTTTCCCTTTACCAATAACATCAGCGGCGGTAATATTTCGCAGTAAAAAATAAAAAAAATATAGTCCTGGGGAGAAAAAAAAAAAATCAGGAAACATTAATGAATATTGCAGATGTTCATTTTCATATCTAGTTTTAATCTCGTCATTCATGTTATTAAATACTTCATAATAACGGCTCATGTAAATCTGAACATGTCTATCTTGCAACATATGAAATATGTTCCACAGTGATGATGCTGAATACGAGCGGTTATGAGTGATGCCGGTGATGTGTGTGCAGTGGCGTGTGATGAACACTAGAGGGCAGAGGAGCTCCACCTGTCACTCATCAGGGCTAAAGCACTGTAGAAGCAGCAGATATTAGGATGATCATCATCAGCGTGCCGCAGTCAAACACACACATTACACACACTAGCAGGAACACACACCGTTCTTATGATAGGAGGCTCATATTACATGATGATCGTTATGATGTGTGACTGTTAATTTGGTCAATATATGAGTTATTTTTTTTCTAATATTTGGAAAGGTGAAATGGCAGTTGGTGAGGTTTGCCCATATTTGGTGTTTTACACACATTAGCGAAACGCCACTTCTTGTTGAAGATGTGTGTATTGTTTATGAGCTTGACAGTGTTTTGTGTAAATGACACAATAGATTATTAGCATATCAGCAAACAGTAGTTGTGTGTGTAAGACACGGGCTGGTGATGAATCTGTGTGTGTTCTAATAATGATCTGCAGTTTGAGAGCATACACACGCAGTGTAATGTGTGAACAACATCTAATAATAACCACTCATTCCAGCAGGAGGTGTGTGTGTGTGTGTGTGTTTATGATTATGAGTGTGAATGTATGTTTATGAGTGTGTTTTTGAGTCTGTGTTTATGACTGTGTGTGTGTGTTTATGAGTGTGTTTTTGTGAGGGAGTGAATGTGTGTTTATGAGTGTGTTCTTGTGAGCGAGAGTGCGTGTGTGTTTATGAGTGTGTGTGTGTGTGTGTGTGTTTGAGTGTGAGAGTGAGTGTGTGTTTATGAGTGTGAGTGTGTGTGTGTGTGTGTGTGTGTGTGTTTGAGTGTGAGAGTGAGTGTGTGTTTATGAGTGTGAGTGTGTGTGTGTGTGTGTGTGTGTGTGTGTGTGTGTGTGTGTTTGAGTGTGAGAGTGAGTGTGTGTTTATGAGTGTGAGTGTGTGTTTATAAGTGTGTTTTTGAGTGTGACTGTGTGTGTTTATCAGTGTGAGAGTGTGTTTAAGAGTTTTTGTTTTTATGTGTTTTTGTCAGTGTGTGAGTGTGTGTTTATGAATTTGAGTGTGTGAGTGTGTGTGTGTTTACACCTGTACCGTAACATTGATCCTGCTGTGAGTGTTTGTGAGTGTGTGTGTGTGTGTGTGTGTGTGTGTGTGTGTGTTTACACCTGTACCGTAACATTGATCCTGCTGTGTGTTTGAGTGTGTGATTGTGTGTTTATGAGTGTGTGTGTGTGTGTTTACACCTGTACCGTAACATTGATCCTGCTGTGTGTTTGAGTGTGTGATTGTGTGTTTATGAGTGTGTGTTTATGAGTGTGTGAGTGTGTGATTGTGTGTTTATGAGTGTGTGTGTGTGTGTGTGTGTGTGTGTGTGTTTACACCAGTACCGAAACATTGATCCTGCTGTGTGTTTGTGTTTGCGTGTGTGATTGTGTGTTTATGAGTGTGTGTTTATGAGTGTGTGAGTGTGTGATTGTGTGTTTATGAGTGTGTGTGTGTGTGTGTGTTTACACCAGTACCGTAACATTGATCCTGCTGTGTGTTTGAGTGTGTGATTGTGTGTTTGTGTGTGTGTGTGTGTGTGTGTTTACACCAGTACAGTAACATTGATCCTGCTGTGTGTTTGAGTGTGTCATTGTGTGTGTGTGTG